TACACGGCTATAGGGGGTGGACGCCTTTCACTGAGCGACGCTGATAAAACGTAAATGACAACGCGTAAACGACAATGTGTACATGCCATTTGACGTACAGTACGGCATGGCGTGACGCCAAAAAAAATGCCATAGGACTATACGTACACGTCGTAGGACAATGAGTAAATGTCATAAGACAATGCGTAAACGACAGTGTGTAAACGACACCGCGTGAACGTTAGGTTGTAAACACCATAGGACAATGCGTACACGCCATAGGACAATGCGTACACGCCATATAACAATGCGTAGGGCAACAATGCGTATGGCGAGAAGGCGTAGGGCGACGATGCGTTGGGCAACGATGCGTAGAGCGACGATCCGTAGGGCCAACAATGCGTAAGAACAATGCGTAGATAAACACATGTCGGTGTGCTTGCAACCATAGTCCTTCCTAGCGTCTGGCCACTTGCGCCTGTACCAGATAGCATAGGACATGAATGCGGAGAAGTGGGAGCGGCTAGGCCGTTCATTATGCCTTGAACTACAGGGCCTGAGTAAAAGGTGCCTGAAAATTGCCAAAAGGCCCCGAAAAATGGAGTCGGAGGGCATCGATCCCCCTACCTCCCGCAGATTACTGCGGCGCTGTAGCCTGAGTGCTAAGCGGGCGCTCTACCATTTGAGCTACGACCCCAAACTGCACCAGCCGAGAATCGAACTCGGGTCTGGTCCGTGGCAAGGACCTATGCTACCACTATACCACTGGTGCTTCATGCCAACCACAATAATGTATACAAGTAAGCCTATCCGAAACTTCTTAGAATGTTGCCAAACGGCCCCATTTTCGGCTTATACTGACACTGGTTAATTGGTTATGGTGCCCGCATGGATGCAGGGTGGGTTACGCAAACCTGAAGCTGCTGCTAGACCCGCCTGTCAACAGCTTTCTGCAACACACATAAACAAGTACAATGTAACACAGACGCACCCACCAGCTTAACCCCTGTTGTGCCCCACAGCTATTGGCGTTTCATTTGCACACACTTGACAGGTAACCTTCTGACATGTGCAGTTTACCAGCATATGTGTGCATGGTTCTGAGCATGTCAAGGATTGGAGCCATGGCTTTGTTGCTATGGGTGCCGTTACTTTGCAGTATATATGTTGGCACAGTGTATGTATCTGGCATCTGCGTCATACATACAGCGCCAAGCTCTTGCTAGGGAGTATTGCAGCCCCCAGATAGACTCACGGCTGCACTCTGCTCACATAGTGTCTCCAGTGTCACCATATGTCAGAGGTAGCATTTTGGCACTACAACCCACCCTAAAAATCACACGCCCAGCCAGTTGCAGAGGATCCATTGTTGGGGGACGACCTTGTATGTCTGTAGGAAGGCTTGGGTGTGAAAGCATGGGGCTCATGCAGAACCGATCCATGCACCATTGCACACTATGGTGATAAGAAAGACAAGAAGACATGCACGCACAATGGGTGGTTGTGCAATCTCAGGCGGTCGGCAGCTCTGATGCAATCCCTTCCTGGGCCTGGACGGTGGTTGGTCACAGCCTTTATTACCCGCTCTTCAGTCTGCCATGCAATGTGCAGCTGCCGTCAACCACAACTGCCTGACCGTACGTGGCCAGCTAAGCAGAGTGAGCTAGACAGCTTCTATGATGGCTGGTTTGGAGCTGGCCTCAGGGCATATCTGGCCACCAGCAGCATGATTCACAAACTGCATGAAATGTATTTATGGTCAGCAAGACATTGCTTCACGCCTTGACATCTTGGCTGGTGAACTAAGCGGGAACACTAGAACAATGGCCCAGCTATGCTAGTCACCTAGCATACTTCTCACCGATGTTGTCTGTGAGGTAAGCGGCTGCGGCTTCAACACACATGTGTTAAAAGCTTGAAGACATCGCTGACCGAGATCAAGACAGGCCATCTTTGCAGCCATTCACTTCACCGCGCCTGCTTGCCTCGCTGCACTACTGTTATACATCTGGCTTTCACGCTTCAAACTACGTGCACTAAACATGCTGTATGCAATGGCCAACGCTGTGGCAAGGCCTGGTTGAGGGCCACTGGTTGCGGCTGGCCATAGGCACGGTAAGAGATAAAAGCCTGTTGGATTCGTCCAAAAGCCCATACCAGATACGGGGTTTTATCAGGGATTTTCATAAGTAAGGCGCTTGCCTAACCATGCCCTAGCACCATCGGCTTTACTTGTACGGCATTCCACCAGCCAGTCCAAAGCACAAAGGTTGGCAGAGGGCACAGAAATGGCAACCCATTACTACTCCTTGGCACTACACCTATATACTCAAGGGTGAAAGTTGGACTCCATCTGCTGCTGCTGCGCTTTCAGACACACCTTCGTCTCCAAGCTTCCCCCAAAGGTGGGAATGTTTCATGAATTGCGCATTACAATAAGGATGCCCTGGTGCCCTATCCGAAACTTCTTAGAATGTTGCCAAACGGCCCCATTTTCGGCTTATACTGACACTGGTTAATTGGTTATGGTGCCCGCATGGATGCAGGGTGGGTTACGCAAACCTGAAGCTGCTGCTAGACCCGCCTGTCAACAGCTTTCTGCAACACACATAAACAAGTACAATGTAACACAGACGCACCCACCAGCTTAACCCGGGGTGGGTTAACCCGTACGCCGCAACCCCGCACTACCCACATTCCCAAACACCCCATGCCCTGCACCCCTACTGGCTCAAAGATATAACCCCCCGTGAACATACTTATAAACATTTCAGTCTAGACTGAAGGTGACTGAGTGCACTGGGTCTCACACGCCAGCCCCGAGACCACCAAGTCTCCCAGCTCACCGAGAATCCCATACCAGCCATACTAATCCGCAACACAGCACGGCCGTGTGAGAGAAGAAGCCCACCAAAAGGTGGGCGTCATATCTACCCACACAAACTAATTTGTACGGGTATGCCGCAAGGTCAGGTATGCCGCAACAAAGACGTTTTGCTTGCACGGAGTAAGCCCGCAGGCGGACAAGCATCACCATGCAGCTCTGGACAACTGCTTACTGTAGTTGCACATCCCCCTAACATGCATCAAACGGAGACGAGGAAAGCAAGAAGAAACATAGACGCAGCTGTTCATAGGGCAAGCAACCGAGAGGTGCAGATAGGTTGCGGGGCTAAGACCTCCCCTTCAGAGATGGCATTTTCAGTGCGGATTAGATCTTCCTTTTCGTATGGTGTTGTGGAAGCGAAAGGGTGCAACAATGGCTCGAGCAAAAGCACCATGCATCTAGCGAATGCACACACAGCCACGCTCGAGGACGAAGGTGAGGAGCAAAAGGGAACACCACTCCTTTACCTCGTCTGCACGATGTACGAATACCAGCTCAAGGCTTATTTTATTACCGTACATCTTTCCCTGCCTGTGGCAATCCTCCGCACAATTTGAGCCCAAGATCAGCCAAGACCTGAGCAAATTAGCAGAGCATCAGTAGCATCGTAAGCAGCATACTCCACTAATATCTTGTCACTCCAAAGCAACCCCCACCACGCAAGGCCCTTCGTTACGTTCTCACCCCTCACCCCTCACCATCGCTCCGGGCGGCACCCACACACGACACGCCTGCACTTTGTCAAACTAAACAACCCATTGTAAGCGAGTACGATCGACCTAGACAACTACTACTACTCGCTCCACATGTGTAGAAACACACTACCCCACAGCCCCCCTGGGGGCCCCCCCCGCAAGCAGCAGCGTCGCCTTCTCAAAAGCTCCTTCCGTTGCGCCTGGGCGGAGTTTTGAACTTCGAAGCCAGTCGAAGGCCATGTAAAGCAGCTGAATCGGCCTTTTTTCTTGCAAAACCTGTTCAGCACCTTAAGCCTCAAAACGCATCCACACACAGCGCAGGGACGGCCGTGTCTGTCTGCAACGTTTTGTGAAACACAGAGGTGCGGTTGCAAACCGTACAGACAGTACCCGGACGCACTCTCCTGCCGACAATATAAAACGGGGGTTGTTGTTACCAGAGGTAGTTGTTACCGGTAACCAAAAAGCAACTAGCCCCCCAGGGGGGCCAAAAGCCCTTGGGGTAGAGCAGGTGCTATCACTTATTAAACCAGATCCCTGGGGTGGAGATACGGTTGCTCTTTTGACCCGTGAACATGGAAGGCTGGCGTAAGCCTTTAGGATTGGGGATTGCGTCAGCGTGGCCCAGTGGGTCCTTGTGATCACGGTTGCTGGTGGGTGCAGGCAGCCTAGCTGGCTGTTGGTCAGCGTCACCACCCTTCCCGCTTACTTCGTTGTGGCCGTCGTGGTCGGCAGCCTCCTGGTGGGGGCGTGCGGTCCAGTGGAGCCCGCGGCGGCCAAGACAGCTATTCCTACATCGATGCTCGTCGTTGGGCTAGCTGAGCTGGAATGGGGTTGGGGCAAATTGGGGTGGGGTGTAGGGACCCCAGGTGTTTCCATAATTTCACGCAGGCCCAGATTGGACTTGTTAAATTCGCGCCCCCCTCTGAGGAATGATTATTTAATTTTGCGCGAAAACGCACATTTTCCCACATAGTAATTTATTTTTTAGCGATTATATTGCACAACTACGGTACGTTAGGAGAAGGGTGTCGCTGACCTCGCTGTCGTGCCTCATCGTTGGCTCGTGCAGTTTGTGGTCACGGGTGGTAACACTCGCGGGCATGTCCCGTGGTTCGGTAGAATGGCGGCAGTGCAGAATGCTTGGAGTGATTAAGTGGTGGCTGTACCGGTTGGTGCTGTTGCAGTTCCTGTACTTTGGGCGCAGCGGGCTGTGGAGAGATCGCTACAGCCTATCCAGCGTCTCTGTCGTACAAATGCCTGTCCTGTTCTGCGGCGCAGCGCCCGGGCGGGCTAGGGCGCTGCGTGTTGCCACACACATGTATAGCCTGCAAGACCGTGAAGGATATCACGCGTTCCTGTTCTGCGGCGCAGACCAGCAGCTTACATGCGCGCTTTCGTGTAGCCACAGACAGCGATCTTCCAAGCGTTGGGTAGCCCAATATAGCAGTTATTACAGTCAATAGGTTATTAGCTCCCCGTGGGCCTGGTCAGTCCGCGGCTCAGCCGCCTTGCAGCCCGCCCCGTTGGGCTCCGGACGTGAGGCCGCTGGGCAGCGCTCGACGTCTACACCAAGACTAGGAGTGCACCTTCCGGTTACGGGAGGGATAGAGGCATTCACTGCAAGGTCGTTCCTAGCTACAATACATACCGATAGTCCTTAAGGTTTAGCACTACCCCACCAGGCCAGCTATCTCCAGCCCATTGGTCACTCCGCGTCTCCCAAACCACGTGGACTCGGTACTAGTAAGAGTGAATGACCGTTACAAGGGTTCCTTAGAAGGGAACTCGGGTGATGAACCCAACCCTACACTGCAAGAGAAACGGAACACGCCGTAAAGGCAACACCACAGCGGGCCAGCAGGAAACAGGCAACATAAAAGGGACCACAAGAAAGGTAAAAACGAGGGTATCCAAGAAACGGCCGTAACCCTCCCTAAAGGGCCGCAAGCCCTCCCTTGTTCTGTAGCACCCTACCACCACCTCTCCTTATTGTCTTACCCTCACGTGTGGCCTCTAGCCGGCCATTTCAATTACACCTCGTTCTCCTGCATTTTCCCCTCCTCACCTCCTCACGTTACACCCTTTCCCCTCACTTTCCGAACGAAGTGATGGTATGGGTGATGATCTCGGTGCACTCCCGCAGCTGCGCCTCACTCATCACAAGAGGCGGAGCGAAGCGAATGATGTTGCGCTGGGTGGGCTTAGCCAGCAGTCCGTTGTCGCGCAACCGCATGCAGATGTCGTACGCGGAAACGCCATGGGATTCGTCAATCACAAGTGCGTCCAGCAGGCCCTTACCGCGCACCTGCAGGAGACGTTGAGGATGTTGAAGAAAGGTAAGGTGTGAGGAGGTAGGGGTTAGGGGATGAGGTCTTGTGAGGCGCCACGGATCCTTGCCACGGTTTTGCAGAAGCAGGGGCAGAGTGAAGATAGGTTGAAATGGAAGTGGCAGTTCATGCTGGCTGGCTACAAGTGGTGGAGAGTGGCAATGGGCTCTTGGACTCTACCAACTTCCAATAACATGTGGATGCATTGGCGTCTTCCTCGCCGCATCGTTCCCTCCCCCCCCCCCCACGGTCTCCTCCCCCCCCTCGTACGTTTCGGCCTTCCCTTGTCTTGTGGCCCTCTGCCGACTCCTGTCCCCAATGCTACGCCCTACATTTTGGTTTCCTATGGTATGGTCTACCTTTGCTCCCACACACTCACCGATTTTACTAGCTGCGAGGGGATTGCGGCCAGCTGCTCCCTCAGGATGGCGCCCAGCCGGTCGCTGTTAGCAGCCAGGTTCTCATCCTGAAGCACCTGGGATAGGGAGGAGGAATGCGGCAGGCGGAGAGGCCGGACGGAGATGATCATGGAATGTAATCCTCCCCGTGCTTCGAATGCTGTGTGTGTGTGTTAGCAATGGAGGTCGGAGGGCCGCAAAAACTGGCGGCCCGGTGCCTTCTTGGGGCGCTAGTGGGCAGCACACGAGACCGCCAGGGAAGGGAGGGACACCGAGTTGTGAGGAAAACATGGCTTTAATGAACGCTTACACCAAGCGCCGCCTCAAAGCCTTCCAAGCCGCCGCAGGGCTCACAACGCCCAACCCTCCGCCTTTCCATCCCCTAGGAACCCTCCCCCTTCCCGCTCTTGGCTAAGCCGAACCTCTCCACATTCCCCTCCACACCTGCAATTCCGATATGCCGGCAATGAGCGCCATCCCCAATTCCATATACCAACCTCTTCGAAACCCTTCAACCTGCTCGGTGTATGTCGGTGTACATATTGCCTTACCCTATTGCGGTTTCACTTGATTTTGGCACTTTAAAAAAATTTCATTTGCTTTGGCGTTTCTCCCTCTATTCCCCCCTGTGCACCTGCAGTGCCGCACCCTGCCTCCCCTCCTTTCCATGTTCCCCCCATGTACCTGCAGTGCCGCCATGGCCACCCGTGCAGCCAGCGGGTTCCCGCCGTACGTGCTGCCGTGCTGCCCGCGTTGGATGGTGAGCATCACCTCGTCCCGCGCCAGGGTAGCCGCTACCGGGTAGGTGCCCCCGCTGAGCGCCTTGCCTAGCACCAGAATGTCAGGATGCACGCCCTCCCAGTCGCAGCACAGCATGCGACCCGTACGGCACAGCCCGGTTTGGACCTGCGGGAATGGATGAGGTAGAGGTGGAACGAGGGAGGGGAGTAAGAGGGTTGAGAGCGTTGGGCAGTGGCGACGCGGATGCAGGCGGAGGCGAGATGGGGACCCGTGCTGGCATTATCATGCAGTGGGATGCGCGGTGTCTGCTTTAGGTGGGGCTGCTTTAGGTAGAGCGTTAACAAGGGAAGGCAAAGCGGAGCGGAGTGGAGTGGAGTGTGGTTCCGTAAGCAGTTTACTGTTGATGGCGGTATTGCTGGTTCACTGCCCCTATTCACGCCCTGTCCTCACCTGAAGCACACCCCCACATCCACACCACCCCCTCACCTCATCCGCAATGAGCAGCGCGTTGTGCTTCTTCAGCAGCTTGTGAGCGCCAGACAGGTAGCCGGCATCGGGGACCACAACACCAGCCTCACCCTGAACAGAGAGGAGCAGAGGAGGAAGGATGGGAGAGGAACTTGTTCGCTTAGTCGAAACAATGCCAACGGTAAAGTCCGCACAAAGAGCTTCGCTTTTCTTTTCACCCTTTGGGTGAACAGCCAATTACTATTTTATTACTTTTTACCCAAAGGGTGAAAAGCCAAAGGCAAAGTCCACTCAAAGAGTAGAGAGGGGGAGGAACCCTGCCCCGTCCGCCTCCCAGGCAGCAGGCGCACCCTTCCTCCCCCCACCCGAAGGAGTCCATCATCCCTCTTCAGCCATGCTTACATCCTTTGTTTGTTTCCTTCCCTTCCACTTCCTCCCTCGCTCCTCCCTCCCGGCCCCTCCCTCCCTCCCAACCTGGATGGGCTCCACCATGAATGCCACGATGTTGGGGTCCGACTCCAGCTTGGCCTGGGAGGGAATGGTGGGAGCGAGGCAGGGGGGCAATGAGTAAGAAGGGAGGCACTGGAGGGCGGCAGGGGGATTAATTTGGAAACAGAATCCGCATTACACGGCAGGGGGATGGGAAGGGAGCGTCCTGTGTGCAACAGGAACGAAAGCAATGGAAGTTACAAAGGAAGGGAGCGTGCAGGGAAGCAACCGTGGCTGTAGCAAAAGGGGCGGAGAAAGTTACTCGAGCAATCGTTGCACCTGCTACCCCATGATGTACGGTATGTTACATACACTGACAAGAGCCAGTTTTCTTAACACACATGTCACATGATACCCGTACCTTCCCGTACATTACCTCCCCAACCGTACCTGCAACGCGCCCAGGTCGTTGTACGGAATGATCTCGAAGCCCGGCATGTACGGGCCTTACGTTGGGAGCAAGGGGTTGAGGAGGGTCAGAGAATGGACCATGAGGGAGGAGAAAGGAGGGACGGAATTAAAGCGTGTGTAGAAGTCGATGGCAAAGGAGGCAACGGCAGATGGGGCAGGCAGGCCATTGCACACATGCTAAGCGGATATGAGGTAGAGGCCCAACTGGGAACGTCATTCTATTAGCTGCACACCCGCCCGTGCTGTTCTCCTGCCCGCCCTGCTACCCCCATCCCCACCGTCCTTGTCAAGTCCCAGCCGCGCCCGCGCCAACTGCCTCTGCTTCACCCTCACGCTCAGGTCTTCCTTCCTTTCCCCTCTTCGCCTCACCACCCCCTCCCATCTCCCTCCTTTCTTAATTCCGCCCCCCCCCTTTCATTTCTCACTTACTCCCCGCACCCCTCTCTTACTCCCCACCCCCCTCTCTTACCGAAACCCCCGTAGCTGGAGGGGTCGGTGGAGGAGGAGATGGCACTCATGGTGCGGCCCCAGAAGTTGCCGCGCGCGAACAGCACCTTGGCGCAGTTAGCGGGCACTCCCTTCACGTCGTAGCCCCAACGCCTACATGATAGAAACGGGTGTGTCGTCGTCGGGGGATGTTAACGACCAAAGGGAGTTATAATACCTGTTCTCCCGCACCTTGCTCTTCGCGCACCGTGCCCTCTCCATATCCCGCACTCGCTCGCCCACTCCCCAACATGATATACAACCCGTTTCAAATGGCCCTATCCACAACACCCTAACTTCCCCAACCCTTTGTCATCCAGTTCGTCAGTTTTCCTTACTTTTACCCCCCCCCCCCCCAACTTACGGTTTGTACTTTGTGTGCTGCTACTAACCCAACAAGTTTGGCTATGCGCAATCCTAAAATCCAGCCTGATGCGGAATTTTCATCCCTATTAGTCCCCCCCTTTATCGCTCACCAGTGTCCTCCTCTGTTCCTACCTGGCCAGCTTGATCGCCGTCTCCCCGCCCTCCACACCGGTGTTCATGGGCAGCACCTTGTCGTACCCGAACAGCCGCGTGATGTACTCCTCATACTCTCCCAGCACATCTGCATGAGCGATGGGAGGGGCAGTCTGTAACTTGCCAAAATAGGCAACTTGCAGGAAGGGGATGAAGGGGGCGTGCCCCCTCAAAACCGACGAGAGGGACAGGAAGGGGGACGCGCGGTGTTCCTCTTCTACCAACAACCCCACATCAGCAACCCCATCCCCTGACGACACCCGCGCCCTGAGTCAACTTAGCTCCTCCCGCCTTACCGTTGAAGAAGGCGCGGGAGGTGAGGGTGAGCTTGCCAGCCTGATCAGTGAGCGCAGCCACGATCTGGAGAGGGCAGGAGGACATCGGGGGAAGAGGACAGAGGAGAGAGTAAGGGCGAAGGGAAGCGACATTCATGAGTCGACGGCGGGTACTGGCAGCAGTCAGCAGCTGGCATGGTTTAGCCAAAGGCGATGGAACGGAAGGGCAACAAGGAAGTTGCTGTCCGAGTGCTGCGCCCTAATAGCTCTTAGTTGGGATGCGGGGTTGGCTGTGCCGGCTGTCCCCGGCGGCGCATACTGCTTTAATGGAGAAAAGGGAACACAGATTGCTACAGTCCTACGATCCAGGGCATAGCTAGGATTCCACCAAAGGATGGGAATGTCGGCAGTTGGATGTTATCCGCGTACTTTTGGGTGGCAGTGCCCCTGGTTGACCGCCGAGTATGCGGACAGGAAGTCGTAGTAGCGCTTGCCGTCGACATCCCACAGGAAGACGCCCTCGCCGCGCTCAAGCACGACAGGAATCGGAGCATAGTTGTGCGCGCCGAACTTGTCCTCACGCTCGATGAACTGCACAAAGTCGGTGACCAAAAAGTTAAACTCGCGGTCACGGCAACGCGGCACGAGACCAAGAGCGCAGGCCATAGATTGCAATATGCCGTTTAATATAGGAGCCAACCTCCAACTTCCCAACCAAGAATTAAGATCTGACCTCTTTTTGCCGAGCTGATAGGAACGACTCCTCTCCCATAGGAGCGGCGCTGGCGAAGCGCCGCGAGGCAGCTTGAAGCGACAATGCCACTGCTCCCTGGCATAGTGCCTTACCACCAGCAACTAGAGTGCTAGCACACTGCGACAACATTGTATTAAGATCTACACAGCAGCGCTTGATGGATTATGTTGCTCGCGGACACGCGCACTCCGAGCGACTAACTACTACTGGACGGACAAACCCTTTATTTACAGCAGAGACAATTACTTCTAAAGATCTGGCTGTTAAGCTCAGTGCAGAACGTCACAAGGTGCTAACTCCCCCATATGCCCTCGTGGATCCCATGTGGCGGCTGTACGGTCCTGTACCGGTACTTTTTATAACTCACAAAGCCGGTCCTGCAATAGCTGCGAACTTTATCCGACCCAAGTATCATTTATAGTATGGCGCCTACGTCTTTGATACGGCGTAACAAACGGACCTCCAGCTAGGGTTGCGGACTTGCAACAGCAATGAGAGAGCTTCGCCATGCACAACTACGCTGCCATTGGCGTGGAAATATTTTCCAGTGAAGGGGCACAATTGGGCTGGAGAGCCCACAATTAGTAGGCTAAGCTGATCTTTACATGGAGTGGCCGTTCCCTTACGCGGAAGCGACAACATGGGACACACCCGGCAGTCGTAGCAGCACGAAGTCAGCCATTAGCAGCAGAAGCAACAATACCGCACCCGCACACCCCACACAGCGCCATCCCCTGCTACCAACCCCTGTCACTCGTGCACTACATCCCAAGCCGCCCCAACCCCCATCGTCAGGGCCACGCCTACAAGCCGCTGCCAGTTTCATCTTTAACAGGATCCGGATATTTTACCCTCCCCTCACAACCTACGTATGCTTGCCCATACCATTAGAGACGGGCACGCTCGTACCCAGCCATTCCGAAGAGGCCCAGCCAACGCTCACTTTCCGCTGATCCTCCGAAACCCATGTACCACACGGCGATGCACGGCTTGCTCCGGGAACCCCGAGGCATGTGTGGGCTGAAGACCGCTGGACACAAGAAGGCAGAAAGGTCGTGTGGGACAGAGGACATGTATCGCGGCAGGAAGAGACACCTGAGAACTATCCCAGGCCGCACACAGTAAGCAGGAATGGACTGTCTTTTGAGCGTCAGCGGAAGCGCTTGGGAGGTGAATCGAGCACCTGTCCTAACTCAATCGAAACGACAACACGCTAAGCAGCACGGCACTTGGTTTGGGCACAAGGAACAAAGGGAGCTTTAAGACGTAACGGGCCCTCAACGGCTACGTACATGGAATAGCTTTCGGTAGTACCGGTAGGGCACGCCTAGGCAACCAGGCCGCTCCGCTAAGCTCGCATACAAGTTGCTACCCAGCGGGCTTCCCCGAACCACGCCACGAATCGACACCAGAACATACTCCACATTGCCGCCGAGGCAAAGGACCCAACACTCGCCCTTACAGGACGGGCGTCTACAGCACTTTCTACTGTAATCCATGGACAAGGGGAACCAAACGGCGACGATGAAAGAGTTCTTAGCCCTGCCTCGCACCGCCAACGGGCGTCCCGTGGCGTTTTGGTGGGGACGTCATCTTTTCCGACAATCCAGCCCTTTCCCACTCGCGGCCACTTTCCTTAACACCGCCAACAGAGCGCCCGCTCCCAGAACCATGGAAAGGCAGAAGACCCCATCCCTTCCGCCTCCTTCCCTTCACGTAGTACACCGTTCCCTCTTTTCCTAAGTCGCCGAGACGATGCCCAGGGCCGCCAGCTCGTCCGTCACCCGGCCCACAGTCGGTGCCGGAGCCGCACCAGCGGCGGCAGCGGGCGCCTCCGCGCCTCCGCTGGCGGCAGTGCTAGCGCCGCCATCGGCTGCGTCCGCAGCTTCGCCAGCGGCATCCGCCGGCTTGGGGCCGCTGCCGCGGCGGCGGCCGCCGTCGCGCGGTCCGCGACCGCCCTCACCAGCGGCGCCGTCCGTACCCGCGCCGTCGGCACCAGCAGCGGGGCGGCGCCTGCGGCGGCCCTGCGACCGACCGCCCCTGCGGCTAGACACCTGCGCATTCCAGAAAGCACGGGAAGCCGCCACAACAGTGGAACACCGGTACCGGCTGCGTGGTGTACCCACCGAGCTATGGCCATCCACCATTACGCAAGCCTCATTCCCGTTCTGGCACTCAATCCAGCCCTCCTTAGCAACATCTTGCCGCTTCCCACTCGCCACATTGGGCTACCTCGATTGCAGGTTCCCAGCCCTAAACGAAACGCCCACGCCTCCTCTCCAGCCCCCCACTCAACCCAAGCGCTGAGCATTCCACTTCCTCTTCACCATCGCTCTTGTACCCCACCTACCCACCCACCTGTTCTCTCTTACGTCCTCACTTCCTTCACCAAACCCCCCAAGTATGTTCTTTCCAACCATCACGCACCTGTGCCAGCTCAAGCAGCGCATCGGCCGGCACGCTGTCGCCGCCCTTGGCCTGCTGCTGCTGCCCGTCCTCCACCTCAGCCTTGACGGCCCCCTCCGCCTCGGCCTCGGCCTCCTGCTTGGGCTCCGCAGCTGCCCCCTCCACCGCCGCTGGCGCCTCCGCCGGCAGGTCGCCCGGGTGCGCCTCCACCACGTGGGCCCGAGCGCGGTTCTTGCTCCTGAAAGCGTGGGGAAAAAAAGGACGAGAAGGGTGGCGGGGGTGTTCAGGGAAGAGCGGTGTTGGGTGGGAAGTAAAGGACACGAGGAGCGCAGCAGGCAAGGGTGAGTAGCCCCTGTTGTTAACGGCTGCTGGTCGCTCCTCGCGGCTGTCCTCCGAGACGCTATTCCCACCGTTAGTCCATAACAGGAGTCACTCCTAACCCAGCCCCATGATGCAGCAGCAGCAGCCGGAATCCCCTTCGCCGCCACCCCGATTCTGCCTAGCCCAATTCCTCCTTTCTCCAACCTCCACGCTACCACATCACTTACTTGAAGCCCTGCTGGCACAGCTTGCAGCGGAACAGCGTCACCAGTCGCTCGGGCTTGGGGCTGGGAGCCGTCCCAGCGGGGCCAGCGGGGGCGGGGGCATGGTCCAGCGCCGCCGCGGCCGCGGCAGAAGCCGCTGCAGCCGTCTCAGGCTCACCCTCGGGCTGCTGAGCACCCGTCGCTGGAGCCGCAGCGGCACCCGCCGCACCCCTGCCGGTGCCGCGCGCCCGCCGAGGGCGCCGCCCCCGCTGGCGGTCGCCCTCACCAGCGGCGCCGGCGGCGGCTTCTCCGCCGCTGCCTTCGGCAGCGCCGGCGCCAGCGGCGCCCTCGCCGCCGGCACCGCCGCGGCGAGGCCGGCCGCCCCTGCGGTTACTCTGCTGCGACTGCTCCGCAGCGCCGCCCGCGGCCGCGACTGCTGCAACCGAGTCCGGGTGCTTCGCCTGCGTGTGGCGCATCAGGCCCTGCTGCGTTGCGAATGAGCGGTCGCACTCGCCGCATGCAAACTCGCCAGCAGCAGGGGCGCCCTCACCCGGAGCCGCCTCGCCGTCGGCGCCCTCAGCTCCGGCAGCAGCAGGGCGACGACCACGGCGCTGACGCGGCTGGCGAGCACGACGTGGGGCCTCGCCACCCGCAGCATCCGCCGGAGCCGCATCACCGGAGGCGGCGCCCTCAGCGCCCTCAGCAGCAGCTGGTGAGCGCCTTCGGCTGCGACGCTCGCGCTGACGCTGTGGAGTAGGAGCATTCTCGGATTCGGCTGCAGCAGGCGCGTCACCCTGCACCAGCTGGGCCTCCTGACGTTCCTCGTCGCTATCATCCATTACAGAAACGCCGTGAACTTGCTGCATGTGTGTCTTATACTCCGGTCGCGGAAGCCGTGTACCGCATTCCGCGCAGAGGTTTGTGGCCATTGCTGTCAAACGGACGCCAAGCGCTCTTGCAACTGTTGCTTTGGTTAGATCAGGCCTCTTTTTGAAGAGCCCGAGAGTTCACGGAGCCCAATACCTGCAGGAAGGCAATGTCGCGAAAGCAATGTGGTGGGCATTAGGAACGTTCTTGAGGACTTGGTACTTATTCCGGCACTGGCAGCATGCGATCGCCAACTGTCAATGCCAAGGAGAAGGAGAACCATCCCCTTGATCATGACGGAAGACCACCCGGCTCGCATGGGCGCGTTGCAAACTTAAAGAGCGGAGTACTCATCTCACTATGGTAGATCACATGACCTCGAGCACCCTTACATCACATCAACGGCGTCCCACCTTTATGCGAATTGGTTGGTGGACAGGTCGCTCCTGGGCGAAAGAAATGCGAGGCACCCAAGTTGTCGCAAAGCTTGCAAACAGTGGTGGTATATCAACCTTGCAATAGTGCAAGAAAACGATTGAAGGTCTGCGAACTTGGACAGGGTAATTTTGCATGCAACAATACGACAGTTCGTCCGAAGGGTTTCTGCCACGATGGCCTATTAGTTCAGCAAGACACCAGATCGCTAACGCGTGTATCACCTCTATTAGGTATACTCAGAGCCGATGCCCTTCCCGTGAGTTTCCTTTGGCCTTGTTTGCCCAGCGGTGCCAGGCCTTACAACGGGATTTTGCTCGTGTTAGGTGCTACTGTGAACTAGCCTATCTTACTATATAACATACGGCATAGATACTAGCTATTGCTTTGAGCCGCATTGTGACGACCGTTGCCTCCAACCCGGCTTGTTCGTTAGGCCCTATCTACCATGGGTATTCCCGGCTTTAACATATGGTTCTCGGAATCTTATAGCAAGGCATACGTGCCTTTGGGCCAGGTCCGCGTGGACCACCTCTACATCGACCTCAACTCGGTGCTGCACACCGTTATGCGTCATGGTACGCGCACGTAGCCCCATACCTCGCCGCTATTCCCCAATCTCAATCATGCGTCCTTTGCACTCCGTTGCAGCACACTAGCTTGACACTGTCGCTGGGATGACGTTTGCGCCGCCCCTCTCAGCAACTCCCTTCCCCCCTGTCTCCCCCTCCCCTTCCCCCTCAACTCCTCCATCCTCAATCACACTCAGCTTCTTCCCACACTCACTTCCATAAGCTGCTCCACAAGCGCCTTAATGCCATCTTAGAAGCCACCAACCCCAGCAAGTCAGTAATGATTGCGGTGGACGGGCCCGCGCCGCTGGCCAAACTCATCACACAGCGGGAGAGGCGCAAGGTGCGGAGAACGCTGCTTTGCGGGAGGAAGGGGCTTTGGGTAGAGTACTGGAGGGACCGACATGCGTGCCAATAGGCCGGCATGCAGGCAGATCAGGATTGGGGCGTTTTGAGACCAGGATCGGTGTTTGGGGAGCTTCGGCTCGCCACTCAAACTCCACCTGTCTCACTCCATCCTGCTCCGTCTTTACGCAAAGCCCAACCTTGATCCTACAAGACGGCCCGCCCCTCCCCACCTTCTGAATCCCCCACACCTCCGTAGAAGACGGGTCGCTCTGTGTCCGAGGGCGAGACACTAACAGGCGCCGCCATCACCCCCGGCACCACCTTCATGCTCGACCTGACGCACTCGCTCACCTACTTCTGCTGCGTCAAGGCAAGCAGCTGGCAGGGACGGGGGGAGGGAGAGGGAAGGGGCATGATAGGAGGATGCCATGGCATGGTGAAGGGTGGTAGAGGGGGGCGAAGGGAAGGAGGTGGCTGTAGGCTAAAGACACTCCCCGCCGCTCTGACCCCACCTTCACTCCTCTTACCGCTCTCATCTTAACTTTGCTCCCAATCCCTCTTCACAATCCCTTTTCCCAACCCCTCTTCTCAACCCCAGATGTCCAGCCGTCGCTTCCGCCACCTGGTATTCGAGCTGTCGGATGGCACCGTCAAGGTGAGACGGGGGACTGGGGGCTGGGCATGGGGGAAAGGAGAAAAGGACGTGTACCTGCTAGGAGGGCGGGAAAAGAAGGTGCGCTGGAAGACGTACGCTTTCCGGAACGCATCAACCCATCGGGTCACGCCGCCACCCTGCTTGCAAGCCCAATCCCTGTTCCTCCGTTTGCTGTTTCCGTTCACTCGCTCCCTAGGGCGAGGGCGAGGTGAAGGTGCTGGGGCGGCTGGCGCGGCACTGGTACCCCGAGGACCCGGAGGATACCCACGGTACGGCATAGCAGGGTTTGGACGGTACGGCATAGTAGGGTTTGGACGGTACGAGTGGCAGGGTTTGGACGGAACGGCATGGCAGGGTTTGGACGGAACGGCATGGCAGGGTTTGGACGGAACGACAGGACTACCGGTGCACGCTGCTACAAAGCACGTAGCGCATACACACAAACGCAATCACAGTACGACTAATCTGACTCGCGGCCAGTTTTCTCAACACAAAAATGCGATGTTCCACCCTGTGGAATTGTCAGTGCCGCAGCTCAGTTTGCTCTGTAACACGCAAACGCACATGTCCCTCCCTTCACCTCCTGCCCCGCCGTGCTCCCCTGCTCCCGCCATGGCAGTGATCCTGGGTGACGATGCGGACCTGGTGCTCATGGCTCTCACCAGCTACAAGGTGCGTCAAATGCCGCCCGAGTCGCGAGCGCGGTAACAAGGTGTTTCCTATCCTTTCTTAGCCGCGAGTACGTTAACAGAACTGGCATATTGTGGTAAATGAAACTGGCCGTACCATTTCACGATGTACCATTCTCACGATGTTTTGTGTAATTTCGCCTGCTTCTGAACCCTCGCCATAAACCATATTTCCATCCTGATCCCGATCCTGGGGGCACTATCACCCTCACTAGACCCCGTTACCTCCTTCCCCTGCTGCCCCACTCACCTCCCTACCTACCTTCACCCATACCGCTCTTTCCCCTTCTTCTTCTTCCTTCAGGAGAACCTGTATGTTGCCAACAGCGGCCTCAACGACGGGCGACTGGACCGCCGTACACCCGTGTTCTCTGTCAACCTGCTGCACCAGCAGTGGGCGGCGGGAATGCTGGCGGAGGTGGTGCGGGGAGGCCAGGTGCGGGGGCACGGGTGCGTGTGCGTGCGTGTGTTTGTGTGTTTCGGGCAAGGGTTGGGGCGTGTGAGAGACAACGAGGAGGAAGGAAGCTGACAGCAAAGGCTAGAACGCCGCAAGAACTGTAAACGTAGGATAGGCGGCCAGGTAGGGTAGACCTCTTTCCTCTACTGTCCCTTCCCTTCAGCACCCTCCCCTGCCATCCGTACTTGGAACATGTAGCGAGCCCGCTTTCTTGCCTGCGCGCTGTCCCCGCCTGCAGGTCCCGCTCCCCTCCGCGCTGCTGCATGCCAAGCTGGACCTCACCCTCATCGCCATCCTGAGCAAGGGGAACGACTACCTGCCAGGGGCCAAGGGGGTGGCGCTGGATGGTGAGCAGGGGGGGGCGGCGGAAGTGGCTAGGGAAGGGAGCGAACAGCAGCGACTAGAGCCTTCCCCTCTTACTCGCCGCCTTGGCCCCTTTCCCTCCCACATAGGCTCTGGTCGCTCCGGCCTGTGGCGCACCTACCAGCGCGCCGTCTCCTCCCCCACCTCCGCCTGTCCCCTGGGTCCCCGCGCCTCGCTCACCCTGATCGACCCCGCCACGGGAACACCCATGCTCGATGCGGCGGCGCTAGCTGCCCTACTGAAGCTAGCTGGAGTGGGAGGAGGAGGAGGAGGAGGAGGGGGGGCAGGAGGAGGAGGGAGAGATGCGGAGGATGTGGCGGCGGGGGGTGGCCTGGCGCCCAAGCCGCCTGCTGACCCACGGGTCTATCTGTATGGCTGCGTGTGGCTGCTGACGATGTACCTGACAGGGCAGTGCCCCGATTACCGGTGAGGATTGGATCCCTGCCTCTGTACGACGGCCTCGGCCCCGCCTTGCCTCCCCGCTGCAGACCACCTGTCCGCCTCACTCCTCTCCAACCCTCCTATATCCCGCCTGCCCCCCGCCCTTTCCACCCTCTTCAACCTCGTTCCTCACTAGCTTCTACTACGACGGCTTGGCCCCCACCGCCTCCTCCCTTCGAGCCGCATGCGAGGCAGCCGTCGCAGCCGGCAACCCGCACCTCAGCCTTGCCTCATTCGGACCCACCGACCCACGGGCCACCATGCCGCTCCTGCCTGTCGCCTGTGCGCTCGCGCTGCTACCGGCTAACTGCCGGCACCTGGCGGCGCCGTGTGTACGACACCTCATGGACGGAGGTAATGGCAGCAGTGGTAGCTCCCAAGATGATGTTGCCGGCACTAGCAGTGATGAAGGTAGCGGTAATGGTAACGGTCGATCGATTGCGGTGGTTGCGGTCGCGACTGCTGCGGCAACGGCCACCGTTACGCACCAGCACCAGCCTCAGCAACCCCACCAGCACCAGGCATTGGACGGGGATGTGTACGAACTCTTGTACGGCGAGTGTACGGAGTGCTTGCATCACTCGTCGGAGGCGGCACGGTTGCAGCGGTTGGTGGCATCCACCAAGCAGGTAGGTGGCGAGATAGCGAGCTGCGTGGCGAATTTGACCCCACGGAAGTTCTGTGGACAGATGTTGCAGGCCAGCTTAGTACCGAGCTCTGCTCCTTTTGCGCACCGGTTCGTCCTCCTGGCTCGTACGGCAATGCATCAATAAGGTAGATCACCGTACAACTTCTGACTTGCCTGTTTGTTACATAATCGCAGGCGGTTTCGTTGGCTGCCGGGCGCTTGGATGCCGTACAACGGGGTACGGCACCCGTTGGGGAACCGGACGAGCAGCAGCTCCAGCGCGAGTTGTCGGAGGCGGAGGCCAAATACGAGGTGAGGCGCAGCTCACCCTCTCCTCCTCCTCCTCCTGCAGGAGGCTTGCTTGCTCGCTTGCGGAGCTGTCTGCATGTAGCTTCCCATCTCTCCCCCCCTCTCTGCAGTCCTCTGCCTACCGCCGCCACCCTTCCTTCCCAACCACAAGCACGGCCGCCTTCCCCTTCCTCCCTGCACTTCTCACTTATGTTTTTCCCCTTCCTCTCTTCCTCCCTACCTCCCCCCCGCCAGGCCGCCAAAAGCCAGGCGAGGCTGATGGAGCAGCGGCGGCGGCGCCACATCACCTCCGCACACCCCTACCGCCGCTTTCCGGTGGAGAAGCTGGAGCAGGTGGCGGGTGAGAGCGGGGAAGCGGAAGGAAGGAGTGAGGGAACCATGTGGCACGGCTACGCAAGCGGGAGGAGGGGCGTATAGCAACTGAGCTAGCCGCAACGAAAAGCACCGCACGTAGGCCGTAAGGAGATGGGGTCTAATGGAAGAGGGAGAGAGGTTAGCAATAGGGAGAGTGTTCCCTTCGTTCTTCCTAATACGCCACCCACTACACTCCTCGTCTACTTTCCCCCATCTCCCTTTCAGAGGCCGTGTTGGCTGCGCGTCCCATCAGTCCCGGGGAACGACCCGCAACCGCATTCGGCAGGTAGAGGCGGGTTGGGGGTGGGGTCGAGGTGTGGGGCATTTGGTCGGGCGGGGCTTACGGCTCTGGGTGTGGCGTGCGCGCGGCTCCTTAGGTTTGGGGCTGTGAAGGCCGCAGCGGACGTGTAGCAGGTGTATGAAGGCACGGGGGCCTGCGAGACAGGCTACGGAGTAGGGCAGGGTTGGTTGTGACGCGTGTGTGTTTTGCGAGCCCCCATCGGCCCCTCCCTGGCCCCATCCCGCCCACATTCCTTTCACTGCCCCTCCCCCTCTGTAGGCCGCTGTTGCTCCGTGCCTTCGACAGCAAACCCGAGGCCGCCTCCTTCGTCCGCTCCGCCTCCGCACCCAACCTCGCCATCGCCCTGCCTCACCAACACCAGCAGCACAGGAACGCCTCTTCCATGGCGCACCTCCCCTCTCACCCCCAACGACCTCACCAACACCAGCAACGGCAGAGTTACCCGCACCAGCAGCAGCAGTACCAGCAACCTCAGTTGCCGCCAAGGTCCTCCGATTTCGCCCTGCTGTTCGTACCTCCGCCGCCCCCCTTCAAGGTGGACAGGGATAGCTACTTCGCCGCTATGGTACGACAGGAGGTGTTGTACGACGAGTACGACAGCGGGAGGCCGCTACAGCTGCGACTGGCGCCGCCGCAGCAGGGGGAGGCGGTGCAGTACTTGCTGTCGTCGCAGCTGCCGGACGCATATGAGATGCAGAAGATGGCTGCTGCGACGGCGACGACGACGGCGGCGGCAGCTGCTTCGGCAGCAGCAAAGGCACAGGCCGCTGCTGCTGTACGGCATGCCGTACCGGGCGGATCACCGCCGCCGTCGGCATCACCAAAGCCGCGATCGCGGTCCCATTCGCCGCCACCGCCACAGCAGCAGCCTCCGCAAAAGAAAAGCGCACCTGCCGCTGCTGGCAGCGGCGGCGGCGGCGGCGCTGGCAACGTCGCTGGCGAGGGGGATCGCGGAGCGAGCAAGCGTCGTGGCCGCAAGGCCAAGCCAGCAGCAGCAGCCGCGGCGGTCGCTGCGGCTGGCGACGGCAGCGGCCCCAATGCGGCGGCGGCCGCCGCTGTTGCCTTGGCGGCGGTTGCCGTTACGTCGTCAGTCGTCGACGGCGGCGGCGCTGGGGCGGCGGCAGCGGCCGGACCGGCTGGGGCCGGTTCGGAGCCCAAGCGCCAGCGCGGCCGGGCTAAAGGCGGTAAGGCGGCGACGGCCATGGTGGCTGTCGGTGCAACCGCGGCAGCGGCTTCGGACGCTGCTGCTGTAGCGACAACAGCAGCCACCTCTGCGGCCGCTGCGGCCGTTGCCGCTGCACTGCACCAGCCGCCTCCCATGCCGACAACCCTGCTACTCAAGATGGCTGGAGGTAGCGGAAAAGGCGCTTTCCCGGTGCAGCAACACGGACAACCCGCCGCAGCAGCTGCAAACCCTCTGCCGCCGACGGTGGGGGGCATGTCGTACGGCACTGCGCCTGCGCCGTACACTGCGCCATACCGGACCGCTGAAATGCAGTACACTGGGTATGTACAGCAGCAAACGCCGATGCAGTACGGGTACGGCTATGCGGCCCCGCCCATGCCGACGCCACCGTCTGTACTCGCGTACGGCTATCAGCCGTATGTCGCACAAGTCAGGCCAACTGTACTGCCGCAGCCCGCCCCGGTGCCTGTGCTCCGGCCGGCGTCACCACCGGTGCCGGCCGCAACGGCGGGCGCAGTGCCGGGTCGGGGCTGGCCTGCGGGGCCTCGTTGGATGTAGACGTCATGGGGGTTGAAGCATGACCCGTGGGTCATGTTTGACGTTGCCATGCCATGACTGGGACCGTGGGGTACACATGCATGAAATAGTTTAACCGATCGCAGTCGGAACCTTTGGAAAAGTGTAGTTACGTACTGCAAGTGTAGACGATTAAAAGGACTGCTTCACGTCAATTGCCGTGGTGCTTAGACCTCTAGGGCTTTGCCAACGGAGGGGCGAGTTTTATGTTGTGGTCCTTTTCGCGGACCCGTTCATGTGACTAGTAGACACCTGGCCGCGCCATGTATTAGCAGCCGCCTTGTTGGAGCCGCAGATGCCCCCTGCGATGATGTCATTTCCAGCTGGCTTGACGGTCCTTAGTGCCTCACAAGCTGGCGTTATCCATAGGGTACCCAATGAGTGCCCTGTCAATCCGTACGAGTGACAAGCCGCCTAGCTAGTTATGCTGCTTACGTGGCTGCTAGACTGCGCAGCAAGAGGGTCCGCAGAATGTTAACCGGACCTCTGCCGTACTACGAACCCAACCGCTGTCAAGAGTGTGTGGGTAGGGAGAGTAGACGTGTAGGTGCGTAATGAGCACAAGGAGCGAAGCTACCGTTACTTCCGCGATGTTTTGAAGCGCCACCGTTTGACAATGACTGGCATGTAGGTGTGTGTAGGGTCGCCTATGCTAGGAGATTAGGTCACGGAATGCTTTATTAGAGGAGAGCAGGTCGCCGAGGGTTGGGGCGTGAAGGGCGATGGCCATGGGTGCTCAAAGAGCCGACGCCGTGTGGTGTGTGTGAAGTTGCAGGTACGTGCAAGGCGCTACCGAACAGGCATTACTGTGGCTGTCTTCTGCGCGTGTTAAAGCAACTTGGCATGCGCGTGTTAAAGCAACTTGGCATGCGCGTGTTAAAGCAACTTGGCATGCGCGTGTTAAAGCAACTTGGCGAGCCGCCTGAACCGGGTCACGACCCTGGGCTCCTCTCGTCTGCCCAGGCTGAGGAAGTTGTGGATAAGACACCCTCAAGACACCATCTGCGGCACCGCCATAGACGTGGAATGCCGTAACCTTCATGTGTTGACCACGCGCCTCGAGGATGCAACCAGTGGTCGACGCCGATCGCGGCTGCCGCAGTACTCTGAATACCCAAACACACAGAAATGTCACGCCGTCTCCACCGCTTTAACATGGCAAGGTCTAGTAGCTGTCGTTATTGCTGTTCGTGGCTATTTGTCGTTGTCGTATCGCGGTGGTCATCCGTACAACGCCGGCGCCACCAGGGCTCTCCAGCACAGTAATGCACGGGCGCATGACCCATGGGTCCGTCCTCCAGGATTGTGAGTGAATGCGCCTGCACAAGGGGAAATTGCATAAACACGGTCACCTGCATTAGCCGGGGCACCTCCTTGTTCCCAACCCGCCGCGTGCCCTCTCCCCGTACCTGCAATGCCACGGGAGCGAGCTGCTGCTGCAACACAGGTATGCACCAGGCCACTGCTCCCCCTCCGCCTCCTCCTTCCCCTCCTCCTCCCTGCTCCTGCTGAGCCTCCTGCTGGGGCCCCTGATGCTGCTGCTGCCCTCGTGACTGCAGCTCCTGCTTCGCGCCGCCAACGCCTCCTGCCTCTCCTTGCGCTTCCCCCTCTCCTGCTCCTCCTCGTCTACCCAGGCCGGCCTCTTCTCCACCACCACCCCCAGCAGGCCCCCTCCGCACCATCTCCCCCCGTGCAGCCAGTGCGCCGTACAGGTGATCCCCCAGCAGCGGCAGCCCCTCCGCAGCCAGCTGCACCCGCACCTGCAGCAGCAACAGCAACAGCAGCCACACACCATGGCTCATTCTTCCCTTTCCGTCCGCACACAAGTTACCGTCCAAACTTGCCGTTTCCTGACTTTTGCCGACCTCTTTCACTGCGGCTCCTGTGCCCCCTCCCGCCCTACGCTTCACCCACACTTTCCCTGTCTCCCCTCACTGCCCCCCGCCCTCCCTGCCCTCAGGGTAAAGCCTCGTCATACAGTTCGTCCGTTTCCAAGCTTCTGCCCCCCCTGCCCCACCTGGTGCGTCCGCACCCTGCCTGCTCCCCCCTCCCTGCCCCACCTGGTGCGTCCGCCCCCTGCCTGCTCCCCCCCCCCTGCCCCACCTGGTGCGTCCGCCCCCTGCCTGCTCCCCCCTCCCTGCCCCACCTGGTGCGTCCGCCCCCTGCCTGCTCCCCCCTCCCTGCCCCACCTGGTGCGTCCGCCCCCTGCCTGCTCCCCCCTCCCTGCCCCACCTGGTGCGTCCGCCCCCTGCCTGCTCCCCCCCCCCTGCCCCACCTGGTGCGTCCGCCCCCTGCCTGCTCCCCCCTCCCTGCCCCACCTGGTGCGTCCGCCCCCTGCCTGCTCCCCCCTCCCTGCCCCACCTGGTGCGTCCGCCCCCTGCCTGCTCCCCCCCCCCTGCCCCACCTGGTGCGTCCGCCCCCTGCCTGCTCCCCCCTCCCTGCCCCACCTGGTGCGTCCGCCCCCTGCCTGCTCCCCCCTCCCTGCCCCACCTGGTGCGTCCGCCCCCTGCCTGCTCCCCCCCCCCTGCCCCACCTGGTGCGTCCGCCCCCTGCCTGCTCCCCCCTCCCTGCCCCACCTGGTGCGTCCGCCCCCTGCCTGCTCCCCCCTCCCTGCCCCACCTGGTGCGTCCGCCCCCTGCCTGCTCCCCCCTCCCTGCCCCACCTGGTGCGTCCGCCCCCTGCCTGCTCCCCCCTCCCTGCCCCACCTGGTGCGTCCGCCCCCTGCCTGCTCCCCCCTCCCTGCCCCACCTGGTGCGTCCGCCCCCTGCCTGCTCCCCCCTCCCTGCCCCACCTGGTGCGTCCGCCCCCTGCCTGCTCCCCCCTCCCTGCCCCACCTGGTGCGTCCGCCCCCTGCCTGCTCCCCCCTCCCTGCCCCACCTGGTGCGTCCGCCCCCTGCCTGCTCCCCCCTCCCTGCCCCACCTGGTGCGTCCGCCCCCTGCCTGCTCCCCCCCCCCTGCCCCACCTGGTGCGTCCGCCCCCTGCCTGCTCCCCCCTCCCTGCCCCACCTGGTGCGTCCGCCCCCTGCCTGCTCCCCCCTCCCTGCCCCACCTGGTGCGTCCGCCCCCTGCCTGCTCCCCCCCCCCTGCCCCACCTGGTGCGTCCGCCCCCTGCCTGCTCCCCCCTCCCTGCCCCACCTGGTGCGTCCGCCCCCTGCCTGCTCCCCCCTCCCTGCCCCACCTGGTGCGTCCGCCCCCTGCCTGCTCCCCCCCCCCTGCCCCACCTGGTGCGTCCGCCCCCTGCCTGCTCCCCCCTCCCTGCCCCACCTGGTGCGTCCGCCCCCTGCCTGCTCCCCCCTCCCTGCCCCACCTGGTGCGTCCGCCCCCTGCCTGCTCCCCCCTCCCTGCCCCACCTGGTGCGTCCGCCCCCTGCCTGCTCCCCCCTCCCTGCCCCACCTGGTGCGTCCGCCCCGTCACCAGGTCCACCGTCACCTCGTACGCCTCCCGCGCCCCCCACAGCGCCGCCGCCGGGGGGCTCAACCGCACCCGCTCCACCTGTACTTGGCAGGGAGGGAGGAGAGGAGAGGGAAGGGGAGGGAAGACAGCAGAGGGGGGGCGCGGGTTGTGTGTTAAGAAAGCTGGCCGCGAGTAGGAACTTACCGTGCTTGCCGAAAATGAAGTCCCCACAGAAACGCCACAAGTCTGTTGGCTATGCAGGCATACACTTTGGTGTTTCCTGTTGCCGATGTGTATGCCTGCCACCACCTCTCTCCTGCTCCTGGTAGCGTGTGTCCCCTCCTCTACCATTCGCCTCAGTCACACTCACACACCACTCCTCCCTTCACCACCCGTGAAAGCCAAATGATCGGGCCTTGTCACATGAACCCGTACCTTCCTCTTTATGCCCCCTTCCCCCCGTCCCGCCCCCACCCCCACCCCCACCCGCCCCCTCACCTGCTCCAGCCTCAACTCACACCTCAGCGCTCCCGCCTGCTCCGCCCCCACCACCACCGTATGCGCCATCTCCCCCGCCGCCCGCTGGTCCTCCAACACCCAGTGAACCAGCGGGGCGGACTCACCGCGCCACAGCAGCTCACCCGGCTCACAGCTAGCGCCAGCAGGGGTGCTGCTGCTGCTGCTGCTGCCAGAAGTGTCGCTGTTGTTGCGGTCATTGCATGGGTCATTGTTGCCGCTGCTGCTGCTTTCACAGCCTGTGTTATGCGCTCCCTCCTGTTGCGGCTGCGGTTGCTGTTGTGGTGGTGGCTGCGCCTGCAGCTGCTGGTGCTGCTGCGGCTGAAGCGGGTCCTCCTCCTGCTGCGGCCCGGCCAGCAGTGTCGCAGGCGGCGGGCGGGGCACCAGGCAGCGATAGCGCTTGCGAACAGCGTGCTGCACAACACGTCCAACAAAACAGGGGATCGCAACAGGAGATGGGTTGTCGAAGAAAGGAAGACAGGGGCGGCAAGTTTTAGCAAGGGTAGGCCTGGGCCGAACGTGTCTGCTGGGGCTAGGTACCGTACAGCGGCGAGCAGGTATTAGAGCTGGTACGGCGGCTACAGCTGTGTAAACCGAGGGTGTGTATTGCGGGCTGGGGCATTGCATGTTTCACAGAGGCGAGACCTGTAGGTTGGCTTGGGCCCTGTGCATGGCGCCGTGCCTTAGAACTCCACCCCATCCCGGTCCCTTCATATGCCTCCGCTGCCCCCCTCTTGGCCCCGGGCTGCTGGCCCTCCCTTCCCTCCGCCGAATACCCTACCTTTGCCTTCTCGCCCATGATCTGCCTGAAGTGCGCTGCGAAGGCGGGTGTGCGAGCCAGCACCACCACCCCCTCCGTGCCCGCGTCAAGTCGGTGGGCGGGGAGTAGCGAGCCGGGGGGCAGCGACAGGGCCTGGGGGTGGGGGGGGCGAGGAAGCACGGTGACGGGTGGGAGGAGGGGCGGAGACGAAGGGGATGTTTTCCACAACTGCATGCGTTCTTCTATGTCGATGGGTGTGAATAGATGACAAACTGGACAAACCATTATCTTTCTCTCCCCAACTGTTCGGAGGCTTCGGGGCCTCCGTTTCTCTCCAACTATGCAGACCTTACCCCTTCCACGCAAGCCAGCAGCGACTCCCGCACGTTGTCAACCGTAGGCGGAACCTGCGAATGCACGGCGGCACGGCATTCAAAGGGGCTGCTTTAAGCACGGTAAGGTGCGACTGCGGTTGAGGGTGCGCTGGAGGTGGTTTGAGCCGGGGGCAAAAGCTAAGGTATCTGCCATCGTTGCGATCCAACAATGGTTGAACACAACTGTACGACACGTCCCGATGTCGTGTGACATTGGGTCTCCTTGCCCCTCGTTTCCCTCTCCCCCCACCTCCCCATGCGCCTCTTACCTGCACCCCAGGCGGCTTGCTAACCACCACGTGGTCTTCCCGTACAGCCAACAACCGGCCCAACCACCAACTGCTCCTGCCGCTGCGCCCTCCTCCTCCTCCTCCTGCCTCCCATCCTCCTCCTTCTCCAACTCCTCCGCTAGCTGCGTCTTCCCTTGCACCCCCCTTGTCATTACTGTTCATGTGGCTGCTACCCACGTTGCTGCTATCCCTGCTGCTGTTGTCCATGCCGCTGTAGTTGTCGTGGTAGGCTGCTGGGAAGCGCTTGGGGTGCAGGTGGGCCCGCAGATAGCCGCCCGCATGCACCGGCTGGTCGGCAGCCAGGCGGCGAGGGGTCTGGTGGCGGGACTGGGAGGAGGGTGGAGGAAGAAGGGAGGGAAGGAGGAAGAGGGGAGGAAGGGCGTAAGGGAACAACCGGGTGCGTCGCTACGGATACACCAACGTTACCATCCCCGGCATCATATCTGTCCTTCTTCCCCGGTTTTCCGTGTTCCCCTCATACGAAGCTTAGAACAGGTGGGTTTCTCTGTAACCCACACCCTCCAGCACTCACATCGTTGCCCCACCGAGCCAGCGCCGCTGCCCGGGTTGTGTCCTGCTGCTGAGGCTGGGTCTGGGGCTGCCCTGGTATGGACTCCATCCGCTGTTGCTGCTTCTGGGGCTTCACACGAGGCAGTGACGGGGCATCAGCCGCATCATCCGTCCCAACGTGGCTAGGCCCCACCGCCGCCGCAGCGCGTTGTGCCCGCTGCTCCCGACCCCCTTCACGGACCTGCTTTTGCTGTTGCTGCTGCTGCTGCTGCTGGTGTCGCTTTCGTTGCTGTTGTTGCTGCTGTCGGTGTTGCTGCTGCTGCTGCTGTTGTTGTGTCAGCGGCGGCACGGGGCAGTAGTACACGGCACCGAACCAGATTAGCCGCAGCATGAGGTCCTTGGTTGGAAGGAGAGGAAGTGCATGGAAGGAGAGGAAACAGGGAAAGGGAGCGTGAGACGTAGGTCAGGTATGCAGCACCAGCAGCAGCAGCACGCTCCGGTGGCCCCTGTCCGCCTCCGGCTTACCTGCGGCACCCCTACTCCACGCCTGCTTTTCAGCCCATGTCTTCCATTTGTTCGTATCTCCCTCCCTACCCCAAACGTACCTCACCCCAGCCCCAAACACACCTCACCCCAGCCCCCCCCACCTGCGGCAGCCCCAGCAGCTCCGCCAGCACCTCCGAGCCGGGCCCCTCCCGGTGGACGAGCAGGTGTACGACATGGGCTCCTACCTGACAGGTGTGGAGGCGAAGTAGGAGGTGGCGGCGGAGGAGGAGGAGGAAAGGGAGAAGGGAGGGTGCATGACGCAGCGTCATTCCACACCCCAACAACAATCATTCTGCCCACCCATGGCACCGACTCCTCATGCCTGTCCTTTACTTCTTTACTTCCCAATGAGGTCAACTGCCATTGCTGTCCTGAATGCACTCACCTGCCGGTCCAGGGAGGGCGGTATCGACAGCGCGGTGACCAGTGTGGACAGGGGATACGGGTAACGCGTGTTGGTGGCGGTGGTGGGGCCGGTAGGGGTAGAGGAGGGGGTGGAGGCGGCTAGAGGGGTGGGAGCAGACGGCAGCATGTTTGATGCAGCCTTAGAGGCAGCCATGGGGAGTGCTGTGGCTGCCTGAGCATGGTCCCGTGTGGATGTCTCCATTGCGCGCACGGTAGGCAAGGACTGGACCACGATAGCGTGCGATGCGAACCCTGAAGCCTCCAATCGACGGCGACAGAGTACAAGCTGACCCGACTTTAGTAATCGCAATTGAGTACAAGAGCTTATGTGCATCGCGAATGCAAGCTGAAATCTGAAGGCAATGGGAACGTTGGCCGAGGTGTCTCACATGGCATTGTATCGGTATCTGAAGTGTAGTTTTGCAGCCCGAGGTGTAGCCGCGCAAATGAAATTGCTAAGACAGACAGTCATTGCATCACATGCTTTCGGGAAACCTTTTCTGGGATGTACGGATCGACATGTAACTGACCAACACGAATGAATTACTATGCACATAGCGGGCTTTGTTCACAAAGTACTTATTTCTGAGCTGGCAAGCCTTACTTCCGCAACGCTCCAGTCGTCAGCTGTGGACTAGATGTATATGCTTGCGGTCGAGAATTCCTAACTTTACGGACTACGGCGCAGCATATAGTCACATTGCTCTATTAGACGTTTCCGCAAGTATCAGCTTGTATGGGGCAACTGAAAGCGGATGAAAAGCAGCTACCGCTGCAAGCGACAGGCGACAGCCCCAATGGGCCTGCTGGCGGCAGCAGCGCAGTCGATATGCGCTTGAATGGTATGTGGATGTACATGATAGTGTTTTGATACATAGTTACACAAGTGAAAGGGCATTCCAAAGTCTCTAAGCTTTGAATCGTTCCAGTTGCAACTGCCGTGCGACCTGCTTTGACCAGCAGAGGCGCAACTTGGTCCTCGAGACGTATTCGAGGTTTCGACATCAATGTTCTTTACGATGCATATCTGGGAAGGCAGCGGTGTACTGCTGGTTCTCCCACCACTTCAGCTGTCCATGCCAATGCGTCTGTGCCGCTTGTTTGTCCATTCTTCGTTAACCTCACTGCCAGACACCTCTCTTGCATATAGTCCGTGAACATGCCGGTCTTCGTGTTTACAGTTTATACACGTCGTGTCTCTCCCTTCCCAACTCACCTCAGCCTTTTGCTGATATGCGCTCAATACTCCTACAGGCAACGCATTCATCCGCTTCATCTCGGGTCCCTACTTCGACGTCATTCCCATACAGTTCGAGCGTATTACCAAAGCGCGACGGGATGCCATAGCCAAGGGCCAAGCGCCGGCGGACCAGGGCCGTGCCCTCGAGTACCTCAAGAAACTCGAGTAAGCCACAAGCAGGGGCTCCGCTTTCCCCTTTTAATCCACGTCGCCTTTCTTCCACTTCATCTTCTCCTCTTCTTACTTTGTCTCCATGTGTCTTTAGTCCGCTGGCAGACCGGGACTTCCATTTGTCCCATACTTTCCAAGCACCCTACGTGTCCCATTGCCTTACCTTCACTTCACATCCCCACCCCACCCTAACCTCATCTGTCCGTCATCCCCGCCTCCCCTTAGGCACCTTGCCCTCACGCAGGTGGACACCGATGGCAAGTACGGCCTCAACCCAGATGAGCTGGTACCGCTGCCCTTCGATGTGCCCCTGGTGAGTAAATAAGAGCCGGAAGGAGGGTAAAAATAAGGAGGGAGAGAGGATGCAACTATCTTGGTCCTTGTGCAGGGGGCCCAGGGAGCCACGCAACATACCGCTTGCTCCCTTCATATGCACTTGGGCAACGCTCGGCCCCTCCCAGCCTCACCGGCACCCCCTCTGCTCAGTCCTTCTCCCCCGACTCTCTCCAACACCTCATGCCAATGCCGTCCACCGCCCCCTAACCGTTCACCCCCATCCGTCACGCTCTTCCATAACATGGTATCCTTTCATCCTTCCATGGTACCCCTCCCACCCACCCTTACCCCAGTGGCCGGCTTACCTGGTGGACGTGCTGGCGGGGCTGTATCAGGTGGCGCAGGCCACCATCGTCATGTTCATTGCCATCTGTGAGTGCTGATGGGGACATCAGGGTTACTCAGAAGCGTAAGATGGGGACATCAGGGTTGGACACCGAGATACAAGAGGACAGGTTGTTGGGGGCGTTGCATCGACTGCTAGGCTGAGGAGCCAATCAACTTGTAGGCATTGAGGAGCATATGCATTTGGAGAGTACGGAAATGTTAGACTTTTGTAAGACGGTCACATCAGTCGGGTGTACCTGATGTCACACGCTGCCGCTTTGTATGTACGGCAGTAACGGCCAGGGCTGCCTTGCGCCTTAACTTGGTTTCCTTCTTCTCCCCCCCTGGCCCCGTCCCCATGCTGTCCAACAATACCACCACCTGCCAACCCCGCCTGCCTCCTCATTGCTCGGTCCTCACACACCGGCATCGCCAACTGGCTTACGACCTGGACCGTGACCCATGACACCGTCAAACTCTACCACCCCATTGGCTGGTATATAACGCCTGCGGTCGCTGCCTTCTACATACATGGCGGCACTTCTCGCCACTTCTTTCTGCTTCTGTCTTCGAACGCCGCCATCACGTCCGTCCCACTTAAGACGTGAGTTGCCAGAGCGAGCCCGCTGCATATTGTATGGCCCCGCCCACCAGCAGCGCAAGTCTTGTCGTTGCTGCCCGCACACCTTACGCCTAACACGGCATGACTCTCGGCCTCATCCCTATTGCACCTTGCCTTCGGTTGGGCACGTGCCCTCCTGTTATGCTTGTCTAGTCCATTCCCCCAATACTGACAATCAACCAACATTTCATCCCATAGTCTCTAACACCTTCCTCCGACACACCCCGCGACCAATCCCCGCTGCCCCCAACCCCTACCCCCATACCACCCATGTCTTCCACTTCAGGTTGAGAACCAGGATCGCTCCTGGAAGAGCGGCAGCAGCTACACGCACTCCTGGCAGCCGCTTGTGAAGGCGCTCATCATCATCTACCCACTCATCACACTCATCTTCCTGGTCAACTTCACGCTGGAGTACTGCGTGAGGAAGTTTATGTGAGGCAGGAAAGGGCAGCGGCTGCAGGCAGCCGGAACCGTGGATGCTTTCGTGTGCATGGCAATGTCTTTCTACGCAGGCGCGAATTAATTCAAATTTCGCGACCTTGCACTTTAGCCTCCCTTTCGTCCCTTGCTTTCCCTGGTGACCCATGGGTCGCCCCCTCGTTCGCCCCCAGGTACTTCCGTTTGCTGTCCATGCGTATCCTGGTCGACTGGGAGAACAAAGAGGTAATACACAAAGGATGAGGAGGCGGGGTTTGAGCGCACTCTGGGGGGTTTAAGGTCCTGTCAAGTGCATGAGTGGGGACGCAGGCTCCTTACGTGGTTGCCTTGCTAGCAGGTCTCGCTTGGGCAAAGGTCCCTCTTGGCAAAGTCGTACGAGATAGGCCCCTCTCGCTTCTGCCCACCGCATCTCTGTATATCACCTCCCACCACCCGGATCCACAGGTGTGGCAGACGATGTTCTTCTACTACTTCCTTGGCACCTGGGCCATGATGAACGCCTGGGCCATCTGGGGAGTGGCAGAGTACTATGGAAAGTACGGCAACAAGGTACGATATGGTCGCTGCATGGTGTAGATAAACCTGGGTGGTGATGATGATGATGATGATGATGATGATGATGATGATGATGATGCCTTGATGCGTGGATGATCCTGGGGGCAACGTGAATGGTACACCATGGGGCTCGCTTGCCTGGTTGGTCGGTACCACTGTCACCACCTATTGCGTCTCCTAACCCCTGTCATCTCACGCACCTGTTCCAGGGAGTGGACCAGACATCCTTCGGGACGCTGGTGGTGGTGAACCTGCAGGTGGGGATGAGGACTGGGGGCCCCGGGAGAAACTTTATCTCACTATTTGCACTAGTTTACAGTCAAAAAGCAGGAGTCGAAGAGACAATTATTGGGTGTTGCATGGGGAGTTGGGGCGGGAAGGAGGTGGTGCCGTACTACGGAAAGCGGGTTTGGGTTAGCGGCGGGATGAGGAGAACCGCCAGGCAAGTTCTGATGGCCAGACTTTGGAAGCCGCAGTTGCATGTGTCAAGGGCATACCCTAGACGTCCCTGTCATGCTCCCTCCTCCTGTCCTGCTGTCGTACCCATCGTCACCCTTACGCCGCTGCTCCTCCCTGAAACAGACCATCCAGCTGCTACTGTACTACCTCAAGCTGCTCTCCTCCGAGACGCGCCTGGTGTCCCTCAACCAGCTGTTCGAGCGGGCGCCTGTCGAGGCACAGCACCTGCTGGAATACACGTGAGCTGGAGGGAGGGTGGTGGGGGCTGGGGTAACCGCCAGTTGCCCATGTTACCGTAGTCGGTTAATATTCTTAATAAGGATAACATAAGCTACCACACACTCTTGCTCCCCTGTCCCCTTTCGTGACCGTGACCCCAGGTACGTGGTGGAGGAAGACGACGTGATTGAGGAGTGCTACCGCTTCTCCCAGGCCACGCAGTACACGGGGCTGCTGCGTGGCGTCAACATCGCGACATTCGGACTTGTAGGCAAGGTGAGCTGCAGACAAGTGGGTGGATTTGGGCAGCATGGTTAGCGATGATAGGCAGCGGGGCAAGTTTCTGCAGGAGCAATGGGCAAATCATACCCATAGCCGGTATGAGAGGCATACCCGAAACACATTTTTATGGCATGGGGTGCAGATCGCAGCCACGCACACCTGTACGGGTTAACCCTTGTTAACCTGTACCTTTATCTGTCGTACAGAGCTGGCTGAACGACATTGACAAGGCCACCTTCAGCATCGACCGGCTGAAGCAGAAAGCGGGCAACTATGAGGAGGTGAGGGGTGGCGGGGCCGGGGTACGTACCGGTAATGTCACAAGGCAGCTTGCCCACCGGAGGCATGCGGTGGGCTGGGCCCGGAGCATGCGTGCAGAGTTCGTGCCGCAGTTCGGTTACCCCATAGTCTCCTATGCCCTGGGGCTCCCAGGCAGCGACCACGCCATGAAGCGGTGTGCCGGAATAGGGAGGTTACCGTAGACGTGTAGCGGCCCGGACGGCTATGAAATGGGTATTGCAACGATGCTCTCCCTCGTCAATGCGAACTGCCGCTCGCACGCTTCACTGTTGCGCCCGCAACGATTACCGTATTCCGACTGCCCCTTCCCCCACTCCCCGTGCAGGTGGAGGAGAAAGTGAAGCAGCTGCGTGCCAGTGTAGCCGCCCGGCAGCAGCTGGGGAAAGCGGAGGCGAGCGGTGAGTTCCCCTTGACCCACCTTACATGGGTACATGGAAGCGCAGGGCGAATGCGTGTTTTGTCCACCTGCCATGACGTCTTCCGCCGCGTAGCCATGTACATACTGCATACCCTTGCGTGCTTTTATTGGCCTGCTAGCCGCAAATCCGGACGTATACCGCAGCGTACCTGTCACAGCATCAGCTGTAGCAACGCTAAGTCGTACCCCTGCTTCTTCCGATGCGTATGCAGTCGCTGCAGATGGCGCACGTAAGCCGGGCGATGTGACGTTGATCGTCAACAACAACAATGCCGCCACCGCGGCCGCTATCGCAGCCAACCCGACCACCACCACCAGCAACAGCAGCAAGTCCAGCGGCCTGCGGCGCTGGTGGTTCTCGCGCATGTACGCCTCCAAGCACTCGCTGGCAGTGACCTTCATGGACCACTACCACAGCTGGCCCTTCAGGCCCGACGTCAAGTACTTCAGGTGGGCGGGCTGGGGTGCGGCTGGGAAGGGGGACGAGCAATGGGATTGGCGTGGGCATTTAGGAGACGGTGTATATGCATGCATGGATTACACTGCGTCAGGCTCATGTAAGGACGCCGCTTGGCAAGAGCATCCAGGTGTGGGCTGCATAGGGACTCGGTCACTGGACAGTCAACCGTGTGTAATTGCTTCTTGTGCCCGCATGTTCGAACCCCTTGCCCTGACCCCATTCTGGTCACGGCCAGTGTTTCACTGCGGAACAGTGAGGATTAGCCCAATCCCCCATCCTTCCTATCCTTCTCTCTTCCCAGGATGCTCACGTTCATCCAGGCGATTAGCGTGTTCGCTGTGGGCGCCATCGTGGTGCTGGGCTGGCAATACTCTGCGCGCGACTCCACGTGCGCCAAGTCCGCCAAGTCCTGCAACACCTGCCTGGCCGTACACGAACGCTACTTCAACTCCGCTGAGCCGCTGTGTGACGCTATGGAGACCGCCATCACTCGCATCGTCGCCAGCGCGAACGGCACCTGGCTGGATAACGGTGTGCTGGAGGAACGCTACTGCAACTTTGAGTGCTACGGCAACTTCACACCCTCACAGACGTGCCCGGCGTTGGGCCGATAGTACTTGGAGTGCTAGTGGTTGGGGTTGCATGTTGGAAAACGGGGTACAGCTACTGGGCTTTGAAGAAGAGAGGGCTTGGAGACGTATATGTGGTTTACATGGATTCTTGGTATTCACGTGATCAACTGTAGAGCAAGGACTGGAAGGGGCATAGGGGTGCAGCAGTCACCCTCGTAAGCCGGCGAAGCAAGAGCTCGGTTAGGCTGTTGCGGGGTGGTTTGAGACCATCACAGACCAGGGAGACATGTGGGATTATGGGATTGTGGATCCGTTGTCATGGTTGTTGGCAGTTGTCCTCTGGTATGTAGCAGGTTGCGAATTCCTCAAATTGGAATTGCGCAGTTGTAGGGTGCATTAGCAGAGTGCGGTATGATACCGGTAACGTGTGCCTTTCCAGACCATGCATGAGCAGCATGACTACCTAAGCTATGGATGGACGCATGCGTGGTCGATGGGAGCGATACACCCAGCGTGATCCTTTTGCTTTCACATACAGCCTGGTAGGGCGTGAGGGACGGAGGCTATTCCTGCACGAAGCGTACGGTTGTGTTACCTGGCTTGATGATTCAGATGTACATGAGCAATAGTTGGTGTTATTGGGTGGATCATTGTAGAAGTGACAGGGGTTCTTCTGATAGGAGGTTTTTTGGGTGTTCAGGCCTCACGACTTTGCGTTCATAGAAGCGTAGGTGGAGGAGCGCTATCGTGGGTCGGCGTTGCACATGGGCAATAGGAACTTCTACTCGTAAGGTTGCGGTGGCTCCTCCCGTGGCGTGCTGCATCAGCACTTCAACATAAGTAAGTTTGTAACTATAGGGCAATACACAAGGGAAAGCTATAACATTGAAACGTTGCCAAATTCCCCTACATGTAGCCCGGATATTGTACTCTTCGGAAAGGAGTTCGGACTCGTCACCTGCTTTTCATGATGGCCACTTTACTTCTCTTCAATCCTTTACCTCTCTGGTGGGCCCCTTTTGCCAAAGTCATGGTTAAAATTTGAAATGCAGTGGAAAAGTGACAGCTACCACAGCCATGACGACTTTCCTCATAGAAGTAAGCGCTTTGTTCGTTTACCAGCCATATGATGCAATAAGTCTGCATGCATCAAGATTTCCAGGGACGCTGAGTCGCCGTACACCGTACAACGGCGCTGAAGGAAGTGTTATAAGATGTGTGTTTGTCCTTAAAGTTGTATAGCAGTACAGTGTAGTTATCCTAGCAAACATCGTGATCATACAGATATTTGTTTCTCGCATTGTGCGCAACACCTAAGTTCCGGGACCCTTTCCTCAGTCCAGGCACAGTAGCAGGTCCATACTATAGGTGGGCCTGCATAAGATCCATCGGCCTTGACTCCGTTGCAGCTGCGACAGCTTAATTCCAAGCTTGAGGCATGGGCTCAAGCCAGAGCAAGAGCACGCAAGCGACGGGCGGCAACAATGCAACTGCTGACGTTGAGGGCAAGAAGGAGGTGTATGACAAGCGTCTGCATGGTAAGGGCGTTCAGGCCGTTCCGGCGTCTACGCGACTTCCACATGGCGTCCGCTGCTGACAGCTGTGGCCCCCCAAGGGCTGAAAGCGAAAACGTTTTCATCTCCTATTATGTTTGATGTTTTTAACTAAATTTCATTTATATTTCGTCGAATTGCTATGTTGAACCTGTTCAACAGATGTGTCGCCAGCCATCTGGGTCGCGGGCACAAAGACTAGAATACAACTCTTCGGGTCTTCATAGTTTGTTTGCTTTCATAGCTTCATCTACGTCTCGGCCACCCTAGGGTGACCAGTCTTACACGGCCACCAGCAGCGATTGCCACTCCCCTGAGTACGTTACAAACCGTCCAGGACATCTTTTACTTTCTTACCAGCTGATATCTGATATAGCTGATATCATCCTTGCCGCTCATTTTTCTCTCGCATTTCCTGACGAGCGCCGCGATTACAATCCGCCTTTATGTTGTGTTCCTCCAGGCAACGTCTTCGTCCGCTTCATCACCGGCCCGTACTTCGACGTCATCCCAGTCCAGTACGAGCGTGCCACCAAGGAGCGCAAGGCCGCTATCGAGCGGGGAGAAGAGGTTGCGGAGAATGAAGGACCCGGCGCGGAGCACAAGGACTACATGACTCAGCTCAGGTAAAGGCGATCTGGGTCTCGTACCTGCGCACGTGCAAGCCGCATTGCTGCCGATAACCTTAGTCGTCGATCGCTGATTAGCTCCCTTGCCCCTGTCCAGGCACCTCGCGATGAACGAGGTGGACACCGACGGCGTGTACGGCCTCAACCCAGATGAGCTGGTGCCGCTGCCCTTCGATGTGCCCCTGGTGAGTGAGGGGAAGGGAGCGTCTCTGTTGAACTTCATGATTACTCTTGGGGTGTGCTTTTGCCGTAAGGAAATGGGTAAGCGCGTTCCGATGGCCGGTGGTATAAGCTTTGATGCGCATCCGGCTTTAGCGAGCGATGTGGGTTGGTATATGGTGGTTGCTCATCAGTCCAGTAGTTGCGCACATGTGCAACGGACTTGCATGCTTTGTGGACCATTCCCACTCCCCAGTGATACATCCTACATTGCTTCCACTCCTGACGGCCTTGCTACTTACTTGCTGCTGCAGTGGCCGATGTATGTGGTGGAGATCCTGGCGGGTGTTTTCACGGTGGCGCAGGCAACCATTGTCATGTTCATCGCTATCTGTAAGTTATGGGTAGGCGGCGGGATTTAGGGGATACTGTTTCTCCTTGCCTATACTGTTGCCTTCAGCTTATCTCACTACTCCTGCTCTCTTTTCGTTTAACCGCCCTGCGTTTCCCTCCCCACCCTGCTACGTCTGCATGTTCGTACCTGACTGGTACGCTACGTGACCTACCAATGTTGCCGACGGTCTCTGCTGCTACGCTGCGTCCACGACCCCTCTACGCCACCCCATTCACCTTCGGCCCATCCTTCCTCTCCATGCCACTGCTTACACAGACGTAAGTTGTTGTTGGTTGGTGACTGGTGGTTGTACAGGCATGAGTGCCTTGATAACAGTATAGTGGTAGTCGCCACATTGCCGCACCGAGGGTTGTAATTAATGTCGCACAGTGTCAGCGTGTTCACCCTATGGGATTTATCTCAGCCGCAATGCTACATTCTTTAGCTCGTATCCGCATCATTCATCCTTCTCTACACCCCTTTCCCTCCCCGCACTTCTGTCGTAAGGTCGAGAACACTGAGCGCGCGTGGAAGAGCGGCGACAGGTACACGCGCGTGTGGCAGCCGATGATCCGGGCGCTCATCATCGTCTACCCCCTCGCCACGCTCATCTTCCTGGTCAACTTCACCGTCGAGTGCTGCGTCAAGAAGTTCATGTAAGGCAGGGAGTACCAGCAAGTCCGAAAGCACGGGTGCATGCGTTCATCGCAGCAGCGCCATGTCTCCCAACTTTCCTCTGCTCCCTTCTTGCAGTAGTAATTCAGCAGTGACAGCCTGTTCTCCTTGCCTCCCCCTCGTCCGCCCCCAGGTACTTCCGGCTGCTGTCCATGCGCATCCTGGTCGACTGGGCGAACCGGCAGGTGGGGTCAAGCCTCTGTTAACGTGTTATACGTCGTTCATGCGCATGGGCCTCCATCCATTCATCCCATTACCGCACGCTGCCCCCGCAGATGTGGGAGACGCTGTTCTTCTACTACTTCCTCGGTACCTGGGGTGTCATGAACGCCTGGGCCATCTGGGGCTTGAAGGAGTACTACGGAAGGCTCGGCAACACGGTATGCGGCGCTCCTAGTTCGTAAACTTCCATGTCGCATGCCTCCTGCTTGGCGCTGCTGTGGCGCTGACTGCCTCCTGCTCCGTTGCTGAAGGTTGCTGCGCGCCACCGGTATTGCAGGCCTCGGGTTGTGGACCATAGCCACCACCCTGCCCGCACCTGCCGCAGCTGCTTCTGCTGGCTCCCAGCAGCGGCATGTGGGGGCAGGGTGGTGATTGTCGCAATCAACTCGTGCACATCCCCGCTTAGAGCTAGCCCATAGACGCATGGCCCATTGTTCCACACTCTCTTCGCTAAATCTCTCGCACTGCCGCTCCCGATCGTCCCCAACGTTTAGGGAGTAGACCCGACGTCGTTCGGCACCTTCGTCATCGTCAACCTGCAGACCGTGCAGCTGCTCATCTACTACTACAAGCTGCTCTCCTCGGAGACGCGCCTGGTGTCCCTCAACCAGCTGTTCGAGCGGGCGCCTGTCGAGGCACAGCACCTGCTGGAATACACGTGAGCTGGAGGGAGGGTGGGAGGGTGTTCTGTTTGCGGGGTGTCAAAAAGGCTGGGCAGCACACGGGTTTTGCAGGTGCCATGACATGTCTTCCTGCTGGGGTGAGTGCTTTGGGTAACAGCGGTTTTAGCATGGGGTATGGTGGGGGGGCAGTACGACTCTACCGTTACCTGTGTTGGAATTGCCTAAAACTCTCTGCTTTCGGTCTCACCTCCACAGCTACGTGATTGAGGAGGAGGACTTGGTCCAGGAGTGCTACGACTTCTCCAAGGCCACCCAGAAGGCTCGCCTGCACCGCATCGCCAACATGTTCACGTGCGGCCTCACGGGCAAGGTGAGGGGCCTGGACTGGAGTGCCAGTGGGGGGGGGGCCACGCGCTTGGAAGAGCACTATTCCAATGACGTGCCTGCGCACACGTTCCTATTTACACCAGCCGACTGCGGCCATACACTGCCGCATGCCCCACGCTCTCACATCGCCGCCGTGCACAGCTGTCCCCACCTCTGCGCCTTACCGTATTGCAGTATCAATAACCTTTCAGCGACGTTCTCATGCGGCCCATGTGTCCTGTGTAGGAGTGGCACGGCAGCAAGGACGGGGACATCTACTTCAACATCCAGCGCCTCAAGGAGCGCGCGGCCAACTTCAAGGAGGTAAATGAGAAGATCAAGCGCCTGCGCGAGAGCATGGCGCCACCGGCAAAGGAGGTTAAGCAAGAGGAGAAGCAGCCGGTCATCAGCGGTAAGGGGGCTTTGCGGCGGAATTGTTCGTGCTTAGAACCGGGAGGCATGGAAGGCTTGCGTAGAACCTGGAGGCATGGAAAGACGCCCATGGAAGGCTTAGGCAACGGCCGCTGTTTTCCCGAGCTATCCGGAATGGCCACGCACTCTCAGCGCCTTGCCAAATTTTGCTTGCTTTTCCTTCCGTGCGCATCCGCGACATGGAACCCCTCTCGGCAGAGATCACACCGGCGTCCCCTGGCGGCGAGGCAGTTCGAACCGTCGAGGATGTGACGGTGACGGTGCGCGTCAACTCGACAAGGTGGGCCGAAAAACGTTGGCGCACCATATATCGTCCGTTTTGTTGTTTCCTTGCCTGAATCCTGAGCTGTAGCAACAGTAATCAACTCCCTCGGCCTCTCCATTTCCCCATGCCCTCTTCCTCGCAGCCCTGCCAACCAGAACGGCACCGCGCCTGTCCACGACACGTTACCCTCGGCCGCGCCTTCCTCCTCGCCGGCCGCCGCTGATTCCGCTCCTGCCAAGAAGTTCCGCTTCGGCATCGTGCGCTGGTTTTACGCCCGCATGTACGCCTCGTTGTACTCGTTCACCATCTCCACTATGCGCCACTTCGACAGCTGGCCTTTCCGCCCCGACATCAAGTACTTCAGGTGGGTGGGCTGTAGATCCTATGTCCCGCTGGATTTGACAGGATGGCGGAAGATGTGGGAAAGAATCCTTGGCTATTTCAAACCGTGTCCATACACCTCCTTGCCTCACATGTCCCTGCTTTCGTCCTCCCTTTTCAGGATGCTTTCCTTCATCCAATTCCTGGGCATCTTCGCTGTGGGCGCCATCGTGGTGATGGGCTGGCTCTACTCCGCGCGCAACTCCAGCTGCGCCAAGTCCGCCAAGACCTGCAACACCTGCCTGGCCGTACACGAGCGCTACTTCGGGTCCGAGGAGCCAATCTGCACCGCCGTGGAGAAGGCCATCACCCGCATTGTTGCCAGCACCCAGGGCACCTGGCTGAACAACGGCGTGCGCGAGGAGCGCTATTGCAACTTCGACTGCACCGGCACCTTCGCGGTCACCGATACCTGCCCCCCGGTGACGAATTGAGAAGGTAGATAGGGTGGAGCAGGCGTCGGCTGATTGGACTGTGTGGTAGGAAGGGATGAGGAAGCAGGTTGGATACGTCCGGGTGTGGGCGGTTATGCAGCGAGCGCACGTGGGGTGACTGTGTGTACCTCTTTGCTTGCAAACGTCTAGCCGGGTTGTAGGCGGCAGCTCTGCTTGGCGCATGACATGAGATGCGCGACGCAGTGTTAGTAGCTGACAACGCATGTAGCAGTTAGTTTGAGCTGGTTAACGATGGTGTATGGGCGCAGCTTGACGCCAGCATTTGGCATGGGCAGGCTCTACCCAACGTACGATGGTAGGTATTCGGCTTACTACGGTTCAATCACATGATTTGCGTACATCGTAATGGCTGCAACGGAAACGGGCGAGCCAGGGCACTCAGGCAGTCATTTCGCCTTCACCGTTTCCTCTGCATGCGTCTTCTATTCATCTTTAGCGCCATGTGCAGGAACTTGGGTTGCATTCCACCATTGGGATGCGCCTTTTAATAAAGGCAATGGCTGCAGGGTTTTGAGGCTGCAGTGTGCTCTCGCTCTTTTTTTTATTCTTCCCTGCATAGCAACTGAATTCTGATGTTCTTACACGCAGGCGGTAGTGTGTGGTCTGCGGTAGCATACGTCCGTTTGGAATGTGCCCTGGGTGGTGTGTAATGCATGCGTCTGCCGTTTGCATATCTTGCCTTCACTACACCCTTAGCTACAACACTCTTGTACATATATCATGATGTAGTTTCGGAAGCTCCTAATCAACATGGGTCCTGCGGTTTAGCAAGCAATAGCAGCTTCACCATTGTTTGTCACTCGCATGGTGGTAGGTCGTTCGGTTTGACATCATATGAAGTCCAGGTGGTGTGTTTGGCTCAGGTAACAAGTATGGATGTGCACATACCGTACCGTACTTACCGGTGACTTGTCCGTATGCGGTTTTAATGCTGCTAGGCGCTTAACCCGACTAGTTGTCTTATGCATCAGCGTCATGCTTGGTACAGAGCTGCATGTAATTGCCGTGCGCTACACGTCTTGCGTTTAAAGATCTAACATGCAAAGACACACCAGAGTCGACACGGCGGGCTTACGGGTTGCTCGGCGAACATCAACGGATCAGTGGCACCAGGTGCCCAAGTAGCGACCCATGGGTCATCCCGGAGCCTTGGCACAGCTCTCCATCAGTATCACCACGCAGCAAATCCCCTCTGGTAAGGGAGTCAGCAGAAGTGGCAGCGAATTTACCTTCGCTTGTGCCAAAGCTGTTATCTGTCATGCGGGGTTGCCACCGCCGCTGCAGGGAGAATGCGCTTGCAAGGGTAGCGGCGCTACAGTGAAGAAACCTCAACAACTCTACAATCTCGTGGTTGGGTAAAGCATGCGTTCTGGTCATCTGGTGAGTATTGTTTTCTTCGTAGGATAGTACTGTGACGTAGGGAATGCAGTTTCTCAGCGATTCCCTCCACGTCTGTAAAGGGATGCATCCACCAACGTTGAACTTAACAAATTACAACCCTTCGCTATTTGTGCCCGCCTGCCGACTCCTGGTATCTATCCTGGCCTCCTGAACTCCTGTACCACGAGGCCTGCCCCTGCATGCACATCACCTTTCAGGCGCAAACATTGCGCCCCTTTCCCCTGCACATAAGAAAGCACATCATCCCTTCTTCAGTGCCCGATATTCCGAAACCTTCTACGCTCAGGCAACCGACCATTACGCATGAACAGGCACCTTACGGGTGCGGCCTATGACACAACTTACAACCTCCCCGGCTGGTCGACCACACACCATCGTTACGCTCCCTCCTCCCTTCAACTCCATCAACTCAGCCAACGTTTCGCCCAGCATCTCAAAACGCCCCGCCACGCGAGCTCTTAGGTAGCCAAACCCCTGTAACGCCGCACCTCCCACGCCCCATCCCCATCTCTCACGGCAGCTCAAACGCGGGGAAGCGCGCCCCTGCTGAGCCCCCATCATCCGCAAGCAGGTCAGCAAGCAGGCAGGCAGCTCCCGCACGACCCTCGAACAGGGAGAGCGGCCTGCAGGGAGGGGGGAGGACATGCGGAGGGCGGAGGGTGTACGGAGGATGTACGGGATGAACGGACACAGAGGTCTACACCACATACCGGTACGGCGGGACAGTACGGCGATAATCCGGCATCTCATTATTGCCTAGCATGCACACAGACAAGCATGCATGCATGCATTTAAACTATTACCGGCACCTCGAGGGTTTGTGCGACTTCAACAGCACCCCAGCTCTTGCTGCCTCCCACCCCCCACCTGTCCGGGGTGTCGTACACGGTGCGCCCCTCCCCACTGCCAATGTGGGCGGCGAAGCAGCGGGCGCGGTGCAGCCAGCGAGCGGAGGAGGCCAGGGAGGGGGCTGAGGAGGAGGAGGAGGAGGGAGAGGCGGGGGAGGAGGAGGAAGGAGAGGCTGCCGCTGCTGCTGCTGCTGCTGCTTCTGCGGCTGCTGCGGCTGCTCGTGTGGCCCGGTGTAGGGCCAGAAGGGCGTAGGCGTTACCGCTGTGGGGCGGCAGAGGGGAGGATGGATGGCAGAGAGTAGGAGCAAGAGGAATAGGAGGGTTGCTGGGCAGGCAGCAGGCGCGGAGTACCTCTTCCCAGCACGCACCTTGTTCCATGACACAGCCCATGTCCCTTGCGCAGCAGCCCCAGCTGCCACACCACCTCCCCGGCCCGCTCGGCAGCAGCCAGGTAGGGCGGCTCGCCGAACACCTGAGTGCAGCAGCACGGGCAGCAGCAGCAGGAGGGGCAGCAACAGGAGCGGCAGCGGCAGGAGCGGCAGGAGCGGCGGCGAGCAGCAGGAGGGGGCAGCAGCAGGAGGGGGCAGCAGCAGCGGCAGGAGCGGCAGGATCGGATTGCAACGGAGATAGGGGCATGGCGTGGCGTGGCGGGGTGGAAAGCAAGAGGATAAACGAGGGCAGTCGAGCGCTGGTACGGTAAGCTTGCTTGACCAGTTGGCGATGTGCAGGGGGTGCCGCCGCTAGCAGAAAAGAGAGGATGCCTGTCGCAACCGTTCCGCAACTTCCACTCCTTCACCCCCTCCATATTACTTCACTCCCTCCCCCACATCTGGTATCACACCACACACTGGAATTTCTTCTTTCCCCACCTGGTATGCCTTGCACCACATGAACACCGCTCCCGGACTGCCGTGGCACCAGTGCACCAGCACCTTGGAGGGCGAGCCGCCCCCCTGCCGCCCGCCACCTGCCTCCTCGTCGGCCTCGTGGGTCAGCCCCACATTCATGCGGGTGGGGTAGTGGCCGCCGCGGCCGCTGCAGCCCGGCGCGTCCCGCTCGTGAGCAGCCACGTAGCTGTTGCATGGAGGGAGGGAGGGAGGTGGGGGAGTGGAGGGAGGTGTGGGAGGGAGGTGGGGAGGTGGGGGAAGGGAGGGAGGTGGGGGAAGGGAGGGAGGTGGGGGAAGGGGGGTTGGCAGGTGGAAGGTGGGAGGTGGGAGGAAAGGGAGGCATCCTTACGTTCTAGCAAACACATTGCAAGACGAGAGAGAGAGGACAAGGGAAAGAGGGGAAGCGTGCAAGGAAATGTGACGTATGGTGTGTAAAGAAAGCAAGCGCACGACGAGGTGCCGTACAGCAGGCCACCCACCACCCACCCACCCACCCGAGGCAGGCTCGCAGCTGCTGGGCGTGTTGTCGCACCAGGGAGGGAACATGCAGCAGCGTGAACAGGATGCCTGGGTAGAGGAGGTGGGAGGGGGTACAGGGGAGAGGTGAGTGGTGAGGAAGGGGAGGTGGAGGGAAAGGGTGGTAGCATGGAGTGATGCACTGCCCTAACCCCGCCCCCCAGGCCCCGCGATTAGTGCGTTTCCGCGCGGCTCGGTCATAACACCCCAACCAACCCAAGCTCTTGTCACAAGACTACTACATGTAAGGCAGGAGCTCCCCTTTCCGCCTTCCACCCCCTCCCCTTCCTGCCAACTCCTACCCCCATTGCTTTGCCCTAACTTGTGGTCTCCTATGGTTTGGTATGGTCTTTCCCCCCCTTCGCGCCCTTCGCGCCCTCACCCATCATGCCATGCGCCGCCCCCAGGTAGGGCTCCCCCCGCTCCCGCTGGGGCCACATGAAGAACAGCGGGGGCGGGGCCGACCCGGGCAGCCGCCACCGCAGCCGACCAGACAGCTCGGAACCTGCCACATGGGAGGGTGGGGGCGGCGCGGTGGGCGCGGAGGGGGGGAGGTGGAGGTGGAGGTGCGGTGAGGAGCTCATCGAGAGCGCAATACACACATACACGCCCGTTCGTACTTTCGGCCAGTTTTCTAAACACACACACACACACACTCGACAGCAGCCATGCGCCCTCTTTGCGCCCCACTGCCCCTTTTCAACCCAATGGCACCCCCCCTCATGGCAGCCATACACCCCGTGTGCGTCCCGTACAGTAGGGGAAAAGGTGTAGCCCAACCCAACCCACCACACCCCCTCCCGCTCCCCTCACCCGACTCCCAGATCTCCTCCGCCACCCCCGCCACCACCTCCTCCGCCACAGTGCCGGGACCCAGAACCGCGTTGAGCAGCTGGGCGCCCTTTGGGGGGAGGAGGGAGGGGGAAGGTGGAAGGGAAGGGAGGAGGAAGGGTCAGTCACGGGTATAAACACAAGTTATAACGTACATAAGTTGTGTCGGAACACAGGTATATGTGTGTACCATTGTGTCGTACACTGTACCTGCAGGTAACCCGCCCTGCCGTACAGGTACTCATCATTCTCGCTGTCCATGGCTTCCTGGATAGCGGGGGGGCGAAGGGTGAAGGGTCTTATGTCGGGAAAAGAAAGAGTCGGGAAGCGAAATAAACTATTTCGCCTTTGAAAAACGAGCTCATGTCTAAAAAGTATCCTACAAAACCCAGCCATTGCCAACACCAGTAAGCCAAGGCAACCCCACCGCTCCAACCCACCGGGTAGAGATCCAAGTACGATCGAACGTAGTCATCCCGCTCGCGTCGCAATGCCGCTGCCGTACCACCCCCACCCCCACCCGCCTCCGCCGCGGCAGCAGCGTCATGCAGTACCAGCGCTGCCGTCAGGTACACCCCTGCAGCGCCGTCAAGCATGGACGCCGCGCGCGACCCATGGGTCAGTCCCAGCCCCTTGGGTCCCCGTAGCGCCGCCGCTGATGTACGGCAGCGCTCAACCGCCGCCGCCAGCAGCGCCCCCGGCAGCTTGTCCTCTTCAACCGAGCCGCTACCGCCCGTGGCGGCTGTAGCAGCGGAAGCGGAGGCGGTGTGCTGCTGCTGCGGCGGCGGCGGCAGCAGGGTCGGGGCATCTTCCGTTGGGCCCGCAGGTGCCGAGGCTGTAGCAGCAGCCCCGGAAGCAGTAGCGGTTGAGGTGGGGGTTGGCGGTTGGCGGTGGCGGTTGCAGCCGCGGCGCAGGGAGCGCTGGCAGTGCCAGAGCGCGTAGGCCACACCGGCGGAGCCTGAGAGGTGCAGGGAGGCGGCACCGGACACATCGCAGGCACGTACAAATGGGAGGTGCCTTGACCAACACAGAAACGTGGGGGTGGCCACACAATTCGAAGAGGTATCTTGTCCGTGATGTGTTGAAGTGTGGCGCTGCTCTTGCACCCCCCCCCCCCTCCCAGCCGGCGTGTAAGAGCCTCAACGTGTCCAGACCATCAATGAGGAAGCAGGAGTACACCCATGAACCCAAACCGTGGGACAGTTTGGGCACTCCGGAACCATGATAAGGCTCGCACCTGTGTAGATTGTGGGGCTGTGCGTAAGGTCACTTTGTACGGCATCAGCCGTCTCACGGAATAGACTGAGCAGCGCTTCTCGCGGAATAGTGGAGGCCGCCGCTGCTATAGGGTCATGGCTAGGCACCTGTAATCCGGAAGGCTCCACGAAATCAGGAAGCCTGTTTCGAAAATGACGTGGATGATGAGGCATTGTTGCTAGATTTCGCAAACTGGGCACACGAGCCCTGAGAAGTCGCAAGAAACTCGACACCGTAGTGTTGATTCCTTCCTTACTGCTGGGTTGCTGGCCTGGCTGATAGACTTCCTATCCCTTTGGTTTCGGAATTGGCAGGTGGCCAGGACAAAGTGTTGCAATTGCATGCAGGTTAGCTGGAATACGCAGGTCGTGAAGATGAAATAGGCTGTAATGGTATTGTAATCCGTATACGCGAATAGACTTCGCGCCTTGGCTCTTCTGTACGACACATTATGTCCCAACAACATTTTCTAGCTCATCGATTTTTCCCTTGTTATAGACGCCTTGTCCTTTTCGCATTAAACGGTTACTATGTCTACTCTAAGCCTTAAGCACACATCACCTGTGGTTGCTCGCCGAGGCTTTCGCTCGGTGGCCGTTCTACAGCCGGTTCGCTCGCGGCGCGCACTAGTTGCCCGGGCGCTTCTTGGACCGGATGGAAAGCCGGGTGAGTTGTATGGTTGCGTTTGGCGCTGGGGCTATTTTACTAGCAAAGCGACTCTCGGCCACACACATTAACGACTCGTCGTGGTAATACCCTTGCAACATTTCGTGTGATCATACATATATGTTGCTTTTTTGCTTATGGGGGCCTGCCCTTGAAGGAAAGGAGGAAGGCAAGCAAACGGTGGCGTCAATGCACTTGCAGTCGTGCAATCTGCGGCCAGCACCCACATGACTTCTGGCATTGCGTAGATTGTTTGCACGCTACAGCGACGTGGAATGGTCTGCACCCCTTCCTCCCTCCTGAGGCTTTGACACGGTTACTTTGCCATGACAAACGTGCACGCCCCTCTTTCGGCAGGCGGCCAGAACTCTAACCAGAAGAAGTTTATTACACGCGATGAGGAGCCGGAGGAGTACTGGTCAAGTAAGGGCGAGCGAGCCGGTGCCAATCCCCTTCAGGTATGTGACCATGGCCAAGCACTTCACCCGGTGCCCGCAATCCGCATACCAAACTCTAGATGCATTTACTTGACCACATGAAGAGAGCAGCAGAAGACTAATTTCCCTTCACATGTCACCAAGTTACCTCACTATTTTGCCCATCCTGTTAGATGCCCAAACTGACCTCATCCCTTCCTTCCCTTCTGTGTCGTTTTGCCACGTTTTCCCTTTATAATCACCCACGTTGCGCTTACCTAACCTCAAACCCTTAAACCCGCCCCTCACAGGACCCACTTGCTATGATTGGCATTCTGGCCATTTTCTTTCCCTTCATCTTCCTAGGCATCGCCATTGCCTCCGGCTACGTCGACCTCTCCGTCTATCGATGAGGGAAGTCTCTAGAGGGGGGTGTGCATCAGTCGTGTTACGCACATAGCATAACAGAAGTTTGTTCGCGGTCCTTACGGATTGTGTATGGCAGAAGCAGTACCGGTACGGCAGAGGCGGGCGGCACATAGTGCATGTGCTTCCCATAATGCCGTGTGTTACGGCGCGGAATTCATTCGTTGACGGGTATTGTAGTAGGCTTGGGGCGTGTTGCCGGCTGGCGGTTGGATGCGAGGGGGTTACCAGAGCCCCGGTCATACATGTTGCGTTGTGAGGTTTTCCTGTATTGAGGGGGGTGTTGTTGGTTTAATGGGTAGGGTGCAAAGTGAAAGGTTTACAAACTGGAGTGACCTTAGGGAGTTACATGGGTGGACCGCTTGTTATTTTCAACAGAGAGGAGCATACGATCAAGATGGCGCTTGAAACCTTGCTAATGATTGCGAACCGAGCAAGAGAACTAGGCACATAACTTACAGATTAGGGCCGGAAGGGAAGTATAACGGATATGGAAGAAGCGCATTCCACTGGCACTGTCTTCCCTTGCGAGGCTGATCCTGTGTTAGTTATTTCGGAATCCCACGGTTGTTTCAGCAGCTATTGTTTCCCGTGATGCGATTTCGTAATCGATCTGCCTATAACGGTATGTCGTGTGCCAGATGCTTCGAGCTGTGTTTTACAAGGCAGGGATGCCATTGGGATGTTGCCATGCTTAGATGTCTACCAAAGCATAGGAGCACACGGACCCCAGAGAAGAACAAAAAGTGACATTTAACAATTCATTCTGCACCTTTTGAAGGTAGGCTGTTGCCGAGAAGGAAGCAGCTGGCTAGCGTTGACCGTATTTTGATTATGCGCATACCATTCCGGAACCGCTATAGGCCTTCGTTGACCGTATCTTTAAAGGAGCTGTGTAGATGTGAGGATGGTGTCTTCAAGCCGCTTAAGCTCTTTGTTATTTGGAACGTGCGGACTCATGTAAAACCCACGTGGTGTGATGTGTCATACCACGTACTCGCTCCCCTCCTACCAGCACTTCCCGCCCGCCACTCTCATTTCGCAGTTTCCCTTAAGAATCCTTACATAGGTTACCGGTACAACCACCGGACGTATTCACGTCTCCCACCAACCTGCTCTCCTATCCTAACAACGGGCCCTGCCAAGCTGCATGCAAATCCGCAGTATCAGCAGCGGCTCCCTCACATGGTTTCCTCCTGCTGCCCGTTAATGTGCCACACACGTCCTACATAGCCCCTTAAACTAAGCCCCTTCCCCTTCCGTAAGCTGCGTCCCTGCCAACGCAACCGGCAAAACCACCCAACCCCAAGACCGCGCACACCGCATCCCACTCCAGCCGCATGCCATCCTCCCTTCTTCCAGCCTTCTCATCCCTTCTGCCACGCCTCCCTCCCTACTATTTCCGGGCCCCCAGCAACTTGAGCGCCAAGGCCTCCTGCTCCGCAAGCGACATCTGCTGCCCTCCCGCACCCGCACCCGCCTGCCGCTGCGCCTTCCCTGCAGCACCAGCACCACCATCACCGGCCACCTCACCGTCCCTCCGCACCGCCATACCCATGTGCGCCACCTCCGCCCCCGTCGCCCTCCTCCGGGCACCCCCCCTCTCCTCCTCCCGGTCATCATCATCGCTGCCCCCAGACGTCTCCTCGCCACCGCTGGAGGAGTAGCCGTCCTCGTCGTCCCTGTCGTAATGACCCGTGGGTCGGCCCAGCGTGGCGCCCAGTGTGGGGCCGCCCTCGCCGTCGGCCTCCAGCTCTGCTGCGGCGCGTTGCCGGGCCTTGCGCTCCAGCTTGAGCTCCTGTGTGGGGTGGCAAGCAGCAGGGTGCGAGGGAAGGGGTATTGGGCGTACTGGGAGGGAGTGTTATACGACATGAACATGATGACAGAGAGCGCGCTAACTCATTACCGTTCCCAGCTTCCCACCTCCTCCCCAGTCCAATGCATCAATGCTCCAAGCTAAGCTGAACGCAACCCAAGCCATCGCCCCGTATCCCACCCTTGCCCCTACCCCCCCCATGCATACCGGTAACCCACCGCAGCGCCCCTCCCCTTCCCCACCCGCGCACCTTTCGCAGCTGCTTGAGTCGCGCCCGGTCCTCCCTGTCCCTCCGCCGCATGAGGTCTGCCGCCAGCCGGAACCGCTCCTCGGGCCGCTCCGAAACCACATACACACCCTCCCCTCCCGCTGCCCCTGCTTGGGCCGCTGCTGCTGCTGCTATGATTCCGTCGGCGGCATCTGGGTCCTCCGAGGAGACGGAGGTGGCGGCACCCGCAGCGGTGGAGGGCCTGCCGAGCTGCTCCGCTGCGAGCTGGGCGAGTGGGTCTAGAGTGTTACCCTGGGGATGGGGAGGAGGAGGGGGGAGGAGGAGGAAGAGTGGGAGGGAGGGGGAGTGAGAGGAAGGGGGGGAGGTGGGAATACCGTTTACCAGGATCAAGCGTTGGGAGGTGTGTGAAGAGGGTCACGGTGGCGGGGATGTAATGAATCGGTACCACATAGGGCAACCGGGCAAGTAATGCAGCAGCATTACTACTGTAGAGGCCCTTCGCAAGCAGCAGCTACAACAGCAACTGCAACAGCAGCACCTGCAGCTGCAACAGTAGCAGCAGCAGCACCTGCAGCACCTGCTACCCACCTCCTCATCAAACACCATGCGGTTGCCGCTGACCAGCCCCACGCGAATCTTCTGCTTCTTCTTTTTCTTCTTCTTGCCGTTGCCAGCATCCTCCAGGTCCTCATCCAGGGCGTCCAGCAGCCCCTCCTCTCCTGGTCGATCCGCAAACACGTCGCGCTTCTTAACCACCAGGAAATCGTCGTCACCGTCCTCCTCCTCCTCCTCCTTCTGCTCCCTGCCTTTGCCCTTGGCCTTGTCCGCAGCCCCGCCCTTTGCACCCGCCTTGTTCGCCCCCTGCTGTTGCTGCTGCTGATCCAGCTTCCGCTTCTTACTGCCGTTGCCCGCCTCCGCGCCATCGCCCTCCCTCTTCAGCTGCTTCTTTGCAAGCTGCTGCTGCTGCTGTGCCTCCGCGGCCTCGTCGTCTTCCTCCTCGCTCTCACCGCCCTCCTCCTCACTGCCCCCCTCCTCCTCCTCCTCCTCCTCCTCCTCCAGCGCCTGCTTGCCGCCCAACTCCAGCACCTGCTGCTTGCCGCGAACCTGCAGGGAATGTGAATGCAGGGAAGGTTGCGCAAGGGGCGAGCGCATGGGAGTCTGGATGCATGGGTGCACCCCTTATCCCCCGACCCTCACCCTCCCCCCCCCCACTCCTCCCCCCCACTCCTCCCCCCCACCTTCTTCATGAACCTCAGCTTGGGCACGCTGGCCAGTCCCAAGCTGGCAGCGTACTCGGGCAGCGGCAGCGCGGCCACGTCGAACACCGCCTTGCGCGGCTGCAGGAACACGGAGCGGCAGTAGGCCACCAGCGCCTTCTGGGCAAAGTCCTGCGGGTGTGCGCGTGTGTGTTTTGGGTGGGGGGAGGGGGAGGGCGGCAGTTGCTTTCCGCTCGCGTCATCAGGTAAAGAGATGAGAAAGCAAGGAATGCTTGACGGGAACGGGGCTCAAAGACAGGGGGTCCCCCTCTCTCCCCCTCTTTCCTCCCCGTCCCCCCCCAACCCCACCTTGAGCTCCGTGTCCTTGCTGAGTAGCGCCTGCAGTGAGGGGCTGACCGCCTGCTGGCGAGCCGGGTTGGGCTTGATGGGGCCGGTCAGGGGGACCTTGGCCTCCTGCGGGAACAAGGGAGGGAGGGCGGCGAGTGGGGGGAGTGGGGGAAGATTGATCACGATTGATCACGATAGCGCCCCTGATGAAATGGATACAGGAGCGTGCACCAAACGCATGGCTGCACATGCTTCATGCCCGCCTGCCTATCTCGCTATCAGTCTGCCGGTCCGTCGCGGCCAGTTGTTTAAACACATCACAGTTCCCCCCACCTTCCCTGTATCCTCCCCCGCCCCACCCCCCTTCCCTCCACCCCACCCCCCTCCCCTCCACCCCACCCCTACCCCTACCTTGAGCTCCGCCAGCATGCCGGGCGCCTCCGAGGGCAGCAGCAGCAGCAGCGCCCGCCCCGAGGAGGTGTAGCGGGCGGTGCGACCCACGCGGTGGATGTAGGTGGCGGCGTCCTCGGGACAGTCGGCCTGGGGGGGGGGGGGAAAGAGGGGAGGGGTAGCGGATTTGCGGTGAGAAGAGTAGGTAACCATGTGACTTGTAGGCTCCATCCCAACCACAGCTAGCCAAGCAAAAGCTGTGGGATTAAAGATGGCGAGGTCACTGCTGTTGTCCTCGATCCGTCGATCCGGATTTACGCTGTCGTAAACCGGCCCTCTCCTGCTCCCTTCTGTCCTCTCCCTGCTAATGGTAATCACCCAAAGAGGCACGGAAGCCCCCCCCCACCCGTTGCGAGGGCCCCCCCTCCCCTTCCCACGCCCCCCCTCCCCACGCCCCCACCTGCACCACCCAGTCCACGGTGGGGAAGTCCAGCCCCCGTGCCGCGATGTCGGTGGCGATCAGAACCATGGACTGGTGGGGGGAGGGGTTGGGGGAGAAAGGGAGAGAGGTGAGTGGGGAAGAGTGGAAGGGGAAGATGCAGGGGAGTGAAGGGGAGAACGACCTGAGCTATCTACTCTCCTACTACACGCCACGCCGCTTAGCGGCAAGAGTCCAAAACCCCGGATATGTTCCTCCAAAGCGTGTGTCCCCCTCTCTACCCCATCTCTGCTCCCTCCCTCACTCTCCCCCCATACGTATCTCCTACTGTTGTCACGATTCCTGTCGTTTCCTTCTCCTCCTCCCCCCCCCACCTGCGCCTCACAGAACTCGTAAAACACCCCTGTCCGGCGGCCCTGCTTGAGCCCCCCGTGCAGGCAGCGCAGCGGCACCCCCGGGCGCAGCTTGCGGAAGGCCTCGAACACGAAGCGAACCTGGGTTTGTGGGAGGAAGGGGGGAAAGAGGGGGGAAACAGGTTTAACAGTTGTTTTGGCAGTTGGTTTTTCAGTTAGCACTTAGCACTTAACATTTAACATTTGAGCTGAGCAAAGTGGAAGCAAACAACGCGCACCTGCTTGCACGTTGAGAGGAAGATGATGGTTTTGGCCTTGAGGTGGGTCTTAATGAAGGACCACAGCACGTCCATCTTGGACCCCAGGTCCACCACCATGTAGGCCTGGTAGGGGGGGGAGGGGGCGGGGGATAAATGAGAAGCGAAGCAACCATATCCCGTAATCGGACTCCAGGGGGGGTGCATGCATGCAGCAGGCAGGCGTGCAGGTGTGCAGGCAGGTATGGAGGCGGGTGGTGGGTCAAGGGAAACTTGACGCCTGTTGGAACAAGCATGGGGCCCACATCCCCTCCTCCCCCTCCCCTCCCCGTTCCTCCTCCTCCGTCCCCCTGCCACAGTCAATCAACGCACGGTTCTTTTCCCACCCACCCCCAATATACCGGTACGTCAGTTTCCTGCACACACACACCTGCTGTAAAAAAAAAGTCGCGGCCAGTTATTTTAACACACCTGCTGCAGCTTGAGCGGCGTGGGTGCGGTTGCCTCCGCGTGCACTGCCAGGTACTCCGGGTCGCGCAGGCTGAGGCGGGCCAGGTCGCGAACCGACTTGGTCTGGGTAGCGCTGTGTTTGGGTGGGGGGAGCAGGGTGTTTGGGTGGGTGGAGTGTCGGGAGGGAGGGAGCTAGACCCCGCGTTAGGCACCCGCTAAACCCCTCCTCCTCCTCTCCTTACAACCACCCCACCCCATTGTCATTCAACACATTGGGTCTTCTTCTTTTCCACCACCACCCCCGCCTCCTCTCCCCCTCCCTCCTCCTCCCCCCCCCACCTGAACAGCATGGTCTGCCTCTCCCTCGGCAGGTTGGCCACGATGGCATCCAGCGTGGCCGCGAACCCCATGTCCAGGATGCGGTCAGCCTCGTCCAGGATGAGCATCTGGGAGGAGAGGGGGGAAGGGAGGGGGGGAGGGGCATGGGAAAGAGGAGAGAGGGGGTCCCCAACCCCTCTCACCCCACCTCCAACCTCCAACAAACACAGTACGTTCCGACTCGCGGCCAGTTTGTGGTAACACATGTGCCCCACCCCCCCACCACCACACACCTGCAGTGAGGTGGTGTCGAAGCCGGCCGTCTCGTCCATGTGCTGCAGCAACCGACCTGGGTGGGGGGTGTACGGCAGTACCGTATACGGTAAGGAGATGACCGGTGGGGTATTGGGAAAGGCAGCGTGTGGGTTTCGAGTAACGGTACCTCCCTCCCCTTTCCCTTTCCTTCTACGTTTTCAAAACCCCTCCCCCCCTCCCCTCACCTGGCGTGCACACCAGCACGTTCATGCCCGCCAGCCTGCCCGCCTCCTCCGCCACGTTCTTGCCGCCGATCAACAGGCCCGCGGACAGGTCGTGGAAGTGACCCACCTGCAGGGGCCCGGGGGGGGGGAGTAAACGAGGGAGAGGGAGACCCATGCATTGAATGATAGGTGGGTTAGAGTTATAATGACAAGGGGGGGCCGAGGGGAGAGGAGCGGCCGGGTAGGGAGAGGGGAAGGAGGGAGCTGGAGAGGAGGCAGGGGGTTCTGTGGAAGCCTGGTAGCCGCCTGGTATTAGCCGGCAGGCAGGCCTAGAGGCAGGTCTAGAGGCAGGTCCCCTGCATTCCCTCTTGGCGCACTCCCTTCTTCCCTCCTCCACTGAACCAACCCCCCCCCCCAACCACACTGCCAGCATGCATCCCGCGGTGGAGCCCTGCCATGTGGGTACCGCTGGTTGTTCCCCTCGTACCCCCCCCATTCCTGTGTGTTATCCCGGCTCGGCTCCCCCCCCCACCAGGCCCCTCCCCACCACCTTCCCCAACCCCATGGTGGAGCCCTGTCACATGGTTAGCTCTGGTCCCTCCTTTCCCACTTATCACACCACACATTGGGTATTCTTCTTTTCCCACCCCCCTCTATCCTCTGCCTCTGCGTTATCGCGGCTCGGCTTTAACAACTCTTCCCCCACCCCAGCCCCCCTCCCCTGTGTCTGTCGTACGCGCACCTTCTTAAGCTCCTCGAATATCTGCAACGCCAGCTCGCGGGTGGGGGTCAGCACCAGCGCCCCCAGACCGTCCAGCCGGGTCCACTTGGCGCGGTAGAGCTTCTCAACCACCTGGGCGGGCAGGCGGGCAGGCGGGGCAAAGAGGAAACAATTAACTGACTGTGTGATAGGCGGGCGGGCGGGGGGTCCGCGGGGTGGGTGGGTGGGGGTCAGGAATAGACGAAGCCGTAGGAAAGCACAAGGTGAGCAGAGGTACGTACGTGGGTTATGCCGTATATGGTGGCGTGGTGTGGATTGCTGCTGAGGTGTAGGCTGCAACGCGGCAAGCGCGCGCTTTAGGTATGGGTTTGTGCCGGTCAGCCAACGCCAACCCTGCCCCGACCCCCACCCCGAACGTTCCCAGGACAAGACCACCGCGGTCTTTCATTCCCGCACAGCGGCAGGTTAGACTCACCGGGATAAGGAACGCCAGCGTTTTGCCAGAGCCCGTCTTCGCTGCTCCAAGAATGTCCCGGCCGCACAGTGCATGCGGCAGCGCTGCCCGCTGAATCGCCGTCAGCGTGACGTATTTCGCCTTCTTTAAACCGTCCTTCGTGTACTGAGAGATAGGGAGCTCGTCGAACGTCCGCACGCCAGCGTAGGATGTCGACGCGCCGGCTTCCTGACTGCGCTCAGGCGCTGCAAGCGGATTTGAGCCACGCGGCGGAGCGCCATCCTTTAATTGCTGCTCCAGCTGAGCAATTTCCAAATCCTCTTTGTAAGACCGCCGCCCTTGCCGTTTCTGCACATGCTGCGTCTTCACTTTCTTCCTTTTCCTATCATCTCCAGCCATGTTGAAGCAACAAGAAGTAAAGCACTAATTACAGAAAGTGTATATTTGCCTTTGTCACTAATAATAGGTTCATGCACTGAGTCGTTTGCCAAACGACGGGCAGAGAACGCCCCACAAAGTGCTCGAATACGTACTCCGGACTGTTTACGTTGCGCAATTGCCTATCATTCCAAGCCCACATGGTGCACGTTGCCGTGACATGTTGCCGTTCTTCAATCGCGCAAATGTCGCAAGTGTTAAGCCTTTTCGAGAATACGCAGAAGCCTCAGTACTAAACATAATGTTTGTAGCGCTGACTAACCCAGGCGACGTTTCTGGGTGCGGGGCCCCTGGGTCGCACCAACAGGCAAGAAGCTTGCCTCCTGGCTTGGGCTCATGACGTGTTTTATACGTACGCTGTAGTCTTGCTTTGCAGCCAGCAGTGAACGATTTGGGCTGTTCGTTGACATGATCGGTTTGCATGTTGGATGTGAAGATGGCAACTCGCGGCTCGGGGTCGGGTAGTGGGATGTGGCAAGCGGAGCAGGGTTCAGAACAAATGTCTTGACGTCCATATGTCATCTGGGCTCCGTCCACCTGGGACCTTCAGGGTGCCACCGATACATGTGGTAGTCGCAGGACAGCTTGTGGCAGTTGGCAGTTAGGCTTGTCCTAAGCCCAGCCACTACAGCCCTCTCACTCCTAAACATGCATCGCCCCTTGTCGTACAGTACTGCAATAGCCGCTGCCCCGACTCACGCACCCCCCTTTGCAACCCCAGCGGTGTGGGCATCAAGGCCCCCACAATCATGGTCCCAATCAAGAAAGCCTTACCTATCTATCGTACCGGTATCCAGGTATAGCTGCTGCCGCACTTTGCTGTCAGTCTGTCAGCCGGGCTGGCTCTTCGGTGCTTCTAAGTAGAGAATTGTGATCCATGGTGACTTGTGACCCATGGTGGATCCAGCGTGGCTCAATCGATTTGACAGGGAGCGGCAGGGAAACACAGCCCCTAGCCACCTTGAGTGAAGGAGAGTTGAAGACGGAGTGGGTGGGTAGGCTAGTAGTGAGGGGAGGTCGGCTGCATGCAAGGAGTCTCCGCGTTAGGGTACATATACCCTGATGTGTTGGCTAGGAGGTCGCCTCAGTTGGAGGCACAGTGCTAGCCCTTGCGGTGCTGCCGCCACACCCTGTCCTAAACAAGCCCGAATGCCTCACGGCATGGAGGCGTCATGGACGCATGCAGCGGTGCCCAGGATGGAAGGTGTTTACCGCCACGTTGCTTTTGTCTCCCTGGATAGAGCTGGTAATGGGCATGCGGGCACTGGGCTGTGTGCCGATGCTGGAGTGCCCGAGCCGTGCTGTGCGATGTGCAGGGCTTGGGTAGTCTACGGGGTGGCAGTTTGCAGGACTGAGGCGTACCATGGGAGGGGAAGCAGTAGCAGCTCTTCGGAAATGGACCGCTCGTCACCTCGTTGCCGTACGGTATGCGCATAACGCTATAACCGCACCACATTACCGGTTGCCATGTGCTGCAGTTCCAAACTTCACGAAATGATATACAATTAGAGCGGCATTACAGATAGAGTGATGACTTTGGACACGTGTTGACTTACTGAATCCCGACAGAAGGAGAGAAATGTCAGCCCGGCCAGCAGGAGGGGAGAGCCGGCCGGTAAATAAAAAGTGTTGCAATTTTTTATGTTGTCCTACCGTATTACCACAGCTTGACTTGGGTCGGCTTTGGTTGACAATGTAGGGGTTAGGGTCTAGACAAGTAACGAGGAACCTTAGCGCGAGTGGCGACAGGAACGATGGAAACGCTATGATGAGCGATGAAATTCGCTCAGAGGTCCGCCGTATCGTACCAGCGCTGACAGGTAAGGACGCATGACCAGAAATGCCGCGTGCACGTGCACAGCTTTGCTCGCGTACCGCTGTCAAATGCTGTTTTCATATCTACCGACCACGCAGATGACCGTTTCAAAGGACAGTCCGGCAAAATTGCCGTGCTGGGCGGCTGTACGGAGTATACCGGGGCGCCATACTTCGCGGCTTTCGCGGCGTTGGCTGTGAGTGTAACAGCGGGACGGGAGACGGGGCGGAGGGCATGATGACGGAACAGCGAGCACACGGTGACAACGGAACGCAAAGCAGACGGCCGACGAGTTGGAGAAGGGGCTACAGCGAAGCCCCTAGCGCTCCACTTGGGGCTGTCTTCCCATCACTCCTCTAATTCCTAACTCCCTCACAACTCCCTCACGCGTTGCTCCCCCTCCCTCCTCCTTCCCTTCCCACCCCTCCCTCCCTATTAATCCCCCCCGGGCTTTCCCCCCGGGTCCCCAGGTGGGTGCCGACTTGTCCCATGTGTTTTGCTCCACGCGTGCCGCCCCCGTCATCCAGCAGTACAGCCCCGACCTGCTGGTGCACCCCTACTTCATGCAGACAGCGGACCTCATGCAAACACTAAAGGTGGGGATAAAGAGAATACCCAATGTGTGTGGGGGAGGAGGCTGGGAAGGAGAGGGAGGGTGAAAGCAAAGCTAGGCTGCTAGGGCATGAATGGGTGCGAGAGGGGGCGGTGTGGCGTGACGGCGGGGCTTCCAACGCCCAATGCTTCGGACCGATTACGATGGACCATTAATGCCCAACGGAGAGGACTGACGGGCAAACGGGCAGCGAGGGCAGGTGGCGGGCGGGCGGGGGTGGTGCTCTGCCTGCCTCCCTCGGCCCCCTCGGCCCCAAGCGGGCTAGACCCCTAACACCCACAGCCCTGCACCCTCGCTCCATCCCGTCTATCCCCTTTGCTTTGCCCTACCTGTGGCTTCCTATGGTATGGTCTTTGACTTCCCTCTCCCCCACACCCGCAGCCATCCCCTGTCGCCGACAGCACCGCAACCACCACCAACACCGCCGCCGCCGCCGGCTCCGGCCCCTCCCCCGCCGCCACCTCCACCTCCGCCGCCGCCGCCCAGGCTGCCGCCGCCGCCGCGCACGTGGCTGAGGCGACAGCGGAGGTGGAGAGCTGGTTCAACCGGCTGGACTGCCTGGTGGTGGGGCCGGGGCTGGGGCGAGACCCGCTGCTACTGGACATCGCCAGGTGGGGGGCCGGAGGGCAGGGGTTAGGCAGGCGGCGAGCCGCGAGGAAACACGGAGCGTGACCATGGGAAGATAGGGGCGGGAGATGGGTGGGTTGCATGGGTGGGTGGGCAGAGGAGGGAAGAGACTGCCAGAACGACGCGGTCTCCTGCCGCTGCCCGCCCCCCCCCACCAGTACCTCCCCCATCGAGTTCGATCTCCCTCCCTTCAGCTCCCACCTTCTGTGTTCCCGCCCGCCCGCATGCAGGTCTGTCATCCTGCGCGCCCGTGCCGCCAAGCTGCCGCTGGTGCTGGATGGGGACGGGCTGTTCCTGGTGGCGCGGGAGCCGGAGCTGGTGGCAGGTGGGGGAGGGGAGAAGGGGGAGCCGGAGCTGGTGGCAGGTGGGGGGGGGGGTCAAAGGACATGCCATGCCATAGGAAGCCACAGGTTTGGGCAAAGCGAAGTGGATAGGAGGCGGCAGCTGGAGGGGTGTGTGGCGCTGGTGAGGGGCTGGGAGGGGCTTAGGGGGGTAGGGGGGAGGGAGGGAGGGAGGGGTTCGGCCTGCCTTGCCCCTTAACTCCATGCAAATGGGCGCTCCGTTTCCCTCCCTCCCCCTCCCCTGCTTTTCCTCGTTTCCCTTGTCAACACGCTTTCTTTCAAACTAACGTTTCGGTACGCTTTCGCCTCCAATTCTCCCTTGCTATGCAGGTTAGTCAGGGTTCGCACTAGTGGGTGGGCTGGGCGTTGTTAGACCCAAGGTCATTGCGAGGGTCGGGCAGGGTGGGAGGCTTTGGTGCACACAGCCGCATGACAGCCCCAGCTAAGCAGCGGAGCTTACATACGTGATGCTGCTGACAGCATTGCAGCACAGACAGCAGGTGCAGCGCAGCGGCGCCGGTTATCACAGTGGCAGCCGCCTTTTATTCGCCAATACAGAGTGATCTCAAATCACCTTGGCAGCCGCCATGGAGCTTACAATACGGTTTGTTATTGATTATTGCTACTAACTACAATAAATTGCTATCCCTAAAAGCCAGCCTAAGGCGGATTACGTTTCCAAATTAATCCCCCTCCCCTCCCTCTCCCCCCCTTCCCCGCTCCTCAGGCTACACCAACTGCGTGCTGACCCCCAACCTGAACGAGTTCCGGCGGCTGAGCTCCACGCTGGGCGTGTCGCTGCACGGCCCCAACAACGACCGCTCCTCCAAGCTGCTGGAGGTGACCAGCCACCTGCAGGGGCCCACGCTGGTGTCCAAGGGGCCGGTGGACGCCATTTGTGATGGCAAGGTCACCATGATTTGCAACGCCAGTGGAGGTGAGAGGAGGGGGGGGAGAAATAGAGGGTGAGAGGAGGGGTGGGGGGTGGAGACAGCGAGGGGGAAAGAGCTACCAAAAGCAAAGTAGTTGGGTTTGCTTGTGACAGGGTGACGGACCGGCTTGTGACAGGGTGACGGACCGAGATGGTGGTTGAGTTACGGAGAGCAACTGTGTAAGGACTACATACAGCCAAATCCGCCTTCAACCCCCTCCTCACTCGCACCCTCACTCCTACCCCAACCTCGCCCCGCCCCCTCGCTCCCTCCTCAGGCGCCAAGCGCTGCGGCAGTCAAGGCGACATCCTGGCCGGCACCATCGCCACCTTCATCGCCTGGACACTCGCCTTCCTGGAGGCGGCGCGCAAGGCAGCCGAGGTGGACGTGGTCATCCTGCCTGAGATCAACCCCATGGTCCTCGCCTCGTACGGCGCATGCCTCGTCACCCGTACGGCAGCAGCGTATGCGTTTGCGAGCCGTAAACGAGCCATGGTGGCATCGGACATGCTGGCGCAGCTGGGGTCAGCGATGGAGATGTTGTTTGATTCGGCTGGGGGTGCGGGCGCGGGAGGGGGCGGCGGCGGGGGAGGTGGGGGCGCGGTGGGGGTGGGGGCGGGGGTGGGTGGCGGGCAGGGGCCGGGGCTGCTGCAGGCGCATGTGGCGCCGCCGGGGGGGTCGATGATGGGGGTTGGGAGCGGCAGCGGGGGTACGTAAGGGGTGAGGGGGTGGGTGAGGAGAGAGGGGGAGCGGATGGGGATTAGGGGTTGGGGAGGGGAGGGGAGGGTGCTTGGGGTTGGGGGTTGATGACGGGGTTCGGAGCATGTCGAGAGACCTTATCGAAAGTGCACGCTGTGCGGCTATAACTCTTGCGACGCTAAAGGGGGCCTTCAGACCTCATCCAGTGACCTACAATGTGACCTCTCATCTTCGTACGCATCTCGCCGGCCTTGGGGCTGGGACTCGGACGTTACCGGTGTGTGTATTCACGAGTTACATATATGCTGTAGCCCAATTGACCTTTTGTGCTACTGGTGCGGGTTTTGAATGTTGTCAGCACTGCGGCATCAGTCAGGCACCCGGCCAAGGCGCAGCGGGACTGCAAAACGGTTCAGCTGGCTGTGTTAAGAAAACTGACCGCGAGTCGGAACGTGCTGGGATTGCCGGGAGCTGGCTGTGTATGGCATGCATGGGTTCGCGCATCGGCTATAGTGGCTGGTCGAATCGGTACATCGGCGTGGAGATGGTATGCGGTCATGTCGCTTGTTGGCAACCAACAACGACACTTTGGTCACTTACAGTGCTTACTCATGTCTGCCGTGCTTTCCGAATCACCAGCCTTACTGTGGCGACTTTGCCGGTCGCTTCCCCATGCTGGGAGACCACCACACCCCAACCGCAACCCCACCTTGCACACATGTAACTGTAGACAATCCGGTGACAGTAAGCCTTCTCTACGCCAATCGGCGGGACTGTGTAACAAACATCACTGAGCAGGGAGTCGTGGAGTGCCTCGTGGGAACGGTATCCCTTTCAGTGCTTGCCGCCCCCTCCCGGCCCCTTGCCCGGCTTCCTAATCCCCAACATCGCCTCCACCTTACGATCCCCCAGCAGCGGCGTCAGGTTACCCACCGCCGCCGCCCCGCCCCGCTGCTGCCCCCCCGGCCCGCCGCCACCGACCCGCGGTACCCCAGCCAGCGGGTGCACCGGACCCCCCGGCGGAGGCGGCGGCAGCCCCTTGCCACCCGCGGGACGAGGCGGCCGCCGCCGCTCTGCTGCTGCCGCACCCTCTCCCTCCTCATCACTATCCGCTCCTCCGCCTCCCCCCGCTCCTGCTGCCCCCGCCGGCAGCCCCGCCTTCTTGCCGCTGAGCACCACGTACGCGCTGCCCGTGACTCGCTGCACTGCGCGCAGGCGGTCCAGCTCCGCGGAGGGGTCCTCGCTGGTGGCCGCCTTCTTGGCGGCGATCTCCTCCGCGTCGCGCTGCGCCTGCTTGTCGATTTTGTTCTTGGAGGGCTTGATGCCGTGGAAGCTGGGGGGGGAGAGAGGGGGGAGGTAACTTTAAGGAAACGGACGAGGCAACTCACGGGCTGTGTGACATGTAGGCTTCAGCATGGGGTGCAAACATGGTAGCCGGCACATCCCAGGGCGAGAGGGGGGTCGGGGAGGGGGGCATTGCATGGGGTGGGTGGGAGGAGGTGGGAGGTATAGGGTGTGTACATGGGGTTCTTCCTACTAGACCCTACCTGCTGCGTGTGCCCTACGTGCCATAACCGTCCAAACACCCGCCCGCCCCAGTCGTACATACACTCCTGCCCTCCCCCCCCCTGCCCCCGGCGCCAAACAGCCAACTCACGAGTAGCAGATCTGCCTGAATCGCTCCTTGGGTGTGAGCACCCTGCCGTACTTGTCGCGCACTGTGAGCGCCGACTCCACAGCGCGAGCCACTCGGTCCTCGTTGCGGCCGCCCGTGAACACGTCATCCAGGCCCTGGGAGGCGGGGTGGGTGGGTGCGGGAGGGAGGGAGAGAAAAGGGTGAGGCTCTTGGTGGAGGGAGGGTTGGTGAGGGCTCTTGCCGTTCTGCCCTATCGTGGCCGCTTAGCACGTCCGCTCCACCCCGACCCCGGCTCCGACCTCACTGCTCGCAGTGCATGCCCCCCACCCTCTACAATGCACAGTATGCCCTTGGCCACTAAACCCTCAGCTCCCTCCCTCTATTTAAGCACGGTTCTTCTTTCCCCTTCCTCCCTCCGCACCCACCAGCACCGCATTCTTGCTCTTGTCGTTGTTGCGCCCGCTCCACTCCACCTGCTCCTTCAACGTCCCCTTCTCATTCATCAGCCCCAACACACCCGCCAGGCCACGACCCACGGGTCGCTCGCCGATCACACCCGCCACCGCCGCTGTCGCTGTTGCTGCTGCTCCCGGCGTCCGCTCCCTCTCTCCCCGTCCTCCTTCTCCCGGCGGCCCCTCCGACCCCTCCCGTGTCCGCTTGTTGCCACGAGCCGCCCCATCGCCGCCTCCGTCGCCAGCCGCAGCCTCCGCATCCATCTCCTCCGCCGTGACCCAGGTTCCCGTACGAGCCGCCGCCGGCTCCTCACTACGACCGCGACCGCTGCCGCCGGCGCCTTCGTCGTCGCTATCGCCGCCGCCGGCGCCGCCCATTCGCGCGTCGCCGTCGTCGTCAATGTCGCTTCCGTCGCCGTCGGCGTAGGCGCGAACACTCGCAGCGCCGGCGCCGCCACTGGCGGCGCCGCCGACGGAGGCAGTGCCGGCGCCGCCGGCGCTTGGTTGCGGCTTGGCGGCTGCTGCCGCTGCTGCTGCAGAAGGCGCCGCCTGCGATCAGGTTGGGATGGGACATGAGGAAGGAAAGCACACCTTTAGCTGGGTGGGACAGCAAAGGGGCGCCTGTGTCCTCCATGGGTTCCCAGATAGTTACCCCCAGACCCCGCTCCTCCCTCACGGTAACAGACTCCATCCTTTCCCGTCCTTCCCCCACCGCCGCAACGCCGCAGTCCTCACCCTCACCCTCGCCCTCACCGCCCCCGCCCTCTCCGCCCCCCCCGGCCTCACCGTGATGTTCCGTACGAACTCCATGGTCTCCGTGATGACCTGCTGCGGCCCCCCGCTGCCGTCCGCCTCGGGCTTGACCACACCAATGTCCGCGAACAGCGCACCTGGGGGAGGTGGAGGGGGGAGAGGGGCGGTGTGGGGTAAGCGCAGGAGAAAGAGAGGGGTCGTTTACCGTGTGGAAAAGGTGTAACAAGGCAGGCCAAGTCCTCCTCCTCAGCACCCCTACCTCGCTCCCCCACCCTGCCCATCCGCCCTACTTACTACCCGACCCGCCCCCCCTACCCACTCACCTATCCCTCCCGCCTTGCTCCCCTTCTCCGCCTCCCTCCTCGCAGCAGCCATCCTCGCCACCTCCTCCACACTCCCTCCTCCTCCTCCCACCTTGCGCTCCTCCCCACCCTCCACCTCCATACCCTCTCCTCCCTCCTCCCCCTCCTCCTTCTTAACCGCCACCCGCCGTGCCGCCTCCTCCTCCTCCTTCTTCTTCTGCGCAAGCCGTCGAGCCCTCTCCAGCGACTCCCGCAGCTCCCGGTCTGCCTCATCGTCCTCCTCCCCCACCAGCGCCGTTGCTGCCCCCCTCCCTGCCGCTGCTGCCACTCCCGCCTCTGCCGTACCCTTCTGCGCCGGCCGCAGAAACTGGGAGGCCCAATTAGCTCGCTGTACGGCAGCCTCGAAGCGAGCGCGCTTCTCCTCGGCTGAGGCGCGTGCGGCTGCTTCCGCTCGGGCTGCTGCGGAGCCGCGATCGGCTCTCCGACCCAGATCAGATGAGGCGCCGGCTCCCCCTGCTGCTGCTGCTGCTGCCTCCTCGGCTTGGGCTTCTAGGGTGGCTAGGAAGTCCGCACTGAGGGAGTGAGGGAGGGCGGCATGCGGTTAAGGGGTGTATACGGCAGCAGGGGGGTCAGGTCTCAGGAGGGAAAGCATTCGGAGGGAAGCAGTGCTGCACAGCCGGCAGCGTGTCCTTTCTTCCACCACCTGCACTTGGATCGTCATCCCATCTGCAATCGAGCCCCACTTCCTGGTTTCCCCGCCCATCCTGATTCCCCTCATCCTTTACTCCTATAACTCCTTCCCTAATCCGCCACCCTCCACCCTAACTCTCACCCCTCCTCCGGCTCTGCGCTCTTGGCCCTCAGCCGTCGCTCGCCCTTGGGCTTCTTAGCCTTCTTGGGTTTGGCAAAGGCGGCCATCTCAGCAGGGGTGTAGTAATCGCCGCCTGCCGTGGCATTGTTACCCTTATCATTGCCGTTACCGCCGTCGCCGCTGAAATCCGCGAGTCGGGCGTTACCTGTTTTTGCCGCGATGGCCGCGGGGAAGGTAAAGAGGCAGAGGTGACGAAGGAAGAGGTGAAAAAGGCAGAGGTGAAGAAGGAAAAGGGGGTGGTGTGATTAGACGCGAGGCAAGCCCAAGGCTAAGACAGGCGAGGCTAGCCCCAACCCAAGCTAGCAATGACGGGGGCTGGATCCAACCCACATCAGACATCCCCAGCCCCGGCTGTCCCGCCCGCCCGCCCCGCTTCCTACCTTCCGCCAGCCTCTTCCGCACCTCCTCCTGCCTCCGCTGCCGGTCGCCTGCCCCCCCAGCCGTCCCATGCTGCTGCAGCCGCCCACCCGCCCCCAGCTGCAGCACCACCTCCTCCTCCTCCTCGTCGTACTTGTCTAGGATGGTGCGGACCTGGGGGGGGGGGAAGAAGGATTCCTGACGTGTTGAATGAGAATGCAAGCCAGAAGACAAGCTCCGTTGGGGGGGAGAAAGAGGGAACGACTAACGAACCGTGTGATAAGGCGTGGAGGAAGCGACTAACGAACTGTGTGGAGGCGTGGGAGGGGTAGGGGCCACCCCGGGGTGGAAGGCAAGGCGGACCCAAGAAGGGAGGGAGATAGGCATGGAGGACGGCAACCCCCTAACCCCGTGCCCCTGTTCCACCCCATTCCCTCCTCCTTCTGCCCGCCAATCCTCCCCACCTTGCCATCCTCCTCCCACAGCGGCTTGGCCTCCTTCTTAGCCGCCTTGAGCGCCTTGCGCCGCCGCTTCTCCTCAGCCTGAGCAGCAGCAGCAGCAACAGGGGTGGTGTGATGGGGGCGGTGAGGGGTGTGGCGATGAGTGGGCATTGAGGGGGCGGTGAGTGGTGGCGCATGTGGGTCAAGATGGTCGTGGGTAGCCATGGGCCTATGGCGCTCCGGCAGCCACCAGCAGCTCCAGCTCCGGCCCTCTTGCTCCCTCGCTCCCCTACCCACTCCCACTCCATGTGGTTTGCCCCTTGCCCTGCCCCAACTTGTGTTTTCTTGTGCCCCGGTTTACTTCTGACTCCGAACCCATGTGGGCTGGTCTCTTCCTGATCCCCCCAAAGCGCCCCCCCAGTCCCCACGTACCCACGGACCCACCCACGTCCCCGTCCACCCAGCCCCCCCCCAGCAGTCCCCACCAGCAGCGTGTTCTCCAGCTCGTCCTCCTCGTCGCCCTCCCGCAGCTGCCCCCGCTCGTCCAGCAGCGGCTTGTCAGCCAGCGTCACGATCACCGTCTCGCCCTCGGCCACGTCAGCAAGGTCGTGCCGTACCTTCAGGCCCTCCAGCTCCGAGGCGCGGTAGCCGCCGCCCCCGCCATCCTCGTCATCGTCATCATCAGAGTCCTAGCAGGTGGGCGGGAGGAGTGGGAGCGGGAGGATTGGGAACAGTGGGAGGGCGGGACTTGCGGGACTTGGGAGAGTGCGTGTTATAAGTGCTACATGCCCCAGGCATCTCCTGATCACCCCCTTCACGCCATGGATGCTGCTGCATCCCGTTCCCTCCAACGCCTTTTTGCTTGGGCCCTGGTCGCCTTTTTGGATGTACCACAAACACCGCCCACCAGGCCTGAAGCATATGCCAACGCACCCGCTGTTTGCGCTTGTTCTTGGCGGCTGCTGCCGCGGCCGCTGCAGCTGCCTTCTGTGCCGCTTCCTCCCTGCGCTGCTGCTCAAGTCGGCGGTTCTTCTCCACCCAGGCCGCCATATCGTCCTCATCGTCGTCAGCAGCGCCAAGGGTCTTTACTGAACGCAGCTTGGCCTCCATAACACGCTTCTCCCGGGCTCTGCATGCAGGCAGTTGGGAATGGGTTTGGGTATGGGCGCAGGCGGCTTGCGACATCCGCAAAAGGTCCGAGTTGTCGTGGCCATTTGATAATGGTCCAGCGCTGGTTGTGCAGTGCTCGTGCAGCGCAAACGCCAGCAGATGAGCACTTACGCCTCGATTTTCCTGCGCAGTTCTGCCGCCTGAGCCTCCGCTTCTTCGCGCTTCTTAGCCTCATGGTTCTGCCGCTCCTTTTCGGCCTGGTTTGGCTGCGAGTCGATCCGGAGTGGCTTCAGGCCCAGCGAAATGCGTAGCCTGCGGTGTATAAGTCCACGTCTGCAAACTGCACCCAAAGGAAGAACTCGTAAAGCAAAACTTTACTCACTTGTTCGTCTCCTCTATGCTCAAGCTAACTTCGCCTCCTGCAGCCCCATCTTGCTCCATTGTCTCGCTGAAGCCCCTAGGGGCGCAGCTTTTTCAAGTCACGCAACCAGATCTAACAGCAACGGACAAAGGGAACTGATCGTAAGAACGAAGGGTGTTAGTGAGAATGTTGCAATGAAGCCACGGCACGACTATAGGGTACGCGTACTGTATATTGGGCTGTTTTAATTCAGTTCCCGCCTTAAGGAAAGCCGCACATGGAGGACGCTGCCGCATGGGTGATGCCCCATGCAGCCATGCTGAGCAAGGCCCCACGCCGTTGGCTCGGCAGCGTACCAGGCAAACGTAACTTAGTCACCTGGTTTGGCACCAACAATACTCTACAGCGCGACTTGCATCGTTGTTTTGAACAACTCTAGTCCACACACAGAGCAGCAGTTATGGCTCTTGCCCAGGCAACTAAGGCTTGCAGCCTGCAGGCCGCTCCTGTTCCGAAGTCCCTTGTATTTAGGCCTTGCTCAATTCGCGCTTCTCCTCGGCTCTATAGCCCTACCGAACAAAGGTATGCGTTTCATCGCTCTTACAACACCAGCGCGGCCTTATTGGGACGACTCGCGACGGGGCGGCATACTATCATCGTGCAGGGATGCTAGCCAAAGGATGTCCGTGGTGCTGTTTGCCAAGGGTGGCAAAGGGGGCAAGGGAGGCAAGGCGGAGTCAGCAGTGAAGGACGAAAAGCCTAGCAAGGGAGCTGGCGGAGGCGTGGACGTCCAGAAGATTTCAGCGGATGCCAAGAAGGACGCGGTGCGTAATAGCCGCTGGTCTAGCAGCGGCTTGCCGTGCCTGATGCCGTTCCATCATCGCATTTTCACCCGACGACCGGCCTAGCCCAACCCATTTCGCCATGTATTACGTAGGAGGAGCGCATGAAGAAATGTCTCAACGTAGTCGCAGAAGGCTTCAACACCATCCGCACCGGCCGTGCCAATCCCGCCATCCTGGATAAGGTCATGGTAAGTCCTTGGAGGAGCATGTTGGGACGGTAACAGTCTTCCTGGCTCCCATAGCCCAGGTATAGCTGGTGCTAGCTGGTGCTGCTGAAAAAATGTCGATGGCCTGGCTAGTGCTTTCGTGACACAAGCTTGATGAAGGAAGACCGTGGGAAGCTCGGCTGGGAGCTGCCCACACCACCCCGCACCCTGCCGTGCTGGGCTTGTCAGCAACAGCGCAGCATCCGCAGCATAACAGCAGCAGCAGCGGCGTAGCGGCAGCAGCAGCGGCGTAGCGGCAGCAGCAGCTACAGCTGCTTCCTTAGCCTGATTCCCACCGCACATCTGGGCTGGGTGTGCAGCAGCTGGGGACGTGCAAGGAACCGCCACTACCCGGCCACAACGGCTGCATGCATGCTCGCATGCACAGCGCGGGGCGAATGTATCGAGGGGCATGCGCCTCGCTGCAAGCACCCACGCCAGTCCAGCAGGCCGGTCGTAGGCTCCTGGCGGGGGCTGTGGGAGGATGTTGGTGTGGCGACGGCGCAGTAGTTGTAGCGCAGTACAGCGGGACGAGGGCGGCAGCAGTTCGACCAGGACTGAAGGCACGGCAGCGATAGCGGGTTGCAAGGGTGGAGGACAGCAGCAGCGGCGGCGGCAGCGGCAACAGCAACGTGGCAGGGGGGCATTTGTCGCGGCTTGTGTAGTCGTGTTCCGCAAAAGGGCTCCTCTCACCGGCCGTCGAATGCAACTGCAACACAAGCACATCAGCTATGCTATGACCGCTGATTGAACTCTTGAAAGCAACAGGAGTTGCGCACACCTGTCTAGGTCTGAGGATTACTGATTTCGTCCCCGGACGACCCATGGGTCTCTCCTCCTCACCCTCCCTCCTCCCCAGGTGGAGTGCTACGGCTCCCCCGTGCCCCTCAAGCAGCTGGCCGCCGTCACCGTGCCCGACTCCCAGACGCTGCTGATCAGCCCCTTCGACAAGGGCAGTCTGAAGGACGTGGAGCGGGCGCTGCTGGAGGCGGACCTGGGCATCAACCCCAACAACGATGGAGAGCGAGTGCGGCTCATCATGCCGCCCATGACGCAGGTGGGGAGGGGGGGGGAGGGGGGTAAAACAAACTGACGAGGGAAGGGGAGGGGGTGCAGAGGAGGGTGAGGGGTGAAAATGGACGGGACTCAACTCCCTCCGCTTTTTCCTCCACCCGTGCCACAACAACTCCCCCTCACACCGCTTCTAACCATTGGTCAGTACTGTTCCAGCCCTGGCGAGGCATCCAACCTCCCTTTACCTTTACGTGACCTTCACCCCTAAAATCTGTACCCCCCACCCCCCCACCCCGCCCTCTCAGGACCGGCGCAAGGAGCTGTCCAAGCAGGTGTCCAAGATGAGCGAGGAGGGCAAGGTGGCGGTGCGCAACGTGCGCAAGGACGCCATGAAGAAGGTCGACAAGGTGGGAGAAGAAAACTGGCCGGTAGTCGGAACATACTGTGATTGCCGGAAGATGAAGTCCCCCACAGAGACGCCATAGGAGCCGAGGAGTAGGTTGGCGCTTGTAGGTACATGTATCCACCATGGTGAAGCCTCGTCATACAGTTTGTCAGTTTTCTCTATTTTTACCCCCCACCCCTCCCCCCTTCCTCATCACACCACACATTGGAATTTCTCCCCGCTCCCCCCCCAGGTTGAGCTGCCCAAGGACGACAAGAAGGCGCTGGAGGACGACATTCAGAAGCTGACCGACACCTACGTCAAGAAGCTGGAGGACATGGCCAAGAGCAAGACGGAGGAGGTGATGAAGCTGTGAGGGGGAGGATGGGGAAGAAGAGTACCCAAGGTATTGGCTGAGAATGGCAAACAAGACGACAGGGGAGCGGGGAAGGGGAGGGGCGCGAGGAGAAGGGGACCCCAGTAGGTTGCTGCAGTGCGACATGGCTTCAACGCGGGGTTGGAGGGCCACGGGTGGGAGGAGCTATGAAGCTGTGGAGAGGGTTCGTGTGATAGGGCGAGGCAGGGAGGGAGCGCTGTGCGGGAAGGTTGGTGAGATCGGGTAGTGAGGGGCGGGGAAAAGAGCAGGGAGGGGTGTGCACTGCGGCCGACAGGTACCTGCCGGGTGTGTCATGAGGGGGCTGTGCTGCTGGACGCTGGTCGCTCTCGGTGGTTTGTTGGATCAGGTCGTTAGGAAGTACGTACCGCTGGTGCTCTTTAGGTGTGCGACTTTCGGGGGCAATAGTTCCATGTTTATTTATGATGTTGGAGGATGTTGGGGGGAGAGTCGGACGGCGTTGGCATGAGCACCAGATTAGGCACATGCAAGGCAGCGTTGACACTGGCTGTTGGCAATTTTGGGTTGACAAGATTCTCAAACATTATTCCGGCACGTTTTGGCATATATACCCACATCTACGGGCATGTATATGATATCAAGGCAGCACGACAAGCAGGAACGCCAATATAAAGCATCCACGCATTCACATCCCCTTGTGGAGTAACCCCTGCATGCATGGGTGTCGTACGACAGAAGCATCGGCGTCTGGTACGTGAACAGCCGCTACCGGCAAAAAGCCCTAGGAGCGGCCTTACTCAGCAATAGTGATAATAAACTTGATAATGTTAGCAAGCGGAAACCAGGGGGAACAGCAAAATCTCCTATTTTATCCTATGGCAGCTATATCCCTTTGGATAGCCGCAAGTGTGGGAAAGGCTTCCTTCCCTCCTACCACGACCCAAGCAGCCTGCAATACCTGCCAGCAAAGGCGTGTACGTACCCATGCACATACCGCAAGCCGACACCAACCCCAAACCACTTGCCTCGTCTGCATGCGTCCTCCGCCCCCATGTATGGCCATGACGCTCAACCCCAACCTGCCTAACCCATGCAGCTCCCTGTCTTCATCTTCATTACCAGTACCATACTCACTCCGGCACTCGGACCCCTGGCCCCACACAGCCCCCTCCCCCCCTAACTACACTTGGGACCAACTCGAACCCCTCTCTTCACCACATTTCCCGTAAACCCCCTCCCCCTCCTCCACCACCTCCACCCACCACCACTCAACCCCTTCTCAGTTGTTGCTAGCCGCCGCCGCTGCCGCTGCCGCCGCATCCGCATACATGGCGGTGATGGGCGGCGTGTAGGCCCTCTCCCGCTCCCATGCAATCTGGGAGGCCATGGTGATGACGGCGCGCGCGTCCCGCTCGTCCAGCACGGGCCGGTAGAAGGGCACCCGCAGCACCTGCGGCCCCTCCTGCCCCGCCACCTCCGACCGCAGGTACATGCCCAGCTGGTCCACCCACAGCAGCTCCACGTACGACATCTGAGGGGGAGGAGCAGGAGATGCATGGAGGGGGGTTGGCTTGGAGGGGCATGTGGGGTAAAAATAAGGATACCGGCGAACTGTGTGATGAGGCTTCACTATGGGGTGCTAATTGAACCCGGCCCATCCCACTCCATCCGAATGTGGGGGGTGCATGCGGTTGGGTAGCACGGGGGTAAATGCAGTAAAACAAGAGGTGCAGGTCCCAGACCGATTCTGCTGGTTTGGACACTTCAATAGCCGCGCATTATCCGACCTCATGGCACAACCTAACTTGCATCCCCTCCTTACCTCACCTTCCCCTCCTCCACTACCTCTCCAGCACATCCTCTTCCACCCTCTGCAGCACATCCCCTCCCACCCTCCTTAACCCCGCCCCCAGCCACACCCACCCGCCCACCCACCTCCGTCAGCGGCACCCCCAGGAAGTCGCTGACGATGCGGTAAAGGTCCTCAGCACACTCGCTGCAGGCGGACAAGGGGGTGAGGGGGGGAGGGATTAGAGCCGCGAGGGGAAAGACCATACCGAACCATGGGAAACCACAGGTGAAGCAAAGCGCGTGCAGGCGGGGTGGAGGGGGGCTGAGGGAAAAGCAGCCGGAGGAGAAGGCATTCGAACCCCTCCAACCCAACAATCTCCGTGAGCTGAGAAGCTGAGAGAGACAAAAACCGCAATCCAACGATCTGCGTGAGCTGAGATGCCGTCTCCCTGCACCTCCCCTCCGTCAACCCTCCACCTCTCCTGTCTGCCCTACCCTCCACACTCTACCCGCCCTGTCTCCCACAGCCCGCTCCCTAGGTGCTGAGGACCGGCTCCAGCAGCCGGTCCTTCCTCCACCCTGCTAAACCACTCACCCATAACCCCATACCCTCCTCCCCAACCCTATACCACCCCTTTCTTATATCCCCTTCAACGCCCATCAACCCGGCGAGCCCACCTGTTCCATGTATTGACCAGCTCCGGAGCCGCCTTCCGCAGCGCATCCGGCTCAGCGGCCTGGAAGTCTGAGCCGCTCACCTCCAGGCCGCGAGATGACTGAAACAGGGGAAAGGAAGAGGATAAGGGCAAGGAAAGAAGGAAATAGGGGATACAGAGTGGCAGTGCTGGGGATGGAGGGCAGGGGATGGGTGGAGAGGTACGTGTAACTGGCGATGCGAAATTGTCGGGTGTAGCCCACCTGGTCCAAGCCCCCAAAGTAGAAACACCTTTCCACGTTGAGGGGTAGAGTGGTTGCTGAGAAGTCAGCTGGAGCATCCAGCTTGCCCATGAGCGTCACAGCTGCGACTGCGCGAGCAGGCTGGCAGGTGGGCTGCACCATGAGGCTGCAGGCAGTGCTGCCTTGGATGTTAGCCATCTCCAGGGCCTCACGTTCCATGTGTAGCTGCAGTTGACCCTGTTTATCCGTGCTGAATGTCACAGGGATGCCGACTGGAAGACCGCTAGCGTTGACTGTGCACAGGGTGCCCTCGTTAACGATGTCGACAATAGTACGGATAGTCTGTGCAGGTGTTGGGCAACGAGCGCCCGAGCATCTGGCTTTGGAGTGAACGCCATTGCCATTGCCGTTGCCGTTCAGCGAGGCTGCCGCGTTGCAAATGGTAGTAGCATGAGGACGAACAGAAGTAAAAGGCTGAGGCCTACGAGATGGGCCTGTTCGCACTTGATTTTGCTGAATGCGGCCCGCAGGGAGAGCCGAACGCTGCATATTTCTTTAAATGACTCTTTACAGGATAATAACTACTGATAAACAGCTATCCCTGATAAACTTAAGGGCTTTTGGGTCGAACTTCACAGCCAAAACCTGGTGAAACAGTCGCAGGACTTAGATCAAATGGCAGAAGAGTAGCAAGCAGATAAGGCTTTATGCATAGCAGCTATCGAGACGCAGGTTCGATCAAAGTGGACCGGTGATCAAGAATAGATTTTGCAAGTATAGGGCCCCCGTGGCCTAACTTTCTGAATGCTCACAATCGGGGTGGATACCCTTACTCACGCAAACATCTTCTGTGATATATCGACGTGTTAGCGAGGACTTTGCAATAGTCAGGCTTAAGTCGTGCACGTGTCATCTTGCAAGCATCAGTACGGCCGCGGCACCCCAATCGGCTCGCGATTCCCCCACGCCACGTACACACCTCTGTGTCGTGCCCTCGTCCGCACGCACCTACAGTTGGAGTCCCACCCTGTCTTCCCGCCCTCAGGCCCTGTGCTGAGACAACCCAATTATGAAAGAAGCATTCCGATACCAGTCTGTCCTGCACGGTCTTTGTACCACACACGCTGATGCAGGCCAAGGAGTAGGCGGCCGGTGGCGCGCGTGTCGTTTATGGTACAACTTAAATGTTGAGGAGAGAAAAGGGCCTGAAAAGGTGAGACCATGCGTAGCTTACCAGCCGTAAACCCAGGCCCCTTTGCTAGGGGGCGAACGTGACCTCTTCGTCATGAACGAGTCTTGCAGGACGCAGAGAGATCAAGCTGGCCGCGACCCGAGGACGGCATGGTTTCCATCCTGTGTACGGGACGAGACTGACACCAGTACATTCACTCATTGAACGGCAGCTCGCACGGGTATGGCTGTTTAGAACCGTTAACGCATAAGACCTAATCTAATCCTAACCCTAACCTAAACCTAACTGAACAAGAGTCAATGTGTCCAACCGCCGAACATACGCATGCACAAAGCAGGAGCCGCCGACGCATAACCCCCAAGACAACTCCCAAGCTCCTACGATAACCCAGCCTGCGAAAAATCCAAGCAGAATCCAAGTCTGTGTTGGCCTCCGTCTCAAGTCTCCCCTTAAAAGCTACCTACTACGCTATCCTACCCACCCCATGAACAGCATGCTAAAATATCCTTATTCTCACCTTTTCACCTTCCTCCTAAACTAAGCAATACTTGAACCAAAGAAGAAAGAACAGTGCGCCACAATGGTGGTATTGGAACATCCAGAGTAACAAAAAACACTCCATGTAGATCTAACCATCTCTGCCTTTTGCTTCTATCTGTCTTTTGCTTCTATACATCGCCATGCGTCCTAGCTTCACCTCAAAACCGCCCATGCCTCGTCCGCAATCCATTATCCCACGGCACCACCCGACCGCCCCGCGGGTCACTCCATCATCCTTTCCCTCATTCCCCTCATCAATCCGATTCCTCAATCTCGATGGGCTTCTCAGCGGATCCGGGCTCAACACCCGGCACCACCGCCGCCATCTTTCCCACACCGCACCCTGCCGCTACCGCTGCTGCCGTTGCTCCCACCGTTACTCCCGCCGCAATCCCCGCCGCGGGAGTCTTCCCCCAATCTTTCACCACTCCAACAGCCCCGCTGCCACCACCATGCAGCACCTTGCCCGACGGAGGCGCCTGCTCTTTCTTCCGTACCTCCGCCCCCGCCTCCCCTGCCGCTGTGACAGGTGCTGCTGCTGTGGAGGGCTTGCTGGATGGACCCAGGCGCGCAAAAGGCAGGAGGCTTTGCCGCTTTGCAGCCTTCTGCTTCCCGCCAGCGCTACCACCACCACCGCCGGCGGCTGCATTGGCGCCGGCCGTCTTGCCGGCACTGTCCCCGGTAGGCGTCAAACGCGGTTGCTGCTGCTGGGGCTTCTGCTGCTGCCCTCCGGATGTTGCCGCGGGGGCAGTAGCCGAGCCACCAGCACCTCCGGCAGCAGCGCCGGGCGAGGGCGGCTTGTTCTGTTGCTGGGATGCAGCCACGTGTTGGGAAACCACGTTGAGCAGCACGGTAGCCAGCGCCTCCTGCTGCTGCAGCTGCAAGAGCTTGCTGCTGCTATTGCCACCATCAGCACCGCCAACACGTGCGGCTGCTCCGGATGCCGGCACAGAGCCTACTCCTTTTCCTGCTGCTACTGCTGGGGCGCCTGTGGCGGCTGAAGTGGGTTTTGAAGCGGCAGCAGTAGCAGCAGTAGGAGCGGCAGCGGCGCCGGTTCCTGCTTGGGTGGGCGCGGCGGCTCCGGCGGACTTCCTAGTCCCCCTGAAAGACAGGACCGGCCTGCAGGAGGGGGTAAAGGTAAGGCAGGAAGGCATTGAGTCAAGGGTTAGGAAATGCAAATCCGTAAAGCGGTTAGGAGTACCGCCCACACAGCCCAGCAACCCCCCACACACGCGCACGTCATACATGACTCATACACCCCCCTCCCATAGCAGCCCGCCTCCCATGCTTAATAGCATACTGCTGGTCACCCAGCGCACCCACACAGATACCCCTGCCACATGCAAACGCACGCGCATGGCGTGCACCCCGCCTCCCATGCATCTGGATAACCTCACCGTTTCTGCGCACCCCTGTGCCGGTCCAGGGTGCTTTGTACCACCTTGGACAGCCGCTTGGTGAGGTTGCTGATCAGCTGCCGCCACTCATCCTGCAAGGGGAGGAAGGGGGGTCGGAGATGTACCACAACCACAGGTTAGGGCCAGGCAATAGAGGAAAGGTGGAACGGGGATGGGACGGGAGGGACAGGAAGGGGTGGCGAGGGAGAGGAGGGCAGAGAGTGTAGGACGAGGACAGACGAAAACGGAGGGTCTAGCAGGTGTCAGGCGCCAGGAGGGGGGGTCCAGCCCATGATGCTGCCGTTGCTGCGCAAGGGAGGACGGCAGCACCTACGACACCTAGGAGAGACCCCATCACTGCCAGATTCGCACTTCCGAAACACACACGCACCATTTTTCGCGGCCAATTTTATTAACCAACACGCACCCTGTCAAGCACCCCCTGCTACCCTTCTTCATTCCCCCACAGTCCCCAGAATTCTCCAGGAACCCCAACCTTCCTTCACACACGACCAATTCAACCCCCAAATCCTCCACACGCCCCCCTATCCAACCTGCGTCATCCGCTGCGGCTTGGTTTTCTCCCCAGCCCCTCCAGACGTGATCCTGAGGTCCACCTCCAAATCGAAATCATCCGAGTCCATCAGGTCAAAATCGTGCTTCCCCTGCTGCTGGCCTTGCCCTTGCGCCTGCTGCTGCGTTCCCTCTTGCTTCCCCTGCTGCTTCTCATTTTCCTCCTCCTGAGGCGGCGGCCCCTCCTTCTGCTTCCCCTGCTGCTGCTGCGGCGCCTGCCCTCCCTGCTGCACCTGCTCCTCCTGTGCCTGCCCCTCCTCCTGCTCCTCCTCTCCCTCCGCCAAGGGTTTTAGACGGGCAAACTTGCCGGCAAGGGGGGGGTTACGCAGCGCATGCTCCGCGGTACGTCGGCTGGCGTAACCCCGCGTGTAGCCCACCTGCGAGGCGAGAGGTTTGGGAGAAGAAGAAGTAGAAGGGGGTTGGGAGAAGAAGAGGGTTTCAAAGGCAGACATGAGAGGGGTTTGGAGTTTGCGGGGGGAGACATTTCGAAGGCAAAGACTCCAATAGTGTGGTTAGGTTCCATTCATCCTCCCCCAGTTATTTTAACACACATACCCATGGTGAATTTTAGTTTCTTCCTCTTTACCCGCCAACCCCGCATGCAGCCCACCTGCACTGCCGCCTGCAGCAGTGCCTCATCATCCGCTCGGCCCCACCAGCCTGGCAAACCGGCCGAGGGGGGAATCTGTAGGTACGGCACATGATAGGTCGGCGCCGCTGCTGCTGCGGGCCCTGCCGCCGCCGCCGCTGTAGCTGATCCCCCAGCGTTAGCACCCTCGCGGTTGTCGTTACCGTTGTTACCGTTACCGTTGGTGCTGCCGTCCGGCCGTACCAGTGCTGCGAGCGTTACCATGGCCTTGGCGTGCTGCGTGGCTTCGACTGCATCGCGCAGGATACGGCGTACGGTGGGAGGGGCGGCCAGGATCTTGCGGAGGTACTCGGGAAGCTGCGAGGAGGACAGGTGGAGAGGAGGATAGGTGGAGAGGAGGACAGGTGGAGAGGAGGATAGATGTCTTTCGCAGGGGAGGTCATGGGGGGTCAAATAAGACCAAACCATATGAAACCACAATAGGGCATATTAGTTGGGGAAAGAAGCCGCAGGGGTCGACAAGACAAACGAGGGTTAAGATTTTGCCAGCCCCTGAAAGAAGGTAAAGTTCAGCACCCACATCCACACCTACAACTATACAGCACTTCTGCGTGACACCTGATTTAGCCCCCACTCCCTTTCCATCCCCAACCTCCTTCCCTCCCAGCTCACCTTCTCCACCTCCTCCATCAGCTTCTGCTCCCACTCATTCAGCTCCCCGGATGCAGGAGCCGCCCCTGCTGCTGCCCCTCCTGCCCCTCCTGTCACCGCTGCTCCACTGCCCGTCTTCTCAGCCTTCGCCACCGCCGCCTTCTCAGCCCCCGCAGCACCTGCTGCTGCCGCCTTCTCAGCCTCCGCCGCCTGCCCCTGCCCAGCACCCCCACCCCCGCCCTCCATCTCCATTTCCGCCGCCACCATGTCCTGGAATATCGCATTCATCTTCCGCTCCCTCCGCTCAGTTTCTAGAGCAGCAGCGGAGCAGTATAGGGCCCACAGCGCCCGAGCGGCCGCCTCCACCTCCTCGGGGGAGCGTTTTGTGGGCTGTAGCTGGGCGTATAGCTCGGAATACCTGAGAGGCAGGAGACAGGAGGAGAGGGATGGGGAAAGGCAGGGGTGAAGGGTCGCAGGAGAGGGGGCGTGAGAGGGCCAACGAGTGGGCATGAGCTAGGCATGAGCTAGGGTACCGAAGATAGGAAGTGGGAGAGGAGAGTGTGAGATAGGTACAGACATGGATAGCTAGTTGACTCCGCACATCTCTCCTCCTGCCCCCACCCCATCGCCCCATCATTCCCCCATTTTACCCACATTCGTGGTTTCCCATGCTTTCGGTATTATCTGACCCCCATTGCTGTGCCCCAACCCCTTACAACTCGGACCCCCACCCGCACCTGTCGGGCCCAAAGCCCATCAACCGGTCTTCCAGCGTCTTCACATCCGACTTCGTCCACTTCTTCCCTCCTGCTGCTGCCGCTGATGCAGCATCCTCCTTGCCCTCCTTTTGCGACCGACGGCCGCGCTTCCCCTTCTTGCCTCCCTCGGCCGCCTCCGCAGCAGCAGCAGCATCCTCACCCCCAGCAGCAGCAGCAGCGCCGCTGCCGCCGCCAGAATCGTCGTCGTCGCTGGAAGCCGAACCGTCCGAGCCGTCGTCGTCCGAGTCCCGCACGCGCTTCCCAAACTTCCTGCTATTGATGTTGTAGTTCACCTTGGCGCGCTTGCGGCGACCCAGGAACTGGGGTCCCGCGGCGAGCTGGGGGGGTCAAAGACCATACCAAACCATAGGAGAGCACAGGTTAGGGCAAAACAATGGGAGTAGGGGGGGAGGAAAAGGAAGGAAAGGAAAAGTCGGATCAGAAAGCCATACCATGCCATAGGAAGTCATCAGGTTTCAAGGGAGGGGAAAGCAAAGTAGGTAGAAACCATTGACGACGAGGTTAGGGGGCAGTAACTACAGTGCCCCTCTCTCAGTCCCCCCCCTCACCCACCTGCGCCTCATGAGCTGCCACGGCCTCCGGCAGCAGTGAGCGCCAGTACTCCTTGTCGTCCTCGCCGGCCCGCCGGCCGCGGGGACCGACCCGTGGGTCACCATTGTCCGCGTTGTTGGCGTCGTCCAGGGCAAAGGTGGCGACGGAGAAGGTATTGCCGGCGCGAGATCCGATCTGCCGCTTCTCCGTACGACCCTCCAGGATCTGTGTGCGGGGTGCATCGGTTGGTGTTAATTGGCAAGTTGGTACTAGTCAAGCTTGACGTACTTCGCAGTAGTGGGTCCCCGAGATGATGAACTGGAGAAAGTAAGGAGGAAGCCCTGGGCGGCCAGCAACTAGCAGCACGCCTATTGTTTGGTTATGCATACCGGTATGGACATACAAGAGCAAAGGCCGCCTCCTATTGCCACATCACCACGGCATCCCAAACACATACTCGCATCGTCCCCTCCATCCCCCCCTCTCCTCCAACCTCTCCCCCTCCCCCCCCTTCCTCACCTGGTTGATATCCTCCCCTGCAAACGCCTCCCCCTGCCTCGCCCCCGCCTCCATGTCGCCAAGCAGCCCATGCGCCCCGTGCCGCAGCAGGTCCGAGATGCGAGCCGCGTCAGCCTCGGGGTCGCTGCCCGCGGAGAAACCCAGGATGGCCTCATCCAGGCCTGGAAATAGGCAAGGGTGGGGGTGGGGGAAAAGAGGGGGTAAAGATGTGTGAAGATGGGGGAGATGAGGGGGAGGAAGAGGGTCAAGGTGCGGACAATCCCATTTTCTTTCTGGTTACCCTTCCCATCCCTCTGCTTTCCCCTCCTCTGTCCTCTGCTTTCACCCCTCACCGTAACCACACCCCAACCCCCCCTCCTCTTTCCTTACCGTACTTCTTGCTAGCGGACTTGAAGAGCGCCATCTCGTACGTGTCCCGACTGATGAGTCGGTACACCGTCACCTCCTTCTTCTGGCCGATGCGGTGGCAGCGGGCCATGGCCTGCAGGTCGTTCTGGAGGAGAAAGGGGGAAGGAGGGGGGGAAGGAGGGGGGGAAGGGGGGGGGGAAGGGGGGGACGGGTAACGATGGTGAGGGGTGTGCAAGGGAGGTCACACGTGTCACAAAACACATACGTTGTACGACAAGGGATACGGCTACGACACGCCCATACACACACCTGCGGGTTCCAGTCGCTGTCGTAAATGATGCACGTGTCGGCCGCGGTGAGGGTGATGCCCTGCCCGCCCGCTCGGGTGGATAGCAGGAACACGAATGCGGAGTCCGAGTCCGAGTCCTCTGCGGAGGGGGGGAGGACAGAGAGAGATACCAAAGCCACAGGTTAGGGCAAAGCAAAGGGCAGCAAATAGAGGGACGGGCGGGTGTTAGCCCTCCCTACTCCCAACCCAACCAAGCCCCATACTTCCCAACCCCTCCCCCTCCTCCCACCCTCCCACCTCACCCGCGCAGAACCTGTCGATTGCCTGCTGCCGCTCCCTGCCGCTTGTGTTGCCGTCGATCCGCTCCACGGGGTAGCTCATGAGGCGGCAGTAGTCCTCCAGCACGTTGAGCATGATCACGAACTGGGAGAAGATCAGCACGCGGCGACCCTGGGGGGGAGGGGGGCGGAGGGGGTGTGAGGGGGCGGAGGGGTAGCGAGCCTGTTACACGCCTGCGAATCATCATCATCATCATCACCACTTGCCCCCCTCTTCCCACGTACTGCTGATTCAGATAACTGCATGTAACGCGTTCCGCATTCCCCTTCCCCCATCCTCCACTTTAATGTCATTATACTTGGTATCCCCTTTCCCCTCCTCACCCCGCCCTCACCCTCACCTCCGCCCTCAGTTTGGGCAGCAGCTTGTGCAGCAGCACCATCTTGCCGCTGCCCCGCACCAGCAACTCCAGCTCAGGACACCGGGACAGGGCCGCGTCGGCGCTGGCAACAGCGGCCGCTGCTGCCCCCTCCGCTCCTCCTGCTGCTGCCCCTCCAGCTGCCCCTGCTGCTGCTCCTCCCCCCTGTTGCTGCTGCTGCTGGGGGGGTGCAGCTGCAGGGAGGGCGGCTGCAGGGAGGGCGGCCCGCTGCTCCTCCAGTTTGAATTTGAGGTCCTCCTCCAGACCGTCGCAAAGCACCTACAGGGGTTGCGACGCGGGGGGGATTTGTGGGAAGGGTCGAGGGCCCCTCTCATAGCACGTTGGACCCCACACCTTCCCTCCCCTCCTTTCCTTATGCAACTCATTCGTTTCCTCCTTCTCCCCCCTCACTTCTGCTGCACGTCTATTTACTCCCCCCACGCCCCCCTCCTCACCGGGTGGCAGCACAGCTTCCTGAGCTCCATGGCCAGATTCCTCATGGCGGCCAGCGGCCTGGCGCCCTTCTCCCCTCCCGCTCCTCCCCCCGCCCCCAGCAGCGCCCCAATCTGCCCCTCGTAGATGGCTCGGTAGTAGGTCCGCTGGTGGGCCGACAGCTCCACCCAGATGACCACCTCCTCCTTCTGAGGCAGCTCCTCCACGTCCTCCTTCATGCGCCGGAGCAGCACGGGGGCCAGGGCGGACTGGAGGGAGGGGAGCGGAGGGAGGGAGGGGGGGCGCGGAAGGTAAGGGAGAGAGGGAAAGAATGAGGGGAGGGGATAGGAAACCCATCCTACTGCCCCACACTCAAGACACACACACGACGGTCCGACTCGCGACCAATGTTCACACAGAGTTCCCTCCCACTCCTCTTCACCTCCCCCGCACCTGCAGCTGCTTGATCTGCTCCACCGAGGGCGGTTGCCCCCCCGGCGCCCCTCCGAACCGAGCGGCAAAGTCCTCCGGGGAGGGGTACGCGTCCGGGTCCAGCAGCGAGAGGATGGAGAACAACTGGGGAGGGAGGGAGGAAGACAGGGTAGAAGGGTAAGGAGCGGCACCGTATGCGATCGAAAGGTTGAGTAATGAGCTAATGACCAATCCAGGCCTCGCCTACCCCTATTTTTCCAGGTATCCCGTTTCCCAAAACAACCCTCCCCTCGCCGCATGTCACAACCCCGGCCCCCTCTCACCTCCATCATGTTGTTCTGGATGGGGGTACCTGCCGAGGTGGAGGGATTCAACATAGACCAAACCATAGGAAACCACGCATTAGGGCAGGATAATGGGGGAATGAGGCGGCAGGGTGCTACAAGACAAGAGGAGGGTTAGCGGTCCCAACCCGCTCTCCTCCATTTGCCCAATATGCCAACTCGCACCCTTCCTCTCCCCTACCCCCTCCCTTCAGCCCTAGATGCAGCTCGTTACGTCCCTCCTTTTTACCTCCCCAGCCCTACCCCTCACCCCCTCCTCCCCACCCTCGTCAGTTTTCCTTATTTTTACCCCCCCCCCTCCCCTCTCCCGCCCCCACCCCACCCGTGAGCAGCAGCAGCCAGCCCAGGTCCATCTCCTGCACCGCCGCCCGCGTGGAGCTGTTGAGCCCCTTCAGCCGGTGCGCCTCGTCAAACACGGCAGCGGACCAGCGCAGGGAGCGGAGCAGGGAGCGCTCCTGGGAGGGGAGAGGTGTACCAAAACCAAGCGTTCAAGCTGGGAACTTCATCTTATGGCAACCACACGCGTTCCTCTCCTCGCGGCCAGTTTCCCTGTAACGTCTTGACGCCTACCTTGAGCAGTGTATCGTACGACACCTAAACGCCTAACTTGAGCAGGATATCGTACGACACCTAAACGCCTACCTTGAGCAGGGTATCGTACGACACGAGCAGTACGTTGAACTTGACCTGCCGCTCACCCCCCCGGGAGGAGCTGCCCCGGCCCCTTGATGCGGCCGCCCCCGCCGAGGAGGAGGGGTAGAAGAACTCGTGTTCCAGAATGACAGCGCGGTCCTCAGCCGAGCCGGCAAACAGCACCACGTTCTGGAGGGGAGCGTGAGTGGGAGAGAAGGGCAAAGACAGGGAAACAGGGAGATAGGGAACAGGGAGAAGTAGAGGAGAAGTGGGAAAGAAGGGCGGCGCAGTGTGAAAGGGCACAGGAGCAGCGCCGGTACCAATGCAAACAAGACAACCCAGAGGAAGCAAGCTCTTTTTCGACACACCGTAAGGCCCAACACTAACCTCGTTTTGGCTCATCAAAAGCCCATTCTGCTATTACCCTCCATGCCCTCCCCTCTCACCCGCCACCCCCACCCCCACCCACCATGTCCGTCCACGTCATCACCTCCCGCTGCCAGTGCCCCAGCGTGGTGAGCGGCGCCACGATGAGGAAGGGCCCCCGCACGCCGCCCACCCGGCGCAACGTCTCCAGGCAGGAAATGCTCTGAGCAGTCTTGCCCAGACCCATCTGAGGTGTGTGTGGGAGGGGGGGGTTGCAGGAGTAGAGGCGCAAACGGTTAATGGGGAGGGTGTGAGGGGGGCACGCAGAGGAGGAGAGGATCAGGAGGAGAGGGGATGAGACGGTGAGGTGAGGTAAGACTGGGTCCCGTCCCTCTCCATGCTATTCCCACCCGCTCAACCCACATTCCTTCCTTTTAACTCCTCCCTCCCCGACTATTCCCCTTACTAATGCTACCGCACCCCCACCCCTCCTCCCCCTCCCCCTCCCCCTCTTGCTCTTCCCTACCTCATCTCCCAGGATGCAGTTGCGTCCCTGGCAGTAGTTGTTCACCATCCACCGCACCGACACCTGCTGGTAGTCCCGCAACTGACGTCCGCTGCAAAACGTGGGCAGCTCAAAGCCCGACTGTCGCAGCGCCCGTAGCCCCCTCGACCCAATATCCACCCCGTCCCCCTCCTCCTCCTCCTCCTCCTCATCCATATCCTCAGCCTCCTCCTCGCTGCCATCCTCCTCCTCCTCGTCGTCCTCTTCCTCGGTGCTGGCAGCCCGCTTGCGGCCTCGGGCCTTGCCGCCTGTCTTCTTGGCGTTGCCACTGGCGGCAGTGGGAGGTGGCTTGTTGAAGCGCTGGAAGCGCGCAATGGCCGCCTGCGTGAAGGGGGTGGGGTGGTCAAATTAGACCAAACCAAACCATAGGATGCCACAGGTTAGAAAAAAAAAGCAAAGCAAAGCAAAGCAAAGCAAAGGGGATAGAAGGCGGCTGGGTGCCGCAAAACAAGTGTTGGTTAGCGTCCAAGCGGGAAGGACACCTCCTTTTCCCCACCTTGTCCTCCTCGCTGCTCAGCTCCTGTGCCCACTCCCAGGTCGCATCGCTGTACTCCAGCCCCCGCCACTTCACCAGCAGCTGCTGCGCGGCGCCCTGCCGCCCCCGACTCACGGTACGGCAGGCGATGATACGGTCGATCTGGGTCGGAGGAAGGATGGGAGGGAGAGAGGCAACGGGGCGAGTACACTTGATGCAACCCATGATGGAGCTAGTAAGCTAAACTTTAGCCCCACCCCACCCCACACAGATTGCCACACGCGCACAAACACGCCCCCCCGCCATGGTTCTGGTATATCTTTCTCCCCTACCTGCAGCCACTCGGGCTCCACCTCCATTCGCTGGCCGCGACTGAGGAAGTTGCGCAGCAGGGAGGGCTTGCTGGCCTCCAGGTGCGAGTGCTTCACGTGGGCTAGGTGGCGGTACGACACGCCTGGGGTAGGTACGACAGGGGGGAGAAGGAAGAGAAGGGAGGAGGGGGAGGGGGCACCGGGTTAGAGACACGTTGGATTTGACATGTGCGGGGATTAAAAGAGCAGGAACAAGCGGGGCGAACACGAGGAGAACAACCCAACAAGCTTCACCCATCCCAGCCTTCAATGCACCGTATGGCACATCAGGCCCTTCCTTACAACAACCACTGCTCTAACAACCCCAACACCACCACATTCCCTAAGCTCACCCTTCAGCTTTACGCAGTACAGCTGGGTCTCCAACTCGTACGACAAGATCCGCTCCACCGGCTCCCGAGGGGCCCTATGGCCGCCTCCGCCCCCTCCAGCGTTGCCGCCGTCGTCGTCCTTGTCCTCAACCGCCGCAGCCTTGGGTGCCGGTGCCTTCTGCTGCTTGCCCTTGCCACCAGCAGACTTCTCGGCCTTCCCAGCAGCCTTCTTCTTCTTCCCAGCCGCTGCTGCCTTGCCCTTCCCCTTTCCCCTGCCCGCCTCCTTCGCCTTTTCCTTCTTTGCAGCCTTCTCCTTCTGCCCCATCCTTGCAGATCGGGCATCCGCCGCCACAGCTGCTGCCCGACGCGGCCGTCCGCCACGCCCCACTTCCTCCTCCTCTTCTTCCTCGTCTTCCTCCTCGTCCTCATCGTCGTGCACTATCTCCACATCCGAAGATCCCTCCTCCTCGTCTTGGTCCTTCTCCTCCTCCTCCGCTCCCTCCTCTTCTCCTTCGTCCTCGTCTTCCTCCTCGTCAACATCTTCGTCGTCGTCAGAGGCAACCCCCACGGGGCGGCGTCCAGGGCCCTTGCCCCCACCTCGGCTCTTCCCCCCGCGGGCGGACTGTTGCTGTCGTTGATTCTTGGCGACACAGCCGCGAGTGGGTCGGCCGCTGCCCGATTCCCTGGGAGGGAAGGAAGGAAAACGAGGCAAGGAAGAAAGGAAGGGTGGGGTGCGACAGCAGGGAAGGCGTGAATACAGGGGTAGGGAATGGCGTATAAGTGAGCGGAAGTGGGGTTGTTGGGTGCTCTGGCAAATTAGGGCAAGCACAGGGGCAGGAAGAGGGTTAGCAGCATGCGCGGTCGAGGTTGTGTGAGGAGCGAGGTGGGGAGAGTGCTGAACCCAGATGGGGGAAGGTGCCATGTGAGGCAAAAACCGGGAAAGTATAGCTCCCCTTCCCAAGTCCGCTCCTAATTCCTTTCCACACACACTCGAACACGCATTCAGCTGCAGGCAACACTTACCCAGCCAAACGCTGCTCCCTCGATGTGCGCTTCACGACAGGCTCATCCTCCTCGTCATCCTCCTCTTCGTCGTCATCGTCGTTGTCCTCCGAGTCCCCATCCCCATCTTCCTCGTCCTGCTCGCCACTTTGCTCCGACGACCCCACCATCACTACGTCCTCCTCCTCGTCATCACCATCGCTGCTGGCGCTGCTCTCGTCGTCCTCATCATCGTCGAAGCTGCTGCTGCGGCCACGACCAACGCGACCGCCAGTAGGTGCGGCACCACGCTTGATGCGGTCATTAGCCCGAGCTGCTGCTCGCCGGGTAGAGCCACGGCGACCGGACGCACCGTCGCCATCATCCATGTCGACATCGTCACGGGCTGTTGACTTGCCCCGGCGATCGGTTGCAGGTGCGAGGGCTGAAGCGGCTGCCGCCTTGGCAGCTCGGCCTTGTCGCTGGGGCTGCTGCTGCTGTTTCTGCGACTTGGGGGCCGCCTGGCGAGCAGCTGGGCGTTTGCCAGGGCGCGCGAAGGCGATAAACGCGTTGTCGCCGTCATCGCTGTCCTCTATAGATTCCGGTTCGTCATCTTCTTGGCGTGGGGATGGTGACTTTGCCCTCTTAGCAGGTCGAGGAGCGATGTCAGCATCAACATCGTCGTCGCCGTCTTCGTCCGCGTCAAGGCTGCAATTGTCCAAAACAATAAGGTCAGTCCGTCGACAAGTTTAGGCGCTGCTATTGGGCACAGGCTCGTGCAATTGGGCAAGGCCATCGTTCGGCATGTTTAAAAAAGAAGCTGAAGCATATGAGAGGCCTGAACCCCCTGGAAACGAAGCACTGATAACGCTTACCGCTCTCTCTTCTTGCGGTTCTCCTTATCAGTCTGCTCGACCTGCTGCCTGCTGCGCGTGGCACGGCGTTCGCCCACCAGCTCGGCATCCTTCTTTTGCTGCCGCGCTACTTCAGCATCCTCACAATAGTTTATGGTTTTCTTCCGTTCCCTTAAAACCCGAGAGCCTGACATTGCGACGTCGCGTGCAACCGAGGTCACCTAATAGGACAGGTCACGAGTGCCTAAGCATAGAGGTTAACCTTGTGTTGCGCCGCCCCTAGAGCGCGCGCATTGTTTGTGGGACGGGATGTGACGGCACGTGCATTCGCAGCCCGAGAAGGGCTGGGTAAGGAATCGGTACGGAAGCCATTTAAATTGGGAATTGCGCGCGTGCTGAAGCATGGGTGGCTGCATCCTGCATGTCGAGTTTTCAGAAGTAGCTGTGCGCGCTTGACCCATAGATCAGTCATTACTGCATATGCGATGTAGTTTCATGGATTCGTCGCAAGCTGAGCAAATGATAGCATCCATTGGCCCTACTTACAGCGCTCACAAACCACCTGCTATGCACGTATTTACGCATCAAACGCCATGGCGTATAAATTCATCCATGCCGCGGACATGACACGTCGATGGGGAATGTCGTCGATTCATCTTCGGTTTCCACCCCTAGTTCCCTACACGACCACACAGACCAGGAAATGGTCATACCGGAGCTAAATTGACAGATAGTTCAAGTATACCGTTCATGCATGAACACTAGGCACTGTACTCGAATTCGGCAACCTCTCGGCTGTTGTGCACATGCACGGCCTTTCCAAAGTATACGCAGCAGGGTATGATGTGACCTGCAACACCTCTCCTACTAACCCTCTCCATCTCCGTCCACCATTCCGCTCGTATACCGGCAATCACAAATCTCCAGTCAAGCCCAAACATCAAACAAACGCATCACACCTCCCACACCCATGCCCTTACACTATCCGCTTCCACCTCCCCTCCTAACCTATTCCCGCTTCTCCCCGACCTCATCCTCATCCGGCACATACTTGAACGCCGCACGCATCGCCAGCGCCATCACCAACGCAATCGTAAAGCACTTGACCATTAACAACGTGTGTGTGGCCATGATAAGGCCCAGCAACCACAACGCGACCGTTATAATGAAACCCAGATCGTCCAAGTGGTTCAGCATGATGATCGCCACGACCATCACCCCGCACAGCAGCCCCAGGGAGGGGTTGAGTGCGTCACGGAGGGAGGTGCCGGTGAGGGTCATGGCGTAGGCGGTGGCGTCCACTCCAGCGCGTGTGCAGCAGAGGGCGGCGGAGGCTGAGGTGGGCAGGCGGAAGAGGGCATAGGCGGTGGACCAGCGAGTGCCTGTGAGGGAGTGGGGGACGGAGAAGGGAGGGAAAATTATAAATAAGTGCAACAACACAGTCCCAATCCCGAGGGAGGGAGAGTGGGAAGGAGGATCAACAGAGGGGGGTGTGTCTTGTGCCATCCGACCCACATGCACCATCCAACCCACATTGTCCCAACCTATCCACGTTGCACCATCCAACCCACATGCATCACCCATCCCATCCCAAACCCACCTGTACGGACGAGCTTCACCCGCTGCTGCGTTGTGCCCGCCCCCTCCGCCCTGGACAGCCGCACCATCAGCGGGTGCAGCTTGCGCAGGCAGCCGTACAGCGCTCCGAAACCAGCCAGCGCCCCGGCCAGGCTGGTGATGGTGAGGGCGCGCGGGCCGCTGCCGAGGGCTATGTGGGCGAGGTCAGCTGCGACCAGGGATGCTGCGTAGAGCGTCCATGGGAGGGCTGCAGAAGGGAAGGAAGGACGGAGGGAGGGAGGAGGAGGGAAGGATACCGGTAGGTAGGTATTATATTAAGGTAGGTGGTCCTAGGGGCTGCGTAAAGCAGAAAGGAAGGACCGAACTGGGTCAAGCACGGGATGTGGATATATCTGTATATCTGTATATACAGGGTGGCATTGACCCCGTCGCTTCGCGACGACCCGGCACAAGCGGACATCAGATGCGAACTCCTCCAAGCTTACCTACAGTATCCACAAGTACTGTCTTCTTTTGGTCGATGCTATAGCCAATCGGGAGCCATGTATAGAGAATCGCTGCCAGCTGAAGCCCAAACGCCGTCAACTGCAGAATTCCATCTGCCCACCTAGTACAATATTGCATTTGGTGATTCTTTGCTTTTCAGCCAAAAATCAACCAAACAGCCAGAAGGGGACTCGACATTTCGCTCGCCGACTCTCATCGATACCCACCAAGCTGGCGTGATTGGCGTCTCCGTTGTGTGCTCTCTCCAACTTCTACCAGCTGTAAGGATATGAACACGTACATGCACCAAAATAGCAGTAATTACTGCTGCGCTGACTGAGGCGCGAAGCGCCACCGACGGTCGCCGCTCTAGCATGTTTATAATCGCCCTATAAATTACACTGCATCGTATATCGTTTTGTCGAGCTCAACCAGCAGCGCAGCATAGCCGCACGTTTGCCATCATCGTGTACTTGCCGTACAGAAGTTGAGCTCCCATGACGTCCAACAGCAACTGCGCGGGGATCAACCTGTAGTGCCGCTATATCGCGAACACAGTACACAGGAAATGCTGGGAATCGCCAATACCTACCACCAGATATTCCCGCATGCAGCCTTAGATCCCCTTTAATTTCTCACGGCTGATCCTCGTCAGACAGGGCACTCCTTTCGGGCAAGCCGGGACATGCCCCTTTGCATGCATCCCACCCGCCGCCCAAGCCCTGGACACACGTGTTGATTGCCGGGCATGCACCCTGTTGCATGCGCCATGCACCAGAGGAAGACCCCATTGCAACCGTACGGCAGTGTACGCAAAAGAGCTGTGAGGTGGTTTACATTATACAGCTGCGCCGTTACGTGTACGGTTGCACACACCAACGCAACGGCTCATGCTTTCGTGGTCCCCACCCAACACCGTTGTTTAGCGTTTGGGTTAGACAGCGGTTTGTCGACCGTAGGACACCTGCTGTCATCACCGCATACGCACATGCACATATGCGAGCCCTTGCAGCAGCACAGTTTCAGCGCCAGTGTGTCATCTGCATGCATGCAACATACACCGACACAAACATGTACAGTACGCTCCTACCCGCGGCCAGCATATACAGACATGCAACATGCGCCCTGCTGCTGCCGTTCCACAAAGGCATGGACAGCATCACTACCGGCACCGACTGCTGCCCTGCCAGCCCTTCTCACCTACCCATGCACTCATGCACCCATGCACCCATGCATGCATGCATTGTGAAAACGCATGTGGGCAGAAGTAGTAATGCCTTGGCGACAACCTCACGCGGCACAAAGACACAGCAGTTCGACATTACGTGTCCAACGCGTCCTGTATATATATAAAACCATCTAACCGTCACAAACTGAAGCACAACGCATAAGTAGCTTCGCCCTGCAAAGTAGTTAAGCAACCCTTGCAACGTACGCACCGCGCCGCACTGCACTCTAATGCTGGTTAGGGACCTTGCTCGTCCAATCGCCACCCCTATGCAAGGCAGAGCTGCTAGCATTCATCACTGAATAACCCACATCCCTCCCCGACCTAACTCCCCAGACCTCTAACCTCAACCCCCTCCCGTCACTCGGGCGCTCCCTCCTCCTCCCCATCCTCCTCCACCCTCCCCAGTTCCACGCCCGCTTCCTGTCCCTCCTCCCGTCACCCTCCCACTCTCCCACCATCCGCCTCCTGCTCCACCTCCTCCCTCCACCACTCCCCCTTCCCCTCCTCCTACGCTGCCACTGCCTGTTGCCCATGCCAGCCCTCCCTCTCCTTCCCATACCGGCCCTCCTCCTCCTCCTCCTCCTCCTCCTCCTCCTCCTCCTCCTCCTCCTTCCATCCCTGACCCCCCCTCCTCCTGCAGCACATCTCCGCCTCCTCCGTCTGCCCCTTCCCCGACCTCTCCACCTCTCACCTCACCCCCCACCTCCTCCTCTGCTGCCCCTCCCTCCTGCACAAAACCATTCACACCCCCTCCTCCTCGAACCTCTCCTTCTGCCCCACCTCCTCCTCCTCCTCCCACCTCTCCTGCCCCACCTCCTCCTCCTCCCCCATCCTCTACCAGCCCCTCCCTCACCCCCATCCCCACCAGCACCTGCCGCACCCGCCGCAACTCCTCCTCCAGCTGCCTCGCCCGCCTCGCCTCCTCCAGCCACTGATGCCGACTGGCCACCACCTCCGCTGCCAACTCGCGACGAGCACTCTGGGAGGGGTGGTGAGGACAGGGAGATGTTTGGAGGTGTGTCATCATGCAGGGTGGGTTGGAGGTGTGAAGGGGAAAGGGAGGGAGGCATGGGAAGGGGTCAGAAAACACATGTAGAAGCAGGAAGGCAAAGGGCAGACGAGGACTGGCAAGAAGGTGAAGCAAGAAGGGAGAAAGAAGCCTCGGGCCACTCCCACCTGCACAGCCTCCAGCTCCGCCTCCTGCCGCCCCTGCGCCGCCATCAGCTGTCGAGCCAACACCGCCAGCTCAGCAGCATTGCTGGGCAGCGGAGACGAGCCGGCAGCGGCGGAGGCAGCTCCGCCTCCTGCAGGAGACTGAGGGCCGACTGCACCTCCTCCTCCACCTCCTCCTTCTGCTCCTCCTGTTGTTGTCGTCCCATGCTGCTGATGTTGATGTTGATGTTGATGTTGATGTTGATGTTGATGTTGATGATGGTGATGGTGATGTTGCGAGGACGGAGGCCCACGTTGTGGTGACAGCGGCCCCGTGCTGCCCGCAGGGACCAGGTAGGCAGCGTTGGCGGCGTAGGCGACGGTACGGCGGGGCTGCAGCTGCAGCTCCACTAGCGGGGGCGACAAGCCCATGCCAGCGGAAGCAGTGCGGGTTGCTAACACACCGCCTGTTTGCTGCAGCAGCCGCTGCTGGGAAAGCGCGAGGGTACGGGACTGCGCCTGCTCGTCCTCGTCTTCCTCGCCGTACGGGTCTGCGTGCTGTTGTAGTGCTTGAAAGCGTTGGAGTTGCAGGAGCTGGAGTTGCTGCATGTGCTGTTGTTGTTGTTGGTGTTGGTGTTGCTGCTGCTGGTGGTATGCATGCAAGACAGCGTCGCGGTTGACGGGAACTGGATGTACGGCGGACGTAGCTGGAGGAGTGGGCGCGGTTGCTGGAGCAGCAGCAGCAGCAGCAGCAGCGGAGACGGCTGCTGCCAGACCTGCTGCGGCGGGTGCTGCTGATGTTGATGGGGATGATGATGACAGGGCGGAGGCGGCGGCGCCGGGTGGAGAAGGCCGACCTGGGTGGTACCCTGGGTGTCCCTGATGCGGGTAGAGGTGCTGCACCAGGAGAGGTTGGGGCGGTTGGGGCGGTTGGGGCGTGGAGGAGGAGCCGCGCAGGCGAGCGGGCAACTGGACGCCTTTTTGAGGGTTGGCGGTGAGGGTTCGGACCTGGGAATGGGGAGAGTGGGGGGCCGTACAGAGGCGGGGTCGTCTTAGAGCCGGATAAGCAGTGGGGCTACGTCGTCTCCACATGCATGCCTTCTTCACCCATGCCCTGAAGCAAGGCTTCTTCCCGAACCCAGAACACACCCGCCCACGTACCCGGGCTCCTGCCCCAGCCAACACCGCCACCCCTCTCGGCGGGCTTCCGCTGCCGCCACCGCCGCCGCAGCTGCCCCCGCCGACCGACGACCATCCCTCCACTCCCGTTCCGCCGCCGCCGCCAATGCTACCGTCAGTGCCCGCCGCCGACAACGGAGAGGTCGACGCCGGCGGCGATGACGACAGGCGCTCCATTGGTGGCAACGGGGTTGCGGCGGAAATGGGTCGCGGTCGCGATCGTACACCGAAGCGTCCGCCGCCGCCGCCATCTTGAGAAACCTGCTGTCGAGCGGCTTCGAGTGCGCGCGCCGCCGCCGACTGCGGCCGACGAAGAACCTTGAGATCTGCCGTACGCGTAATGCCGCCGCCGCTGCTGCCGCCGCTGACACTGGCGCCGACGCCGACGCCAGCGGTGCCGGCGGCATCGTCTCGGAAGGTGCCCCGGATCCGATAATGATGCGCGTCGGGGCTTATGTTGCCGGCGGCGCGGGCCGCTGCCGGAGACATGCCGCCGACGTGCAGCGCTGCTTGGAGCTGAACGTACGGCGCATGCGGCGGCTGCGGGTGGTACCAATGCACGCGACTGTCGCCGCCGCCGCCGTCGGCGGCGGCAGCGGCGGTGGCGCTGCTGTCACGGGAGGTTCGTAACGCTCGCGCACTGGCGGCACCGCTGCCGACGGCCAATGGCGGCGGCTGCGGGCTCGTCGCTTCGTCTTCCGATGCTGACGCCGCTCCGGCTGCTCCCTGTTGTGCGGGCGCGAGGTAGGTGCTGTGCAGCGTTGCAAAGGCGCTTTTGCGGCGGCGGGCGGCGGCGGCGGCCAGGATGTTCGTACGAGAGGCGGGCAGCGTCACCGTCATGAGGGCCGAGTGGGCGGAGGCACCGCGACGCGCGGTCGGACGTGCCGCCGCCGCCGCCGCGGTGACGGAGGCGGCGCTGTCTGCAGCGGCGACACCCTCACCGCCGCCATCGGTGACGAAAACACTTGAACGACCGCTCACATCCGCCGTCATCTCCGCCTCTGCCGCCGCTACCTCCGCTACCGTGTTTGCAACGTCTGCTGCACCCTGTGCCCCGTCAGCTGCATTGGCGGCGGCCGCGGCGGCGTCAACGCCGCTCCCGTCGCCGCCAACGCCGCCGTCGGTGCCGAAAGCGCCGAAAGCATCTTCCGCAATAAGTCGGGCGGTAGCAGCGACAAGCTCTTCTGTGTTGCTGCTGACCGCCGCATCATCGGCGCCAGCGCCGCCTTCGTCCCTAGCCACGGTGGCACCTTCCCTGCCGCCCTCCGGTACGACAGTCGACGGTTGTTGGAAGCTACCGCCGCCGTCGCCGTCGCCTCCGCCGACTTCACCCTCCTCGTAATCATCCGTGGTAGCAGTTTCCGCGCGGCTGGCGAAGCTGACCGCACGAGAGGTCGCGGCGGATTGCGCAGCAGACGCTGATCCCTGTCGTGAGGACGAGAGCTGCTGCTGCTGCTGCTGCTGCTGCTGCAATCTTTCCCTAGAGGCTGCAGAGGCTGCAGCAACGGTTATTGAGCGATGCGCCGCGGCGGTTGGGTGGTGCGGGTGTTGCTGCTGACCGGGGGTTAGGAAGGAGCCGAGACTCTGTGGGAGGGCCCAGGGGTGGCGGGTGTGGGGGGGGGGGATTGGGCGCATGGGTGTTGTGGGTGACCGCAACGGGCAAGTGAAGAGCGCAAAAGGCGGTGACATGGCAAGAGAAGGGTACCGGTAATGGGGCTACGGTAGCGGTACCCCACGGTGCCCTAACCCTGCGGTTGAACATACCCTGTTGCTGCATATGAAGCCAGAGCCCGAAGGCTGCTGTGTGATGCCCGCTCGTGTCATGCAGTGGTGGTGGTGGTGTTACACTGTGTGGCATCCAGTAGCAACACCACTGGTGTTGCTACTGGTAGCTAGCTTACCTGAGTCTTCCGCTGCGGCCGGCTAACCTCCCGAATGTCCAGCGGTACGAACGTGACGCTGCCGTCAACCATCACCGCCGTCATCGCCCCTGATGGCTGTGATGACGGCGGCCCGCCGCCACCGACGGAACGGGAGCTGTACGACATGCGCGGCGGAGACGTCGACGATGCCGTCGACAGCTGGGACTGGTACGGCCGCTGGCCGCTGAGGACGCTGAGTCGGGAGATCTGTGACGGGACCTGGTCGTCGCCAGATTCGCCGCCGCCGTCAGCACCGCCGCCGTCGACGCCACCGCTAAAGGTAATGGGGTTGAAGGCCACCGCCAAACTGCGACGCCGCTGGGGGCTGTGGCTGGTGCTTCGGACGCGTTGGGAGTGGAAGAGTGAACTTCCGCTTCGGCGCGACGGCGAGCAGGGCTCCGCCGGCGAGCCGCTGCCGCTAGCGGCGCCGCTGGCGGCGGCAGCGGCGGCGCGGCCCTGCGACATTAGGCCTAACCGAAGGGCACGTGAACCAGCTCGCATGAGCTCAGCTCGAACCAAGGTGGATACTACAGAGACGACTCGTGTTGCTGCTGCCGTCGCCGCGGCGGCGGCGGAGGAAGCCACGTCGCCGCCTTCCTGCGCGGCTGCTGCTGCCGCCGTTGCCGCCGCCGCCGCGGCGGCGCCTGGGTCCACATCTTGCGCCCAAGTCGTCGGATCCCCGCCACCGCCACTGCTACTGCCGCTGATAGCACCCCATGTTGCGTCGTACACAACGAAAGGTATCCGCCGCCGGAGCTCCTCCATAACTGCTGGTACGAGCGCCGCCGCCGCGGCGGCGGCAGCAAAGCCCACGCTGGTGCCGCCGCCAGAGCTACTTCCAGGGCCTCCGCCGCCGCCGCCGCCCTCACTCTGGTCCGTCATGACGCCGCCGCCGACCGAGATCATGCTGGACGCTTGCTGCGGCGGCGCCCGTTGCGGCGACCCAGGAGAGGATGTTGGTGACGGTGACTGACCTGCTGCAGCGGCGCCGGCGGCGGCGTCGGTTGAAGCCATGGAAGCCAAGGACGCCTCCGGTCCCGCCAGCTCCGCCGCGAGGGCCGGCGGCTGCTTCACCCCTGCCGCCGCCGTGCTGTCGTACCAATCCTTCAAGCCCAAACTCTGCATTGCCGCCGCCGCTGCTGCAGCTACCGCCGCTACGGCGGACGCAGCCTTGGGCGGCGGCGCCGCAGGCGCCGCCGCTACATCGCCGGCAGCCGCAGCGGCGGTAGCGGCGGCGGCGGCTTCTGCCGACGTTGACGGCGGCGCCAGCGGCGCCGCCGCGTCTACGCCTTCCAGCGGGGGTGGAGGCGGTGGAGGCGGCGGAGCCGCTGACGCCGCCGACGCTGACGCGGCGGCTGCCGCTGCCGCCAGCTGCTGTTGCAGCAGCTGCTCCCGCAGCGCCATCACCTCATCGTTGCGCTCCCCGACTTGGCGAGACAGCTCACGTATTCGCTGTTGTAGGTCGCGGACGTTTGCGAATGCGTAGTCCCGCTCGCTGCGTTTAGGTACGCAACAATGGAAAGCAACGCACAAGTTTAAGTTACCACACAAGCAGTTCCGCCAAACCTGAATCGGACGGACCAGAAACACAAACTAGCATGCCCCGACTCGTCCCCAAACTGCACCCAACTGCATCCAAGGGTCCGCATACATAGACAACCCAAAGGCCGTACTGCCGTACCTTTGCAGTTTCTCCAGCAGGGCATGTGCCGCCGCCGCCTCGGCATCCATATCATCCTCTGCATGCGCCTCGCCGCCGCCGCCAGCAGTAGCAGCGGTAGCAGCAGCAGCCTCTCCTTGCGTCGCCTCCGCCACGCCACCACCCCCGCCGCCAGCCTGTGTGCCCACCTTTGCTGCTGCAGCTGGACCCTTATCAGCCTCCTCCTCCTCTGCTGCCACTGCCGCTGCTGCTCCTTCTACGGCGTCAGCATCCCCCCCAGCACCCTCCTTTTCCGCCGCCTCCTCCACCTCGCCCTCCTCAGCCTCCTTCTCCCCCCCCTCTGCACCGCCGCCACCCGCCTGCAACTGCTGCTGCTGCTGCTGTCGGTGACGTGCCAGCGCCGCCGCCGCCTTACTCATCGCCGCCGCATCCATCACCACAGATGGCACCGCCGGCACCGCCGCCGCCCCCTTCTCCGCCTCCTCCGCACGCGCCTTCTCCCGCGCCAGCGCCTCCCGCAACGCCGCCAGCTGCTCCAAAGCCGTAGCCAGCGTCGCCTGGGAGCTCGCCAGCTCAGCTCGAACCAGCTCCGCATCCTGCGGCATGCCCATGCTAGCCCGCTCCGCCTCCACCGCAGCCGCTATCGCCGCCATCTCTGCCGCATCCGCCGCTCCTCCCCCTCTTGTTACCACTGCCGCCGCTGCCGCACCCTTCTGCCCCCTCGCACCGCCACGTCCGCCTCCTCGGCCGCCACCACGACCGGACCTACCGGCGCGTCCGGCGGCGGCGGAGCCGCCGCCGCGGCTGCCGGTGCGGCCTTTGGCTGCTGCCGCCGCCGCTGTCGCAGGCGGCGGGGGTGACGGCGGTGGCTCGGGGCTGTTAGCGGGTGGTGCCTTGGCAGCGTACCTGATGGCCACGTCGAGCTGGCGCTGCAGCTGCGTGCGGTCCACGATGAGGCGCTCCACCTGCTGCTCCGCGTCCTGAAGCCTGGGAGGCAGGGACGGTAGGGAGGGAGGGAGGGAGGGAGGGAGGCAGGGGGTTAGGTAGGCAGGTAGGAAGGACATAAGAAGATGAGAAAGGCGGTTGAAGGACGAGGATGTTCGGTAGGGTTAGTCTGGTGTGCGTTTGCGGGGCACCCCCCAGCTCCTCCTCCCCTAACAACTGCCCCCTCTCACCTCTGAGCCAGCACCGCTGCCGATTCCACCTGCTCCTTCAACTGCTCCTGCAGCTGCTCCTCAATGGAAGGCAGCATACCCACCGCGCCGCCGCCTCCCGCGCCCCCTCCCCCTCCGAAGTCCCCCATGGACGAGGAAACAGTGGGCCTCCTGCTGCCGCTGCCCTCACCCGTCGTCTGGCGATCCCCCTCCTCGCCCCCCTTGTTACCGCCCTTGCCCAGACCGGTAATGTAGCGGTTGGTTCGAGAGGGGCTTTCGCTGCGGCTGTTGGCGGGTCCCGGGGCGTTGGGATCTGGGTTTGGGTTGGTATTACCGTTGGCGGGGTTGTTGGGATCTTGTGGGTCGGGCGATGGGGCAGCTGTGAGGGTAGAGCCCTGGGCGCCTGGCTGGGGCGTGTCGGAGAGGTTGCCCTTGACCTGTCAGGTGGGTGGGGGTGGGGGGGGGGGTAAAACATGGGGTAAGCTATGCTGTAAGTAGTGCTGAAAGCCGTGAAAAGGGATGACCTGTCAGCCGTGCCAGGCGGGTGGATTAAACACGGGGTAAGGTATTCAGTAGGTAGCTGCAGCCGCAAGGAAAAGAAAACACTGTCCGTTTCCAGCAGATGCGTGCTTCTAGAATAGCGCCTCCGTATGCGCTCACTGCATGAGTCGGGATATGGGATTCGGACTTCCTTGCTTCACTTTCCATTTGTCCCCCCCCCCTCACCTGCCACCTCATCATTTCCAGCCTCGTGTTTGCCTTATCCAGCGCCTCCCGCGTCTCCCCGTGCACCCGCCGCAGCTCCTTGTGAGACTCGCGCAGCTCCCGCAGCTCCTCCATCTCAACCGCCATCTCCGCATCCCAGTTGCCGCGCATCTGGGGGGTGGGGGCAGGAGGAGGGGAATAAAGAGGGAACAATTAACTGACCGTGTAATGAGGCGTCATCATGGTTTGCAACATGTGAGGAGCCCGCCCCAGCAGGAGCCCGAGGGGGTGGGGGTGGGGTAGGGAGAGTGGAAGACAGGGAGCTGGTTAGCGCTGCCCTCTCACATGCTTGTACCTGCAGCCAAGGTGCCAACCCCCTCCCCTCTTCCTTCCCTCCTTCCCTCCTCCTTCCCACCCACCTCGGTAAACCTCCGCGACACCTCCTCCTCCACCACCGCCATGAAATGCGCCCGCAGCTGCGCACCCAGACCCGCCGGGTCGGGAGGCGACCGCACAGCCGCCGCCACCCGCCGCTCATCCTCATCCAGATCGTCATCCATTTGGTCGGCGTCAGCCTCGTCCATAAGGCCCCCCATGAATGACAGCGCGGCAGCAGAGGCGGAGGGGGGGTGCATGGAGCTGAAGCTTGCGCCGGCAGTGGCGGTGGCGGTGGCGGTGGCGGTGGCGGTGGCGGTGGTGTCGTCGAAGGGCAGGCCGGCTGCGGCTGCGAGTTCGCGTAGCCGGTTGAATCCGTCGGGCCTGGAAGGAGGGAAGGAGGGGGGGAAGGAGGAGAGGAGGGGAAAGGGGTAGAAGGGGAGAGGGGCGGCGGCGGTTGTGGTACGGCAGTTATGGAGAGAGGGGAGTAAGGAGGGGCTGAGAGGAGGAAGGTAGGTTCCATGTGCTCGAGGGGCTCAGCCTCAGCAGCCTGGGTGCCTCCTGTGTACGGCAATCTAACGGGGCATTTTCGTACGGCATGGTCCCTTAAGAGAGTGTGGCGGCCCTACCAGCGGAAGCTCCCCTTGGGTTGCCTGCGCGGAGGGAGGGGGGGAGGAGGCAAAAAGGCAGGAAGGCAGGAAAGGGGAAAGGCGCACGCAGGAAAGGGAGGGGGGAGAGGGGCAGCAGGGGGGAGCGAGGCGGGAGGGAGGCAGGGCGGCGAGGCGGAAAGGGGGAGCAGGAAGGGAAGGAAGGGGCTCAGGAGGGGAAGACGTGGAGAAGTACGGCACAGGAAAGGAGAAAGTTAATAGTCTATAAGTACTGAAGCCAATCGCCCTAGGGGTAGGCAACGAGTAGCGCGTGTCTGTCCTATGTGTGCCGTGCAGGGGTCGCCGGGGAGAGTGGAAGATGAGAAACACATCCTCATTGAATGTCCCGCTTACGATGATTTGCGTGATAAGATATGGGAAAGTGGTGTCTCACGGGATGCTGATATGATTGCTGTCATGGGCATGGAGAATCAGGCATTGCTTGCTAGCGTAATCACTAGCATGCGAAGTCGCAGGATTGCGCAGACAGGGTTTATCATATGATTAGCGTTCTGTTTGTTTGTCTCTTTTGTTTTACTTTTCTTCTTTTGGTTGTTTTCGCGTTTTGTGCTCGCGATCCATGAGCCTTCTGGCTCGGACGGATCTTACGAGCTCGGTACGAAGCTTGTAACACATACATACATACATACATAAGTACTATACCCTGTCAAGGCTATGCCCTCCCCCATTTCGCTCTTTCCCTACGCCACATTCGCCACACGTAATGACCGGCCCAGCATGATGTACCCTAACTGTACCCTCCTCGCCATCTCCCCGCCCCTGCTTCACTCTATCCCCTAAACTTTGGCTCAGGCATATCATTCTGGCATGTCTCTCTGACCCCCCTCCGCCACCTCGCCCCGCCCCCCCACCTCCTGGCCTCCAGCAGCACCCGCTCCGTCCACTTCCTCAGCGCTGTCGTCACGTCCGCACGCTGCCGCAGCCGCTGCTGGTGCTCCTCCAGCGTGCCCCGCACCGCGGACACGGACTGGGAAAGGGGGGGCGGAGGGGAGGAAGGGAAGGGAGGAGCAGGAGGGCAAGGGGAGGGACGAAGAGGGGCGGGAAGGGGAGGGGAAAGGTGGGCAGAGGAGAAGACCTGGAAGGGAGAGGCAAGGCGCCAGCAGCGGCCTATCCCCGCAGACAACGAAGCTCAATCGGATTCCACCTCACAGCAATACAACGTAGTTGGCTTGCCTTAAATACCTCTCCCCCACGCTTCCGCTGCCGCCCCTATCGATTCCCTTCCTCCACCCCCCTACCGGCTGCCAGTGGTACATGTCGCCACCGGTCGGCATGGACGCAAGCGCCCGGAACCCCGACGTGGAGCCGCTGTCGCTGTTACGTGAGATGCCGCCACCGCCGCCGCCAGCACCCAGGCGGCCGCTGTCGCTGCTCCGGAACAACGCCGGCGTCAGAGAGCTCTCCGGCCGCGGCCCGCCGCTGCCGTACGGCTGCACGCCGCCGCTGTAAGTTTGACCGGCGGCGCCGCCGCAGTCGTCATCGTCGCTGTCGTACTGCTCCAGGAGCCGTTGGATGTTCATCAGGCGAGCCGTGTCGACTTGGAGTACGGCACCGCTGCCAAAGCCGGCCGCCATGAGATTTTGACTGTTGATCGAATCCAGCGGGCTGCCGTACATGCCTCCACCCGCCACTGGCGGCGTGGCGGCGCCTGCGATGGCAGTGTAGGAGACCCGACGCGGCGGGGAAGGTAAATACCCGCCGCCGCCGGCGGCGGCGGTGGCGGCGCCGCTGTTGCTGACGCCCATGCCGCCGCCACGTTGGCCTCGTACACCACCCCTAGGCCATGATCCCACGGGTCCCCATGTTACGGCAGATCCGCTGGAGGACTGCAGGCGCGAGGGCGGCTGCTCGCCGCCGGCGGAGGCGCCAACACCGACACGCTGCCCGCTGCCGAATGAGTTGTACGTTGACACGGAGCTCTCATTCAGCAGCAGCTGTTGCTGTTGTTGTTGTTGCTGCTGTTGGAACTGTTGTCGGTTGATGCTGCCGTTGTACGATGTACGACCACGGGGTTCGGATTCCGAGGTGGGCGGTGTGCCGCCGCCACCGCCGCCGCCACCACCAGGAAGCTGTACGCGGCGACCGCCGGTGAGGCGAGCGGAGGCGGCGGCGGGGGTTCCTAGGGGGCTAGGGGGAGCGCCGGCAATGGGGGATGCCGCGGTGATGATGGCGGGGGAGGCGGGAGTGGCGGTGGGAGTGTCAGATGCTGCTCCGCTGGAGGATGACTGGGGACGGCCGTTCACGCCGGTTGCAGTGGTTGCTGCAACGCGCGAAAGCGAGGGTGAGGCGGGGTTGGGGACGCCGGGAAAGGGCCGCAAGGCGCTGGATGCAGGCTGGGTGGCGGGGTCGGTGCTCGTGGTGCTGCTAGCGCCAGTGCTGCGTACGTTGTTGCTGCCTGCCGGTGGCCCGGCGGCAGCGAGCATCTGGGTTATGCGCGCTGGACTGAATAGCGCCGAGGATGCGGTCATTTTCGTCAGCGGCTGGCAGCTTTTGCCTCAGGCACTCCCGGCGCAGCGAATGTCCACCCCGACGCTGTTCACGAGCGCGGTTGCCTAAAAGCGCTCCTACTGTCGTCACGCATTCTGGCGACAGCGTCGACTCCGTACGCCTTGCTGTGGCCTTGTTTCGTGCATCCGTCGGTAACGAGCATGTGCTTATAGATAGAAACCTATGCTTCGAAGTTACTTTGTATGCGACCCAAAGAGTTCATCGCCGTCGGTAGAAACGCCTAAGTAGTTATCATGATGCAGGCCTGGCTTCATTAAAGTTACTTGTACAGAACAACATTCGGGGTAACTGCTCGGACTCTGTGTAGATGAAGGCCAGACACGTAAATCATACGCCATACCCGCAGCTTACTCGGATACCGATGAGGGCTAAGCAGGCAGCTTCTTGCTTTGGGGTGCATGCCGTACTCACCAGGCTATCACTCCTCCTCGTGTGCTACACCAACTGCCGTTATTGCCTTTCCTTACCAGTATTTTCATTGTACCCTGCACAGAAACTTCTATCTCGCGAGATAAATTTGAGAGGGCGCTTGTTGCGGCTTGTATTCCATTTTCTGAGCTTCCCACAGCAGCCACCACCTCAGCATAACCATACTAGTGTAATCCGCTTGCTTGAACTTTAGCTGTATTACTGGGCCGGTAGGGCCCCAGGCCTACACCTTGAAAGACATTTTACTACTTTCTTAGTTGGGCAGCCATGGCAGCAGCTGCTCAGCGTGCGCGTAATCAGAGGCTGCCACCGGAGGTTAACAGGTGGAGCATAGAGCACAGCGTGGTCCCTGTTCGCATCGCAGCTGCCTACACTGGCGTCCGTGCTAAAGCTTGGCTCCTGCCCTTTTTACAGGGCCCTCTTTGTACGCAACCTTCCGTTCAATATATCGTCTGAAGAGATGTATGACATTTTTGGGAAATACGGGCCAATTCGCCAGATCCGGATGTAAGCTATCCTAGCTAGCCCAGCCTGTGCACGGGATTGCACCCCGGGGCATAAGAGGCTAACAGAATACCGGCTGCGTGCAGGGGGACAACCAAGGAGACCCGTGGCACAGCTTACGTGGTGTATGAGGACATCTACGACGCTAAGAACGCCTGTGACCACCTGTCAGGCTTTAACGTTGCGAACCGCTATCTCATCGTACTCTACTTCAACCCAGTACGGCAAAGCAAGAAGGTGGGCAATCCGGGCGGCCCATCTGTGTATCCCCAGGCAATCTCTGATACACATGACCCATGGGGCAGCAGAGGATGTTTCTGCTCATCGTCGAGCCAGGATGCAGCGCACGTCCACCTTATCAACCGGGTTCACTGTCTTCTGTCGTGCTGTGTGCCTGACGCGCTGTGTGCTAGGCTTAGCCATGCTTACTGTCTCTCTCTTCGTCAGTTTCGACTTGCTCCTTTAAGCACTCTTCCCCATACCAATACATAACTTGACTCCCTCCTCTCTCTCTCATGATGAACTCTCCCGTCCTTCTCCGCCCCCCTCCGTTTGTATCCCCCTCCACTTCTGCGTTTATATTCCCCTCCACTTCTGCCCCCAGCTGAGCACAAAGGAGCAGGAGGAGCAGCTTCGAAAGATGCAGGACAAGTACGGAGTGGACGGGCAGCAGCACGCCAAGGGGAAATGAAGCGGAGGAGGTGGATGGAGGCAGCATTAGGAGTGGGCCAGGCAAGAGGCGAAGAGGTGAAGAGGAGTGGGCTAGGAAAGGGTAGCTGGATTACGTGGAACGTGGCTTGCGGGGAAATGCGGGGCAGTGCTGAGGCATGTTGCGCCGCTAGGGGCAACGTGTGCTTGCATGATGCAGCGTAGGTGGTGTGGTTTGGTTGTGGCGGGCAGTGAGCTTCAGCTAGGTGGTCGTGTCATGCTGCCACGTAAGCGTTACCGGTTAAAGCTTGTATAGACTACGGCAGAAAACATACCAAACGTGCACATGTTGACGTACGGAGCCCTTGAGGGAAGGGGGAGCTGACGTATGCCATGGTTCGCAAGGATGCCTCCTCCCAGTGATGTTTGGCCGCTGTTGGACGCTGCGCGCCGCACATACCGGATCGCGCATGATTGGGGATGCGCGTTTGCGGCTGCTGAGTTTCGGAGCATCCGGTTGCTCCTTACGATGCATACTTTGCGTGTGTACTTTGCGTGTGGAACGAAACCCTACACGAGGTTGGGGTAAAGGCGCCAGCGGTTCATATGCTGCTGCTGCGCGCCAGGGCGCTACTGCTGATGGGGATACCCCAGATCGGTGTGTACAGCAACGCGTCCCGTTGTATTGCGCTGGGATGCGTGCTGAGATAGTTAAGGGCAATGTGGAGACGGCGGTTAGTGCTCAACAACAACACGGGCGTACGGCTGCGTGGCTTTGCTGTACTGATCCTGGATTGCGTGAACAGGGATGCAGGTTACGACAAATGTGAAATGCACCGGAATTGGAGAACGTTCACCCATGCTGAATGTTTAGTGTTACATAACACGGTTACACACCGATAAGTAGAGATAAGCACACTCTTCTCCGAATTTTACTCGCCACATACCCCTCGTTTCCACGCCATTCCCTACCATTATGTTGTTGGATACTACATAGTCGGCTTACTACTGCATACTCTCCCTCCGAGCTCGAGAGGATGAAAAGGACTTCTTCGAGAAATATAAAACACAAGGAAACTCCGACGAGGTACGCAAAGGCATCATGGCCCATGGGTCTGCCGAGACGAACTACATGAATGTGTGGCGAGAGGGAAGCACTATGTCCCATGGGTCTGTCCCCTGTACCATAAGCGCTTTGACTCAAGACAATGGTGCAGCAACAAACCCACATCCGGTTGTTGTTACGACGAAATCCCATTCTCCTCCTCACGCATGTTACCATGAGGCCAATCCTCCCGTCAATCAGCTCCACACCGAATCTAAGCCCCGGCTCTCTTATCCTCGCTTCCAACCTACTTGTACAAAAGAAACAACACTTCCAAAGGCTTCCTCACCGGGCTCAACCTGCACAACCACCTTATTCCCGCCACATCAACGGCAGCCCCCGCCAAGCATATTATTACAACGCACACCCATCCGCAACTCCTCAACCACCCGCTCTGTTCTCCCTCTCAACTCCCGAGTATACGACATCGCAACGGCGCTCTATTTTCATCTCTCTCCTCCTCTCTCTCTGTCACACTTCCCTCAATCTTCACTCCATCTCTCTTCCCTCTCGTCTTCGTCAAACGCACCCACCCACCACCGCTCACATGAGCAGCTGCTCCGGCGCCTCAATCACGGCCTTCAGTGTCTGCAGGAACTCCGCCGCATCCGCGCCGTACACGACCCGGTGGTCGGCCGTGAGGTTCACACGCATTACCTTGCGCACCCCCAGCATGCCGTCAGCGGTGGCCACCACGGTGGGCTGAGAGCCGCCCACCGCCAGGATGGCGGCGGTGCCTGGGGTGCGCGAGGAAAGGTGGGGGGAGAAGAAGAAGGTTTCCCAAGGCGTTGAATGAGGGTGCGAGGGTTTCGCGGCCCTCTTTGCCGCCTCCTTGAGTACGGTAGCTAAAGCGACAGCCCACACAACGATCAATTAAAACCCTCAACCCAACCCTCCTCTTCTCTTTCCTCCCCAGTCCCCAGCCCTCCCTTCTCCCCAGTCCTCCCCCCTCACCGGGCGGCAGGATGGCATCGAAGGTGTCCACTCCGTACATTCCCAGGTTGGAGATGGTGAAGGTGCCGCTGGTGTACTCGTCGGGGGAGAGCTGCTTGGAGCGGGCGCGCTTCACCAGATCAGCCCAGTTCCTGGAGGGGGGCGCAAGGAGCGGGGGAGAGAGGGGGGATGGGGGGAGAGAGGGGGGAGGAGGGGGGAGAAATGAGAAGTGAAGCTGAGTGAAGCACAGTTCCATGTCCCGACGCATGCAGTGAGCGCATTGCATTGCGAGGGGGATGGGGTACAACACGAGATAACTCACAAGCTGTATGACGAGTCTTCACCAGGTGTTGCTAATCGAACCCGGCCCATCCCAGCCCATCCACGATGAAGAGCAAGTACCCCACCCCCACCTCGGCACTTGCTACCGCCCCCCAAACCCCGCCCCACCCCCGCCCCCGCCCCGCTACCCCCACCTGGACAGCTGGTAGATGTCGGTGCTGTCCGCGTGTTTGAGCACCGGCGTGATGAGCCCCCCGTCCGGCATGGCCACCGCCAGGGCCACGTTGATGGAGGAGTTGAAGGTGATGCCGCTGCCGTCGGGGGTGCAGGCTGGGAGGGGGGGTGAGGGAAGGGGAGAGGAGAGGAGAGGAGAGCAGGGGTGCGAGTGAGTATGAGGAGCAGGAGCGGGCGTCTTGCGGGGGAGCAAACGACCCCGGTAAGCCCCGAACAGCACCCCAGCACCTCACCCTCAGCCTCATCCGCCCCTCAGGCAACACCGGAGCCCCCAACCTCTCTCACCCGCGTACAGCAGCGGGTGCTTGGCCAGCGCCACTCCCGCCGCCTTGGCCAGCAGGGCAGTCATGGTGACGCCCTTGGGCTTCAGAGCGCCGTACAGCGCATCCAGCTTGTCCGTACAGATGCTGTACGACACGCGGAACTCGGGAACCTGGAAGGTGGGGGGAGAGGAAGACAGACGGGAGGGTGTCAGGGGGGGGGTCATGGGCCGAAAAGGGGTAAACGGTTATAAGTGGTACGGGAAACTGGGGACTGCAGGGTAAAGTCATTGTTGCTTTTGTACAGTTACCGTTGTGCAGGAAAGGGGAGGACAAACCCCGACATGCGATAGGACCGCATTCGTTTCCATGCCATGCCATTTGCCGTGCCGTACCTTGAGGCTCTCGTTCATGTTGCGAGCCACCGCCGCTTGCAGCGTGGTAAAGGGCTTTGTCGTACCGCGTAGCTCCGACACCGTCGTACTCTTGCCGGCAGTAGCAGCAGCAGCAGCAGCCGGCGGTACGGCAGCCACGACAGGAGCGGCGGGTGCGGGTGCGGAAACAACCACAGCGGGGGCGGCGGGTGCGGGTACGGCAGCAGCCTTGCCGGCAGCCTTGGCCTCCACATCAGCAGCCGTGATGCGGCCGTTGGGGCCGGTGCCCACCACGGATGCGAGGTCGACCTGGGATTAGATGGGAGTTGGGGAATGGAGGAGCGAGAGCTTTGCCGAATAAGTCGCGGCCTCATATTGGGATAACACGTATAAATCGCGCAGATGGTGCCATAGCGTTGATGTTGGCAAAAGTAGTGATTTCTCTTGGGTGTAGGATGTATCCGATGGTTGATCGATGGGTCAACGTTTGCAATTAAAGCTGCGAAGCTGCAAGATTACCAAAAATGCAAGGTAATGTCGATACCTCTCTCATGCTAGTGTGGAACGCCAAGTAGCCCATAGGGATGTGGGCTATTGGTTGGCACAATCAGCAATTCGCAGCATGTGCAGGCGTTACAGGAACTGCGCCCGCTGCTCCTGCCTTTACCCGGAAGGAGAACACATTTACCTTCATTTCCTTGGCCAGTTGCTTAGCATATGGAGTGGCCACAATACGGCCATCCGTCCGCGCCACAGGTGCGGGCGATGGGGCAACAGCCACAGGCGCAGGCGCGGGAGCAGGCGCAGGTGCTGGGGCAGCAGGCGCAGGTGCTGGGGCAGCCTGCAGGGAATTGGACAAAATACATTGTATCACACAGTTGGTAGGTCTTCATAGAGTATATCCCAGCAAGACAATGCAGCAAGCATATCGGGCTAGCATCTCCATCCGCGAGATGTCTCTTACCGGAGCAGGTGCACCAGCGGGCGCCGGAGCCGCGGCCGGTGCGCTAGTGGCAGCAGGTGCGCCCATAGCAGCTGCCTTCTTCTTGGCCTCCTCCAGCTCGTTGGCGTTTTCGGCCACAAAGGCGATCGGAGCCCCGACGCTTGCACGCTCTCCCTCCTGCACCACGATAGCTCCTAGAATGCCCTCGCTGAAGGATTCAACGTCCATATCAGCCTTGTCACTCTCCACGACGACCAGAGCCTCGCCCTTCTTAACCTTATCGCCAACGTTCTTTAGCCATGAAACGATCTTCCCCTCAGTCATCGTGGAGCTTAATGCCGGCATGAAAACATCCCTCACAGCGTTTTGAATAACCAGGCAGCGGCGACCTGGGCGAGGGCTGACCACCGGCCTTATCGCACCGGAAACGCCAGCCTTAGCGGGCACACGTGTCGCCTGCATGTTGCTAAATGCGTTGAGCTAATCGAGAAAGTTGGGCAGCTACAAGACCTTGCAGACCTAGCGGCTGGAACGCGACTATTATCGCGTTCCTGCTGATCCAATTCCAGCGGTGCAGGCACTTTTTGCCGTACACTGGGTGAGCCCCAACCGACGACGATAGCACGGCTTCGCGTATCAAGCGGCATGAACCGTTAAAGCAGCATTCCGTAATCAAGGTTGACATAAGGAGCACTTTTCGCTAAAAGGTCAACGCGCAATTTGCTAGGCCCTTATGCCTCTTCACAGCAAGTCCCGTAATCATGTTGCGTGTTGTTAACGGAGTCTTGGTTGTGCCTCCTTTTGAGTGCGCTTGGCTGACTGGCGAAGGGTATACACTCCGGTCTGGTGCCGGTTGTATATCTTTTGAAGCTAAGGGCGATACCGATGTTACAGTAATCCTCAAATCGACACCCGGGGCAAAGCGTTTGCAGCCGTTACTGCGTCAAGCGGCAGGCAACGCGCAGGGGCACGGCGGTGGCGGCAATGCGCTCCAAGTCGAGCAGAACTATACCATCATTTTTGGTAGCCACCGGAACAGCTGTCTGAAAGTCGAGAAGAACGGCGTCACGCAGTGCATGGTGGCCGGTGTCGCTTGCTCTCGCGTCAGCAACAAGGCCTTCACCAAGTACTGGGTTGACCTTAACCATGGTGTTCTCACCATCGGCCACGGCGATCCCGGAGAGGGTATCTGCCACCAGTGGTGTGATGCACATGAAATCCCGGGCATTCAGGTATGTGGTACGCGTTGGCCAACGCTTCATTTTGACATTCACACATGACTTTGGACCTGGACTAGCCACGCGAAGGTACACCCTCATCCACGGCTTCAAAGTGTAAATTGCAGAATTTTTAACGCCTCTCGATGTAGTTCCTTGCTACCCTTGCGGGGCCTTTCCTTGCTGCCCTCGGCGTCGCTTTTCCTCCCTCTTCGTGACCTCCCTCGTTCTCCACCATGCCTGTTATTCAAACTCTCCACTTCCCCCACCTTCCCTACATCCCCCCCTCACTCCGCGCAGCACATCGGCCTCAGCTGCTGGGACCGCCACGTCAGCTACCGCTCCATGTCCCTCCACCCTCCCCTGGACTTCACCCGCCTGCAACAACAACAGCAACACTCCCAGCTAGGTCTCTCCGGCGGTTGCAGCATTACGGGCGCATCTGCCGTACCACCGCTCTTCGATGCAACCTGCAGTGCCATCATGGCTGCAACCACACCCGCTAACGTCTGCCGTACACTCCATGTAGCCGAGCTGCTGCTCCCCACGACGCAAAAGCTGTACCGCTACTGTCTTGACTATATCGCTCGTCACTTCGAAGCCGTTGTACGGCAACCGACAACGGTAACGGCAGGAGCAGCGGAGGTGGCGACGGAGATGCTAGCGGCGGACGCGGCAATGCTTAGCGCAGGACCACAACAACAGCCTGATGCTGTCAGCGAAGATAGCGAAGACTTGGCGTCGCTATCAAGCATGTCTCCAGCTGCCATGTGTGATCTTGTGTGTCAAAACACATTCAGCGTGGACGAGCAAGGCATCTATGTTGCCGTACGAGATTGGGCATGGTCGTACCTGACATCCGCGGCGGAGGCGAGTGCTGCTGCCACATGCAGAGAGGAGGCGGTCTCGGCAGTATCGCAGCAGCAGCAGGAAGGCTCTTCCCTGTTAAGCGGTTGCGGTCACAGCAACGTGGCGGCAGCGGACCCGTGGGGAGCGACGCAGCCGCCGCAGCCACCGCAACTAGCACGCGCCTCGCTTGACGCCGTGCCGCCCCCCTGCCCTGCGGCGATCCCAGGAGTGATCCCAGCGGGAGCACTGTCCGCGGGATGGGGCCCCAGCGGCGGGGGCGGCGGTGGAGGCGGAGGCGGCGTGGCAGCGTCCTGGCGGAGTGTGACGGGCGGCAGCCACCGCCGACTATCGGATCCGCATCTGGATTGTACTGCTCTGAAGACGGCGCTGGCGCAAGCGGTTGCTGCAGCAGGGTCGGCGGCGGCACCTGCAGCCGCTCCGGCGCCGGGCACGCCGCTCCCGGCGGCGACGCCGCCTAACCTCCCATGCGCTGCCGCTCCCTCAGCAACCGCCGTCGCCGTTGTCAGCTGCGTGGAGGGTGTGCTGAGCCTCATTCGCTACCCGCTGCTCCCTATCGATCAGCTGCACGCCTGCCTGCGAGACCCGCTGCTGTGTCGGCTGCCTGGGGTGTTGGGACTGGTACATGAAGCCCTGGAGGTGCATAGGCGAGAAACAGGCGCTGGCGGCGCTGTGATGTCGGTGCCGATGGTGCCAACCACCGGGGCGGCGACGGCGGCTATGTCAGGCGGATGTAGCAGCGGCTCTGCCGCACCCATGGGTTGTGGTGGCTGTAGCAGCAACCATGCACATGGAGGCATGAATGGCGGCGGGGGTGGTGGATTGCTGTCGCCCACAGCTGCCGAGCGGCGGCTCGTGAAGCCCCTGTTGTCACCCAAGGCAGGTGTGAATGGAGCCGAGGGCGGCGGTGTTGGCGGCATGGGCGGCGGAGGCGCCACCGCCGGCATGGGTGTGGCCACTGGAGGAGCTGGCGGAAGCGGCGGTACGGCTGACGGCGGAGGCGCCGCCGCCGAGGGGCATGGCGGCGGCGCTGCCATTGACAACCGTTGGTCCGTTCGCTACCAACGACGCTGCCTGCCCTTCGCACTAGAGCTCATGTACGTTTGCGACGGCGACTCATGCGGTGTACTGCACTTTCTGGGGACGCAGTACGGCAGCCAGGGCTGGGTGAACCCGCTGCTGGCGAAGCGCGTGGATGTGCGCGCGTCCAGTCCCACGGGTCGGACCACTGACCCACGGGTCGTTGTGGGTCGTCAGTTTGTACGAACGAACTTTGCCGGGCCGCGCTACGTGAATGGCGCGGCGAGCAGTTGGTGGCAGGTGGACCTAGGGGAGCCGCACCAGCTGGCCATCACGTACTACACACTGCGACATGATGGCTCCTCGGACTTTGCACGTAGCTGGGTACTGCAGGTAAGCGGCGGTATAGTTGTGTGTTCAGGCAACAACTGGCCGCGAGTCGGAACGTACTGTGATCGCAGGTTGTGTGTATATGAGTGTCAAAAGCCTCGCAAGAACAGTTCTTGCGGCGCGCAAAAACGTTTGTCTTTCGTGCTAGTCTGTCTGACATGAGTGGTTATTAGGCCCTTGACTTCAACGCTTATGCCCCCCATGTCTGATGACGCCTCCATGCAGGGCTCCCATGACCTGGCCACCTGGGTCGACCTCAAGCGCCACTCCAACGATACCTCCATCAAACTGCCCGGACAGTACGCCTCCTGGCCCGTCATAGGGCCCGCAGCCGCCGTGCCGTACCGTGCCTTCCGCCTGCTCCTCACCGCACCCAACGCCTCACCCAACTCAGCCAGCCGCCTGAACTTCTGTCTGAGCAATCTGGAGTTGTACGGATTCCTGCATAAGGGTGGAGGCATCGGCAATGGCAACAGCAGCGGCAGCAGCAATGGTAGTGCGGCTGTTGTTGCTGCTGGTGGTGGTGAGGGTGCGGGTGCCCCGGCGGTGGCGACGGCGAGCAGCGGCGAGAGCGCTGGTACGGCTACGGCGGCGGCGGCGGCTGGGGCGGCGGCGGACCTAGCGACGGTTGAGGCGCTGGGAGCTAGCGGTGCGTGATGGCGTCATGGGGGACTGGAGTGGAGCGGGGGGCGGAGCGGCGCGGCAGGAGGAAGATGTGAACATGTGATGTGTTCGTGCCTGCAGGCTTGGCCTGGTTATTTGGTTGGTCTGGGGCGCAGCCTGGGGTGCAGCTTCCGTTGCATGGAGTTAACGCTGCATGAGAAGGATGTAGCGGAGGCGAGGATGGTGTTTTTTCGGGTGGTTGGCTGCTTGTCTGAATGCTGGTATTGGTGTTGGCCGGGCTTTGACACGAAGGTCACGTTGCTTCATAGGAGGTGAGCAGCATAGCGGATGATGGGTGTTGCATATGTCGTGCATGGTTTTTGATGTGGCTGATTGATTGTGTGCTTGTTGGTGTGCGTCCGTATGAAAGACGGTGAAAGGGAACAACCGCCTTCGAAGCCGCTTATGAACCTTCTTTTTTCCCTGAAGTGCCCTGAAGTGCCAACGAAGGGGGTATCGCAGCAGGCACTATGTGTTTCCTTCATACCGCTATAGTACGTAAGCGCCGTCTACTACCGAGGGGCGCGCTCTAAACAAAGTGGTCTTTGTGGCACAATGCAAAGTGATCACTTACGCGGGTAAATTTACAATCCCGTGCGCGGTTTGGTTTTATTAGCACGTTAGCCAAAGGCACCGGTAGGAGCCTAGACCGCACGAGACGTGTTTGCTGCAGATGCTGTTGCTTGGCTTTTGTACTGCTGTTTAGTTTATCTTTCATTTCTTTCGCGGCTACGTCGGTGGCTATGTTTGTGTTTAGTAGTGCTTCGTAGTTACAGTGGCTGTTAGGATGACTTGGCAGCGGTGGTGCACCGACGTTGTTTTGGTTGGGATTTTTGGCTGTTGGGTTCAGGAGGGGTGAGAAGAAAAACTTTGGACAGTAAGAGCAAAACGTCCGGCGACCCACCCTTGACCACCCACCCACCCCAAAAGTAGCTAAAAATGGGAATTTCGTGTACGACACTGTTTTAACAGCTTTCTTAAAGTGTAAATAGTACCCCTAGCAGTCTTTATGGAGGCCGGAGGTCATGCTTGTCGTGAATACCGCCGTACAAGTACGGCTTATCCCCACTGGGGCCCTAAGGATAGCCAAAAACAATCTTATCCCACATAGCCATCATCGTCTGCCGCTGCATGCGTAACCGGTTGTGGCTGTGCTGGCAAGCCACATGGCCCTGCAACCTCTGCTGGCAGCAGGGCCTCACCAGCAGGAGTCGGGGTGGTTGCTCCTGCTGTTGGGGCACTTGGCATGCGAAGCCGTGAGAATATGTCTGCAAGCGTTGATTGCTTGCCCTTGCCTCCTTGCAGTTTGCGTAGCCGAGCCTGGCAGCTACCAACATGGCGGTCGATGTTGGGTTTATGAAAAAAAATACTTTGCAACGGGTGAGCCCGCATGGCCTGGCGCCAGCCAAAGGGTTAACGACGAGATGTGCGCCTAGGCATTACGGTGCAGAAAATTGCTAAGGCCAAACTCGCAGTAATAATTGCCCTACCTTGGGTCAAGGCATTTACAGATTGCACGTTGCCCTGCAGTGTATGGCGCAAGGGCAATAGTGGCGTGTAGGCTTTCGCGTCCAAGCATGGTTGCAAACATCCAAAGTTCATCCCTTGGATACCGCTCGTACTGGTATACGATTCTGTACAACAAGGGCCTCACTATGAGAGGATAGCCGGAGTCTGCCTATCCCGTACAAGCCCCCCCTTGACCTTGGTACCGTACCAGGGCGCGGCGCCGTGCACCTCGCAGCCCTCTGTCAACCCTCACCTCCTTCACGCAGCTCGGCACCGTCAGTCCACATACATGCATGCGGCAGTTACCAGCACCACGGTTACTTCAATGCAAGCAACGAATCCCATGCTCGTTCGTTCCCTTTCCCGTGCATACACGCATACCCCCCCCCCGCTGTTGCTCGGAAGTCATGCATTTCACAGTTGCGGCTTGCGGGACACGTCTTAACTCTTTCCAAAACGCAAATGCTCGTCAACTTGTACGTCGTAAACAGTACCACAACCTCCCCAGCCTGCTGTCACGGTGTCACGTTCCAGCAGGTCTCCGACCTCATGGCTTTTCCATTATTTCCCCCCTCACCCCACCTCCTCCCCCGCCCCGATGCGCCCCCGGTCTCGCTCCAGCTCCTGCAGCTCCTCCCCAGCCTGCGAGCCGTGCCGGTAGTGCTGCTGCAGGGGCCCGTGCGGGTGCGCCACCCACTCCACCACGTAGGCTGGGGACACCACGGCGGCACCCGCGGCGTGCAGCGCTGACACCAGCCTGCATGCATGCATGCATGCGGGGAAGGGAGACAACAAGGCGTGAATGACGCAAACGGGGTAGGAAAAGACCGAAGGAGGGGACTCTCTCTCGTTCGCTTGGGAAGGAGGCATGGGGGGTGCGGAACAGCATGCGGCGCCGCGAACAAGGAACATGTGTGCAAATGAATGTGAGGCTTGTTTCCCCTGTGCCCGGTTACTCACTTATCCTCCTGCTTGAACTCCGGCGGGACCACCCCCGCATGGCAGCCCCGGGCCGCCGCCGCCAGCGCTGCCGCGCTGCCGCCCGCCTTGGCAGTCACCGCGACGCCGCCTCCCGCCGCCAGCATGCGGCCCAGCGTGGCGGAGTCCAGGGGGGCCGGCAGACCGGGCGGGATGAACAGCCTCAGCCCGCTAAAGGCACCGCCGCCCCTGCCGCTGGTGCCGCTGCTGCTGGTGACGGTGCCGGTGCTTGAGCTGGCCCGGGCCGCGGCACGTTGACGCCAGTGGGCGGGAGCGCCTGCAAGGCATGAATGGAAGGGAAGGGAAAGGAAAGCGGATTTGGAAGGAAGGGGAAGAAGAAGAACGACAGGAGATTAGAAGGGTCGGAAGGGGATTAGGGAGAAAGGAGTGAGTACGCGCAACAGAGGCGTGAGTAATGTTGCTCGTGGAGGCACAAAAGTCGACAGCTGCGTGTTTGAAACACCCCCGCCCACAGTCCCTAGACCAGCCCCACACCCTAGCCCACCTGTGGATATGACCGACGGCCCGTCCTCACATTCCCGCAGCTCATACGCTGCCGGATCAAGCCACGCCCTGCCGGTGCCGGCTGCTGCTCCTGCTCCACCTCCCGAGCTGTTCTGCTGCTGCTGTTGCCCCGTCCCCAGGTCGAGGTACGCATGCAGGTAGTCCGCTCGCAGCAGCCAGGCGCCCGCCGCCATGGCACATACCGTCTTGTCGGAGCGCTTGAGGCTGGGAGCAAGCAGCGCGTTGATGCGCGGGTCCCACTCGTTGTTGACTGCATGGGTTGGGGTGGGTGGGTACAAGGGGTTGGGTGCATTTAATTATTTTAAAATTACTAAAACGCAACTAGTTATTTGGGGTTGGGTACACGGGGTTGTGTTGTTTGAGGGACATGGGTTACAGACTTAACCCATGCAGGGTTGCCCCCCCCCCTTATAGTACAGCACGAGTGAGAGGAGGGAACAGGGAGGGTGATACAGGAAAGACGAAAAGGGGTTACCGCCTTAACAGCTGGCATAGCAAGGGCGGGAAGGTGGGGTGGGCAATAAGACAGGGTTTGTGACATACCGGACTGTACATCCCGCGACATCAGCGCAACAGCAGCAGCCGCTCCATCACAGCAGACTCAGGCCAACTCAGGCTGTGCCGGTATGCGCACAAACAAAAGACCACTTACTGGGAATGTACGGCAGTCGTAGTTGCTTCAACGTCGCAGCCACCTGCCCTCGTTCCGTCGATGAGAACCCGCTGAGTGCGAATGTCAGCTTGACGGCCTTTCTGCCGCTGCTGTTGTTCCCGCTGCTGTTGACACCGGAGGGCTGCTGCGGCGGCGGAGGCAGTACCAGAGCAGCTGCTGTGGTTGCTGCTGCTGCTGCTGCTGTTCCCGTTGTCATCCCCGTCGTCCCCTTGGTGGCCCATGCTGCTGCTGCCGTCGCCTCCGCCGGCGTCTCCGACACCCCCGCAACTTCCCCAGCTACGGACTCGGACCCCAGCAGGGGAAGCTGTTGCGCTGAGCCGCTGCCTGCAGCCTTCCGCTTCTTGGCTGCCTTGCTGCCACCACCACCACCACCACCGTCAACACCGCCATCACCGGCGGCAGTACCGGTAGCAGGAGCAGCAACAATAGCCCCTCCCTCGACCTGTTGCTTCCCAGCGTCTGCTTCCTCCAACCTCGCTTTCTCCTTCTTGTCGCCAGCAGCGGCGCTCTTCTTAGTGGCTGCTCGCTTGCCGGCCCCAGCACCCTTGGACCTCGCAGCACCGCCGCCGCCGCCGCCGCCAGCAGCAGCGCTGCAGCTCCTGCCGCCGGCACCCTTCGCCGCAACGGCGGCCTCTGCTAGGGGTACGACATCGTTATCAGCATCCGCAGCAGCAGCAGCTTCAGCGTCAGGTAGGCTTGCGTTATTAACGTCGCCGCCGTCATCGCCGTCACCGTCACCGCCGCCGACGGCCTCGACGTCAGGCATGTCCGCATCGGCACCACCACCACCGCCGCCGTCGCCGCCGTCACTGCCGGCCGCGTTGGCGCCGCCGCCTGCCGCCGGTGCTGTTGCCATGCATGGGGCTGTGGTAGCCATCCCGGTGGCTCTGCCGGCCTCAGGAGCAACAACGTCATTACTAGGGTTGCAAGGAACGGCGGCGCCACCACGGCGCCGCTTGGAGGTTGGCGGCTTGCCAGCGCCGCCTCCGCCCGCCGCCTCTGCCGCCGCCACATCCTCCTCACTCCCCGTCGCCGTCTGGGGCTTCTTCCTCCGTCCATTCTTCTTCGGAGGTTCTTTCCTCCGCCGCCCCGCTTCCTCGTCCTCCGCTGCTGCTGCCGTACTGTCACATCCGGCACCCGGTGCCGTACCAGGCGCCGTACTCGTGCCAGCCCCCGCCGTCGCCCCGTGCAGCTCCCCCTCTTCTTCCTCTGCCACCACCGGGTCAGCACCAACAACGACTCCAACGAGGCCACTCCCTCGCCTTCGAACATCATCATCGTCATCACCAGCAGCAGCAGCAGCCTCTTCCATTCCAGCATTGGCATCTTCCCCTCCTGCTTGACGTGCAGCCTCACCATCTGCAGGAGCTGCAGAAGTAGTAGCTGGTGCTGGTGCTACAGCTTCAGGGTTGTTGGCCGCCCTGCTGCGACGCTCTGCCGGCTGCTGCTCACATCGCGCACTGACAGGCCGCTTGCGAGCCCGCTGCGGTACCGCCGACGAACCCGTCGGTGCAGCCGCCGCCACCGCTGCCAACGCCGCCGGCAGCTCTATTGGCACTTCCCCGGTAGCAGCCAGCGTCCCCGGTTCCAAGGGTTCCGCCGACTCGCCGCCGCCGCCGCTGCTGCTGGTGATGATGGCGTCAGCTACACCCTGGGGTGCAGCCGCCGCTGCCGTCGCGTCGGAGCCGCCGCCGGAGCCGCCGCTCGCGTGGGACCGCATGGCCGCCTTACCTCCTCGCTGTTTGACCTGGGCTTCTTTGCGACGCCGCGGCGGATCCACAACAGCAGCAGCAGCAGCAGGAAGAGCAGCGGCAGCAACCTTCGCTTGTGTGCCTCGGTTGTGGCTGCCAGGCCTACCCGTCTCAATGTCTGGCACCGGAACATGAGGAGATTGCCCTTCCCCTGCAGCAGCAGCAGCTGCTGCGTCCATGTTGTCAACATCGCCACCACCCATATCGCCAGCTGCGGCGGTTTCGGCAGCACCAGCAACATGGGCAGCAACACCCTGAGGCTTCTCGAGTTGCAAGTCAGCTGCCGCCAACCGCCTTCGCCGCACCTTCTTCTGCTCGCCTGCTGCTGCGGACGCAACGGCTCTGGAAGCGGCAGCAGCAGCAGCGGCGGCGGCGGTGGTAGCGGCGGTGGTGACGGCAGCTGCCTTCTCCTCCTCCGCACCGGTGTCAAAATCCCAAGCGGCATTCTCCGCCGTGGCCGCTGCTGCGGCGGCGGCCGCTGCTATTGCTGCCGCAGGTCGAGCTTTATGCAGTGCTGGGCCCTTCGGCTTCACCACCTTGAACCTGGAACCCTGCAACCCCACCGTCGCTACCGGAGGCACTACTGCTTCTTCTGCCCCTCCTTCTGCCCCCTCTGCTGCTGCTCCTACTGCTGCTGCTGCCGGTGCTAAGGTCCGCCGCCCTCCCCCTCTGCTGCCACGCAGCGCTGCTGCTGCTACCATCGCTTCAGCGCTAGAATCAGCAGCAACTCTTCCTCCCCCGCTTGGACCAGCCACAGCCCCGGCCTCATCGCCTCCGTCGTTCTCCCCAACGCCAGCAACACAGCTCGGCTGCAGTTCTACCAGTTGTTGCTGCTGCTGCCGCTGCTGCTGCTGCTCCACCAGCGGAGCTTGCGACGGCGAACGGGAAGGGCGTACGGCAGCAGAGGGTGCCCGTACGGCAGCCCCAGCAGCAGCGGCAGCCCCAGCAGCCGTGGCTTTCCCCAACAGCATCGCGGCACCCCAGCCGGTGTTCTGGGAGGGGCCGCACTGCGAGTCCTCTTCCTGTGAGGTGCCCAGCAAGGTGGGTAGCAGGGAGGCCACTCGGGCACGAGCGCGGTCGAATGCCTGCGAGGGGAGGACGACAACACAACAGGGAGGGCGACACAGCCAGGCGGGTCGGGTACGATTTGGTGTGCTGCGGGGACGCTGCTGTGCGGGGAGTGGTGCGGGATTGACGTGGGAGGAGGTGTTTGCATGCAACCCGCTGCACGCAACCCATTGGTAACCATGCATGTGTATGCAGGCATGCATGCAGAAGCAGCAGCCCACTCTGTACCGGTATGCTCTTACCGCCTGGCTCACGTCGTTGCTTGTCTCCGTGCCAATTGTCAACGGCAAACCGAAACCGAATCCATTGCCTGAAGTCGGGTTGCCGCCGCCATCACCGCCATCACCGCCGCCGCCGCCACAGAAGCTGTTGCCAGCAACTGGGTGGTCATGACCACCATCACCACCACCATCACCACCAACAGCTCTTCCTGCCTCTGGGTGCCACTGTTCCGCAACGCCTCCAAGCGCCATCGGTACGGGCGATGCTGCTGGTACTGCTGCTTCCTCGTTTGGTGCTGGGTCGGCCTCTTCGTAGCCCCCTGCCGCCTGCTCATCAGACGGAGGAGGCAAGGACGCAGGAGGGGAATCCGCCCCTTCCCCAACATCAGCCAGCTCCTCCTCCAGCCCCTTTCCCCTTTTATCCTGGTCCAGCACTTTTGTATCGGTGTGTTTCTGCTGCTGTTGCTGCGGTGATGGCCCGCATGCAACGTCACAACCGGTCCCAACACCACCACCATCATCACCACCACCACCAGTGGCACCATCATCGCCGCCGCTGCCCTGGTCGCCGCCACCGCCACCACCAACAGCCCTATGCTGCTCGCACCCAACTTCGCCTCCCGGGCATCTGTGCGACTCTTGGCGTTGCTGCTGCTGCTCTTCTCGTTGCTGCTGCAGCGGCTGCTTGTGTGACAGCTGCTCCGAGGTAAGCGGTAGCGGCGAGGCGCGCTGCTGCCCGGGATCCACCGGCGTCAAGGGCAGTCGCGCCCGCGGTTGGTGCTGGGGCTTCTGCTGCTGCTGCTGTTCTTGTTGTGGAGTCAGCAGCTGCTGCTGTTCCTGCTGTTCCTGCGAGCCCCCCTGTTGCTGCGAGCCCCCTCCTCCCAGTTGATTATGCGCCGGACTCCACCCCGGAGGAGACTGGCGCTGTCCCAGCAGGCCCGGCCCTGGCTCCTGCCTCACCTGCTGCACCGCCTGCCGCCGCTGCCCCATGAGCCCCTCATCATGCTCTTCCGGCCCCTGCCAGCCAAGATTGCCCCGTAGTTGCTGCTCCCGTGGTTGCTGCAAATCCGGTTGCTGCTGTGGCTGTCCTCCTACCCACTGCGCCCCCCGCGACAGTAGCCCCTCCGCCTCCTCCTGACCCGCCTCCTCCTTCACCCGCACCAATTCCTGCCGCACCAGCCCATGCCGCTGTTGCTGCCCCTCCGCCTCCACCTCGCCTTCAATGCGCTGCTCCTGCTCCTGCTCGGGGACCCCACAAAGCTGCTCCTCCCGCTCCCTCTCCTCCTCTGCTTGCAGCTCCGCTCCCTGCCGCTGCTTCATGCTACCATCCCGCCTGCCTGCTACTGCTGCTGCTTCCGGCGCCCCGCCTCCATCTCCACCTTCGTCTCCTCCGCCGTCCCACGGGTCTGCTGCCCCCGACATGTACTCCTCCCGCACCTCCTCAGGCAGCAGCTGCTGCCGCTGCCCCTCTGCATCATTACCATCATCATCACCATCAACAACATGGCCTTCTCCCGCTGCGCCAAGATTGCCGCCTGCTGCTGGTGCTGGTGCTCGCAGCAGGTGCGGTGCCGCCTGCGGGCTGGCTGCACCTGCACCTGCCGCGCTGAAGTCTGCATGCGGCTGCTGCTGCTGCTCAGTAGGCGCCGGGCAAGACTCCCTGCCCCCCAGCTGCAATGGATCCGGGGCCGTTGCTGCTGCTGCCTCGCCCAGGGCATGCGGCATGGGCTCCTCCTCCTGCCAAGAGCAAGGCCCCGGCGGGAGACCTGGCTCCGTATCCTGCCCCTCCTGCCCCTGCTGCTGCTGGTGCTGCTGCGGGTGCAGCTCGCACGATAGCAGCGATGGCGGTTCGTCGCCGGATTGCGGTAGCTGCTGCTGGTCGTACGGCTGCTGGGGGTCGTATGGTTGCTGCTGGTCGTACGGATCCGCCGGCCGCAGGAGAAAGGGCTCTGCAGGAGGTAACGGAAGGGGACGGTATCAGGCAGGCGGGAACAAGATGGGCAGGAAAGGAAAGCGGACAAGACAGGTAGAGGACAACACATCCCGAGTTCTCGACACAGCCATCATGGACCCACCATCGTCCACTAGGCTCCATGTGTGGCGGCACTTCAGAAGCCAGCCGTAGTTGACGTGGCGGATGTGGGGCTGCCTGCGTGCAGATAATGTAAACATACCCATCAACATATGCACAATTGCACACATGCACATTTGCACAACACATGCGGGCCAACAGCGGGTAAGGGACAGCCGTAGCCAGCCAGCAAGCCTTTCATTTAACGGTGTTTCGGAGTCGCGTCCGCGTCACTGAGATCTGCTCATTCCGGCGTAAGGTTTGAACTTAGGACCAGACCAGGCCCTGATACAACCAAGAACACCTCTCCCGAGCCGATAAGGACACTCGCACGCGCCCAGCCGCCCACCTCTCCTGCAGCTCCTGCTGCTGCGGCGTCAAGACGTGCGAGTTGTACGTCAGCACGTGCGAGGTAAGGCCCGCACGCGTCTCATCCGCGCTGATGCCGCCCATGTTCTCAACCCAGAAGAACAGCAGCATGCGCAGGTCCTTCATGTCCGCCTGCATGCAAGGGGCGAGAGGGCCGGGGCAATGTGGTGATGGCGCAAAGCAGGTCCAATCGGAGTGTCGCAACACATGTTTACAGCAGGTTCTAGTGGCGATGTGCGCGGACATTGTTCATGCGTCGCAGGCAGCGTTCAGGTAATGTGAAGGGCGCGTTGTTGGTGCGTGCATGCAGGGGGACAAGTGCTGACGAGTATGCTCCTGCACTCAGCCACAACGGGGGAAAAGGAATGCACGTCCCTCTCCCGTATAACCCTTCCGGTTACGCTCCCCTACCGGTATGCCGGACACCCTGATGTGGTTTGTATAGGCGCTGAAGCCCGGGACGCCCGGGTCTCGAGGACCTGGCAGCACGCCCCACTCCTGACCCTGCAACCGAGAATACGAGGAGAGCAATGGAAGAACACGCATGTGTTGATTAACAGGAACGCGTTGGGTCGGGTCGGGTAATCGTGATCTGCGGCTGTGCCTTGTATGCAACGGAGGCCAGACGTACGGCAGGCAAACATAGGTGTTGGTTGCAGACCCGTATTCATCTGTTCTGGAAGCAACCTACCAAGTCTTCTGTGACCAAGCCGCCATATTCTATGCAGGAGAGCACCCACTGCGGTCCGAACACCAGCACATCCGCGCCCTGGCTCTGCGCCTGGCGAGCTTGCTGCACAAGTTGCTGCTGCTCGTGAGTAGCGATGACATGTGTAGCCCCCTCGACATACTCGTCGTCCAATCCTATAATGTTTCCGCCATGGGAACCTGTAAGCACGCCGAAGATTCCCGTAGGATGGTTGGACGGGAAGCAGTCGCCGACTTAGATTGCAACCTTACATATTATCCTTATTACATTCTTTCTGAGTCGTTGGGTATAGCTCTCTTTATCTGGTGGGTAGCCGCGAAGCTGGGGCCCATCTAGATGAACAACGAAGGCCAGGCCGCTGAAGTACGCAGGCTTCTGCGATTGTGAAGCGCTCATAACTACAGAATGGATAGCGTTTCATCATAGCTTTTCATCGTGCAAACATCGCCCTGCAAGCGTCAGCTCAAGGATTAGAGCTTTAGGCTGTCGCTTCAGTTTGTCGCGTGGCCAGTAAAGCCGGGGATAAACGGGGCCAAGCATCAATCATTGAATTCACTACAAGCTCAAAGAGCGGCTTGGTAGCTCAGGTACTGCGACTGCGCGCTGTGTTCAATTTGCCTCGCATGCGCAGCATGCACGAAGCCGTACAGCCGGCAGCCACAGTGGACAGTGCCACACGGCAACGCGTTCAACTAAAAACACGTATAGCTCATAGGGAAGCAAGATAATGAAAGGCGGATATGTGTCGCCTCTCTATGTACGCATGGCTACACCGCCATAGGATTCACAGCACGGATTTAGCCTAAATAAACGAGAAGCTGAAGCCGAGCAACCATGTACCAGGCATGTTGCCACTATCTGTAGGCTTCATTTATCTCCAGCCGCCCTGGATGCGTACAAGGCAGTGCCGTGCCAACACCTGATTCTTTATCATGCCACCCTGCCCGTCCGCCATACGGCCTTCACAGGTTCAGTAGCAGCGTTCACTCGATCTGCTCAGCAGAGCCAGAAACCCAATCTAGGTGGGTTCCTAGTGGTACTGAAGACCGAACCCGAGCTGGGGCTTGATGTCAGAAACAGCACTGATGGTGGCGGGAATTCCATTCTGTGTACACGCACAACAAATCCACACTGATTTCCAATTGGGCGCCTGGGGCCCCTTGGGGATTGCAAACCGGTATGGGACTCTTCCCACTGATAATTAATAGGATGAGCAACAGGGCATGAGTGCATGACTGCACGAGGTATCAGAGTCACTTGTGAACCCAGACCATAGCTGCCCCAGACCCCCTCCAGGCCCCCAATCCTTGAAGCCTAGCAGCTTGGACAGGGGGCTGCCACCAACGGCATGACGAGGTGACGACGCCCAGGACCAGGAAGCTTACATGGGGGTGAAGCGCATCTCCCCATAGCTCACGCCCATCATCATACCCCGTAGCCGTACACACAATGCGCCGGGTAAATATGTGGTGATGACATTTTGCCGTAGGTTCTTACTGCCTAAAGCGCCTCCGCAGCGGCCCCTGGGACGCCGTGCAGGTATGCAATGCCCAAAACCGAACCTTGTCACCCTTTCGTTGGTATGGCACCAAGCTTGTCTGTTGGCCAGCGGCAAAAGTCACGGAAGCTTACTGATCAGCAAGTTTTCATATCACACAAACACGAAAAGCAGACAGAATACCGCTATATACACCCAAACCGACCCGCAATCATTCGCTCAAACTGCTCATGTAACGGCAGCAGCGCAATTAGTACGGCATACACAATTCGCACCGTACGTACGACGCCCTAAACGTAGCGTAGCGTCCCGACAAACAGGAGAAGAAGTGGTCAAGGTTCGATCCCAGCTCATACTACAGGTCAGGTCGTCTCCTGCGCCAGCGCTACGGCTTTTTCCAATACCGGTAACCCATCGTCCCATTCCCAACCACGCCACCAGCTTTAACAACTTGTCTCAAGTTGCTGTAACATGAAATGGCCCAAGCCCACGATGCATGTGTAATCCTAAACGCGATGTTATCAGTACAGTAGGGTTTCTCCTCCTCCCAGGAAAAAAGAGGGCCTTACGAGCCCTACATGCGCACCCTGCACCCCTGCCCTGCCCCGCAGCTAAATCCTTCACCGCCTCACACAGGTTATATAACACGCCACAATAGCTACACCCACACTTCTCCTGCACGTATGCATTCTACTTTGTTTGACGCACTCCCACCGGCACACCCCCGAATCTAGAACACCCATCTTGTATACATCATGACACACCACGAGGTTCCGCTGCGCGCTTCTTTATATGAAGCTGCTGACGTCACGCTAAAGAGGCAGGGCCGACGTTCAGACGCGCCGCCGATCGTAGCGAACGCTCTTAGCAGTCACACTCCGCCACAGCTCCTGGCAGCTCTATCGCCTGCTTGGGCTTCTGTGGAAGCACCGACCCGCCCGTGTACTGAGTCACCTTGGGACCCACCTGCGGGGGACGAGGAGGAGGATGGAAACCGGCGGTAAGAGTTAGAGAAGCGGGGGCTGGGGTGCGAAGGACAGAACTAGCATTTCCCGACAGCCCCAACACAGTTGGGCCTTTCCGGCCCCTTCTCCTTTTCGTCCTCTGTTGCATGATGCTGCATGTGCTGCGTTGCGTTTATCGTTCCTGCCCTGCTGCCAAGAGGTCTTGCCGACATTACATGAAACGGCTCGTACAGCCCAACCGTAGACATCTCAAGAACCCTAAACCCCTTCCATCAGTCTAGTTGGTTCCCTCTTTGCTCCCTGCCCTCCTCTCCTTGCCACCTACCGCCTTGAACTTGGACATCTTCCACGGCTCCTCGTCGCTAGGTGGGTTTAGGTACCGCGAGGCGCCGTACGAATGCCCCAGTACGGCTTTGGTCGGCTGAGGCGGAATGTACGGCCGTTGCCGGGAGCCACCCGCCGCCTCCGCTTCTAGATTTTTCCGCACCCACTCGTCTTGGTAAGCACCCTGCACTAGGTACTTGACGGGGGGCTCCTCGGGGCCAAAGGAACGGATGACCTCCGCGCTTCGGTGGGCGCTGGGCATGCCAAACATGGAACCGGATTTGGAGGGCGGGATGGTGGGCAGCGCGGATCGGCGGGGTCCAGCGGCGAGGCTGGCGTCCGTTTTGAGCATTACTTCGGAGTGGTCCTTGCGGAATGGCGGGTAGTCCTTGGCTGTTGAGAGGCCGCTGCGGGACAGGGGCGCGGGTTGGAGAGGAGGGCAAGGAGGGAGGGAGAGGGAGGGAGGGTTAAGGATGGTGTGACGAGGGAGGGCTGTGTGGGGTGATGCAAGACGGAGGGGGGGATGGCATGGCTGAGGCGCAAGGATGGCTAACTAGGCAGCCGTCCCTTGATGCTGATGAACATGGGTGTGAGCTTCAAGTTGACAAGTGTTGGTTGTGGCAACTGCCTAGAAAGGGCCTTGCAAGGTCCTACCTGGCAACAGCCATCTTGTTGAGTGTCTTAAAGTCTGGGGAGGGCCGCGTAAGGTCATGCGACGGGCTGGCCTGGTGTCCCTTCCATATCATCATCACTGCATTGTGCATGGTAGAAGTTGGGTCCCGTCGAGGGTTATGAAGCCATTACAGGTCACATGCATGACACACCGTCAACTTCGAAAGCTAGGTGAAAGAAGTACCGGTAATAAAGCTTTGAACAATCTCAGGCTTAACTAAGTGCGTGACACATTTCTCACCTTCACGAGCTCCTTCAGGGTCCTTCGCCGGAGTAAACCCAAATACTTTCTCGGGCGGAGGATTGTTGAAAAGTATTTTCTTTACACTACCAAGCTCCGCGTGGTTCAGCAATGGATTCACGTCCATAGTCTGTCGGTGAGAGCCGACCTTAATGTCCTGGTCCATCGGAATATGGCCACCAGTCGGCTGCCAGACCATGATGAATTACTGTGTCCTATAAATTTCTAAGCTGTGCGCAGGCCGAGGATGGCCCGTCGTCCAATGGAAAAACTTCTGCGACCTTGTAAGGACTTGATGTTAGCTGAGATCACAAAAATGTGTTTATCCCTTGTTGTTAGGAAGCCGATTGAAGGATGGTTGCCTGCTACTCCTATAGGCTGCCTTGCTATCTATGATGCTTCGGCTAAATGTACGGCAATACGACGATGACCGCAAGACTTTCTGTTGATGCGAATGCTGCGCGGCACTTGTTCAAGTCCACCTTAAGTAAGCCCTTTGAGACATTCTCCTTTGAACCGTCGGCCCCACGAAAGGCTTTGCAAAGCGCAGCATGCCACTAGCTGGAGAAGGCCCGACAGATAGCGTACAAGCGAGAGACTCGTCACGTACAGTGGATCTCATATGCTCCTGCCCTTACTTTCACGACAAAAATCTTTCCACTTGCAACATCTAATGGCAAAACAGACCCAGCGCCGACCCCAGAATAGTTATCAGCTTGTGGGCTGACTCTGCACTGCACAAGACTGTTCTGGATGTTGCCAGAGAGGATCTGGGAGGACACACTGCCCACGAGGCTGCTCGACTTGCCCTGCCAGAGCTAGTTGACTGACTCAACGAAAGCCTCCCCCCGAAAAGAGACATGTGGCTTGGTGTGACGATGGACTAGAAGGTGGACTGAGGTTACATCCCAGGAGTTTAACCCAGCCCAACGCTACAAACTCCCTCACCAGAATTGTCAGCATAGGCTTGTCATTGTCAGCATGAGTTCATGACATGTCACAAACCTGGACCAACCCCGCATCTCATACCGGGTCATATGGGAGGGGTTACAGCTTAGCCAACTCTCCAAGCCATCTGTTGGGCAGTAACTTAGTCAACGCCCAAGGGCAGTTTGGGGGCGCATGCTGCAAACTCTGCCGCCGTCGTTGAGATCCGAGACCAGATCCCTGCAACCTGTAGTCGCCGCATTTCGTCTTTACCAGGTACACGGCAGATCCCGTTCAATACCTAGTTGGGAAAGCAGGCCGGGCGCCGCATGGCGCAGGCGTACGCCTAGGGTTTGCTGGCGCCGTCCCTCCTGCTGAGCCAGGGGTCGGGGTTGGATGCAAGCGCACGTGTGCTCCAGAGCTCGGCTTTCTTTCATTCACCTACACGGTCATAAGCCGCCACTTAGGCTTGCCTGGACTTTAGAGACACAATTTGACGAGGTTGGCACGTCAGCCGGCCAGCGCATGCCTAAGCGTACGATGGTGTTGACGCTACGGTACGGCGGCTGGACCGGTAAGCGTTGACGAGGTTAACCCAGCGGCCCCTTCACAACTATCTCCGACACAAGTATTCATGACAAATAGCATTGCTTTAATAACGCTTGCGAATTGAGACTAACCGTAGCGGGTACTTGATAGCTATCTGTTTCACCTTATGTCTACACAGAGCAGAGCGAGATGTGCGCAAGACCGCAGAGCAGCGCGGCTATTTGTAATAAAGGTTGCAATTTAGTACCGGTATGGATGATATAGCTTTTTGGGGCCCTGGTTAGCGGGGCCCGTCGGGGTGCCAATCGCGTGCCACTACCGTTAGAGTCCCCGCGTTTACAGCTCGGCTTACCGCTGTAAACACTCCCGAAGCTCCCTAGTTGCTCATGATGGATTATCGAGCACCTGTACGGGTTCAACTTGTCTCAACAAGCATCGCACTTCAGCTTATTATCGCAGCAGCTGCGTTTACCTGCCAAGATGAGAAGCAGCCAGGATTGGGCGAAGCCGTAGCAACCACATCTCTCGAGCTGTACGTGGCGTCTGCAGACCCTGACGTCCATACGGTTTACATTGCAAGCTCTATCCGCATGGAAGCAGGCGACTGGCAAGACCCGCTGGAAATATCACGGAACATAACATGGGCTGCTGCTCCGTGCGTCGTAGCGGCTGGCCTCCTGGCGGAAGTTGACGCAGCTGGACTGACAGCTGTCGCCATGCTGTCACCCGGCGTGACAATGACTTGGCAGTCTTTAGCTTTCCGCAATGCGCTGCCACCTACCGGCTTTCTGGTTAGAGTCCTTGGCCCAACACACGGTCCGGGCACGGTGGTTCTCGGGGTGAACTCCGTGATTGCGCGACGAGCGGGCGTGTATCCAGCTGTTGGTTTGCCCGCCAACTGGATAGCTTATCGGGCTGCTGGTTTCCCAGGGACCAACCTTGTCACCTTGGGAGTGGCCCCTACTTGCTACCGGTCCACAAGCAACCCCTACGTTCCGTCTTGCTGGAATGCATCTGCGTTCTTCGTCGATGTGGCCAAGGATGTGCCGCTGGTAAGAGCACGTGGACTGAGGCTGGGAACAACAATTTGTTTGACTGCACACCATACACCTTATACCGTACACCATGGCTGGGAGACTATATGAAAGGACTCTATGAATGCGGATTGGCGGGCTGTGTCCAGCTTTCGACTGTTGGCATGCAACCCTTGACGGCATCGCCTTTTCCGGGAACGCCTGCGCCGCTTCTTACACGCCTGCAACACCGACACACCTTTTTGCCTTCCTGCTCCTCATCCTGAACCTCACCCGCACCTCAGCTGACAGGTATCCTACCAGACGATCCTGGACAGCAGCTAGGCGGCTACTCACTTCTCGCCCTGAATGTATCGTACATCGTAGAGCACGTGGTCAGCGCCGCCTGTTACACCACCGCACGCTCGATCGAACAGTGCATTTTGGAGCTAGAAGCGCAACTAGACGCGGAAGCAGCAGCAGCTACAGCACTACCACCGCCCATAGGAACAGAACCGCCATTAGGAGACCTTTCAGGCGAAATATCGGGATCGATACTCGCAGCGCCGTCGCCGCCACCACAACCACCGCCGCCGGTGCTGCTCCCTGCTGCATCCGGACCGCCGGGGAGAGCGGCAGGCGGGCCCCCTCCTGGATCGGGGACGGTGGCGCCGTCGCCCGCTGTAGCAGCAGCACCGGCATCACCACCTCCACCACCTCCGGGCCTATTGACACCTCCGGTTGCGGTAGCGCCGTCGGTTCCTGTGGACTGGCATCCGGCGGCGGTTCTGACGCCTGCGGCGCCTGGCAGCAGCCCGACCGCAGCGGCAGGAGGCTCCGGGCGGACGCAGAAGGTGGGTGGGTAAAGAGGTTAAACCAGGGTTGAACCGTGTGGGTTGGTGGGCGAGTGTGATTCCATTCCTGTCGTTGATCCATGCCTGTCGTGATGCCATGTCTGCTTGTATCTCTCATGATTCTCTCCCAACCCAGCAGACGGTAGTCACCAGCGTCTTGTCGACGACTGGAGTGCTGGTGCTCCTTGTCTCGGCTGCTTTCGCTCTGTTGGTGCTGGTGCGCCGGCGGCGACAGCAGCAGCCCAAACAGCAGCCAAAGCAACACCAGCCGCAGCCGCAGCAGTATAAGGATGAACCGCTGCAGCAAGTAAGCGGGCAGCAGCAACAGCAGCAAGGGCCAGTTGAATGTGTGGGGGTGCTGCTGGAGGGATGCACCTCGTCTGCAGACCAAGGCTGCTGCTCTCAGCCTGTGGTGACAATGTCAGCAGCAGTTGCTGTCCCGTTTTCACAAACGGAGGCCACGGTGGAGGGTGATTGCGTTGTCGTGGGCGATGCGACCGGGCCTCAATCGGTCTTGGAAGGCCAAATCGCAATCGAGGTACGACGTAAGGTGGTCGGGGGTGCTGCTGCTGCTGCTGCTGCTGCTGCTGCTGCTGCTGTGCCTTGTCGGATTATACAATGCAAGCTGCATGCCTATGCCTGTACTAAGCTGGATGCATTGTGTAAAACCGGTGTGCTACCTTGACAGGTGGGGGAAAGCGGCAATGCGGATTGCGGCCCGCCGGCTTCCAGCACCAAGCAGCACCAGCTGTGCTGTAGCAAATGCGGAGTGGCGGCGACAACCAAAAGCAAGGAGAGTGTGTGGGGCGGTTGCGGCGAATCCGATCCTTGCAAACCCTCCACTACCAGCGGTTGCATGCAGGCGCCTAGCCGGTATGGTGGCTGCGGGGCCGCTGCTGAGCCCAGCAGCAGCACGGGAGCTTCAGTTAGGCCCTGCCAGGAAACGGCACAGGTTATTAACAACATTGGCGCCAGCCACGTTGGCATCGGCAGCAACGAGCCTGACAACGGACAGGACAACGGCAGCTGCATGGCTGCAAGTGACCCGTGGGTCACCTCGCAACCGGAGTTTTACTCGGCGGGTCCGGGTACCCAGCCGTGGGAGCCACCGCCTCTGCTGCCGCAGGGGGCTGATGACGGGGACAGGAAGCAAGACGCTTCGGCAGCCGAGGTAAGCACCCACCTACACGAGCACCCAACTAGCCGAAACCATAGCCGTGGATAAACAGACCTGGCCGCGAGAAACAGGCTGACGGTGCACCTTGCCTCACAAGCATCTTGGCCCCATGCAGGCCGCGGGGAGCACGTTAGAGTCGGTTATGCATCAGCTGCAGGAGGCTCGAAAGACGCTGGCGACGTCGGGCGTGGCGGACAACCAGCTGACCATCGACCGGCTGATTGGCTCTGGGCACTATGGCACGGTGTACCTAGGTGCGTGCGTACGTGGCGCGTGGATGCGTGATTACATGGGCTGGCTACATGAGTCGTGTGTGTGTGTGTGGCTGCATGTGATCAAGCAGTCAAGCGGTCCCAGCGTAGCCCCTACATAGAACCTTGCCTGGCCCTCTCCATGCCTGACTAGGCATGCTGTCCCATGTAACGCATGCTGAACTCATGTGCGCTACTGTGTACTGGCCCCTTTGCATGCCTGCCCTCTTTCATGCCCTTGCTTCCTCATGTCTCATGTCCTCGTGTCCGTGTGTGCTGCAGGCACTTGGAAGGGGCTACGGGTGGCTGTGAAGACGTTGGTGTTTAGCAGCACCCACGTCAACAAGCAGCGGGCGCTTCAGGAGGCGGCGCTGTGCCAGCAGATATCCCATCCCTGCATCGTGGGTGAGTATGAGGGCTGGAGTTTGGCACCGTGAGTGTGAGAGAGCGTTTTGACCAGTGCAGCACGCACACGTCGTTGGTAGGTGCAGCTCCTCGCCACGCGCATGGCCTTCTTCTCTGCGTTAGACGTGCCTCGAACACGGCTAGCGCTGGGGTTTAGGTACCATTTAGGTACCGTTTGGGTTAAGGTACCGCACCTTTCTTGACAACACAACAAACAGCTGCTGCTGTGTGTTGACGGTTGCATGCTGAGGGGCTAGGCGCTCTCACGCTCGGCCGCTTTGAGCCGTGCCGCACTCTCGGCCAGATGACCCCCGCACCCCGCCCGTTCCTTCCCCTGTACTCATTCCTATGTGACCACCACCCAGCCACGTATGCGGTGGACATCCAACCGCTGGTGGGCTTGTCAACGGGGCTTCCAGGGTCCAACGGCAACGACAACTGTGCTGGAGTACCGACCACACCAAAACAATGCCTGCTGCATCAGGGCTGTGGGGGCGTTGCTGCCGCCGCGGCAGCTGCACCTGCGGCTGCCGCTGCAGCTGCTGCCGGAGGAGCTGCTGCAGCGGGGGCTGCAAGGGCTACTGCTGCTGCTGCCGCAACAGCTACGGGGGCTTCAGGGCTGCGCACGAGCCTACCCATCCTGGTAGGTGGTGTACATTCCCTGCGGATCCGCGGGTGTGGCACCGCACCCCTGCCATGTGTTGGAAACGCGGCTGCAAACCAGCCTAGCAGCTACTGGAGTAGCAGCTACTGGAGTAGCAGCTACTGGAGTAGCATGCTCCGCTTGCCATGTGGCTCAACAGGATGCCCGCGACATGCGCGGGGCGTGGTTTTCTACTGTCCCTTGCACGCACCCGCTGCCCTCATGCCGCAACCCCCGTTCCCGCCCCTGTTATCTCCCTGCAGGAATGGCGGTTGCTCATCCTGCAGGAGTACTGCGACGTGGGCCCGCTGACGCTGCTGGTGGCAAAGCGCTGGCTCATATCCCGGGTGCAGGGACCCCTAATGGTAAGGGGTGCCGTTAGATGATGTGAGGGGTGCCGGTAGCGGTGGGGTTAGGTCGCTAGTCCCCACTCCGTCGCTGCTGCTATGTCACTGCGTCGTCTTACCACTACCTTGTTATCCTGCGCTTCCAATTCCCACGCAGCCGTACATCCTAGATCTGGCGTACGGCATCGCCTCCGCGCTCGCCCACCTGCACGCGCGAAACATCGTGCATGGAGACCTGACCCCCAACAACGTGCTACTCATGCGGGAGCCTTCCAGACCATGTGGGCTGCTGCCAAAGGTATGGTGCGTTGCGGGCTATTGAGTTGTTCCAGTTGTTCCACCTTGAGAACGACCCATGGGCCATGGGTCTGTTTCGTCTTCTCATTGTCGTCGCTACCGGTATTTTGCAGTGCTAGCCGCCTCGCGTCTGCAGCCTCTCACGACGCATGACACATGATAGACACATCTGCCCTGTAGCATGTGTTTTGTGACTGTGTTGAGACCCATGAAAACGCTCGCCACGCTGCCATGCATGCCATGTGACACCTTCTGCGCTCCCATGCATTCCATGCATGCCATGTGCAATCTTCTGCGGAACCGCAGGTCGCGGATTTCGGTTTGAGTATTGCACTGCCTGGGAACACAAGCCACATGAGCAACCACCGACTGGGCACTCCCTTTTACATGGCGCCGGAGGTGCAGAGCAAGGTGGGTTTAGGAGGAGAGGGGGTGATAGGGGGCTGGTTTCCTGCTGGTCCTCCTCTTGAGCTCAAGAAGCATGCCTGGGCTAGCATTTGCATGTGTCCATGTCCATGCCCAAGGGTGGCCTTACATGTGCATGTACCCTCGCCCACACTCATGTCTGTCTGCCTGTCTGTCTGCTTGCCTGCCGCCGTACATGCATGAACGCATGCATGCGCGCTGAGGAGCCCATGCCCTTGAGCCGGTCGTGTGTGTGTCCCACATTGCCTCCGCGCGCCCGCCCCCACAGGGTGTGGTCAGCTGCCGCAGCGACACGTACTCACTTGGGGTCATCCTATGGGTGAGTGGTCTGTTTGTCTGAGAGGAGCACCGGCGGGGGTGCGGGTGCTGCGACTCCTTGCTTTGCTTGGGTGTGTTGCAGTGGCAAAGAAATTTTAAAGTTATTTCAACTAGGGGAAGAGGCTGTGGGTTGTTGGGCTGGGGTCTCCGCTTGCACCCTGCGTGCACACCATCCGCATTTGGTGGGCTGTCCGCTAGGCCTTATCGTAGCGTCGGCGGTCGGCCGCCCTCATCCCTCACTCCCTCCTTTCCCACCCACCCGCATGCATGCATACACAGGAGCTCTACTCGGGCCGTTTCGTGTGCGAGAGGCAGCTGGACGGCTCCTTTGCGCAATCGCCTGCCTTCCCCGCCTTCCCGCCCCACGCCCCGTCGGACTATGTGGCGCTGTGCATTGACTGCTTGGATGCGGACCCGCAGCGGCGGCCTGCGGTGGCACGTGTGCTGTCCTCCCTGTCCACCATGTACCGAGCAGGGACGAGGGCGGCGACGAGGGCGGCGATGGGGGCGGCCGGGTTGGCGGATGTGCTGGGCATGCCGACAGCGGCAGGTGGGGCGGCTGGGATTGCGGCGGCGGAGGCGGAGGCGTTACCGCCAGCAGCAGCAATGATGGATTTCGCTGCAAGGCCGGCGGCGGCGGCCGTCATGAGTAGAATGGTCATGGCAACAGCAGCGCCTATTTCTGTCAAGGCTGCTGCTGCTGCGGCGGCAAAAGCAGCAGCAGGAGAAGGTGACGAAGACGAGCTCTGACCGTGACAACGACTCTGTTAGTGGTGAGGGTTTTTGACGCAAGTCTTGCTGACGCAAACTGCGCAGTGTGGGCCGAACAAGAGGTGCGATACTCCGTGGCATGATTGGACGCGGCCGAGTCGCAGAACTGGCACGGGCGCTCCGTGCAGAAACCCTAGCGGTGAGCATTTTAAAACCATGTGTTTGTGGCGGCATGGTGCGGCAGTGTTAGTGTTACTGACAATGATGAGTGTCCTGCCATTTCCTCCTCCCTTTTATGATATCTAGTATACATGCCAGGAGAAAGCATCGTGGAAAATAGTGTTGTTAGCAATGAGCCGGCGAGGCTCTGTGGTGGTTGTTTCCTCCGTCTGTGTGCAGTACAGACGAGGGCATTCACTGCACTGCCAAGCACTGTAGTCACTTACACCACCATGACTGTTGCGATGTGAACTGTCGTACACAGTACATATACGTGATTGTGTGTGGATTCTCGTGACCTGTTTGGGATGCTCTGGACAATAGCCAGCAAGGGAAAATGGCAAAAGGGTATGCGGGCTTTAGCTTCTTAGGCCCCGTACGAAAGTTGTGTGGTTTGTAGAGCGTTAAGTGCGTTTGGAATCCTTCAAAAGGTGCTCGAATTGTCACAACGTCACGTGTATTGCGATTTGCTCATCTTCTTCAACACTCATGGCTTCGCTTTGGGTTACAAGTGACTGCAGATTTTAGGCACTGCAGGCATCAAATGTTGTTGTGGTTCTGTGAAGTTTACAATCCTAATGCGCTAGTACCGGTATGCGTCCGTAGTGACATAACAATCCACCACACATCATCCACGTGGCAAGGAGCATATGCTTTTGGTGTTTTGTAGCTGGAAGCTTTTGCTGCCTTGCTATGGTTCGTTTTGGAGCTGCCTTTTGGTTGGTCGGAGAGCGTTGTAGGGGTTTCGGTTATGCCATGGCGGCTCTCCTCTCTGCCGCTGATCATCCGCATATCACATGTCACGCTGTGGCAGCGACCGATACCGTAAAAACTACATGCGTCAAGGCACCTGCCCTGAGCCTTTGTGAATTGTTGTAGACGATGAGAACTGTCTTTATAGGCGCTGAACTGACGTTGCGTGAGAGAACCAGCACCCCAGTTGCGCGCGCGCGTGGCGGGGGTCGAGTCACGAGGGTTCGTTCATTTTCAATGTACCCGGACAACCAACGGTTACAACCAACTGCTGTTAGTCATCGTGCGGGCCTTACTGTCATGGTACTGACAGCTGGCAGCAATTTCGCTATTGGTGGTGTTGATGGTGCTAGAGTCAAGCTTCGGTCTATAGCCTCCGGCTGTTGTATGTATGGCGCGTTCTGTATGCGCGCTTTGTTTTCCGTTGTGTTTGCGTTGGTGTACGGCTTTCCCTTTGACCATATTTGACCCCAAAGTGCTGTGAGTTACTACATGACTACCCTAGTGGGATATAGCTTCTCATGCTATGGCGTGTTTCTGAATGAGGGCCTGTTGCCGGGGCGTACCGGTACACTGAACTACTGGTATCGTCGTCAGCGGAAAGCACGGCATGCATGGGTTGCCGTACACACGCACCGTTGCTTCATGTGGTTGTTATGGAGTGCTAAGACGGCTGGTTGCGGTGATGTGCGGTAGGTAGTGGTGTTTCTGCACGGTTTGGTGGGCGTGGGGTGGGGTAGCACCCATGCACCGACCGCATGTTTGCTGGTTGTTCTGGATGGCATAAAGACAAAGAGAGGACAGGGGGGGGGTAAGAAATTTTCTTATAAACCCCAACCCGAAATTTCCAAAGAGAAGGCCTCGGAGCCACCCACCCACCGCCAAGCGTGTCGTACAACCTGTAAACTATGCCAAAACGCCGGGGGAAAAAGCGTCTAGGTTCCTCTGCGCAAGCTCTATTAAATGCAGTCGAAAAACCCCAAACCCCCTGGGACGTTAATGTCACAGCGTTGCACTATGGACGGCTAAGGTAACCATGTTCTTGGCCCCAGCTTGACTGATGTTGTGTATTTGGCGCCTAGGAAGCACCATGGTCCTCCCATTTGCACCCTACCGCCGCCAGTTCTGTCACCAACCTACACGACGCCACCACCACGCACGTCCCAGGCCCCTGCTCCTGCCTCTTCTTCCCCCTGTGGCACTGGGCCCTCGACCTTAGCCCCTGGCACCAATTCCAACGCCTTCTTGTTTCTGTGCTCTGCATCCCCACCCCATTCGTGGTCACTGTAAGTGCTTTCTCGCAGCTCAGTCTGTCTACTCCAACCCCGTATCCTCAGTCGTGTTCCACATCCATGGAGACATGCGACATGCTGCGATGCTAGGCCTTTACAACGGGTCGACTAGCCGCGTTCGCAATATATGTTTTCTACATAAGTTGTTTCTTGTACGTTTGGGGATTGGGCAGTTCCGTTTGGCTACCGTGGTTCAGAGGTGAACTGTCATTGGAACATCGGAAGCCGAGAAGTGACCATTTTGTTGATAGAATTAATTCTGCGTATAAGAAACGAAGAAAGGATGGCAATACAGCTTTCAAAATCCTAACATGAGGCCTGGAAAAATTTTCCGGAGGTTCATGTAAAAAAGTCGTTGGGGCCCTGAACCCACCCACCCACCCCTGCCGTACAACCAACTTTGCAAGCCCAAAACTTTTTCCATACAACTCCAAACAGAAATCTGAAAGCAGATTCGGAATCCCCACGCAAAACCCCTTCGATTTGAGGGTTGGGGTCTATTTTTGCGGTTCTTACCCCCCCCCTGGAGAGGAACAAAGATATTACAAGTACACTCATGTGCGTGTGCTAGCGTGCTGGAATGAACATGTTGCAATGGAGTAAAGTACTTGGACGTCACGCTGTGTGAGCAAAAGCAAATGCTGTTCCTCTGTTTGGAGGGTTGTTGTTCAGCGGCATAACAGCTAAAACTTGTACTGCGCTGTATCATTGGCGTAATGGGGTGTGTCCTTACAGCACAAGAGTACAGCGCAACCGCGTGGCATACTAAGGGCATTGGGGGCAACGCTTTTGATCCCTTAGCCTATCATATGTTATCATGTAACATCCTCATGTTTATCCTTTTGACTGGGTGTAAACGCACAGTCGCCATGATAGCGTGATAAAGCGGAACATGAGCGTGTTACAATCCAGGCATAGTGCGCATTTGGCCAATGCAAAGTGTCTTTGATGCACAAGAGTACGACGTACGAGCAACCAGTCCTTAAGAGCCCGGGTAAATCCAAAGAGATACACCGGGAAAACCTTTACATCCACGAACGTCGAGTCAGTCCTACCAAACCCAAATTTAGTACACGCTTATCAGCGTCCTAGTTTTACGTCCCTTATTGGTAATAACCGTCAACGACGCAGCGGTACGACCAACCAGGCGTCTTACAGCTGCCACAAGCTGGCAACGAACTAGAGTTTTCCTTGTCTTACCATAGATAATACAACAACTGTGCGAATCCAGTTGCAGCCATATGTGTAATAAGGAGAATGCACCATGCCAATACCGGTAGGAAAAGGTGCAGCCCCACACCTACATTTTCAAAAAGGAAATACTCTTTGCAGCACAACGCATAAACGTTCTCACGTGTTTGTTGTATATCGGGAACTATCCCCGTCAAACCCATCAGCACTTCAGCAGCCGAGTTTCTGCCTGCATCAACTACCGGTACGATTCACAACATGCAACAAGTACGGCAGCCTAGACAGCCATGCACGACAGGAGTGGTCCTTATGATGTGAGAAGCTTGTGACAGTTACCTCCCATACATCCTACACACCCAGAAGAAGGACACGCACAAGAAGGCCGACCTGCACGGGCAATTGCTACGAGCAAAGGCGCCCTTGCGGCGCACATGTGAGTACATGTCTGGGCACTAAAGCCGTGTGCCGGTGTGCGCCCTTGTATTTCCCACCTTCCATACATGCTTGCGACAATCCCCGAGATCAGTTGCGTTAGGTTATATATACAATCTGTCACAGGGTCACAGCGATCACACGCCAAGTCACATGGGCGCATGGGCGTCAGCTTGTGCTTCCAGTAGTTTGATCTCCGGAAGCGTACACGACAAGAAGTTATGTCGGGCGTCCTCCAGTTGACTCGCACATGGAGGGCAGCGACGGCAACTCCCCATCCGCCAGCTGCAAGCATCAAGCGGGTGTGGCAGGGTTGGGTGGTTGCAGGTTGGTACTCCTGTACCCAAGCGCGTGTGCATGTATGCGGCATACATCCGCTTATATCAGTTCCCGTGACAAGCGTGAGGCGGAAAAGTTCACGACCGTGATTAATCGCCTACCACCACCCAAACCTGCTGCTGCTACTGCTTACCTGCGTATCCTTGCGGTGTACCCCGCCTCCTCCTCCTCCTCCATGCGCCCTCTTGGCCTCCTCCTCCGAAATCTCCTCCACGTAGCCTTGAAGAGCGCTCGTTTCCGCCTCCAGAAGACTCAGCGGTGTCGGCTTCTCCTGCGTTGCATGCAGGACGGCATGATGCCAGATGGGGCAACAGCAAAGCACAGCAGCAGCACAATTCGTATACACATGGAGGGTACGACACACCAGTGTAACGGACTGAAGGACGCGACGGTCCCGACAACAATGAAAATGGCTCGCCACAGCCCAAGTCGGGCTTCCCACACCCTTCATAACCAGAGCTTCAGTCCTGAACCTGCGCAACAGCGCATCATCATCCCTTTCTTTTCAACTCCGGTAACAAAAGACATCGTATCCTTACCTCATGCTTTGCCAGCAGAAAGGCAAGATCCGCATGCTTCTTGGCCAGTCGTGCCACAAGTGCGGCCATGCCCGGGTCCAAGAGCAGCTCATTCACCACCCCCATGCGGTTCACGTGGCGAGCGCGGGCACCCAGAGACTGCGCCGCTGCTGCCATGGGACCTAACTGCCTGCAGAAAGGGGCGGCAGCGAGGAGGTTGCGCGGGTGGTACGGAGCATGGGTCAGTGAGTGGCCCGCTGAGTCACTTACTACTGGTATGGGCTACGGACTTAGAATGGTTGGTCGTGCATGAAGGGTGGTTGCGTTCAGTTAGGCTCCAAGCGCACCGGTGTTGCAGCTACGGGGGTCAACCTGGCCGACCTCCCACCCAAACGCTTGTGCTCCAGCGCAACTCACAATGCCGTACTTACTCTCGGAAGCGCTCCTTCACGTGCTGCAAGGAGAGGTAGCCGTAGTGTTCGTCAAAGGACGTGTCATCCTCCGGCTTGAGGCGCTTGGTGACCTTGCGCAGCCGGAGGTCCTGCAGGACAGCAGGAACACACGCGGCCAGTTTCCTTAGCACACGCACAGGCGCTCTTCTTCCCTTGTGGCGTTCTCCCTGGGGACTTCATATCTCGGAAACCGCAGTATACTCCTCCTCGCAGCATATGTCGCCTAAACCCAGGCCGCACACCCATCCTCCTCCACAGCCGCCGCCCACTCACCGCCTTTGCCTCCGTGTGCAGCTGCTTCTTGGTGGTTTTGAGGGTGGCGTGCAGCTGGCCGCTGGCCTCGTCCAACGCCAGCTCCGAGTTGCGGTTGATGTCCAGCAGCGTGGCGGTGTTGGCCAGGTGGCCGCTCAGCAGGCGCTGGGGAGGATGGGGGGAAAATTACATAAGTGAAACAACGAACCCCAATCCCATATCCCGACTCATGGAGGATGGGGGGAGGAAGGGAAGGCACGTGGGCACTCCGTGGGACAGCTGACAGCTGACAGATCATCATCATCACCAGCACCAGCAGCCGCCGTAATGACACAGAAAGCGCCGACAAGTGAGGAAAACACCGGATGGATCCACAAACACCCCTCCAGTAATCCCAGTACGTTCCTATTCGTGGCCCGTCCTCTGACCACGCCCCTTGGCTCATGCCGTACATGCAAACGCAGCAGCGCAGGCGAGGTAACAGCCACGTGCTTGCGCTTGACCCCCGCTGCCTCTCGCAGCCGCTCCGCCGCCTCATGCGCCGCCCACTCGTTGGAGAATGTGGTGCCGATGACGCTGATGGGCAGCGCCAGCGAGAGCACGCCTGTGAGGAGGGTGGGAACAAGAAAGGGGAAGTGAAGCACAGTGAGGGGAGGAGGAGCGTGGGAACGGAGGAAAGCATGTGTACGTTCATCATGCAAGGTAGTTGGGTGCTGCAAGAGTGAGTCGTGTGCGACTGCGGTGGGTTTTTGCGTAGGTCGCGGCCGCGAAAGGAGGAGGGTGTACATCCCGCCGTGTCATCTGTTCGCCTCCCTCTCCTCTTTACTCCATCCCCAAACCATGGTGACGCCTTATTACACGGTTCGTTAGTCGTTTGCTCTTTACCCCCACCCCCGCAGCAGCCTTCCTCCTGCTCACCGCAGATCACCGCCACGCACACGATGACCTTGCCGCCCGCTGTTACTGGGTAGGCGTCGCCGTAGCCGACTGTCATGAGCGTCACAATGGCCCACCAGAACCCAGAAACGATGGACTCAAAGGGGCTGGGCTGCGGTTCGCCCTCATAGTCATGAACGACCTCCATGGGCCGAACGTAGTAGCCTGGCGTGCGGGGTGGGCGTGAGGCGTAAGGGGATGGGGTGAGGCGGGGTAGCAACGTAGGATTGGCGGAGGCCGCTGCAAGGGACTAACGGGTATGGCTGGGCGGCTTATGGTATGACGACGTATGACGGGAAGGGGGGTTCTCGCCCACCCAAGCTCACCCAGTCGCTCGTCCCACTTGCCCCGTTCCGCGTAAAACATGAGCGTGGCGAAGAAGACGATGGAGAGCGAGAGCAGGAAGCACATGAGGGCGAGCATGTCGAGCGACTTGCGTAGCGCAGTTAGCACCACCGGCAGCTTGGGATACCTACAGTTGCCGGAGCGGCGGGAGGAGTGGACCCGCGGGTCTCTTACTACCCGTTCCATGCGGTGCTGGCAAGGCACGGCAGCGCACCCCATCGCATCCCAAGGGCAAAAAACCCACACACGCCGCGCCTGCTTCCCAGTCTTCCAGCCCCGCACCGAGACCTACACCTGCCGTACTCGGCTCTCCCTCCTCTCTTACCTGCCTCCCAGCCTGAACACCCGCAGCGCCCGGAACAGCCGGATGACCCGGAACACGGTGGTTCCCGTGAACGTGGTGCCGATCCAGGTGATGATGTACCAGGGCACGATGGCGATGAGGTCGATGATGTTGAAGGGCTCACGGACGAATTTGAACTTGTCGGGTGAGGAGCCCAGCCTTGTTGAATGAATGACGCACCGTTGGGAGGGGAGGGAAAGGGCAAGGAGCGGGTAAACAAGGGTGCGCGCCAAGGCTGATGAAGAGCCCACGCGGACCGCATACCAGTACGAAACGCACATTCTCCCTCAGAGCTGGTACTGCTTATGCAGGCCGCCTGCACTGCCGGTCTGGGCTGCTGCTGTGTGCCCAGTATGCGTCCCCTTAGGCGAGCGCGCTCACCTGAGGAGGTACTCCGCTGCGAATATTTGGATGGTGACCGCCTCCACCCAGGTGAAGGCCGTGTTCGCCGCCGCGTTGCGGTCCTTCTGGAAGGATGGAACCGTCTCCAGGCAAAAGCTGCGAGCAGGAGGAGCAGGACAAGGAAGGATGCAGGAGTGCAGGTGGATAGGAGAAGGGGCCGGTGTTCAGAGCCCTAACAGGTGCGAGGTGACAGTACTGAGGATACTGGTGTGGTAAGCGGTTTGGGTATGCGGGAGAAGAGAAGGTGCACAGGAGGTAACAAGGAGATGAACGTGATTCGTTCAGCAGCACCGTCCCACCTGACGACTGATATGATGATGGTGGTGATCATGAAGCGGGAAATGAACCACGCGGAGCGGCTGCTGGTGCCGTCGGTCATCAGAGTGTACAGCTGCGACATGTAGTAGTTCCATCTACAGAAGGCAGCGCCGGAGTGTCAGGAGAGTCAAGGCGCAGATGGGACTGGGTTTGCCGCAGCGGCAGATACAGTAAACATTCGGGTTCCTACTGGCTGTTACTCACTTGTTGTGTTTCGGCTGCTCGTCCCATTTCATCCACGTCGGTATTGGCTTCCCATGCTTGCTGACATGAAGATATTTCCGCGTAGGCTCCGAGAGGGACTCTGCGACAGGTCGGCCAACAAGTGGCATGCCATGAAGACCACAGCCCCCGTGCGCAGGAATGGGCATTACCCAAAGCTATCCCTAGCAACCCACCAACTGCCTTTATCTTTAAGTCCAGCCGCTGCCTTAAATCGCCACCAACTGAACGACCTCCGTCCGCCATCAACCCATCTTCCTCCTCGCCAGTCTCTAAGTCATTGATAATTGGGTTTGTTGAAAGAGTTCTTTCCTGCTGTCGTAGACCGGTCATTTTGCTTCTTATAAGTGTGGCTTCTGTCGTTCTCTCATTCTTTCAACCTACATGTTACGCTACTTGTATAAGCGCAAAAAGAATAATACAAGTTTTATAGTTAAAACGGGTCTTCAGACACCCTAGCAACCGTAACTGTTAAAGCAACTTTGGCAAGCAGCCAGGGTAGAAGGCTCCAATCAATAATGCCAGAAGATTGGATACTGCTGGTTTATCAAGATTGCATGTCGACAAGCGAGCGGTGAGAACAATTGTTGAGGGCTGTACGGCAGATCCAGTATGCTTTGAAGTTATCATGTCTAGCAAGCCATATGATCATAGTTAACTTCACAGGAAACTCCTTTCATACACGCTTTTACCCTTGATCACCTTAATTTTGCCCACGTTGCCGACAGACAAGCCTGAACCGACGCGCACATTAGGCCACCTCGACCAGCAATTGTCTTGCCTTCATAATTTTTAATGCCGTCTTAGACTTAATGGCGTCGTTTACTATCCCACGTAACCTGTTGGACATAGAGAGGGAGAGGGAAGATGAGCTATGTGCATCGCAAGTGCCAAGTAAAGATCGCATTGATCCTAGCGGCGTAGAGACAGCTTATGAAGGTATGCTTGCCTTGATAAGCTGGCCGTCTGAAGAGATACAGGACAGGTGTGAGCTTTGCTCCGCTGACGCCCGGCAGAAAGCATCACCGCGTTGGGAAGCGGCCCGCTCAGCATTTTAGACCAGGATGCATTTGATGCAACCTACGTTGCGGTCAGGTATGCGCCTTTGCAAGTTTTCGGCCTTGTAAATTAACCAAGCAGAGACATGGCCAGTCGCTTGCTTGTAGGGGCTTGGAGAACCTTGAGCCGAGCAATGCCATCACGCTGGCATTAAAATTGTGCCAAAATCTTAACGCGGTGGTGGCAGGACCGCTAAGGGAACTTGTGGCAGAGGGCCGTGAAAAGAGCGACCCTGTGGTCATCTCCTACCGCAGCGCCATCCACGTGTACGCCTTCCTATTGTACTGTCTCCATGAGCATGAACACGAGAGGGCTCAGAAGTCCGACGCAGAGGCCAAGGGTGAGCACTAAGGGGTTTTGCTGACAGTTTTAACCGTCGCAGGCGAAGGTTGGCGTGCTGTGCCTCTGCTTGTAGTTCCACACCACCCGTGCTGTGTTCCTTAAACGCTGAACTTTACTCCTGCAGCCTAGCAGAGTTACGCTTTCCGTGCACAGACTTCCCCCCGTACCTACTCACAAGCATGCATTCCCTTGAACCTTTTGCCCTTTCTAGCGGCTGCTCCCAAGAAACGAGGAGGAAAGTCCAAGGCAGCTTCAAACGCTGAGTCGGATGCAGCCGCCTGGCTGGACACCGTGGACCGCATCACCAAGGCGCTGAGCCGGACTCTGCAGGCGGACCTGGATGGCGCGCTGTACCGCTCACCAGCTGACAAGTTCCGCCTGGTGGAAGTCTGCGTGCTCACGGTGCGAGCTGAGCCTCAACTTGGGCGTTTTGGTTGTGTGAAGCCTAGGTCGTCTCTCCTAGGCAACATGCATGCTGCACATAAGCAGCAGCACACTTGTGTCACGTGTGCAAAGGGGAGGATAAGTGGCGGTGTTCCAGTTTGCAAGGCTGAGCATGTGCCTTTCCTTGTATGCAGGTCATGCGCTGCCTGGAAGACGCGGTCGTAAAGCAGACGTCTACGTACACGGCATGCCTGGAAGTCCTGGCCCTCGCAGCGACAAAGCACGCAAACTGCGGTGGCAGCCTTGACGTGGCCGCGGCAGCCCTGTTCGGCCTCGTTACCGAGCACGAGCACGGGCCCAGCGTGGCGGTGGACGCGGCGAACCATACAATGAGGGCCCACAATAGCCCCTCTTTGGTGGGTTATCGGGTCATGTGTGAGAAGGCCGTGGCGGATCATGTGTTGCGGGGACCACATTTGGGTGGACTAGCCTTACTCACCGGTTCGCTTGCATTCAACTGCTCACTCAATGGGTGGCCTCACCAATGGATGCCCCCAGGTTATGTCGGGACGACAAGTGCATGGCAAGCATGTATAGGCTGATGGGCATCTTGGTTAGCGCACATGCGCTGGTAGTTCACACGGACATAAGACATAAGCGTCCAACCCTGATATAATGCGCAGGCCAAGGCCCTTCTGTCAAAGTTCTGCGAACAAGACCCGGAAGGATACGACGAGATTGCTAAGCGCGACACCAAACCCGTCAAGCAAGTTGCGGAGATGCTCAAACTCCTGGCAACCGCCCTCCCGCACGTAGTGCACACTCAGATCTGCCAGCTTGAGCCCTTCTTCGGCTGCCAGTAAGCAATAAAGGGGCTGTTGTGGGGCTGGGCGGGGCTATGTCAGGAATGGTTTACTGGGTCGTTAGGTCAACGCATCGGAGCTGTTGCAAAACTTAAGGCCCGGTCGCGTGAGCATGCTATCGAACATAAGGGATCCTACAGGTTCTGGTTTGTGTGCTGCAACGGCATGTGGGTGATGGACAGAATAGATGCTCATGTGGTGATGCCTCTTCTTGCTGCAGGTCCGCCACCTCAATTCGCTCCCATCTGGTGGAGGTCATGGGGCAGCTCATGAACTACTACATGACAGACGAAATGGACGAGACCGGCGGCCGACTAAAGCAGATGAGCAGGCTGAACGCAGTCAACACGCTGCTACAGCGAGCGAACGACATGCACGCGCTCGTCAGGTGCGATCCCGACTGGAAGACGCAACAAAACCACGACGTTATGGGCTTGTTGTGCAGCCACCATACGTTCCTTTGTGGCTTTCATGTTTCCGAAGTCAGTGTGCACGATTCGGTGAATCCCCGCAGGAAGAATGCACTGAGCACCATTGAGAATCTGGTACTCAACAAACACTGGCCCCTGGAGTACGTGGTACGAGCCGCCCAGGTTGCGGTAGCTCGGCTGGACGACTCAGCGCTGGCCGCGGGTGCGGCGCTGAGCCTCCTGTGCATCTTGGTGGAAAAGTCAGCGCCTAACAAGTTGAACGATGACTTCCTGCAGCGAAACGCTAACCTCTATGAGGAGCAGTTGAAGGTAGGACGGAACGAGCAGTTCTATGGCATGAGACCGTCGACGTATAAGAGACTTTGTATCTGGCAGCGCTTAGCAATCTAATGCCTCACATATCTGTGATACGATACCGCATCCCTAAACACACTGCAGGGCATGCAACCGGACGTGGTTGATGGCGACGGCGAGGATGTCGGGCCGCAGTGGGAGGCGGGCACCTTGGGCGGCAACCAGGATGAGCAGGTGGCAGACGCCCCTCCGGTTGAGCCAAGCCAAGCCAACATCATCCAGCCTACCCAAGTCGAGCAGGGCACAGGTACGGCAGTAACATGTGTCTGCCAATGTCCGTTACGCGTGCACGTGGCCTGTACAGCCCAAACATCTATAAGTCGCATGTCCAAGGCTCGTCCCTTGCCACTTCCACAGGCGCGGCCAACGACAACAGCAACGGCCTCACGTACTCGCAGCTCCGCCTTTTAGTGGCTACGCTCAAGTCGATGCTGGAGCTGTCGCGAACGCTGGCGGCAGCACTGCCGGAGGTGGAGGCGCTGCTTGCGGCCGAAAGCGCAGACGTGGTTCAAAAAGCGATCAAGCTGCTCACGTTGTGCAGCGCGGTACGGCATCACCGCCATGGAGAAGTTGGTGTGGGATTGACAGTATCCCCATCTCGGTGCCTGCAAGTGAACGGTGTGCCAGCGTGTCCCGCAGCTTGTGCTCGGTGTTAGCACTTGTATGTATCATGCAAGTCCTCAGTGTCTTGTGCTACCCCTTTCGGCCCCGCAGAAAGACCTGCAGGGCGCCAAGGAGTCCTGGCGCCGGGTGTGGCACATGGTGTTTTCCTCGTCCGAGAAGGTCCAACAGACCGTTCTTGATGCCTTCTTCAATTTCCTGGGGCCGGGGGAAAACGGTAGGGCGCGGACCTTTGCGCGGAGTCATTACTATCCACTGCTGAAGCTGAACATTAAGCATGAGTCACCGCCAGGGAAAGCACATAAGGCCTCTAATTCACCGTGGCGCCTCGGGCATGGCCGCCCTGTGAATTTAGGAGAACCTCGGAGAATCTTGTCAAAGCCAACGCAACCGCGAAAACTGTTGAACCCTTTCCCTGTACGCACCTATTCCGCGCGCAGTCCCTCCGAGTCATCTCTCCAGCATGGTCGGCAGGCTGGCCAACATGGTGGACGACATTGCGCTGTGCGATCAGCAAGCGCTGGAGGAGCTGATGCGACTAAGGGTGACTCCGGGCCTGTGCGATGACGCGCACAGGTTTGGACCCGCCGCGGTGCGGATACTGCTGGGGTAAGCAAGGGTACAGGGAGCCAACCACCGCATGGACTGGGGCGGTACTCAAACCTAGGGCGCTTGCAACAATCGATGCAAGGGCATGCTGAATTGCTGACTTCTTGGCTACCACAGGAACCTGCATGCAGCCGTGAGCTCGTCCGCGCTGCTGGAGCAGGAGGGCGGGGCGAAGGCGATAGAGGTAGGTACGGGCAGTCACGGGCTGCTTGTGCTTTGGTATTGATGGCCGAATACTGGGATAAGTAAATACGTTTCCCGCTTTTCTCTCAGCCGGTCCTCACAACCCGCTTTGCAGGCGCGTGGCCTGGCCGGTCGCTTGAGCACGCTCTGCGGCATGGTTGCCCGGCACGCCCCGGAACTCGTCGTGCATGACACTGAAAAGCTGGTGTTGGACCTCAAGCGCAGCCATATTGTGCTGAAGGTGGGTGTGGTAGCCATCGTTAACATGACCCATGGGTCACATGCCTTATTTCATCGAGTACGATCACGTCTTATACCAACTTACCTGTTTCTACCCCCCTTTCCGTCCGCTCTCCTTCCTTTCACTAGGACGCCCTCCTTGTCCGCAACCTGGCACTTATCCTTGGAGACCTCTCCACGTCGCTGCATGCCGCGCAAAGGGACCGCTCAGGAAGCGGCATCTACCAGCCCGCTAGCCACATACCCAGCGCCCTGGCCAACCTGCTAAGCGTGCTGGTCAGCAGCCACTTGCCGGAGCGCGGAGGCGCCTGGCCGCCTGCGGCGCAGGCTTGTATTGCAGCGCTGTACCGACTGCACCCCGAGCCGCACAAGCTGCTGCAGCCGCTGCTGCAGCACCTCGCTTCAGAGTTGGGTACCGGCAGTTGCTCGGCGGCACAGATTACGCGCACGTTGTTCATAGTGGGCTGTGTCGCAACACAGCAGCTGGTGAGTGGAGCAGCCGCTCTGCATCCGGGCATTCCACGTCCGAATTGGGCTTACATGCGCGTTTGCTGCCCAATTAAGTGCATGCGCAGCCCATCGGTCCAGTAACAAGCCCCACCTGCAATACGCGACCCGCTCTCCGTCTCCCTTCCTAGGCGCTTGTGGACACGCTGACCAAGACTGTCCGGCGTGAGCGGAATGCACGTGAGAAGGCCAACTTGGAAGCCGGGAGGGCCGATGCCGCGGCCGACGATGTGGGCTCGCAGCTCGGAACCGGCCAAGCACGTGTGAGCAATACGTGGGAGCCCCTAGGCGGTCAAGCCTGCAAGCTCTTCTGAACAGCTATCCCGTTTCTGTCGATCATGGTCGTGTCTGCATGTATCCTCGCTTCACATGAGACTTTCCCAACCCGCAAACTGCAGGAACACATGCTCGATGCGCTCCAAGAGGAGCTTGAGGCCAAGCTGATGGCCAGTGATAGCTTGGTGGGCACCTGGGGAAAGCTGGTTTCTGGGCTGTGCCACGACCCGACCCTGCTAGGCGCACATGCCGACCTCGCATCAGCAGCCATGACGACACTGGCTAAGCTTATGGCACTGGACGCAAGCTACTGCGAGGCCAACTGCCCCGTCTTCTTCACGCGCCTCACGTGCGGGTGAGTACCATGCAGCCAGCAAGCGCATGTGGTAGTTTGGGTTAAAGATTTTGTGTTGACCCTCCAGGTGCACAACTGACCAGGGTTCATGCGCCCCCGGTTTGCAGCGCGGCGCTTGCGTTTGCGTTTGCCTCTTAGTCCGCCTTGCGCCACCCTTATCTCTTGCCTTGTCACTCCGCGCAGAAGTCGCGTGCAGCTGGCACCGGGTGTGAGGTGCAGCATGCTGGTGGCACTGGGGGACCTGAGCCGCCGCCACCCGAACATCATGGAGCCCTGGACCGAGCGCATGTTCGTGTGCCTCAACGACGAGAACGAGGGTAAGGAAGCGGGGCGGCAAACGCGAGCTCCTGCCCTACTGTACGGTACGCTTTGCCATGCCGTCTCCCGTCCATTCCTTCCCCGCGTAGCAACGACCCAGCGTTATACACATGGCCTGTTGCACATTCCAGCCAGGCCGCCCCTGCTAAGCCTCAACCTCCGCGGACACCCTTCCCCATTGCAACCGCGCCTGCTCGCAGAGGTGTCCACGACGTGCTTACGCATCCTGGCGCACCTCATCCTCAGCGACATGACCAAGCCCAAGGGACACATGGCCCAGGTGGCGCGCTGTCTGGTGGCGCGCAGCGAGGCCGTGCGGGAGCTGGCGGTTCGCCTCTTCAATTCACTATCCAGCAAGCAGGTGAGAGGCCGCGGTTGTCCGTCAGGCGCATCTGTTCCTGCCATGGGAACACTTCTATGCACTATCCCAGGCAACCCATCGGCTGAATGGGGGCCTAGCCTATGTTACCGGTGCTGAGCGTGCGTGCAGCTGCTCGGCATAGGTAGGTAGCTGCCACGTACCCTTCCTTTCGTAACTCGCCCTACGCGTCTGTGACATCCATTCATGGGGGCGTGCGTGCATGTGCCTGTTGCCGGTCGCCGGTCGCAGGCCAAGGGCGGCGCCAACAAGGTGTACCAGTACCTGCCTGAGATCATCTCCGCGGTGACGCGTGGTGAGCCCATGGCGGAGCAGGACTTCAAGGCCATGATGCAGGTAGGCGAGGGGCGGCTGGGGTGTCACCTTGGGAGAGGACGCATACAAGGGCTCCCAGAGAGGAACAACAACCCGAGCTGTATAGGTTGAGACAAGGATGGCGGGGTATTGTTGCATGGCAGCGTTGCATTCTGCTGTCGCAAGTGGACACGTGTATGTCCTCTCCCAGGCGGCTACCGGCGTAACTGTTTTCACCACTCCTCCCTGTCTGCCTGTGTAGCGCCTGCTAAGCTACATCAAGGTTGACAAGCTCGCGGATTCGCTGAAGGGCCGTCTCTGCGAGCGCTTCGAGAACGTGGTCTGCGAGTTTGCAAGCGGCGCTGGCGATGCCGCCTCTGAGGCATCTGGCGGCTCCGCCGCCGCTGCGGTAGCGCCGCCCGCGCCCACAGCCGCACCCAGCGCCGCCAGCTACGAAACTGTCGTACGGGAGTGGCGCAGCTTGGCAGACTGCCTGGCCCTCTTGCCGTACAGCGAGAAGGGGCTGCGTAACAGCATGGAAAGGCTACGCTGCTACAAGCACGCCCTGGGCGACGAGCACGTATACAAAGTGTTCAAGGTGAGTTGGGTAGCTGACCGGGTTCATGCCGAGGCAATGTGGGCAAAACAAAGCCAAGAACCACCTGAGGCTTGCTCCTTACGCATGGATATGCTGGACGACTTGTGCTCACCATGCGTACGGTATCCTACCTCAACTGCTTCTGCATTAATAACCTGAGCACCGACCGCTGCCTCCGACCCGCCTTGCAGGGCATGGCGGAACACGGGCGGAAGGGCAACCGCACAGCCGAGCTCAAGCAGGACATTGCCGAGTACGAGGCTCGCTTGGACGAGGCGCACCAATCGCTGCGTGAGGAGCAGTTGCAGCAGGCAGCTGCAGCGGCCAAGGCTGCAGCCGAGGCCGCAGCCCAAGTGGTAGCGGTGAAGGCCGAGGCTGAGGACATGAAGCCAGCAGCATGCGCAGAAGCACAGGAGGAGGAGGAGCAATCGATGGGCGAGATCCAGCGGCAAGAGCAGCAAGACGAGCAGCAGCCAGGAAGCGCCGGAGACGAGGATATGATGGATGCCGACATGGAGGGTGGCAGCAAGGCCAGTGAAGCCGAGAACGGCAACAAACAACCGGAAGGGGACTTCCTCACTGCGGATCCGGACCAGGAGGAAGAAGGAGATGCGGAGGAGGTTGCCGAAGGAGGGGATGGAGAAGGGGCTGAGGAGGAGGCCTATGAGGACGCGGCAGCGGAGGAAGGCGCCGAGGGCGAGTACAAGGATGCAGCGGCAGCGGAGGATGAGGAAGGAGGTGCGGAGGAGGAATACGAAGACGCGGCAGCGGAGGATGGAGGTACAGAGGAGGAGTTTGAGGATGCGGCGGCGGCAGAGGAGGGCGCGCATGAGGACTACGAGGACGCAGCCAGCACGCAAGAGGGTAGCGCTGATGGCGATGACGCTGGCGGCGATGACAACGATGAGGAGTATGAAGACGGCCGAGAGGTCAGTGAGGACGGCGACGGTGATGACGCCAGCCCCATGGACATGGACATGGACTGGGAGGAGGAGGAGGAGGAAGACGCACGCCCACCCGTCACACCTCTCAGGGACCGCTCCAAGGGCGCTCCGGCAGCTGGCACGCCAGGCATGGGCACGCCCATGGCCATCACGCCTGTTCCTGCTGCACAAGCAGCAGCACCGGCACCTGTGGGAGATGGAGACGACATGGCATGGTCGCCAGCACCCGCACGCCTGGCCGCTGCCAAGACTGCCGCGCAGGGCGGGCCTGCAGCGGTTCAGCAGGAGAACGTCAACCCGATGGCGTTTGGCGGATTCCGCATCAAGCCTGATCCCGAGGGCTTCCAAGCTGCACCCTTGGGTCCCTCCGCAGTGAACGGTGTGTTTGGCGTCCGAGTCAAGCCTGACCCAGATGGCCCAGCTTCAGGGCTGCATGCGGCGCACGGCAAGCTGCAAGGTGTAGGAGGCATCCGCATTAAGCCGGATCCGGATGCACTGCACCGGTAGATGAAGCGTGTCTGTTGCGTCCCGGTGCCGTGATACTTGCAGCAATCTGTGACCCATGGGTCTCGGCGGCATGGGCAGCACAGTTTTCGTGCTTCGGTCTTTTATACTGGTAATGGTTCAACTTGCAAGCGACGAGTCGTGTGTCGAAGTGTAAAATTTGACCTGTGGCCAAGGACGTGTATGCTGCTTGGCACTCCCAAGCATACTGGTAGGCGGAGGACCGGTGTGACTGGTAGACCGGTAGGACGGCCACATTACGCTCAATGCGTCAATGGGAGTTCCTTGGTGACTATACCGGGAGGAAGAGGCCGCTCGTTACAACTGCACGCAGGTTGCGTCCCTGCACAATGTGACGGTACGTTAGCCAGTGCTAGCCATGACAGCTGTAGATAATGATACTACGAAGGCGCGCTATTATCGCTTGGCCTGGTACCCACACATGATTTGGTCTTATCAAAGCAATATTGCACTTCACTAATCAAGGTACGACGGTTTAGCAAACTCTCCGTCCACTGTACAACCATCGTGCTACATCTGTAAGGAACAGACTACTCCGTGTTGTCCTCCACTCCAGCTGTGTCATGGTTTTCGAGTAAACAGGACGAAAGCGCAATCCCAGCGTAGTGCCGTCAGTTAATGCATCAATTCATCGTGACTCCTAAGTAGGAGTGCCCTCCTGTCTAAACCATGTCTACTGCACCAACCTAAGGCTCCAATATGCGGCTATTACGTTGTTCTACGCGAAATTGGCGACTACACACCTCATTCGTTGTCACGGGCCTGTTATCACGGCCTGGCTATGTAGACATCACTACTACCCTGCCCAAACCAGGACCCTAGCCTTTAGCGGCGGCGGGAGGCGGTTGTTTGGCACCAGCTTTCAGCCAGCTATCCTCATTGTCAGTGTTATATCCAATTGAGCATTTCTTGAACGAAAACTTCTTTAATCCGGCGTAAAAGGCATCATACCGGGGGTCCATGGCCTCCTCAAAATTCGTCACTGAGCCATCTGGATGTAGCAGCGTGTACGGATTAGAACAAGCTGCTGTGCCTTTACAGTAGCCCACAGCCGTCAAAAGCGCGTCTAGTCGGTCGATTAGAGCGGCCGGCGCAGTGGTGATCCTGCATGGTTAGGAGAAGAGCAAGGAGGCAGGACAGAATACGGTTAGAAGGTTAGGCAAGCCGAGGCTTGTCTGGGTCCATTTGGGACTCTTTCAAGGCACATTCTAGCGGAGGTGTGCAATTTTGAAACCACAACTCGCTTGCGTGAATCATAGTTTGGAACCTTAAGGGAACTCGCCTTTTGGAACCATCGGTACGGCGCCCCTGATTACCTGTTAGTCAGCTCGTACGGATCCAGGACGAGGTCGTACAGCTCTTTGTAACCCATGCACCAAACCACATATTTGTAGCATGTCCCCAGCCGGCCTCGCCGCTCCGGAGGCCGAGGAGGCGGGGGGATGGGGGAGGGGGGAGGGTTGGGGGACGGCGGCGGCGAAGGGCTAGGTGACGGTGGCGAGGGTGTAGGTGAGGGCGGTGACGGGTTAGGCAGCGGCGGCAAAGGGTAGGGCGGTGGGGTTGGCGGCGACTGCGGAGGAAGAGGGGGTGTTGGAGGCTTTGGCGGCGGCGCCGGCGCGGGTGGAGGAGGGCTGGGAGGCGGGGGGTCGGGCGGGGGTGGGCTGGGTGGAGGGGGATCCGGCGGGGGCGGGCTGGGCGGAGGGGGGCTGGGAGGGGGTGTAGGTGGCGGGGGTGAAGGGCGGGGGCTGGGAGGTGCAGGAGGTGTGGGAGGTGAAGGTGGAGGTCGGGGCGGTGAGCTGGGTTGCATGGGCGGGTGGGGAAGCGGTGGCGGCGGCGGGGGTGGCGGCGGCGGTGGCGGCAAGGGCGGAGAGGGTGGAGGGGACGGCGGCGTGGGAGGGGGGAAAGGCGAGGGAGGCGAGGACGGTGGAGATGGGGGAGGAAGGGGCTGGCTGGGGGAGTCGGGAGGGAATGGAGAAGTGGGTGGCAGCGGCGGGGGCGCCGGCCAGTTCGCTCGTATTGTCGCTACGCCGTACAGCCACTGATACCAATCCCCTAGGAAAGCTTCTGGCATCTGGGTGAAGGCTTGCACCTGCGCATTGTAGGAGACAGAGGAGGAGAAGGATACCAAGATACCGTCATCAGTATGGCATTGGTCACAATTTAGTGACTGTACATCATATCTACCGGTAATATAACCATATCAAACCATGTAGCGTCAGGATTGGCCAGCTAACCGTAGCCCACATGTCACATGCGGCATACATACCAGTACGTACCTGTTGTAGAAACGCAGGCGCAGGTATACTCAGACTCTGCGTCAGGGAAATCCTGCACGAGCTCGCATCGCCCTGCTCAGATAGGTACGCCCCGCTAGCGGAGCAGGCGGCAGCCGCGGTGGCGCCCCTCAAGAAGATGCACGTGGAGCCCTGTTGAGTGCGCCAACGGGCCGCGTCCATGCTTTGGTTGTATGTGAAGTAGAGCTCTAGGAGCAGGACAAGAGGAGGCCTGGGAGGCGGCGGTGAGGGCAGCGGCGGCGATGGCGGCGGCGGTGACGGTGGCGGCGGCGGGGGTGAGGGCGAGGGTGGTGGCGGAGAGGGTGAGGGTGGGGATGGTGACGGTGGGGGTGAGGGTGGGGATGGTGACGGTGGGGGTGGGGATGGAGGCGGTGATGGGGGTGGCGGTGACGGCGGCGAAGGCGATGGCGGCTCGGGTGACGGCGGCGATGGGGACGGTGGCAGCGGAGACGGAGGCTGGGGTGATGGCGGCAGGGGTGAGGGGGGGTCTGGTGACGGCGGCAGCGGCGGCGGCGGCGATGGCGACGGCGGGTAGGGAGATGGCGGGCTGGGCGTTGGCGGCGCCGGCGACGGCGGGTAGGGTGGTGGTGGCGGAGGCGACGGGGCCGGTGATGGCGGGTATGGCACTTGCGGCGGCAGATGTGGCGGCGCCGCCGGGTATCCTGGCGGCGGAGGCGGGTAGAGGGGTGGCGGCAACGGACCGTACGGCGGCGGCTGTGTGTACGACGGCAAGCCGTACCAGGGTGGCGGTGAGTCGTACACAGCCGACGGCGGCATGGCGTAATACCCTGGCGGTGACTGTGAGGTGTACGGTGGCGGGGGCTGAGAAGTGTACGGATAGCCAGGAGGGGGCGGGAGCGAGCCGTACGTCGGGGGATATGTCGGCGGGGGGGTTGAGGGCATTGGGTACGGCGGTGCGGGGAAGTAAGGGTGCGAAGGCGCGGACGGATGCGGTGCCAGCGGTGGCGGCGGCGGCAGCTGTGTTTGAGTTGGTGGCGGCGTTGGTGGCGGCGGCGGGGACGGAGGAGGCGGGTTCGGCGGCAAGGGCGGCGGCGGGCTTGGCGGCAAGGGCGGCGGCGGGCCCGGTGGATGTGGTGGTGGAGGGGATGGCGGCGGCGGTGGGGAAGGGGTTGGTGGCGACGGCGACGGCGGCAGCGGCGGCGGTGATGGAGATGGCGGTCGGGGTGACGGAGGTCGAGGCGGCGGTGAGGGAGATGGGGGCTGCGGTGACGGCGGGAGAGGGGGTGGCGTAGGAGATGGGGGACGTGGAGAGGGCGGCCGAGGCGGCGGAGGCGGCGACGGCGGCGGAGGCGATGGTGGCCGGGGTGGCGGCGGAGGCGACGGCGGGCGGGGTGATGGTGGAGGGGACGGAGGCCGTGGCGAGGGTGGCCGTGGCGGCGGCGAAGGAGATGGAGGACGGGGCGAGGGTGGCCTTGGAGGCGGTGGTGTAGGGGAGGGTGGCGGCGGCCGGGGCGGCAGCGGAGGCGGTAACGGCGGCGGAGGCGATGGAGAAGGTGGAGGAGGAGGCGGTGACGGTGGTGGCGGCGGCGGTGAGGGAGGTGGTGGCGGCGGCGACGGCGGCGGCGAAGGTGAGGGTGGAGGTGGCGAGGGTGGGTGAGGAGGGGGCGACGGTAGTGGTGGTGCGGGTGAGGGTGGGGAGGGCGGGGGCGATGGCGGCGGGGGTGGAGGAGAGGGAGGCGGGGGCGACGGCGACGGCGGCGGTAAAGGAGGTGGCGGCGGTGGGGGCGGCGGAGGCGGAGGCGGTGAGGGCGGTGGCGGCGAAGGTGACGGCGGCGGTGACGGCGAGGGTGGTGGCGGCAAAGGCGGTGGCGAGGGCGGCGGAGGAGGAGACGGCGGCGACGGTGACGGTGGTGGCGGGGGAGGAGGCGGTGAGGGCGGGGGCGGCGATGGTGATGGCGGCGGTGGTGGTGAGGGCGGGGGCGGCGAGGGCGGCGGCGAGGGCGGCGGAGAGGGTGATGGCGGCGGTGGCGGTGGCGGCGGCGGAGGTGGGGGAGGGGAGGGAGGCGGCGGCGACGGTGACGGCGGTGGGGATGGCGAGGGTGGCGGCGGCATGGGCGGTGGCGAGGGCGGACGGGGGGGCGGTGGGGGCGGTGAGGGCGGACGCGGAGGCATGGGTGGCGGCGGTGGTGGCGACGGCGGCGGCGACGGCGGTGATGGCGGGGGTACTGTTGCTGGGACGACCCCGATAAGCCCCATCGAGGTCATGATGGGTGCGAAAACCTCTGACGGAGATTGTCGTACCTGCGAAAAGGTAAACAAGCGTCCAGCAGGATTCAGATGGAAGCAAGAGTTCGAGGCCTCCCCGCCAATCCTTCCGTGACAGCAAAAATGCACAATACCAGCGCAACACACGATACTCATATTGCTCACGTGGTTTGGTTAAACGTGCTTATGACACCATGGCTAGCTCACGATACTCATACTGCTCACGTAAAACACGTAATTTGGTTAAGCATGCATATGACACCAAGACACTCCAGACAAGTTGAAAACAACTTGTGCTCTCACAATTGCTCTTACCTTCTCAGCCGCCACCTGCAAGGCAGGCACTTCCTCCACGTCGACGGCAACCAACCCAAAAATGGCCACACGAGGAATATCGACCCGTGGGTCATAACCTATGTCCACCGAGAGCAGCTCGCAATCTGCAACCGCCAACGGTGCAACCGCCGCAACCAACCGTTTGCAGGCAGTTGGGCCCAGAACCGTTTGGTAGCTGGAGAAGTCAGCTTGGACCACTGGGAGCACCCAGGGATGGAAGATAAACCCAACGGGCAATAAAGCCGTAAGCATGGCAACGGGTAGCGGAGGCGACGGCGGCGAGGGAGGTGACGGCGGTGAGGGTGGTGGTGATGGTTGCGGCGGTGAGGGTGAGGGCGGATCCGGCGGCGTGGGTGGAGGCGGGGACGGCGACGGCGGCGGCGAGGGTGGCGGCGGCGGCGATGGCATGGTTAAGGCGACGTTTGCGATGCCGTACAGCGTGCGGTAATCTTCCCCTAGGTAAGCAGCGGTGTCGGTTTGGAGCTGGAGAATCTGCGAGTAGAGTATGCGTTTATGCCAGGGCAGAGGTGCAGTCAGCTTTTGGAAAGGTGCTGTACAAAGAAAGAAACAGCAGAAGTATGCCTCCCAGTGACATACAGCTGTTTCCCTCATCTATATCTCCACCCCTCGTTCCTTTCCTTGTTAGCTCATCTAAATACATGTATCTCGTCCTATCCTACCACCAATTGCTTGTTCCCAACGTTTAATACCGGTAGGACCCCTAGTAGCACAAGCACCGCAGGTAGGGTTTCCTCCACAAAACATCAACCCACCCTTACCCACCCACCCAGCCTCACCAGCTGTTCGTACTGCTCGGCGCTCACGGAGGTGCCCTGCGTCAGAGTCAACGTGAAGGAGCTCCAGAGCCCGTCCGGCGACAGAACCGCGTAGACACCGGACGAGGAAGGGGATGAGGAAGAGGAGGCGGCCGTCACACAGGAGGCGGACGAGGTGGCGACGCGCAGGAAAAAGCAGGTAGAGCGCTGCTGCACTGGAAACCTGCCGACACGGCAACGGGAGTACGGGACCGGGAACGAGGGTGAAAGAGCGAAAGGAGAGGATTAAGAAGGGAACAAGTAGGCGAGGAGTGTCAGTAGCTATAGCAAGGCGTCGGCACATGGTTGCCTTATCTCAGCAGCAAATCATTTGTTGTTCTCCTGACAACCAAGCCTCTTCCCATCTGTCCCATCGAGCTGACCCCTTACACCAACCCCCACACACTCCTCCTCGTACCACACTTACCGGCCAGGATCAAGCGGCGTAGAGTATTCAACCGTCAACAGCAACTGTCGTACCAACGGCGGTGGGGGACTAGGCGGCGGGGGAGTTTGCGGCGCCAATGGCGGCGGCGGTGACGACGGAAGGTTGGGCGGTGAATGCGGTGGCAAAGGCTGAGGCGGCGGCGACGGACGAGGCGGAGGCGGTGACTTGGGTGGAGGCGGCGGCGGTCTGGGAGGCCGTGGCGGCTTTGGCGGCGGCGGCGGCGGTCGCGGTGACTTGGTCTTGGGGGGCGGCGGCGGTGTTGGTGGCAGCGTCGGCGGCGGGAGTGCCGGCGGCGACTGCTCTGCGACATCAGATTCTGACGACGGCTCCTCCGGCTGCTGTTGTTGCTGCTGCTGCAGTACGCGTCGGTACGACAGGGCACCGCCAGGACTGGTAGCCGTACCGCCGCCGCCACTGCCGCTGCCGCCGATGACGCTGCTGCCGTCGGGATGTCGTACGGCGCCGAGTGTGGCGGTTATGTGGGTTATGTGATTGTGGTTTCGGTACGGCAAGGGGAGGAAGTGGTTGATACCTCGGACTACATCGGAGACCTGTACAGTGTGTTCAAGAGGGTCGAGTTAGGAGGTAGGGGGGAGTTGTTAGCAGCGATACCGGGTTGCAAGTGTCGACGGCCGGAACCCGGGTCGAGATTACTGTTACCCAAGTGGAGCACCCATTATGACATAAGGTCCTTGGCCCCCCTGGCTCGTACGGACACACTGTACACGCGTACAGACTGTAACTGTAACTGGGACTGGCGTCTACAACAGGTGTGTGTCGTGTCGGTGGTTAGTCGCGATCGTGATTTGTCGTTATCCCATTGCGTGAATGCGCCATGAGTCATGAATAAGACCTGGAGGATGAAGGAGGCGTTTGACGAACCCCATGCACGTATCACTCACCGCCGCCTCAAAGTCAGCTGTCGGAATCCCCGGGCTCGCGGATCCCAGCAGCAACGTTGCACGACTCGACAAGCCATCGGAAGCCAGATATGTTTCCGAGGAAGCCCCGGTCGCAGCGTCAGCAGAAGACGCAGCTGTAGCTGTAGCAGCAGTAGCACCAGCAATGGGAAGGCATTGTACGGCACCGGTAGCCGCCCCCAGGTAGACGCACGTGGAGTCCAGCTGATCGGTCCACCTGTTTGGGATGTGTTAGGGTTTTCCAGCAGCAAAGAATGGTTTTAACAGCAGAAATTAATGAGTCAAGAGATGGCAATCAACAGGCAAGCCGGAAGCCCGATAGTTACAACTTGCCATACTTCGATCCTTGCCTGTCTGTATCCATGGGCTCTGAATAGCCGAAGGAAAGCTGCAAAGTGTATGATGTCTGCAGCGCTGTCGATGACCTTGTTGCACCTGCAGCTGCTGCTGTTCTTTCAGGGACCGTTGTAGTCGCAGCGTAAGCGCCTGCTGTTGCTGCTGCTGAATCACTGCTGCTGCTGCTGCCACTGCCGCCTTCGCCCTCCAGGTCTCTTCGCACCGACAACCTCCTCCTAACGGCTTCCGCCATTCGAGCCACATGATCCTCCAACTGCGCTTCTATCGTCCTAGCCGCCATGCTTCGATGACCCAAATCAAATCCAGGACCAAGTCCCAGATCCAGATCCTGTTCTTCCTCGTATAAACGGTGTCGTACGGCAGGTAATGAGTAATCGTCGTTCGTACCGCCGCTGCTTCCATCCTCCGGCGGAGGTGTGTAGTTGTACATGTTGATTCCGCCGTATAAACCCGGTCCTGCAAGCGCGCGTGTCGTACTGCCGTAGAACGTATCGCCCCAACCCAGCGTGCCATTGATGAGGGCTCTGCGGGTGATGGGCGGCGGTGGGGGTTACGGTGGGAGGGAGGCTCCTGTACGTTCACATTCCTATGGCATTGCACTGATTGGGAATGGAACATGTCCTGCCTCTCCGCGCTCTCCCTCCTTTACCCCCTCCCCTCTCCGCCTTTTCCCCCTCCCCTCTCCGCCTTTCCCCTGTGCAGACTGCTGCCCATGTCATGTCATGCAGACCCCCCGCCCACCACCACATACACATACACATACACATACACATACACATACGCGGCCAGTTCACCCACTCACCCCCGGTACTCCCCCACGTCCCCGAACGCCAGGTGGCCGGTGCAGATGCGCACCGCCCGATAGTCCTTGAGCGTGATGCGCTTGTCCCAGGCGTGGCCCCACATCTCAATGGGCATCCTGGCAGCATGCATGCATGGGCAGCAGTAGGTGGGGCAGCAGCAGGAAGAAGAGGTGTCGCAGGAGGAGGAAGAAGAGGGGATTCGGAGGGGATTGTTGGGTTGCAGGGTTGTTGGTTGAGCGATGCGTAAGGATGGGTTTCGGGTGCGATTGGGTTGGGCAGGGATGGGATCCTGAGCTGGCTTGGGCGGGGAGCGTGGTGAATCAGCAGCAGTAGCTAGGGAATACCCTTGACATTGGATTAAAGGGGTAGCGCTGGTCTGACGTGTCAAGGCAGTGCATGGGTGTGTGCATATACGGGAAGAACAAACGGCAAACAGCCGACTTTTCAACCAGCAGATAGACAACGCAGCAGCAACAGCAAACAGCACCTTGCCTAGCTAGTTGCAACCTGGCCCCCCCTCCGTTCTCACATCTCCCTGAGGCCACGGCTGTAACCCGCTGCGGGCGATGAGGAGGAAGACACGGCGGCATAATAGGATGAGAGAGTGGAGGAGGAGGAATTAGAAGAGGAGGAGGACGACGAGGAAGAGGAATTAGATGATGATGATGATGACGAGGTCGTGTCGCTAGCGGCGGCGGCCGCAGCAGCTTGTGGCGTGGTGATGAGATGACGTTGGCGCAGGCTTGTGCTGCTGGAAGGGCGGTGGGGTTGGTGGTCGGAAGAGGGCTTGCTGCTGCGAGCTTGACCAAACCAGCTCCTCCAAAGCAGCATTCGCCCAGCTGCTGCTGCTGCTGCCGCACTTGTAGATGGTGCAGCTGTTTGCTGCTGCTGTGGTAGCATTATTACATCCGCTGCTGCTGCCTCCACCACCTCATCAGCTTCCTTCGCCGCTGTCAAGTCCACGGCCGTTGCCGTTCCACCACCACCAGCCAAGCCCATGCTCTCCTCTGGTAGCAGTGCCACCGGCGGCTGACCCGTCATCCTCTCCTCACCCCCCAACAGCGACGCCGGCGGCAGTGCTCCCCAGTCACCCACTACCTCCGGCGCCTCGGTTACGGAGGGTTGTGTTGCGGAGGGTGACGGTGATGGTGGTGATGGTGGAGATTGGGGTAGCGGCCGAGACGAGGAAGGTGGTGAAGCTCCGGTGCTATTGCTGTTGTTGCTGCTGCTGGTGCTACTGCTGTTGGCTGTACCATTGCTGCTGCCGCCGTAGGGGTAGACAAAATTGGGGAGCAGGTCATGGAAAGGAATGGGGGTGCCATCGGCGATCGCAGGTACCTGCGCCCCCGCCAGAGCCATCACGGTGGCAGCCACGTCCACCATGTTGCCCTGGGGACGTGTTATGGGACATGTTAAGGGACATGTTAGGGGACATGTTAAGGGACATGTTAGGGGAGAAGAAGGGTAAGTGAGGGTGAGTGTGAGTGAGGGTGAGGGTGAGTGGGGTGCTCAGGGTTTGTGGCTAGTGCGTGAGGTGGTGAATCCAGGATGAGGATTCAGGAGGCCGTTGGCATACCGTTAGTTTCCTGTCACAGCATGACTTCCTATTGTTCTTATAATTAGAAGGCTCTTACGTCGGACCTAGCACGACAAGCGGTAGTTTCGAGTCTAGTAGGTCAGAAAGCTCTTACCCTCTTACTTCTCCTGGCCCCAAACTTCCCCAAATCCTATCTCCACTCGCCCGTCTCCCGCCCGTCACTCTCCCGCCACTCTTCCTCCCGAACCTACCTGCCAGTCACTGACGTAGCCGGCGGGGATGCCCGGACCTGCACGGCGTACCGCCGGTAACAACAGGCAGCGTTACGTTAGCGACGCATGCGCTTCGCGACTTCTTTCCTCTTATCAATCCCCCCCGTCTTTTGATTGTCCCCTCTAGTCGACCAATCCCCTCTGCTCGCTCCCTCTCGTCTGCCCCTCTCCACTGACATGTGCTATGAGACATGGTGTTCAAAGTATTACGCTGGCGAATCACAAGGCAAACCCTCCCAACTACTATCACGCCGCCTGCCTCCTCGTCCGTTCTCCTTACCTCGAATGTAGAACGGCACCCGCACCACCTCCTCCCAGTGGAACTGCTTGCCTTGGGCCTGTGCGTGGTTCCCCAACTGAAAACCGTTGTCGCTGGTGTATATCACGTACGTATCTTCCAACAAGCCCAACTCAGTCAACGTATCCATGATCTTCCCGAGCATCTCGTCAACCGCTTTTAACGCTCGAATCCGAGCCAGGTAGTGCTTTTGCACGCCAGCAGGAGTGGAAATCTCATCTTGAAGCCCGAGTTCGGGAGGTGGTGGTTCGTCAAAGTTGGGATTCATGGGGAGCAGTGCGTCCGCGAAAAGGCTCTTGTGTCGAGCCGCGGGAACGGGAAACGTGCAGCCGCCCTTGTTATTTAGGTAGTCGCATTGCGTGTGAGGCGCGATGGGCGTGACTTGAAGGTAGAAAGGCTTCCGCGCTGTTGTGGTGGTGGTCGCCGTACTTGTCGCATTTGTCGTACTGTTTGTTCCAAGTACGGCTTCCCGGATGTACTGTACGGCCTTGCCCGCGATGACGTCAGTGCTGTACTTGTTCTTGAGGACCTGAAGAGGGGGGCGGGGACGCGGGGACGCAGGGTTAAAGCAGCTGACGCCTCTTCCACACACCCTCACTCCCGCAAGCATGCAAGCAAACATGCGCGCAACAGCCCCTTAGCAGCCCCTCAGTGTACCGGTATATGCCGGTAGGCAGCAGGAGACCCTTTGCTTTCCACCCTGCTACCCCCAAGTGGGGTCCATGCTTGCAGCCTGCGGGACCCGCGAGGATTCACAGTCTCGCCCACAGTCTCGCTGAAACAAACCACACAACACCACACAACACCACACAACACCACACAACACCACACAACACAACACAACACAACACAACACAACACAACACAACACAACACAACACAACACAACACAACACAACACAACACAACACACCGCCGCACCGCTTGCCTCCCTTGCAGCCTCTTTCCCAGCATCAAACACCGCCCCACCATTCCGGATGGCAGGCCACCGCCACTGCAGCCCACTCCAAACACCCTGCATCAACCCCACCTACCCTAGCCTACCCCCAAGCAGTCCTATTCTCCTATAACCATACCCCCACCTGCGTGGGTCCACAGTCTCTGCTGAACGCGGGGTTGTTGTAGATGTAGACGTACGGCTCCACCAGGGCGTCCCACACGTCCCAACCCCGGGGGCACCTGAGACAGCAACAGCAGCGGAGGCAGCGACAGCAGCAGCAGCAGCAGCGGGGTGTGGTGTGTGAGCAGCGGGCCCACAGGCGTCGTTAAGCCCGTTGTAGCAGGGCACACCCGCCCCAGCCCCAGTGACTAAGAAGTTAGAGTGGTAGCCATGACCTAGGGGGTTCATGTCATCTCTCGAGTAAGACTTTTCGCGCTATTACACCCGCATCTGACCCGCGGGTCGGTGGGACACACCATCCAACATGCCGTTACATGACTCACCTGAACCGTTCGTCGGCGGGGTCCATTGCGTTCAGGAACTTGCCCACATGCATTGTACGATAGCCCGTCCGCTGCAGCCACACGGGCAGGTAGCTGGTGTCCAGGTGCTGGCCGATGAACCTCCAGAAACTGCCTGCGTTTGTGTAGTTGAGTAGAACAAGAGCAAGCAGTTGGGATAGCAGAAACTGCCTGCGTGTGTGTATTTGTGGGTGGGGCCGGCACGGAGGGAATCTATCTGGGAAACGAGAGGGAGGGAAGCAGCAAGGAATACGTAGTGCCGTACTATACAACATAGCGTGCACGAGAGAGCATCACGTACCGGTATACCCAACGTACCCACCTCCATACGAGACCGCACGCCCTCCCGGACCCTATTCTCCGTCCAGCTTGCCTCTGAACCCCCAGCACTCCCAGCACTCCCCAATCCCCAATCCCAACCCCCTCCCACTCCTTCTTTGTTTTACCCCTCACCCCACCCCCCACCCCACCATCGGGTTCTATGTTGCTGGTCACGTTGTTGTTGTGCGTGTATCGGCCGGTCATGAGGATGGTTCGCGAGGGGCAGCAGGCGGCGGTGGAGGTCAGGAAGTTACGCAGCTGCAACCCCGAGGAGGCCAGGTGGTGCGACAGCAACGGCATGTAGCGAGGGTGGGTGGAGTTGAGCAGGTAGTCCTGGTCGTCCTGGGTTGCGGAGGGGGAGGGAAAAAGAAATTCCAATGGGGGAGGGCGGGTAAAAGGATGTGAAAGGGCGGGGCGCAAGAGTCGACCCCATGGTCCAGACGGGCCTCATGGAGGATGAGCCCAGCAGGCCATCCCCACCCTTAATGAGCTTCGAGTCGTTATCCAAGCCACCCCCGCACGCCGTACGGCACATATGCTACGTCAAATTGCGTTGAGCGCTGGGCTGCCCGAAACCGACTTCAGGGTGGACAGCTTCAATGCACTTGTTTGCCCAACGGCAGTTGGGGCAAACAAATGGACAAGTTGCTGTGTAGAGCATTCTAAACTACTCAATGTAACTGTATGCATGGCTTCCTACAAACCCCTGTTACGGGTTGTGAATCCCTCAGAATTGCCTACCGTCACGATGACAACGACGTTTGGTCGCGCTTGTCGCTGCCCCTCCGTTACACCAAGAATGATGGTAAGGAGTATAATTGTTAGCATCTTCCTGTGCACCTGGGCTCCAACAGTCTTGCCTTGCTTTCGTCTGCCGCTAGCTGACGAGAGACAAGTATCCTCCTTTCGCCCTGCCCACCGCCCGTCATGGCTACAAACCGATTCCGACATAAGCTCGCTTAAATGTTGTTTGGCAAGACCCATTGGTCACGTCCGCAAGTCAGGAGCGGCGTGCACATGTGCATTATGACCGTTTGACACCCAGTAGTTAACTGCGTCAATGACCATTTTCGCTGTCCAACGCGCCCTCGTGAGTGAAGCCAGCGAAGGTGCCGTAATGGGAAAAAGGGTCTCTGTTGGCAGCTTCGCGGTAAGCCGTGGCGGGCGCAATGCCGTACCAATTAATAAGAGACCTGCCCTTAAGTCCGGCTACAGAAAAGGTGTTCCCAATATCTATTCTGAAGATTGGTGATTGTTTTGTCAGCGGTTGACCGTAAAATACAGGACTAGTTCTAATTTCCTGTTGGCTAAGCTACAAACACAAAGACCATGACGCAGCTATTATAGTTGCATACCATATGCGCTCCGTAATGTAATCTAGGGCGGGGGACCCATGGCTGATCATTCGGATGCCGCTGGGCAGTTAGCCGTGGGCGCTGAAGCTGCTGCGCAAGGCCGCCTGTCATGCCTGAAAGATTTCAAGGTGTGCGCTGGTGGACTTGAGTTCAAAGAAGAAACCTTCAAACCACCCTGGTCCATGCCGGAAGCCATGGCACACTTTATGACCATGAAACGCTTGCCTGCCTTCGTTTGCCCCGACCCGTCCATGCGCACAGGTGTTGGAGGTCCTCAGTGAGGATCCTGTTACAAAATCCATCGCGCTTCTGGGCAGGCGAGGACCGTAGGGTTGATCACAGGGCGGCAAGGAAGGCACACAGAGGAGGGTAGAGGGGAAGAAGCAGACACACAGGGGGGTCAAAGACCATACCAAACCATAGGAGACCACAAGTTAGGGCAAAGCAATGGGGTTAGGGCAGCAAGAGGCAGACACACTGAAGCATGTATAGGTAGTGTATGGAGCACAAAAGCACACATACGGGGAAGCCAAGGCAGGGCCTTCACATCAGCCCCAAGGAGGCTCCCCCGGCTCCCCATGCTGGCACCTCTGCCCGCACAGGTTCACCAGCGGAGGTCCTGAGGAGGTTGCTGCGGAGGAGGGCGGCAGCAGTGGCGGCAGCGGTGGCGGCAACAGTAACGGCAGCAGCGGCAGCAGTGCTCCCCTCGCGGTGCTGCTGCTGGGTCGGAAGCCCTTTGACAAGGTCGCTATCGGGCAGCTGGTGGGGGAGCGGTTGAGGCTGACCCCTGACTTTGCCAACGACATCTATTCCAAGGTGGGAGTAGTGGGGGTACAGAGGGAGTAGTGGGGGTACAGAGGTAGTGGGGGTACAGAGGGAGTAGTGGGGGTACAGAGTTAGTGGGGGTACAGAGGTAGTGGGGGTACAGAGGGAGTAGTGGGGGTACAGAGTTAGTGGGGGTACAGAGGGAGTAGTGGGGGTACAAATGGAGTAGTGGGGGTACAGCGGAAGAGGAAATTAACAAACCCTGTGGCAAGGCTGGAGGGAAGGGATGTGCGGTGAGTCAGGGTGAGGGGTGGTCGTTCTGGACGTGACACCCCCTCTCCTAACTCACTCATGTCTTTTCTTACCTCCCCTCCCACGGTCAGTTGTTTCCCCTTTACTCCCCTCCCCCCAGTACGTGGGGTTTCCCCCGCCCGAGCACGCCGCCCTCTCCGTCGACCTCGTCTTCCCCGCCACGGAGAAACACGTGCAGAAGCACCGCCAGCAGCGCCGGCGCATGGTGGGTAAAGAGGAAACAACCAACATGGCGTATGGTGGGGGCTGGGCGGGGTGTGTGGAAGTGGGGTTCAGTCTTAGGTGTTGAGAGCGCGGTAACCAGCAGGGGGTGCCTCTGGCGATTTGGCACGGCGGGTTTGGATGTCATGCTCCAATGGTGAAACATGCCAAATCATGACATGTGCATGTGAGGCCAGGATGAGGCTGGCTGGCTCCAAGCCGGGACTGGCTGGCTCCAAGCCAGCCTCCAAGTCTCACGCCCAAACCCCCGCACTACTCGGCACACCACGTAGGTAACCGAGACGCCCGAAATGTACGAACAGATCGTGCTGCCGTACATCCAATCTCTTCCGCCCTCGCGACTGCAATGGGTGTACAACATACTCGAAAAGAAGGTAAATGCGTGCGTTGGCGTTAAAATAACTGGCCGCGAGGCGAAACGTACTGTGATTGCCGAAAGATGATGCGTGCGTGTGTGTATGTGTAACGTGTCCACGGATTCAGGGGTACGGCAGCAGCAAATGTACGGGGGTGCTCGAATATAGATGCAGTACTGGTCAGGCGAGGCTGCCGTAGCGGATTGTGATAACTGGCCACTGCTATTGCTGCTGCTTCACTCAGCCCCCGCCGCCCTTAACCCCATCGGTCAAAACTCCAAGACGCGCAACCGCCCAACGCTTCTCTCTGACCCCACCGCACACCCCACCCCCATTGGGTATCCTGCTTTTCCCCACGACGACCTCAGAAAGAGGCTGAGCGGCTCATCTTCGAGGACCCCCACCCGCTGACTGGCTTCATGCTCCATCCCGACCTCAAATGGGTGAGCTGCAGCAACAGCAGCAGCAGCAGCAGCAGCATGGGTGGGAGGGGAGGAGCAGCAGCAGCAGCAGCATGGGTGGGAGGCGAGGAGCAGCAGCAGCAGCAGCATGGGTGGGAGGGGAGCAGCAGCAGCAGCATGGGTGGGAGGGGAGGAGCAAAGGTGGTGGTGGCGTTTGCGCTGCAGCAGCAGCAGCTGTGTCCAAAGCAAGTCCCATGCAGCCCTGTGCACCCAACCCTCATAAACAGCTGATGAGTGACGTGTAGTTCTATGAAGGCTGTATCTCCCCACTTCATGCCCCTATCCCCTTTGCCTTGCCCTCACTTGTGGTTGGTATTTATTCGTCCCCCCTGCTTCCCTCCTGTCTTGTCTTCCCCCCCTGTATTGCCGCCCCCCCTGTCCCCCCTGTCTTGCCCCCCCTGTCCCCATCAGGACCAGCACCAAGTGGGTCAGCTCTACTGCCTAGCGCTGGTGCACCGCCGCGACCTGCCCAGTCTGCGGTCCCTGGACGCCAGCCACCTGCCGCTGCTGAGGAACGTACGACACAAGGGTTGCAAGGTACGGCAACGTAGACCACAACGGCAAACGGCCGTTTTATTTCAGCAACGGTTAAAAGTTAGTTGACGCCCGGAGCCTTGTGCATAATGTACCGTATGGCTCTTACGCAACACCGCAGGCTATCAAGGAGCGGTACGGCGTGCCGAGATCTTCGCTAAGGTTATTCGTGCATTACCATCCGTCGTACTGGCACTTCCACGTACATTTCGTACATGCGGAGATGGGGTCCTTCCCTGGAGCGGTTGCAGGCAAGGCGATTCTGTTGGATGACGTCATCGGTGAGTTCAAGCAACCATACCGGTAGCCCAACGGTCATAATAATCCACTAACGGTCATAATAATCCCATAACCGCCTCCGTGCAAACCCCGTGCTTAATACAGTACATCCCCCATGTCCACTGCCGTACATATCAGCATGTACGTCAAGCCCGTCCGTGTGCCCCTGAGCCTCCTACGTATGTCTCCACATGCATGGTCCCATACCCACCCCCATGCCTACCTCCCTACCCCTTCGCCCCCCCTCCTCCCTTCCCCCAGACAACCTGTGCAGCCAGGGCGGGGACTACTGGCGGCGGCGCAACCTCACGCTGCAGCTGGGGGAGGCAGATGAGCTCTGGGGGCTGCTGGGGAATGAGGGCAGCGGTGAAGGGGAGGAGGAGGAGGGGAAGGAGGGCGGCGGGGAAGTGGAGGAAGTGGGCAAGGTGGAAGGGGAGGGGCGGGCAGGAGGGGCAGGGTGAGGCAAAAGGGTAAGGTTGGCAGGTGGCGAGGGTGAGCATGGGGAGGCGAGAGGGGAGGGGCAGTAGCAGGTGCAGAGCCGTGGAGGAGACGGTAAAGTGGGGCGGGGCGGGGGACAGTCGGGGCCAAGGCTCGAGGATAAGCGCGCAGGGTAGCCTTGGGTTTGGGTTGAGGTGAGGTGAGGTGGAGGAAGGGTTCGCAAGCAAGGAGGGCTATAGCTACACGCAGGGACGAGCAGCGTTGCTGCTGGCCGTGTATACCGGTATCTAATGTAGAGTAGTAATAGTGTTACGAGTGTATAAGCAGCATAAATAGAAGCCGGGCCAAGCCATCGCGTGCGTGAAAGAGTCAGGGAGCAGCGGGTTGGGGGTCAGCCCTGGTCTCCAGGAGTGCCCCTGACGACGAGCTCTCCCCTGCCGTATGTTGAACGTCATCAGTAGAGCACCCGCGGCGGTTACTTAGGTCCGAAGCTGGTTGTCCAATTAACTGTGCCTCAGCTGTACCTTAGCAGTGGCTTACGGCTTAGACCCCGCGGATGGCGGGCTAGGGGTTCGGATTGACAGTGGAATACCGGATGCTGAAAGGAACGCGCAAATGGGTCACTGTGCAAATAAAGGAACTAGCGGGTGAGCTAAACGTTAAAATAAAGGCTTGATAACCTGGCGAAAGCTTCTATAGTTAGAAAGGCGCTTAATATCTGTCGCTACAATTGTACATCAGTGTACATCTATCCAAGCCCGGGCCCAGTGCTTTTTTAGCTGGCCAAACTGGGGTAAGATTTTTCAGTTGGCCTAAGGAGATGCCGCATATTAAATCTGTTCAGCGACTAGGAGGGTCTTCCCGGTGTAAGCGTATGCCAGTCCGGTTGTTGATTCCAGTCAATGTCATTGTCTGTAAAGCGTAAACGTATAGAGGGTAGATATTCAAAAAGAACAATGTGCTTGGTACGCGACCGCAGGATATCTCTCGGCCAGTGAGTAAACGGGAAGTGTATTCCATTTCCTTGCTAATGACGTGCTATGTCGATGAAAGGAACCAAGATGCGTCGCTTGAAAGTATCTGGCTTCCTTTGGTGCGAATTCCCAGGTTCATATAGTAATCCAGCGTGTACTGCACAGCAAGACCATTTTTGGGGTATCTTACTGGTATGCATGTCGTCTGTGTGTAAGTGTTCAGTCTACTTCAAAGATCTGACCTACAGTTTCCCTTGTTTGTGCACTAGCAGCGCAAGAAATAAGGTTCACGGTTGCCCGTGCGTGGCTTAGGCCACATGTCGGGTATTCTTTGCTGTTTTGGCGTCCATAGGACAAATGAAACCGCAAAGGCCTCCGGCGTCCCAGCAGACGCCAAGGTTGCTTTGCATGGGCAAGACCCCACTGTGCCGTTAGCGATAACAGCGTCAACCAAGGATGATACTGCGAAAGACTCCGCCCCTGCACGTAGCATTACCCAAAGCAGCTTACAACGTCCGGCTTCACCGCCCCGCAACCCCAGTAATGCCGGACCTTGCTTACTCGCCAGCGCTCAGCCAGCTGGCGAGTTGGCACAAGGTGTTCTCCAGGTTGGTCATAACCAGGTTATTAAGCGTGCTTGTGGCTTTTTGCAACTTTTTGGGACTGCGACGGTTCAGCATAGCATATGCTTGCCTGTGCAATACCTTTCATGGTGTGGAAAGTGGTGTTTGTGGACGTTAAATACGTGGATTGCCGGGGAATTTCGGCAGCAAATGTTTTCCGTCAAGATAGTGGTCGCTGCTTACCCAGAACCATGTTGCCGCGGCGGCATTATAGGGTCTTCAGCTTCAGCGGCAAATTACACGGTTGCAAGGGCATTGGTGGACTCGGATGGAGAATGCGCTGGAGATGCTCGCAAAGTCTTATTCAGCAGCATGCGCAAGGTATGTTTCGGTGGGCCTAGGAGAGCCAGTTGATATAGCTCATGCTTTGGAGGGAGTGGATTGCATCCTGTCCAAAAGCCTGCGCAAGGTCTGACTACATGTGGCTGGCTACACTTAATCCTCTGCCCGAGGAAGGGGGCCCGAAGAAAGCTAAGAACGCTGTTCAGTTCACCTTCATGCATCATTCCAGCCATGAAACTGTATGCCCATCCTTGCGTGTAAAGTGCTCGTCCCTGTTTGTCATACACATGTGCCTGCAACTGACAGCTCCGTCCTTCAATCTCGCGTCCAAATTATGACGGTTTATCTTGCCACTTCTCTCTGCGTGGTGGATGCCAGGCTTCATGACATCGCAAGGAATCGTTATACTTGCTGTCGTTGTACCACATACTATGTTACTTGTACTTCCAGCCTCCAACTCTAAATGCAACCACTCTCCATCTGTGCCGTACAGCCTGTGGGTGCTGGACGAGTCAACGGAGTCGTTCGTGGTACTGCTGAGCAAGGGCCCTATGCGGCATGCCGTACAACCCGGCTGCTCCCTGCACCTGGGCTCGGAGTACGACGCCAACTGCCCCTCCAGCCTCACCTCCCTCTGGGATACCAAGGTAAGAGGAGGCGCCCATCGCACTGCTACCGGTAATGAGCACGTCCTGAAGACCAGCAGGACCACCATTATGTTGTGGCTGCGATGATTCATCGTATGTCGTACATGCATGCATGAGAGCTCCTCCCGGCTCCTTAAGCCAACTCACTCTACATGCCCCGCCGCCGGTTCACTCATTCCTCCCCCATCCGGCCTCCTCGTCACCACCACCTCACAGGCCGCTCAAAAGTACAGCGTCCTCAACAGCAGCAGCAGCAGCGGCGCGAACGCAAACCGCAGCAGCAACTACTCCGCCCTCCATGGCTGCGACGTCGGCGGCATCACTGCCGGCGTCAGCGCAGGCGGAGGCGGAGGCACGAGCATCGGCGGAGGCGCCGGTGCCTTCCCAGCCGACTGGAAGATGCTGTATAACGCCTACGGCCTCACCGACTTCCTCGCCTGTCCCATCTTCTCCTCCACGACGCTAGGTGGCGGCCCGGCGTCCATTGCCGCCGCAGCGGCGTTGTACGGCCTTGAAAAGATCATAACCCTAAGTCCCACCGGAGACGCCAATGGAACGGGGGGACCCGACCACACCGGAGGTACGGCAGGAGGAGCAGCAGCAACCGCGACGGCGGCTGCCGCCGCCGCTGCCGCCGGCGAGTCTCACGTGGTCGAGTCCCACGTGGTGGGGGCAATCACGTTCTACTTCAGTCGCCCGGGATCGGAACGAGATCGGGATCAGGATCGCGACCGGCCGTCTAAGGAGCAGCCCCCGCCCCCGCACCCGCCCCTGCCCAGCATCTTTAGCGGTTCCGTAGAGCAGGAACTCGTGTCGCTGGCGGTTTCGGGGCTGCTGTTCAGTAACGGGCCGGAACCTGTACGGCAAATCTGTGAGCTGGTTGTGGCGATTCAGTCGGCCGGCGGTAGCGGCGAGGTGGCGGCGGCGGTGGCGGCGGGTCTGACGGCGCGACTGCGGCATGTGTACGCCGTAACGCCAACACCGCTGCTGGCACTGGTGCCTCCGAGGCAGCTCAGTGCGGTGGTGTTTCGGGACATGACGGCGGGGGCGGCGGGGGCGGGTAGCGGCCCGGAGGGCGTGGGGGCTGGGGGCAGCATGGAGTACGGCGGGCTGCATGGGCAGTCCAGTTCGCAAACGCTGCCGCTGCTACATCCAGCGCTAGCGTCGGTAGCAGGAGGCGGCGGCGGCGGAGTCGGGACGTCGTACAGTGGAAGTACGGCGCAGGCGGGGGTTGGTGTACGAGTGCAGTACCGTACGGCAGGCGTTCAGCTAGGCGGGCTTGACGGTGGCGGCGGGGCCGGGGCGGGCGCCTCGAGTATAGAACGCTCACCGAGTCTACTGGGCACGGGGTTTCGTGGCGAGGGAGGCGGAGGCGGAGGAGGAGACGCTCCAGGGGGGGGTGGTTACGGTTATGGGTACGGCGGAGGCGGAGGTGGTGGCGGTGGCGGTGGCGGTGGCGGCGTGAGTCGGTTGTTGCCCATGCCCAAGAGCACCCTCAGCACGGGGCTGTTCCAGCAGGGCGCTAACAATCCCTCGGGGCTGTACTCGTGCCGGTTGGACCGCATGCCCTCGCGCTACAAGGCGCTGGTGTTTCCGCTGTCACACACCCTGCTGCAGGTGAGGAGGGGGGAGGTCAGGGATATACCCAAACCACAGTAGGGGGGAGGAGGGAGGGAGGGCTTGTTTTGGATGGACGCGGATGAGGAAGGGCGGGTGTGGGAGGATTTGTGGAGAGGGTGTAGGAGGCCTCCACTGCCTGCTCGGAGATCTCTGAATCCCTGCATGCCACGTGCTGCTGCCCCGCTGTCTTTAGGTGGTCCTGCAGCAGCGGCAAGAGCAGCGTAAGCTCAAGGAACAGCAGCAGCAACTGCAGCTGCAACGCGGCTCCTCGGGCTCACCAGCAGGGGCAGCAGGCGCAGCCGCCGCCTCCCGCCAACCACCCTCTGCCCTGCGGGAACTCTGCTCAACCGCAGCCGCCACAGCCGGCGGCGCCACGAGCGACGGCGGTTGGATCATCAGCGACTGCAACGAACACCTGCATGCCGTACACAGCCCCTCCCGTGATGTGTATGTGCTGACACGTGTCAACGGTCGGCGGCCGCACTCCATGGTACTCGCAACAGCGGATCTGGGCGTGCTGGGTGGGATTGGAGGAGCAGGAGGGTTGCTGGCGGGTGCAGGGACGGTGGGGTCGGGCGCAGGCGGCATGGCAGGAGGGGATGTGGTGGGGGTGCTGGGGGGAGCAGGGGCAGCCACGCCAGGAGCAGCGGCTGGGGGTACGGCAGCGGAGGGGTGCTCGCATCTGGCGGTGTATCTGGCGTTTCCGGAGCGGCTGCCCCGGGCGCTGTTGGAGGGGGCGCTTGCGGACACGCAGCTCATCATGCGGAGGGTGAGAGGGAGGGGGCGTGTGTGCCTGTATGGGGACAAGAGGGGGGCAAGAGGGGGCAAGAGGGGGACAAGAGGGGGTCAAGAGGGGATGGGTATTCCGCACTGGACTGGAGTGCGCTGGTGCATGGGGGGGGTGCGGGTGCGGGGTTTGTGAGGAAAGCGAAATTACTGTGAAGGGTAAAAGACAGCAGGGAGAGGAGTATGCAGCAGGGGGGCGGAGGAGGCGATGTGGGAGAAACTCCGGTAACCGTAAAGGGTGAGAAGGGCGCTACCTCTCAGTCTCCCCCCACTTTCCTCCTGACCCACATCCTCCGGACCTCCCCCCCCTCCACTTTCCTCCGGCCCCCCAGCTCATCGCCCCCCTCATCCGCCAACGCTTCGAGGCCGGCCTGTCCGAGGAGTGGACTGCGCTGGCCGCGGCCGCCAACAACCTGCCCAGCCCGGGGGGCCCCGCGGTGCGCATCGCAGCCTCCCTGTCAGCATCCCAGGCGCGACACTCGCTGCCACCCGGACTGGGAGCAGGGGGGGCAGGAGCAGCAGGGGGGGTGATGGGTGGGGCGCCACCGCTGATGATGTCGTACAGCGCGATGGCGGGGACACCGCCGGAGGGTGAGTGTGTTGGGGCCTTGGGGGGAAGGGAGGGGGGGGTAGGAGAGGGTGAATACCCGCGGGGACGGGGTCGGCAGGTAGAAAGGAAGGCTACGGTAGCATGGTGGTGGGAGGAGGGGAAAATTATATAAAAAATGCAAACAACTAAAGTCCCAATCCCATATCCCGACTCATGCAGTGAGTGCATTCGGAGACACTATTCTAAAGACACGCATCTCAAATTACTTACCGAAGCGTTGCTTACCGGAAACCGAGACGACTTGAGGGAGAAGCCGCCTTGCGTGGTAACACTAGGGAGACATGCGCCGCGCCGCCGGTCACGAAAAACAAAGCAACACGCATATGGGGTATACGAGCAGACATGTGATCGAGACGCGTTACGGGAAACTTAGGAGGGGGGTCGGGGAGGGACCCGAGGGAGGAGTTCGGTAAGGGGGGAGGAGGGGAGTAGAGAGGGTCCGACGGGTTCCTCTTCTGCGGTGGCTTTGTACAGCGACATTGCGCGGCACGCCACGTCACCACCGCCTCGCCCGCCCCCTCCCCTTTCCCCTCCCTCTCCCACAGTCTCCCCTAGCGGCATCGTCACCGCCTTCCCCAGCCCCGCAGCCCTCGTGGCGGCCGCCATGTCCGCATCCCCCGACATGACACCCAACGGCGCCCCCACCCCCAACATCCACAACATCCACAACAACAGCAACACCTGGCTTTCCCGGCTAGGAGGCGGAGCAGGCGGTGGTCCCCACCCCGCCACCGCCACCCCCGCCCCCTACCTGCCTACCTCGATGTCCCCCCCTCAAGGCGGCGCTTCCACACTAGCACTAGCCAGCTCCAGTGCTTCTAACGGCGGCGGCGGTGGTGGTGGTGGTGGTGTGGCAGGCAATAGCAGTTACCTGTTAGGCATGGTGAACCCGCTGACCATCATGGGGCCCATGGGAGGAGCAGGAGGGGCAGCAGGCGGGGGAGGGGGCGGCATGTCCACCTCGGAGCTGCACCTGGAGGGGCTGTCAGCGGGGGAGGCGCTGCAGCAGATGTCGGTGCTCGTGTCGTCGTACATGGACACGTTGCAGGCGTTACAGGGGCAGCTCATGGCGTGCGACAAGTGAGGAGGGGAGGAGGAGGGGGGGGGGGGGGGGGGGGGGGGGGGGGGGGGGGGGGGGGGGGGGGGGGGGGGGGGGGGGGGGGGGGGGGGGGGGGGGGGGGGGGGGGGGGGGGGGGGGGGGGGGGGGGGGGGGGGGGGGGGGGGGGGGGGGGGGGGGGGGGGGGGGGAGGAGGGGATGTGGGGAGAAGGTGGACGGGATTTGGGGTTTGGTTGGGTATGGAATGGGGTGGTGGTGTGACCCGTGGGTCAGTTGTGATGTATGACCCACATGGAAGTTCTAGCCCCATGGGAGTTGGCGGTGTACATCCCTCTTCCTCCCCACCGCACCACACCCACCCTGCACACAAACACACACCATCTTCCGACAATCACAGTACGTTCCTACTCGCGGCCAGTTTTCTTAAACCCCCCCACCCCCACCCCCACCCCCGCAGGGTTACCGAGTCGCTGCGCCGCGAGGACCTGCCGCACCTGCACCTGCTGGAGGTGTTGGGGCACGGCGGGGGCGGGGTGGTGTTCCGCGGCAAGCTCCATGCACTGGAGGTGGCGGTGAAGGTGTTTGAGGTGCCGGGCGACCTGGCCACTGCAGCGGGTGAGGGGGGGGAGGGGGAGGAGAGGGGGGAAGGGAGGGGGAGAGGGCAAAGCGGAAGAAAGAGAAGAGGGAGAAGGGAGAGAGAGGGAAGAGAGGGAAGACAGCCTGACCGCACCTGTGGGGGGACCAGGAAGGGGAGGTGGTGGTGGTGGTATGGCATGAGATTGAAACCCCTCGTGCCTTGGTGACTTGAGGTGGTGGCGTTAGGCGACAAAAACCTTAAACCTGCGGAGCCCCTGCTGCGAACTGTTTCCCACCCATTTCTCCCATTTCTTTCCCTCCCATCATCCGAGTCATCCCCAAACCCGCTCCTCTCCCACCCTCCCCACCCACCCCATCTTCCCGCACCCAGGCCTCTCCTCCCTGCAGTCGCCCTCCCCCGCCGGCGCCCTGCCCGGCTCCCCCACCGCCACCGCCACCACCGCCATCTCCCCTGCTGCTACCGCTGCTGCTGGCAGCGATCTCCCCGGCGGTGCCGCTGCTGCAGCAGGCGCAGGAGCAGGAGGAGGCGGTGACGGTGGCGGCGACAAGGGTAAGGCCGCCTGGCCGGCAGTGGGCGACCGGCGGGTGCTGCAGCGGAGCGCACTGGAGCTGGCGGTGACTGCCAGCATGAGCCACCCGCACATCATTCAGGTGGGAGGGGGTGAGGAGGGGGGGGAAATTATATAATAAATGCAAACAACTAGGAGGGGGGGGAGGGAACAAAGGAGAGGAATGCAGGAGGAGGACGAGGGGGAGAACCGCGTGTAAGGCGTCATGCGGCGATTCACAACAGGAGGAGAAGGAGGAGGAGAATGAAGGGGAGTTTTGGCGGACCGTTGGGCCGCGAGGAAACATCCACCATGACCGCTGGCTGCCTCCCCTTGGGGCCGTACCCCACTGGCCACTGCGGTGGTGACGATGATGGCGATGGCGACCATCGGTGCACAGCTACCCACCTCCCCCCTGCCCTTCGAGCAGGATGGTATGGGCCGGCTATACCATGATGTTTGCCTCCCCCTCCACCTGACGGAGCCTCTGCATGTCTCACAGCTCGATTCCGTTTCCGCCTCCTTGCCCGCCTCCCTCCTCAACCCATGGTGAAGCCTCGTCACACAGCTCGATTCCCTTTTCCTCCTCCTTACCCCTCCTCTCCTCTCCCCCTCCCCCTCCCCCCTCCTCCCCCCCCCAGGTCTACAGCCTCTACACCAACATGGTCCTCGTGAAGCAGAAGCCGCCCCGACAGGGCACCAGCGGCGTGCAGCTGCTGGAGCTGAGTGCGGCCACCGCACTGAGCCGCGCGGAGGACGGCATACCCTGCTCCGCACTGTGCATGGAGTACTGCGACATGGTGGGGGGGGGGGTCAAAGACCGGATACCAAACCGTAGGAAACCACGGGTGGGGGGGGGGGCAACACAGCAGGGGGCACGGTGTGAACATGCGTGAATAGCAGCAACCGCAGGAGTCCTTCCTAACCCCACTACCTCCCTCCCCTTACCCCCCCCCCCCTTTCCCCCTCCCCTCCCCCCCCCAGGGCACCCTGGCTCACGCCATCGACCAGCACCGCTTCATGACGCTCACGCCGCTGGGCGCCCGCCGGCCCGCACTCAAGGCCATCTGCACCACCCTGCTGGAGGTGGCGCTGGCGCTGCGGCACCTGCATGCGCGCAACCTAGCACACTGCGGTAGGGGGGGGGGAGGAGGGGGGGGGCGGTACTGCTGACAACTGGAGCTGTAGTTGTTCACAAACAACATTGTGGATACCCCACCCATTTCCATGCCGCCCCACCCAATTCCATGCCGCCCCACCCCCTGCAGACCTGAAGCCGGCTAATGTGCTGCTCAAGAGCTCACGGAGGGACAGCCGGGGCTTCACGTGCAAGGTAGGGGGGGGGGGTAAGGTGTATGTAAGGTACTTCCGGCAGACAAATTGACAACGGCATTCACCTCCCGCGCCATCCATTGATGCACGCTTCCTTCCCCTCCACAGCAGCACCCCAATATCACGACAATCCGCACACTTACCCACCCCACCTCACCTCTGACTCCCCCCATCCTATGGTATGGTATGGTTTTTGACCCCTCTTCCCTCCCTCCCGCAGTTGGCGGACTTTGGTTACGTGTCGGTGCTGAAGGCGGCGGTACCGGGGGGCCGACCCACGGTTCTGCCCGAGGAGGCGTGCGGCACCGTCACCCATATGGCGCCGGTGAGGGGGGGAGAAGCGGGGGGGGGGGCATGGAGGGCACTGTAACCGTGAGCTGCCGTGAGGGGGAGGGGGGGCTGTTAGGGGAGGGTTAGGGGGGCGAAAGAGGGGATGGATGGGGGAGGGCAAGAAACTGACTACCGACAGCAGCAGCAATGTGTCGCGGCCCCGCTGGGCTCCTGTCGTTATTGTCACTCCTCTCCCACTCACCTGCCCCTTGTTAGCCAACGCGTCCATTCAACGGGTCTTTACCGTATCCTACCCCCACGCCCCCCCGTCTTTCAGTTCGTCAGTTTTCCTTATTTTTACCCCCCGTGTATCACTATCACACCACACATTGGAATCTCTTGTCCCCCCCCTCCACCCCGAGCAGGAAACCTTCATCAAGGGTCAGCCCCTGGACTTCTCCGTAGAGTGAGTACCACACCTTGGGTGGTGCTGGCGGCGGGGGGGGAGGGCTGTGTTTGCATGGGGGGAGGAGGTGACTAGAGCCTCCTAGACAGCCTCCTAGACACACGCACCTTGTCTAGCTCCTGCCTCCTCCCGTACTTTGGGCCCCTGCTCCTCCCCCCCCCCCCCTCCTGCTCACCCCCCTTGTTCTGTCTCCTGCCTCCTGCTTCTCACGGCCTTTGCTTTTGGTTTCTCTCTGACCCCCCTCCTCCCCCCTCCTTCCCTCCTCCTCTCCCCCCAGCACCTTCTCTTTCGGCATCCTCATGTGGGAGCTCTACACCTGCGCCCGCCCCTACGCGGACGTGCCGGAGGACCAGATTGCGCAGCGGGTCACACTGAAGGGGCTGCGACCCACCTTCCCGCCGGACACCCCCCGGGCCTTTGGGTGCGTGGGGGTGTGTTAAAATAACTGTGTGTGTGGGGGGGGGGGGGGGAATTGGGGATGAGGTTTGGTGATTGGGTTCTTGGACAGCTGCTGGTACTGCCGCACTGCATAGGAGTCCTTCGTAGTCTTGGACAATGCCGATGCCAAGGCCACCGTAGCGAGTGATCCCCCCCACCTTCCCATGTTGACGCCTTATCCCTCAGTCAGCTTGTTGTTTCCTCTTTACCCCCACCTTCCCCAACTTCTTCTTCACCTCCTCCCACCTCCTCCCCCCACCCCCCAACACACATGGTTCTTCTCCCTCCTTCCCTCCTCCTTCCCTCCTCCTTCCCTCCTCCTTCCCTCCTCCTCCCTCCTCCTCCCTCCTCCTCCCTCCTCCTCCCTCCTCCTCCCTCCTCCTCCCTCCTCCTCCCTCCTCCTCCCTCCTCCTCCCTCCTCCTCCCTCCTCCTCCCTCCTCCTCCCTCCTCCTCCCTCCCCCTTGTATCGCTATCACACCACACTTTGGAATTTCTTTTTTTCCCTCCCCCCCTCTCCCTCTCCCCCGCCTGCAGTGCGCTGGCCCGCCAGTGTTGGAGCCAGGACCCCAACGAGCGGCCCAACGCATCCGAGGTGGTGCGCGCGCTGGAAAACATGCTGCAGATCATGAACACACAGCTGCCCGTCATCCCGCCGCTTAAACCCAAGCAGCCGGCCCAGCAGCAGCAAGGGCAGCAGCAGCAGCAGATGCAGCAGCCATCACCTCCACCTGTTGCAGGACAGCAAGGCGGACAGGGACAGCTGGTGGTCTTGCAACCGCAGGGGCTACAGCAGCAAGGGCAGCAACAGCAGCATCCGCCGTTGGGCCGGCGACACACGCCCGCGGGGCTGTCTCCACTAGGAGAGATGCGAGGGGCAGCAGCAGCAGCAGCGGGAGGTGGAGGTGGAGGAGCAACAGCAGAGGCGGCAGGGCTGGGGGCGTTTGCTGCTGCGGCTGCCAACGGAGGCGGTGCGTAGAAGGGTCGGCAGTGCTGGCTGCTGCCGCTGTTGTGGGTGAGGAGGAGGAGGAGGTGGAGGTGTCATTGTGGGGTTTTTTACTTGTTATTTGCTTCATTACTTGGTAAATATGTGTTGTGTGGTTGCGAGGTTGTTGCAGGTATGTCTCCATCCATACCATGTGTTGCCGGGTTGTTTCATCGCGGGTGGCGGGTGTCGCTTCCCGCTCGTGTGAACAAGCGGGTGATGCAGTGGTGGTGTGTGCATGCATGCTTTCCCTTGCTGGGTCGGCACTGCTGCTGCTGTTGTTGCCGCCATTGCCGCTGCTGCTGCTGTTGGCTTTTGCCGCGCAGGAGAAAAGCCCTTGCTGCTGCTGCTGTTGCTGCTGCTTGTTTAGCGGTGCTGTATTATCATCTGGGTTGCTCGTGCTGTTATATTAGAAACTACTACTACTGGCGCGGCTACCTAGCTCTGCTGCAGCGGCTTTTTATACTTGGAGGCGCTGCTGGTTGTTGCTGTTGGGCTGCAACACACGCGAACATGCGGTGCTCTTGCGCTCATAACAAACCCCTCTCGACCCATTCTCCCATCCGCCATGGGAACCCGGACTGACGAACTCGTACGGGGCTAGGACAACACGACCAGCCTGGTACACCCGCTGTGCCCGGCTGTTGTAGAGCGAGGCCGCTGGGGGCCGCATCATGCGACCCATAGACCGGAATTAAACTGCTGCTGCTTTGCGGATGTGCTGTGGACGTGCGTTACGCCGCCCTATACCTCGCGGCGATTACTTCGAAAGCGTTTTTTCGTGACTGCCCTTCCTTCAAATGCATGCAATATGAGTGAGTGGCTTTAGAGAGGTGTGTGTGCGAGTGCAGTCATGCATGCATGGGCGCGCAAGCCCATTACGTATCCGCTGATCGTTGCTTGGACGTTTCGCAGCCCGGGTGAACGTCTCGGGGGTGATGTCTTCAGGGCGCGCCTCAAGAGCGCGCTCTCCGTTCTTCGCGGTTCTGTGAAAGAGTCGTTTCTGTAGAGGTTCTTGCATGCATGCTTGGGCTACGATTGAGGCTTTTCCTGTTTGTGTAGCTGTGTGTTGTGTTTTAGCGAGGCGGGGGCATACACGTTGGTCAACCACGCTTTGCGCAAGTGGACACTCGAGGGATGAAAGCTGGGGAGTGTCCTTGTGGGGCCCCACCGTCTTGAGAAGAGAAGGTATTTTTGGGGGCAGACGGGCTTTACTCCTTGAGGAAAGGGTGTAGGGTGTAGGGTAGAGCGTGGAAGCGTGTTAAGAGGAGGGAGAGGGGGGGCGGAGAGGAGCGAATGGCGAGGAGGGAGGTATCCCTGACTCGCGCGGGGGCTGCGGCCCACGTCGGTGAGGGTGTGGTAACATTCCCAAGACAGCCGGAATGCGAATACACTCTTCAGGTGCACACAGGTTTGAGAGGTTGGCTGTGGGTGTTAAGAAAACGTGCCGCGAGTTGGAACGTACTGGATTGTCGGAAGATGATGTCAGTGTGTGTGGGGGGGGGTTGGCTGTGTGTTGGGGCTGTTGGGGATTATTGGGGTTACAGGAAGGAAGGGGTTGGGGAACCTAAGAAGGCACTCTCCTGTTTCTCGGATGACAGCACGGCAGGGCATGCACCTGACGCGGAGCTTACTGTGAACTTTTGGCAACACACGAGGCGCTGAACGACTGGGGCGGCTGGCCTTTCTCTAACTTGGTTACGGTAAACAGGGACGGCGGGTCGATTCGGGTTGATAATTGTTCGACGCACTCCGAGACGCAGACACATTTGAATGCTGGGCTGCTTTGCCGCTGTTATTGCGCGATGCAGTCGTTGTTCCTTTCACACATACAGACACATGGGCTAAGGTGAACGCGCAGGTATAGCGTATGTTGTCATTGTATTTGTTTACACCGGTTTGTGCTTGCGTGACCTGGTGCGGCTGTGGCTGTGCTGCTGCCTTGGTTGTGCTGCCGCTGCTGCTACGCTATGTTTTGGGATGTGCTGACAATCATTGCACAATACCCTTTCCTGCTTTTCTGCATGAGCGCTGTTGTGTGCTAGGCGCTGCCACCGCTGATCATCGATGGAACCCCATGAGACTTGTGACCCCCGGACTGTTGTAAGGGCGTGTTGTGCCCCGGCCACATAGGAAGGGCTTATCTGTGAAAGGACGCAGCGGTAGGCTCCTCCATAGTTGCTCTGCACGTTTTGCTGCCGTACAATAGCTGAGCTACTACGACGGGTAATAGCACTAATATGGCACGACGTGGCAAGCGGGCGAGCCACCCCGCCGCTATATGCAGGGCATGGCAGGCACTGTCAGTTAGGGCCTTGGGGCGTCGGATGGTTGGAGGTTTGGGGTGACGCGCTGAATTTTTGTCAACGGCTTTCCGCATCCTCGTCAAAGTGAGCCGTGATGCAGACTAGCAGCTTGAGGGCCGTACGGTAGGAGGGGGTAATAACCTAAAAGTATGTCCTATGTAGAGTGCGGGTGTCCGGTACCATCGGTGGGGCTGCACGCTGCAGTCAGGGTGTAATACACACAGGTTTTGCACCTGGATGGGTTACTGGGGAGGTCGTGGGTGGCGCTGGAACTGTTTTGTATGTCGTTGGCGCATGTAAACACCCGGAGAGAGAAAGGGGGAGGATTGATTGGGTGTGTTTTGAGATGAATGGAACCGAGGCAGGCTACGGTACGAGTCGGTACATTGAGGGTTGTTTGAAATTGAGAGCTGTTTAAGCGCACACGATGCCAAGGGTTGCCGCGGCGTGATTGTTGAAGTAAGGGTGACCCCACATCAATGATCCCACTATCCTGGTTGGGGTGTGCGTGTGTGCGACCCATGGGTCAGCAGGATCGCCTTTTCCCCAGCTGGCTCGGAGTGTAGGGTAATGGGGAGGAGGTTTGTAACGTTTGGTTGGCCTACATTGAGCCGCCCTTGTCTTTGGTCCGGCAGGACAGCAAACCTTTGGGTTAAAAGCGCATCTCTATGCACTTGCCGGGGGCCGCTTGCCCCTGCGTCCTGCCTTACAGAACATGCCTTGACACATACGGTACCCACACACTTGCCCTGACGCATGCCTGGACACATTGCCTGGACACATGCCCCTACACATGCCTTGGGAAGGCTGACCCAAGGAACTGAATTTCAGGAGTGCCTGAAGCGAGGTTGATTATTACAGCCTACGATGCACCGGGCCCTCCAGCAATCACGCAGTTTAGTGCACTGTTAGGACGGAAGCGGGCGGACGTGATAGCCAACAGCCAAGCAAGCAAGAGGAAAACAAAACCCAACACCATTTCAGGCGAGAACGCGCACTACCAATTAACCCAATGTATCACGGGTTCTGGTATATATGGGGTTCTGCCACGCTTCCAAGTCCTATCTATCTCTTCCCGCACACCGCCTCCCCCTCCACACACACAAACACAAACACATCCCCAGAAACATCTTACAGAGAAAACAGGGTGCAATGAAACCCCCTCCTTATTACGCCCTCCCCTGCTGCTCCCTAGCCCTTCCCCCACCTCCCTTCCCCTCGGCTCGGGTCTCGTCAAGTCCTCGTCCGGGCACCATCAATTAATACGTCACCAATACTCTTCCACCAAACCACGGCGGGAATCTTAACAGTTTACCCCACCTCCCCTTCTCCTCAATCCGCCCGTTGTTGTCCATCCACAGTCATCACGGGAGGCTTCAAACACAACAATGAATACTCAATGCTACTTTTCATACAAGCACCGGTAGGCATGCCGCCAGGTGCCGCGCGGATACACCTCTCTTACCTTTTTTATGGTAGTTCTCTCATCACATCACATAAAGTGCAAATGTTAAGTGGCGAAAGTGATCAGTTCGCCCAGCGCAATCAAGCAGCATCTCAAGCATCAATCGTACACCGCATCTTCGGGCAATCACAGCAATACGTCCCGACTAGCGACCAGATTTTCTAAACACACCGCCCATGTCTCGTGATCAATCCTTGGGCGCTGCTTCATGTCACGAACACCTACCGTTAACAACCACAAGACGCTAGGTACCTCCGGTGGCAGGGCAAATAAACCAGTCATAAACAAATAACCAGGTTAAACCAGATATACAACTGACAAGGACTTCTTGCTTCCTTTGCGTTGTTGTTAGTGCACAAGCCGATTCATCGAGGATGCAAGTTCAAGCAGGGCCAGCAGCACACAAAAACACACACACACGCGTGTCTATCTCCGCGGCACCATCACTCCCTCCTGTTTGGCAGTTGCATACCGTTATTGGAACACTTACGCCACCCAAGCAAGCACACGAATGTAATGTGTGCTTTGCACCAGCGCTTCACAAACAACCGCGACCGAACCCAAACCGGTGGTTCGTCCAACCCCTAACCTCACAAGCAAAAGGATGCATACGGTCTCAGCAGGGGTACCCCCTGAACAGCAAAACGCCCAGTTCGCCTGGGGTGCTAGCTTTTACCCAAAAATTCCATAATTCCATAATTCCATTAGCCCAAGCCATTTCCATTAGCCCAAGCAACCCATAAATGTTGAACGTGACACAACCCTTTGTCAAGCACATGCTTCTGAATTTACCATAGCTCCGCGTTTCCCCCTCTTATAGTTAATTAACCTCTTCACCTTTGCTTCAATAACTCCTCCGCTTTTTTTTCTCAGTAGAATTAATGCCCTCATCCCCAGCCTGTTCCGGGCTTTTGGCACCTTGGTAATCATCCACATCACCAGCGTTAGGGTACGCTAAAACGAAGAAGGACAAACCCCAGATTGATTGAACCAGGCAGGGCGCGCGAACCAGAAGCCTCCCGCTGCATGCATGCACATCCAATCCAATCCATTCAAACACTCCTCTTAGCCTCGTGCGGAGAAGCCTAACAAGGTGCTTCCATTGCTCCCGGTTCACCTTCTTCCGCACATGCAACCCCTTCCTTCGGCGCATATCCTGCTGCCACATACACCCTGCTGCCTCCTGCTTTATGCAATGCAGGCTGCTCAAATCACGCCGCTGTCACTGTCGACAGGCGCCTAGCTCGCGCAACAACGGGTGACACCGCCGCCGCAGCTGGAAGCACCCCACCACCACTACCACCACCACCACCGCTGAGGAGACCCCCGCCGCCGCTGCTGCTGCTGCGCCCGCCGCCACCCCCGCCGCCGCCTTGCCCGGCTGCCGCCCGACCGTCCTTGGACAGCTTGCTCAGGTGGGCGTTACTGCGGTCAGCGGGAGGCGGCGGCTCCGTGCGTCGTACGGCGTCCACCAGAGCTAGTTTGCCGTTGAGCTGCGGGGGTGTTTGCGTCGCGTGCACATATGGGTTTTTTGAGTGAGGCAGGCGGTGGGAGAGGGAGGGAGAGAGGGAGGGAGAGAAGGAGGCAGGATGGCCATGCAAGGAGTGAGACGGCCCTCCCTGCATACTCCTGCCCATGCGTCGGTGCATGCATGCATGCATGCATACCCTCCCCCCATACCCTCCAGATCTCATGCCCGCATGTCGCTTCACATCCCCACCCCCCGCCTCGACATTGGGTATTTTTCTTTTCCCTCCTCCACCCACCCCTTAAACTCCATCCCTTAAAGGCTTAACCACCACCCCCATTCCCAAACCCCCATCCCTCCTCACCGACACGTCCGAGTTATACGCCGACTGCCACCTCGGCTGGTGTGACCCAACAGCATCCTCCAGCACACTCGTCCTCCGCACCCTCCCCGCCGCCATGGCCTGCCTCTCCCGTGCCACATGGTCATCCAACGTCGCCTGGAACCTCCGCAACTCCTGCAACGTCGCTGCAGCTTTCTCGGGGAGCAGGTCCGAAAGGCGGGGCAGGGAGAAGGCGGCGGCGGCGGCGGCGGAGGTGTCGCCGCCGCCGATGGGCGTCACCTCAGTGGTGGTGGTGGTGACGTCATCGTCAACGCCAACGTCAACTACCTCGTCGACGTTGCTCGCCGCCGTAAGACCCCGAGAGAAGGCGGTTGTTACTGCGGTGGTTGTGGCGGTTGGGCCGGAAGCGGCGAGAGCGGTTGAGGAGGACGCTGACATGAGGCTGAGAAGTGTCTCATCCACGGCGTTTCCGCTTCCGCCGACGCCGCCGCTGACGGCGCCGCTGCCGTACAACATATCATGCAGGTCTTCCGCTTCCTGTTGGAACCACCGTCCGCCGCCGCCGGCCCCCGTACCCACGGCGCCGCCGCCACCGCCTCCAATGATGATGCCTGAGCTGACATCAGCTGCGCCGCCGCCACCAACGGCACCCAATGCAGTGATGGGCTCCAACGGGCCCGACCCACGGGTCTCAATGCTGGGGGGCAGCACCAACCTGCCGCTATTTGAGCGGGAGTCCGAGCCCGCGGCCGCGGCCGCGACAGCAGCTGCCATAACGCCCGACAGCGGGCTGAGGTGAGTGAGGGGACTTGCGGAACCGTTGGACGGGGGTACTGCGATTGAGCGGTTGAGCGGTTGGAAGCGGTTGGTAGCGGTTTGTTGCGGTTAATGGACAATGGACGACATGCGTATACACAAGCGCATTGAAGCAAAGCGGCAGCGTGCCATCATCCCGTCACTATACCCGACACTCACCCGTCACGTTAGACGATGAAGCCCGACTAGGCCCGGCGCCCATCTGTAGTAACGGCAGCTTCGGCAAACTGCTCGCAGAGCCCCCTGCTGTCGTACTTGCCGCCGCCGTCGCCGCCACTGAGGGTGACGTCAGACCGCTGCCGCCGCCGCCAATGCCGCAATCCGTCGACACGGCGCGCAGCGGCGCCCCGCCGCCGAAAGCCCCTCCTTTCCTGTCGCGCATCAGGCCCAAACCTCCTCCTTGCAGCGCCGTCGGACTGCCGTTTCCGCCGCCGCCGCCAGCGCCAGCGCCGCCAAGGCTGATATGGGTTGACGACGGAAGCCGATTCAGTCGCTGCGTTCGGAGCTCTACACTGGGCAGCGGTGCGGGCGACCTCGGACTGGCAGGATGCTCAAAATCACAGATCTCCATTGACGTCGCGCCCGCGTCGCCGCCGCCTGCGCCGCCACTGCTGCCGTAACCCCCGCCGCCGACGCTGCTGCCGACACTGCTCCTGCGCGCGACAAGACTCACCACCACACCTGTACTGCTGCTACTCCCGCACCCACCACCACCTCCTCCACCACCAGTGCTGCTGTCCGGGTTCACAGGATCGCTCAGGAGGCTGCTCCCATGGGGGCTTCCAAACGCCTGTCGCGCTGCGCCGCCGCCGGCGCCGCCACGGCCAGTGGCGGCAGCGGCGCCGCCGCCAGCACCGTAGCCGCCGCCGTCTGCCAGGCCGTTGCACTCGTCGCCGATGCTGCTGGCGCCGTGCAGGCTGTCCGCGCCCATCTCCTGCACTTCATCGAAGGAGGTGGCGTGGGCAACTGGTACCTCCGCTTGGCTGGGGCGCGCGAAGGCGTTGAGGCCCGCTAGTCGCCGGACCTCCCTCTCCACCTGGGGATATGGAGGGCGGGGGGCGGGGTCAAAACAGACCAATCCATAGGGGCGGGGGAGCGGCAGGGATTAGCGCTGTGCAACTCTGGGGGTTGGGAGGGAGGATTCAGGTTGGCGGGTTCGGGCCGCAGCGGGTGAAGAGGGGAGCCTAAAAGGAAAAAGGAAAGGCAGTGCAGAAGAGCCGCCCCAACCAGGCCATGCGGTCGGGCTCAGCAGCTCAGCCGACGCGTGAGCCGCCTGCGACACGGCCCGCCCTCCTGCCGTACACACTCCTCCCCCTGGCTCAGTTTATCTCATCCCCCTGCCGTGCTACACACCTCTCCTCCTGCCGTACCTGTCCCCCCATGCCTCCTCCCAAGTTGATGGTGTAGGTGGTCATGCTGGACCGCCGGACCTTGCCCACACGCAGGCTGCTCTCAGCTGCTGCAGCGCCGCCCCCGCCAGCAGCAGTACTGCCGGCGGCGGCAGCAGCAGGGGACCCGCCGCCGCCGCCGCCGATGGCTAGGAAGGAGCCGCCGCTGGCCGCAGCGCCGCCGAGCATGGGGCCCAGGCCCATGCTGCTGCTGCTATTGGCGCTGGCTCTGATGAGGTTGCTGTTGTTAGTTAGGTTGTTGCTGTTGGTCCAGCTGGGATCCCGGAGGTCGAGTGTTTCAGTTTCATCGGCTGCTGTGAGGGCGCCTGTTGGGGCGGGCGGTTGTTGGCTTTGGTTGTTCGGTTGTAAGGACTGAGCCTTGATTGGGTGTTTGTTTGGTGGAAGCCAGCGGGTTAGGGAACAGGGAAGGTGGTATTGTGGTGTTGGTGCTGTGGTATGGCGCAGGGTTGGCTGTTGAGTGCGGGTGTGTTGTGGATGGGCGGGTGGGATGGGAAAGGGGAAGGAGCTGGTTGACTGGCGTTAGGAAAAGGTTGGTTAGGTATAGGTTGTTAGTTGGTTGTTCGTGCAGGTTCGCATGAGGATTTTCGCTGTCCAGAGGCTGTTCTTTAGGCCGGAATGCCGTCTTACCAATGTCATGCTGCGAACCTCCGCGAAAGAGGCGAAGGCCTGTTTTAGAGGAAAACAGGGAGTCTTGAGCCTTTCCAAGGATATTGGATGGGTTCTTGTCGCGACCGCCGCCTGTTTCCACAACATCCTGCGCGGTTACCGCAGTACATGGATGCATGTGTCTGTCGGAGGTCGGCTTACGGAACTTTTGAGTTCTACAATACATACATCCTGTCCGTTATCATCATGCATGAGATGCACACCTTTTTGTAGTTGTGCGTGTTGAGCGCTCTGCTGAGGACCTGCTGAAGGGACAAAGTCAGAAGTCCGTGACGTTAGGTGCACTGTTGCCAGTTGAGCCGATGACTGTGTAACCTTAGAGAAATGCAGTACAAAGCAACGGACCCCCTACCTGGGTTTGCATGTCTGGCCGAGCGACGTCCCCGGCTCGGGTCCCCACCGTAGCTGGTAAACTCAAAAATGGAGGCAACCCGTGTAGAAGTATTGAATGGCTAAGTGCACAAAGAACTCAGCTGTGAATGGACAGACTGTGAACTGCTGAACTCGCACGTCGGCCGATATAAGTACAAAGCAGATAGTAGTGAAAAGTGGTACTGTACATTCTTAGTATGCGTATTACCGGTTTGGCGTTCCAACAGGGCACGCTAGAATGTTGCAAGATTCGGGCAGTAAAGTACGAGCAAGGATAGTAGGCCATACTTTTAAAAGAAGCTACCTTTTGTTCGCATGATAGGCGACACAGATAGTTCCTAGCATCATGAGTAGTTCCGGATGTCCTGAGGCAGGTGGCGGTATCGACGTGACCATCGGCGAGCAAGTGCCAGGAAATCCTGAGACAGCCGAGACCGCCGTATGTCAGCCAATGATTGATATGCAAGATGAGCAACAAGCAAAGTCCTCTGCAGAGCGTACAGATGCCGCCACGGTCGCCGCCAACGGCGATTCTGTCGCAGCAAACCAAGCCAGCACGGCACCAGAGACGCGATCAAAGCGGCCAAAGGACCGAAGCAAACGTGCCGTAGCCATACACACAGGATACGTGGGCACCGGTTACAAGGGTAAGAGAAATTCGATGGGCGGTTGACTGGGGATGACGACTTGGGAGAGAGTCCAAAGGCCAAAGCACTACTTCTATAATACCTGAGGTTTTAAGCGCATTGACAACACCTGAGCACGATAAACTCGCGCTTACAGCACGAAAAGTCCTGCAGTAAACACAGCAACGGTTGACCTTCCGGGCCCGTCCATTAGCTCCTCCCCTTCCTCTCCGCCCCGCATCACTCACACCCATCCTCAACTCCTAACTGCCGCACAGGCTCGTCCATTAACCGCACACTGGGTGATGACGTCACCATTGAGCAGGTACGGCATTGATACACGCACCGGAGCAGCAGCTTTGTACCCGCCAGCAGGGTTCATCTTGCATATGACCACCCAATGTCATTGGAAGTTTGGGGGGCGCCCCCAAAGCACCTAACAAGCCGTTTACAGCGGCTTGAGATGCAAGCTTATAATTTGCAAAAGCGTCACTCCCCGCCCCTTCCCGGATCACCTCCTGTCTTCCTCGCTTCCCGTCGCTATCGTACACATTGCGGCATGGCGCTTCTTGCTGCTCTTCTTCTTCTTCTTCTTCCTCGTTTCCCACCTCCCACGGCTCAGCTGAACGCCACCTCCCGCCCATGGCCCTCCGTCGAACCGTTTGTTGCAATTCATGGTGAAGCCTTACTGTTAGTTAATTTATTCTTACCCCACCCACTCAACACGTGCCTGATATACCTCATGTGCCCCTCATGTGCCTCATGTCACGCCCTCCTCATATCAGGTGCTGGAGAAGGCCCTGCTGGCTGCCGGCTGCATCAGTGAGGCGAACTTCGGCTCCTTCTCTAAGATCAAGTGGAGCCGCGCCAGTCGTACGGACAAGGGCGTGCATTCCCTGGGCACGGTACGGAGGGTGTGGTGACGTGGCACGGTTGTGGCCGGGAGGGGCGCCGTGCGGTGGCCTCTCTGTCGTACAACTTCCGTTGCCGTACCAACCGCATGGTGTTTGCACATGTGTGTATAGCGTATCGTGCATAACCCCACCTGGCCCCATCCAACCACCCACCCGCCCTCCCCACCTGGGGGAACCCCACCCCTCCTCCCCTGCCCCTTCTCATTAAACACAATGGGTATTCTTTTTTCCCCTCCCCCGCCCTCCCCCACCAGGTGATGGGGCTGCGCATGCTGGTTGACGACTCCCGCTTCACCACTGAGCCCGGTGGCGACTGCGAGGGGGTGGAGCTGGCGGCAGCCATCAACGCGCACCTGCCTCCGCAGATCCGAGTGTTTTCGGTGCAGAAGGTGAGGGGGCTGCAAGGGGCTGGATAGTTGGGATGGATAGGGATACACTCATCATATACATATTTTTTCTGGATAGTTGGGTTGGCAAAGGGTGGGGCGGCAAGGTGGGGCTGCTATCGCCTCCTTATCATCCCCATTCCCGTCCCCTCGTTCTCGTCCTTGTCTTCCCCCTGTTGAATCCAATCCAACCCAGTTCGTCCTGCAAACCTCTTCCATGGACTCCCCACCCCCCGTTTTTTGACCATTGCCGTACACGCTTGTTTGCCACACGCGCAGACCAACCGCAAGTTCAGCGCTCGCCACATGTGCGAGGGGCGCGTGTACCAGTACTACCTGCCTGCCAGCATGATTGGTGGGTGGGGGGGTGGGCGGTTGGGGTGGTTGGTTGGTTGGGGATGAGGTGAGGTGAGGTGAGGTGAGGTGGGTGGATGACTCATTGGGCGGGGCCAGCTCCCGATCTTTAGTCCCGTCCCAACCCGATACATTTCTATATGGGCCAGTTTTCTTAAACCACACACCTCCGGTCAGCTTCCTTGCAAATCACACGCGCACACTTCCTCATGCCAAGCTCAGTGTCAGGGCTTTGCGGCCAGCTGGTTCCACCAGGGATTGTCAGCAACTTGTATCATTATCACACCATACTTTGGAATTTCTTTTTACCCACCCGCCCACCTCCCCACAGACCTCAAATGTGATGGCAGCGAGGAGGACGCGAGGCGGCTGGAGGCGTTCCGGGATGCGTTGCAGTGCTATGTGGTGAGGAGGGGGGGGGGATGGGTTGGAGCGGGTGCTTTGTGGTGAGCGGGGGGAGATGGGGTTGGAGGGAGCGGCTGGGCGGCATCTTGCTGAAGACACGGGGATCTGTTTACGGGTTCGTTCGCTGCTGCTGCTGCTGGTGCCGCTACTGAAGTGGGAACTCCCCGCCAACCCGCCACCACCAAATCCGTCACCCGGACACCCGGACACCCCAACGCGGCTTCTAACGTGGAAACCCCCCTCCCGGCCATCTCCCTACCAGGGCTACCACCCCTTCCACAACTACACGCGGCGGCAGATCTACCAGCCCGGAGGCCCCAATGTGCAGTACAGGCCAGGTGGGCGGGTGGTGGCGTGTGTACGGACCAGGTTTGTTGGTACAAGGAGATGTACCGATGTGGATGCATTGCCTGTTATACTTTGGCGGCTTCTTCTCCTCGTACATGTACACTTATTGTCTCTGTAGCAGCGCGAAAAAGGCTTACTCGAGATGGCAGGAACCCCCTAGGTCTTGGATATATTCGTGGGACTTCTGGGGCTGGGGCGGGTGTGCCCTGCTACCTCCTTACCTTGTGTTCCGCTTCCATTGTGAATCCGCTTTCTTTCTTTCCTCCCCCTTCTCGGCCACCTGAAGGACGTGCGGCCGCCAAGAGGAACCGCGAGGAGGCAGCTCGCGCCGCAGAAGCAGCTACAGGCGCTGCGACTGACGGCCCCGGAACCGCTGAAGAAGCCGCTGCCCCTGGAACCGCTGCTGCTGCCGACGCCACGACAACAGCGGAGGCGGCGGTGACGGAGGAAGTGCCGGCGGTGACGGAGGGGCAGCAGGAGAAGGAGACGAAGGATGCTGAGATGGCTGAGGGGGCGGGGGCAGGGGGGGCAGAGAAGGCTGCTGATGCCGGCGGCGACGCTGCCGCTGCTCCTTCTGCTGGTGATGCGGCTGAGGCGTCTAACCCGGCAGCTGTCATGGAGGCGGCTGATGCTGATGCTGATGCGGAGCAGCCGCCAGCGAAGCGCCCCAAGACTGAGGTGACGGAGGCTGCAGGGGCTGCGGCGGGTAAGGGCCGCCAGCCTAACGGAGGAGGAGGACGAGGTGGTGGCGGCGGCCGAGGAGGAGGAGGGCGCAGGACTCGGGGAGCTGATGAGGAGGAGGCGGACGATGACGATGAGGAGGAGGATGAGGAGGGCGGCCGGGGGGAGCTAGATGATGACGACGAGGACGAGGAGGAGGTTGCTGCTGCAGCGGCAGCAGCAGCCGCTGACGGCGGCGCTGCCGAGGCTGCTGCTGCCACAGCCCAGACGGCAGATGGGAAGCCCAGGCGCGGTGGGCGTTACGGCCCGGATGGCCGCGTGGTTTCGCTGTGGTGGCAGGGCGAGGTGGACCCGCGGGACCGTGTGACGCACTCGCACTACCGCCGCATCCACTCCTTCACGGCGGGGGAGCCGCAGCCGCTGGTGGAGGGTGAGGAGGTGCTGCGTGTGTGTTTATGTGTTTGTGTGCGAAGTGTGTTGACAGCAAGCTGGCCGTGATTTGGAACGTATTGGTTGTATGTGCATGCGTGTGTATTTGGAAGAATTTATTTAATTGGTTGGGAGGGGTGAGGTTAAGCCCTTCCAAGCCCTTCCCAAGCCACAACGTTAAGTTTCGTGCATGCATGTGCGGCTCATGTGTTTTGTCCCCCTCGACCTCTCCTGTTTCCATGAACGGCTTCGAGGAACCGTATACACACACGTCCCGACACGTACTCGATAGCTCTATTACAACATAGCCAACGGACTTCACTTCACCTGTGGCGTTTTCGGTGGGAGGACTCCATCTTTCGGCAATCACAGTACGTTTTGCCTCGCGGCCAGTTATTTTAACACACGTCCCCCCGCCCCCTTCTCCCCTCCCCCCCCGCTCCCCAGGCGGCACTCCCTGCTTGCTGCTGGAGGTGTCGGGCCAGAGCTTCATGCTGCACCACATCCGCCACATGATCGGCGGGGCGGTGGCGGTGGCGCTGGGGCTCTTCCCCAAGTGAGCACCTCCGGGTACCGTAGTGATGGGGGGAATAAAAGTAGAACATGGAAAAGTAGAAACATGGATAAAAATCGGAAGTGCAGCAGCTGGAGTGATGAGGGGAAGGGGAAGGAGGGGCGCTGGCCTTGTATGAGGCCTGTCTGACGAAGAAAGAGTGTGCGTGGCGCAATCTTACCGTGCAAGTGGCTCATCTTTTCATGCAATCCACTCGCGGATAGTTTTGATTTAACAGTAGTTCGCTGAAGCAGCGCACCCAGCATTTGCTCAGCGCACTGGACGTGCGCAATCACCGAATGACGGCCCCCACCTAACCCTCCCCCTACCCCTCGCAGGGTAACTTGTATCATTATCACACCACACTTTGGAATTTCTTTTTTCTACCCCTCGCAGGGACGTGCTGCGCGGCTCGTTGCACCCGCCTGCGCGAGTGACGCTGCCGCGCGCCCCCCCGCACACGCTGCTGCTGGCGGACTGCTCCTTCGGCCGCTTCCCGCAGCAACACGGTGCGTGGGGTGGGGTGGGGTGGGGTGGGGTGGTTGGGTACGTGGGTGTGGGGAGTAGAGATAGAGGTCGTACGCGACGCACCGGAGCGTCCCAATACCTGGTGCACGGTCGGGTGTGGGCGTGTGGGGAGCATCGGGGAGCACTCTACCGGTGCTACTACCGATATGGCGCACCTTCCCTCCCCTCCTCTACCCAACTGCACCATCACCCCCACGATCTACAGTACTCCGCATGCACCCATGCAGCTCACCCCCACACACTTTGGAAATCCTTCTTTCCCCCCACCTTCCTTTGCTTTGCCTTAACCTGTGGCTTCATATGGTATAGTACCGGTATGGTGGTCTCTGACCCCCCATCTCCCGCTGCAGGCCCCGGCGATAACGACCTGATCCACATCTCCGGCGAGCGGCTGGCCATCCGCCCCGGCGGCATCGCAGCCCGGGAGGCCTTCCGCCGGGAGGTCCTGCTGCCGGCGCTGCAGCAGCTGGTTGACCTGGCGGAGTGGGGGCAGTGGCGGGCGGCGCTGCATGAGGTCTTCCCCTTCCCGCAGGTGGGGTGTGTGGGTGTGCTATGGAATGATGCATGGGAGCGGAGCGGGGGGAGGGCGGAGGGATGGCGACAGTGGGTTTGGGGGATGGTGCTGGCACGTGAGGCCTGCAGCCTGCATACTGTGTCTGCACACAGGAGGCCACTTTGCTCGTCATACCAAGTCCTTTCTGTTTCCGCCGAAAACCGGATGACGGCGTACATGTGGTATATGCCCCGACAAGTCTATCTTCCCTCCCTCATGGAGCCTTGTTACAAGGTTCTTCCTCTCCACCCAACCTTTCACCTTTCATGCATGTCACCCCCACCTCCCCCCCCTAACCTGTGGTTTCCTATGGTTTGGTATGGCCTTTGACCCCCCTTGCAGGCCGCCCAGGATGCCTTCCTGGCCGCCTACCTGCCCTGGCGTGAGCGCAAGGAGCAGCAGCGCAGCAGCCGCCAGCAGGCTGCCATGCAGGAGGGAGGGGAGGGGGAGGGGGCGGAGGAGGAGGGAGAGGAGGAGGGAGCAGGGGGCGAGGGCCGGGGAGGGGCCAGGTCGTCGTCTAGGTGGCAGGGGCGCGGAGGCAGGGGAGGAGGTGGCGGTGGGAGGGGTTGGGGGCGTGGAAGGGGCGGGTGGCGGGGCGGGAGGGGCGGTCGGGGAGGGGGAGGTGGTGGCAGGGGTGGCAGGGGCGGTGGAAGGGGCTGAGGATGGGTTTTGAGGAGGGGGCTGCGAGCCCATGCAGGTGTGTGCACTACTTTGCCGGAGGGTTGGGCTGTTGTGTTGTGAGGGTTGCGTGGAGGAGTAGGGGAGGAGCGAGGGAAGAGGAGGCAGAAGAGCTGCATGGGGCTATGTTTTAATGCCGGGGCTTTGAAGGATGCTTAGGCGGGGGGCCCACTTGGCACCGGGCTCACCTGCTAGGCTTGCCTGAATGACAGGAGTGTGTTGTATGGACTGGGGATTGGTGAGGACTGCAGGCGCTATGACAACGGAGCTTTCCCAAACTGTTGCTAGTAAGCAGTCATGTATGCTGGTTAAGCATTTACGAAGTGCACAGTACGACCGAGGTGCTTCTGGCAATATGACAGACCGTCCCAAATTACAACTTGTGTTCGGCCTTGTTGTGGAAGACCCTGTCTGTACCAGTCTGCGACCAGGAACAGCCGTGAGATCTGCTATCACACACGACGTAAAGCCACCATTCCTCCAGCACGCATCCTTATCCGCACACCCGCAAAACAACTGGCACCTACTTACACCATTATTCACATGTGCACCGCCAAACCTTCAGACACTCGCTCTACAGCTACTGCTGCTGCTACAAGCTGCTCTATCCGCCACAATGTACACAAGGCACCATAAGCAGCAGGTAAGAGTACTTGTAGGATCCTATCAGCAGAGACACTGCATGCCGCACCGATGCACTACCAACTGCTACAAAGCCCCCAACCAACACCACCATTGCTCCACAACACCTTCCCGCAACCAACATCCTTTGCGGGAGCACAATTTTTTATCCATTACGTCCATTTACATTGTCCATTGCCTGCTGGCTTCTTGACCATGCAAAACTCCCATAAAGAAATGTAAAAGCAGGTGCATGCATGCCCCAAAGGGTGTCTCGAGTACATACCATGCTGCTCCTCAGGGCAAGGTAACCTAACGACACAGCTCATCGTGCCCCAATACCCCCCAGCCAGCCACATAGCAGCAAGGTTCACCTGCACTTCCATCCACCTACCCTGTTTGTTCACCCTCGCGTCTATGGCATAGATGCGGCATAGATGGTTAGCTGTGGCGAACCGTAGGGCAGCGCCTTTGTGGCCAAGAAAGCATATTATCAACAAGCTCTTTAACTTTGAAACAAGGGGTCTGTCCTCGCGTTTCCTCTCCCCCCTGGTTATCATGTCAAACTGCATTTTTCATACCGGCTTTCAACGCTTGCCTAACGGGATTTCGGGTGCCAACGGCTGCCAACAGACAGCAGGACCAAATTGGAAAAGCAAGGAAAGTCAGTCTTTCACCTACAACAACAGGATCGTGTATTCATCAAAGCTAACGAACCCACTTGCCGTGCAATCATAGCCATCACAAGTTCTAACATACCATTATTGTCCCTCAACCCATAGACATGCATTTCTTGACCAACCATGTATCATCATCGTTGTCATGCATCATCACCGGCCACAAAAAAATTCTGTTATTAGCGCTTAAACATGGGTTGACGTTAATTCCCTGGATTGTTCCCACACCATAGAAGATCCCGTACTTTGGCCAGGAGCTTTTTCCATGTATGTAGCCAACCAGCGAGTAAAAGCAACTGTCAAACAATGCTTCACAGATCTGCCATTACCTTGATCACAACTACTACTAACACACATTACTGAGCAGCAGAACAGCGCACAAAGTGTGTGCTGCACTGCTTTTGTTTTACGTTCAATAGAGGTTGACCTTTGTGGATAACCTTCACCATGTCCACTCTAGATACCGCACAGCATTACAACTATGAACAACATACAAAAATAGAAACCAAGAAAACCGCGTCCGTCACTATCTTAAGAGCGGAAGGGGTAAAGAAAAACAAAACGCCCCCAGCACATATCCAGGCGTGTGACAATTGTTTACTTACTCCATGCACCTGGCTTGTTACAGCAGAAACTCGCACGTTTGCTTTTATGCTCTTAATAGTGTTTTTAGCTACCCACCTTCCATCACCTCCCATCATCTCTATAGCCAAGATCGATATTAACCACATGGCAGCACTAGAAACAATGTTCTCCACCCAGATTTCTCCTCGTTTCATCCCCAGCTTCACTTCAGATCTCGTAGATGAACAAGCTGTCGATAAGGCCCTGGCTTGTTTTTACCTCCTCCTCCTCCTCGTGCTCCTTCCCACGTGGCAGCATTGGCAATTGCACAGGTGTCCACTTACCCCACGACGCTCCATACTCCTTGGGGCGGCATCCCTCCTCCTGCTGCCCCTCTTTCAAATGCTCGTCCCCTATTCCACCTCGTTGATGGTTGTGATGCTGTGATGCAGGGGGCGACTGCTGGATAGCAATAGGCTGCCAGCGTCTAGACCCAGCATGCTGACGCTTTTGCTGTTGTGGGGGACACTGATGAATATTGGTGTCAGAGCACAGCGCTGTGCCCACTGTAGCAGCCATAGTCGCGGCAACTGCAGACCCTTTCCTTGATCCAGCACTGCTGCAGCACTGCCCTCCAGCTCCACTACAGCCGCAACCGCCAACTGAAGCTTCTGCTGCATTTACAGCAGCAGCTGCCGCCGCAGCAGCAGCCTCTTCCGCGACTTGGCGCTTCGCAGATCGCGTCCGAGTCCCCATTTCCGCCAACAGCATTCGTACAACTTCCTCAAACGTCGGTCTGAGGGTGGGGTCCGGGTGCATGCATGCGGTGCCGATGCGAGCGACCCAGGGGTCAGTCCCAGGGGGCCACTCCAGCTTCAGCTCTCCCGTGGCTAGGCCCACTAGCAGCTGAGCCGGCCTAAGCTCCTGAAAGGGTGGTCTGCCTGTGCACATGTGCCAGAGTACGGCACCAAAGGAATACACGTCAGCAGCCTTAAGGCTACTTCCACAACTTCCAACACTGCCGCTGCTGGGGGCATCGTTGGCTGTGCAGCTGCTGCGGCCTGTTAGGACCTCCTGTAGTTTGGGTGAAGTGCGGGAAGCAAGGAAGGCAGTGTGCATGAGCCGGGTGCAAGGATGTGTGGTCAGCGGGCTTTCCTGGACATGCGAGTGCAGGAGCACATGCCATCGGATAGCAAACATGCAAGCATGGTCATAACCTGCGCAACCAGACACAAGCAGGCAGCCCGCCTCTCCACCCACCCACCCACCCAAGCAAGTAATAAGCCAACCTTCCCAGCCAACCAGCCACCCACCGGCGCCATGTAGGCCAGTGTGCCCCACTTGGCTGTGTCGGCAGGCAGGCTGTCCCCGGTCGCCGCAGGGTGGGACAAGCCAAAGTCACTGATCTTGCACTGATAGCCACGGCGGGAGGTAGCCGTGCTGTGACATGCATGTACACAGAAGCGGGCAATGGAAGGCAGGAGGAATTGGGTGGTGTTAGGCGGAGGGTGCATGGCAGATATAGGGTGAATCCGTGGAGTCCTAGCGTACTGGTATTTCAGATCAGCAGGCCAATCCATCCACAACCCAAACCTCCCAGCAGCAGCGCCCGTTGTATGTGCCACGGCAACTCCCGTCCGTCACCGACCTCCTGAGCAACACGTTTCTGGGCGTCAAGTCACCATGTGCCAGGCCCAGGCTGTGCAGGTACGCCATGCCCTGAGCCACCTCCAGCGCACATCGCAGCAGCACCGCCATACGACTGCTGCCTCCACCGCCAACATGCGATGCTGGAGGGGGGACTGCGGCACCCCATGCAGCTTGAGGTGGAGTGCTGACGCCGCCAGCAGCGGCGGTGGCACGCCATGTGGTTGACCAGGGAGAGGAAGCGCTAGAGCCTGGGTAGGGCAACGCTGCGTCGCGTCCCCTGCCACCACCGCCAACAGCATTGTTATTAACACCACCATCCTTAATGTGGGCGTTGTTTGTGCTGCCATAGCCCAAGGCCGGTGCTGGCGCCGCCAGCGGTGGTGTCGTGGGCGGCGGCGTTGGCGAATGCTGGTTGGGGTGGGGGGGATGGTCATGGTGGGCCAGCTGGCGCCATGGCTGCTGCCGCTGTTGCGGCTGCGGGTGTGCAGCAGGCGGCGAGGGTAGAGAGCAGGATAGTGAGGGCGATAAGGAGAGAGGTGACCAGAGGGTCGCTTCAGAGCCCACCGGCGTCCATGGAGCCCGGACACCGCCAGTAGTGCCACGGCAGCCGCAGCTTACGGTGCTTGTGACACCACCCCCGCCGCCCCCGCCATTCCCAATGTCGTGGCAGCCGCAGCTTACGGTGCTTGTGACACCGCCGCCGCTGCCGCCACCACCGGCGGTGCCGCGGGTGTCACTGCTTACAACGCTGCTGCCGCCAATGCCGTTGCCGCTCCTCCCTGCAACCATGCCCATGCCACTAGTGCTGCAGCTGCCGCTGCTTACCACACCTGCGACGTTGCCCTTGTCACCGTCGCCCGCAATGCCCCTGGCGCCTCGCTCACCACCAATGCTGCCACCAACACCGTCTCTTGTAGTAACGGCGGTGGCGCTGCCGCCATTGCAGGATGCACACCTGCAGGTGCCACAGCCGCTGCCGTCGCAGCAGCTACTAGCACCCACATGATCATTTGTAAGAGGCGGCGGAGGGCGTGGCGACAGCGCCACGGGAAGTGAGCTCCGGTCATAGCAGGTATCCGGTTCCTGCTCCAGGTGTGGGCACGCGTTTGCGGCCTGCTGCACTGCCGCACTGTCGCTCGTGCTCGGCACAAGCCGCGGGTGATAGTGATCGGGTGAGGAAGATGGGGCGCTACCACCAAACGCGGTGGCGGTGGTGGCTGCTTCAGCAGCATGCGGCGGTGGTGGGTTATCAGGACTAGACAAGAAGCGGCGCAAATGCTGTTGTTGCTGCTGCTGCCGCGGCGGCGGCGGCGACTGCAGCTTATGGAGGTGCTGTTGCTGGTGCTCTTGACGACGCCGATGTTGCTGTTGCTCCTGCAAGCCATGCGGCTGCTGCTCCTGCTGTCCCTGTGCAGCGTTGTGTCCAATGCTTGCAGTGGAGGCGACAGTGCCGGCGGCGTTTTTACCGGAGGCAGCAGCGGCAGCGGTGGCGGTGGCTGCGACTGCCTGTGCTTGCGCAGCGCTTGTGCCCCGCAAGACGTCACTCAGCGCGAGGCCAGACCGAGCAGCAGACGGCGGAGCAGCAGGTCCGAGGCGGCCCGCCGCGGGAAGGGGTGACGTGAATTCGTCGTGCAGGGTGCCGCCCTCACACCTGCGACGCGTCACACACTAATTCAGTATCATCTGTTGTCCTTTGGCACTGATGGACCTTTTCTATGATGTATGCAAGGAAAGAAGGAGACACCCCGCAATGGCCCTTGTTATCCCCTCACGATGCCTCCCCTTCACCGCATCCAAACGGTCTCCTTACCATTCCATAATGATGGTCGTCAGGTATTTCCCAGGCGCCGCGCCCAGTCGCCGCAGCTCCTCCCGTAACGTCGCCTCCGCCTCCGCCGCAGCCTCCCCCGCGGCATCGCCCTCAAGCAGCATCAGCGTCTCCGACGCATCCACCCACCAAGCCAGGCTAGACAACCGGGCAGGGAGCGCGCCACCGGCCTCCCAACTGCCTCCTCCGCCACCGCCACATGACGCCGCTAGCGGCGAGTGGGGTTTGTACGGCATCTGCTGTTGCAGTTCTTGAGGCTGCGGTTGGGGTCGTGGTTGCGAATGGTACGACGTTTGCGCCATGAGCGACAGCAGAGCTGACTGCGTGGCCTGCGAGGGTCCGTGAGAGTTTGAAGGCGACAGGGTTGACAAGGGTGGGGTTCCGGCGGGCAGCGGCAACCACTGCTGCTGCTGCTGCTCGTCCTGCTGCTGCTCATGAGGCTGATGCTGATGCTGGTCCTGCTGCTGGTGGTGGTGGTGATGTGGCCTTCCGGGGCAGCAGTCCTCACCATCATCGTCATCCTCACAGCCCATGGGCTCTAAAGCCAACCCCGTTGCTGATAACAGCACCGATGCTGGAATCGAAGCTGGAGTGGAAGCAGCAGTGCCTGGAGAACGGCGGTGGTTCGTTGGATTGCTGTTTACGTCAGCATGTGCCGTTTTGGGACCCTGCAGCTCGGTTAACCCATGCGTCGTTTCTCCCTCACGGTCGCCCACATTGGCTGCACCCGCTGCAGGTGCTTCCTCCTCCTGGTGCTGCTGCTCCTGGTGCTGCTGGTAATGGAGGGGTGCCGCTGCTGCTGCTGGCGGCGAAGCCGGGAACGGTGACAGAGGCACCGCCAGTGTCGTAATGGGAGGAGCAGGATCCAGATCTTGTTCGCTGAGACGGATGATGTTAATGGCTGCGAGCAAGCATAACAACACGCGCACAATGGGAAGAGGGCCATGGTCACTGTGTCGGCGTCGTGACCACACCAGGTGACGGGCCACGCAATAACAATCATGCTGGGTGCAAGGGCCCCATGCGTCCAGCCACAAGTTCCAGGCATCTCTGCTCTCCATCCCTACCGCCCTCCCCTGCCCTTGCTGCCCAACGCGCCTACTAATCCCCGCCCTTCTGCCTGCCTATACTAAACCTACCGTAGCACTGCACCACGCAGGGGTGTGACACCAGGCGGGAGCACACCGCCTCTCGTGTGCTGCACCGAAGCTCGTCCACCGAGGTGGAGACCTGAAGGGGAGGGGGATTTGCGATAAGAGTGGGGTGAGAGGGCAGGGAATAAAGAAACAAGTGAGGCACTGGGGTGAGCAGTGGGCAGTGAGGCAGTGGGCAGTGAGGGAGTGAGGTGGGCAGTGAGTGACCTGGAATTCCCCACCACCTCAATACATCCCGCGCGGGAGAGTCCATGTGCCCCTACCATGAACCCTCACCATGCGCCCTTACCATGAGCTTTATCGCCACCGTTGTCGTACGCCAGCGGCACTTCCACGTCGTGCCGTACGCCCCCGCCCCCAACCGCTCCTGCAGCTGCACCTCCGTCAGCAGCGAGCGCAGGGATATGACGGAGGGAGCGGGCAGCTGTAGCAGCTGCGAGGAGGGCTGCAGCAGCAGCGGTTGCGAATGGCATGCTGGTGAGGCGGACTGCTGCTGCTGTTGTAGTTGTTGTGGTGGTTGTTGGGGTTGGTGGAGGTAGTGGTGCTGGTGGTGGTGAGGGTCTGGCGGCGTCAGTGGTGGTGGGGGGAGCGGGAGCGGTGGTGATGGGGGCGGTTGGTAGGGTGCAGGAGCCGAGGCCTGCTGGGGATGGGGTTGGGGCTGCTGGCGTGGTTGGGCAGTGGAGGGATGGGATTCGGGCGGCAGTGCTGTCGGCTGAGGCTGGGGTTGGGGGTTCCCCGCGGATGAGGGCTGAGGGAGGTAGCTGGGGTGGCGTTGGCAGCCTTGAGGATGAGGGAGGGGAGGTGGCGCATCTGGTGAGAAACGAAAAAGGGAGGAATATAACGGTGAAAAGGATATGTGGCCGTGACGTTTCTTCTAAGGGATGTGGCATCGAGAGCACGCTTAAGGGCCCAGGATAGAGTAGCTGGCTTGTAGAAGCCACTCTTTCTTCCAGGGGCGGCCCTAGGCGCTTCGAGGCAAAATACGCCACCAGAAGATGTTTGTCTTTGCTGTCCTACCTGGGGAAGCCCCTATAAAGAAATTACAACCGGCTTACCGCCATGACCACAGTTTTCGCTTCTTGCAGAAACCGCCACCACGTCATCGTCTGCAGTCGTGGCGAGTTCGGTGTTGCATTTCTTACTGCCCTTCTCTGTATGTCGGAGCTTGCGGTCCTCCACGTCTGGCCGTCGATATTCGCGTCCAAATAGCCCGCAGAGGCCAAACACCATTTTGGATGATGATACTGGCAAGACTAGGAGAGGTTATCCAAACTACTGTCTGGGCCAATTGCTGTATACGAAACCCCTTAACAGTACGACGGATGGACGTTAAAGTTAAAGTTTGATAGCTTCACAGATGGTAAGCTCCATTTAATTACACGGCCCTATGGCACAACGTACAGGACCAAGCCAACCCTTAAGCCGAGGGCGAACCATCCAGGAAAACCTGCATGACGAGAATCCTACATGACGAGGCACCCGTTATGGCATTTTTTGGTAAAACAAAGGGTGTTGCAGTCTTGTGGCAAGAAGCTAGCTACGTGGCAGCAAGTGGTTGTACACGGCCTGGACCGTTAAGGAAGTAAGCACGCGCTCAGCCTGCATACAGTTCGGCTAAATTCGGAAGTAATGTTGGCTTTTGCTTCATGTATGTTCTCTGGTAGCCAGTGTGGCTCTGGGAGCGTACGGCATTCATGATTGCGACAGACAGCATGGGTTGGCGGCGTTTTCGCCAGATGCTGATAGGCTTGCCCTTAAGCCTAGGAGCGCTTTCTTGCCTGATCCATTTGACTACCATTGGCATGGCCTGGCAGGTCTAGCTTTCCTACGTGCGTTTTCCTACGTTATAACGATGTTACAACTTAGCATGCTACCTTAATTGAACATAATGCAAAGATTAAGTACTCGGGCTAGCTGAACTTGTGAGCTAGGTGGAACGGATGTGACAGGTTTCCTCGCTTAGTCCATGCCGTTGGCAGCTGCAAACAGCCTGACAGGGGAAAAATGAGCCAACAGGTGGACTCAAGTTTGAGCGTTCCAGCCTCAGTACCTAGCGTTCGAGCGCTGCAGTCCAACCCAGAGGCGAGTTATGCACGCAGCTATGCGGGCTTTGTAATGACGCTGACATGTAGAAGCCAGTAACCATAATGGTTGTCCGCTTAAGTGATAGGGAGTTCTTGCAGTGAGTAAGGAAAGACTGATTTCCTGGTGCACTCCATACTTCCTAACAAGGATTGCCTTTCTTTTGGAGTTCCGTATTATGCTTATGGGTCTTGCGGATAACGCGAACGTGGTCGGGACCGGCGTACCTACTTGCAGGTGTTGACACCTGTGCGCCATGGCTTCTTATGGAAGCGCTCTCGCATGTTCAAAACGTGGCTATCTCGCTGGTTTCAGCTGGACGAAAACGGCTTTCTGTATGCCATATCTCCGAAGGTGCGAGCCCAGTACGATTGGAGGAGGAATAAAACATGTGCACGTACACCGTGCGCGGTGCTTGCGGTCAGGGGCAGGAGCGTTCACAGAATAAGCCCGGGGGATCACTGCGCTAGGAGTCCTGTGCGCCACGCTAACAACTCCCGCGAGGACGGCACCCACGCCCATCCCCACCTTTCTTTTCCCATTCCCAACCCCAACCACTCAGGCCATCAAACAGGAGGGCCGCCCCGTGCTCGCCAGCGCTGTCCGGGAAGTCCTATCCCTGCCACCGCAGCGCTACCGGAACGGCGCCACCATGTACGGCATACGCGTGGTCGCCATCAATGGCTCCATTAAGGACATCTTCACCGACGACCACACAGCCCTTCAGGCCTGGGCGCTCGACCTGTCTAGGTCCACCGTGCCCGCACGTGAGCGCGCAGCAGCCAAAGCCGCCGCGGCAGTGGCAGCAACACCAGCCCGACCGCTTCCGCTTCCACCTCCGATGCGCCCGGCGCCCTTGGAGCTCCGGCTTGCGGATCTCTGCGAAACGGACTGGTCGCATGCGCTCGGGTCAGGGCTCTTTGCATGTGTGCTGCGGGGGCGCATGCATGGCACGGGCGAGGCGGTCGCGGTTAAGATTGTGAAGGCGGAGGCGTACCGGGAGTACAGCGACATCATCCATCGCGAGGCGGTGGTGTGGGCGGCGGCGGGCAGCCACCCGCACATTGTGCAGCTGAAGCAGGTGCTCAAGTCACCCAACCGAATGTACTTTATCGCAGGTATGTACGGCGCGTGTGTGTATCATGCGATAGGGGGGTGTTGTAGGATAGGGCGCTGGAGACGGGGATTAACTAAGGTTACCTGGAAACAACGCAACGCTTGCGGGCTACTATAAAAAAAACCTGTTCATATAGCACTTTACAAATTTGCACATTTTCCCGATTCCTTTCCCCCCTTCTTAGAGTTATGCGAGGGCGGCGGCCTGATTGAGCGGCTCGCCGCCTCCGCGACCTACTGCGAACGGGAGGTGGCCTGGCTTGTACGACAGCTGCTTGCTGCTGTACAGCACCTGCACGACAATGCAATCGTACACATGGACATCAAGCCGGAAAATGTCGTGTTTGTGAACAGGTACATAGGTGCCGCAATGGGTGCCGGTGGACGCGTTGTTAAATGCGACACGACGTCTTCCTTCCATCCCACCACACAACGGGGCTGCCGTCTTTGGTGTTATTTTCTGTCTAGGAGGTTTGCTGGGTGTCTGTGATCCCCTTCTTCACGACATGCAGCATGCGCAAGCCATGTAGCCTTGCATGCCCCCCCCTATCACCATCTCTCTACAGCCCACAACCACCTCTTACCACCCATCCTTTCCTCCCTCTCCTCTTCTTCCCCCTCTTCCTCCTCCCTCACCCTCCCCTCGCCCTCAACGCCTTTCCTGCAGGCGCGAGGACTCGGCCATCAAGCTGATTGACTTTTCGCTCGCCTCCTTCTTCTACAGCCCCACCGACCCGGGGGGCACCCCCGAGTTCGTGGCACCGGAGCTGCTCAATCGTCCGGAACACTACGCCAGGGTAAGAGGGGGTGTCAAAGACCATACCGAACCGAAAGGGGTAAAAATTAAGGAAATTGACGAGACCATACCAAACCGGAGGGGGGGTGGCGATGGGGAAAAAAGACCAAAAGACCCCATGTGTTGAATGGCATTGGAAAACTAAATGACAAACAGCTCTGGTGGCTGGAATCGGAAAGAGGGGAAGGGGCAGATAAGGGGTCAGTGAGTGCCGAACCCAGAGCAAGTTGGAGGGGCGGTGAAAGTACGAACCCTGGCCCCGAACTAGAGGAAATGATGAGGGTGCTTTGCCTCATCCCCCTGTCCCTCTCCACCTCTGTCCCCTCTCCCCCCCTCTCCCATACTTTGGGTACCGGTACCGGTATTCTTCTTCCCCCCTCCCCCAGGAGGGTTGCGGCCCCGAGGTGGACATGTGGGCGGTGGGGGTGGTGCTCTTCTACCTGCTCAGCGGCCAGACGCCCTTCCAGGCGCCCAGCCTGGATGCGGTGCTGCAGCGCGTGAAGAGCGGCGAGTGGGCCTTCCACGGCAGGAGATGGGCGCTGGTGGGTGGGGTGGGGTGGGGTAGGGGGTGGGGGCTGGGGTGGGGGGTTGTTGGGGGAGTAACTGGGAGTAACTCCGCTTAGTCTACTGGTATGGCTTGGTATGGCTTTTAAATTTGTGACTGTGTCCTCTTGACACCATTTCGTCATGCTACGTCATCACCTTTCCCCTCTTTCCCTGCCCTCTTCCCCTCCCCTCCCCTCCTCTTCCCTCTTCCCTCCCCCCACCAGGTGAGCGAGGGTGCCCGCGACCTGGTGTCCTGCCTGCTGCGCTTCGAGCCCTCGCAGCGGCTGACTGCCGCGGAGGCGCTGGCGCACCCCTGGCTGCGGCGGCCCGACAGCCTCAGTCAGGCGCTGCTGCAGGACGCGGTGGCGGCGTTCAAGGTGGGAGGGAGCGGAAGGAAGGGGAGGGAGCTGGAGATGCAGGGGCGGGGGCGAGGGCCTATACGCGTTCTACGTTCCTTTCATCTTCTTTTTCCGCCAATTCGCCCATGTCTCTCTCTCCGCCCCTCACAACCCCCCCCCCCCCCACGTTCCACCTCGCGGCCAGTTATTTGAACACCCCCCACCCATGTCCCCCGCTGCCCCTCATCCTCACCCTGCTACCCACCTGCCCCCATGACCCATGACCCCCCCCTCTCCCGCAGTCCGCCGCCCTCGCCTCCCAGCAGCAGCTCCGTTCCAGCTGGGTGAAGCAGGTCAGCGGGGAGCTCATGATGACCGCGGGAACCAACGCCTCGCCGCACACCTCCCTCAGTCGCTTCGCCTCAATGAGCGTCGGCGCCGCCACGTCATTGACCGCCGGAGCCGCCGCCGTCGTCGCCGCGACCGGCGGTCCCGGAGGTGGCCCCATGCCATTTGCCGGCGGCATGCCGGGCGATGGGGTCATTGCCGGCATGGGTCCCGGAGGCGCATTAGTCATGTCGTCCCATTCGCATCATCAACTGCTACAGCCCAGTGGCTACTCGGGTCGCGGCTCGCCGGCCGGATCCGTTCGTCCGTCGGCGCATTCGGCTCACTCGGCGCGATCCGCCGCCGCAGTCGCTGCGGCGGCGGCGGCAGCCGCCGCCAACGGCCACCTGCCGTTGCATCACTCGGTCACCGTTGACGCCGCCGGCTTGGCGGCGCGGCATGCCGCGGCACTGGCGGCGGCTGCCGCCGCCGCCGCCGCTGGCGGCGCCGCCTCGCGGCTTAGCCCGCATGGGAGCTCATTGGGTAACAGTCCGCATGGCAGCCCCGGCGGGGCGGCTAGAAGCCCCCGGAGCCCCTTGGGTATGCGCACGAGGCGTGCCAGTGACACGCTGGCATACACTCTGGCTATCACGGAGCGGCAGGAGTCCCTGAGCCAGATGCAGGCACAGGTGGGTGGGTAGGAAGACGGGCGAGGAGCTGCAGAATGCAAGGGGAGAGCAGAAGGCAGGGATAGGATTAGGGGCCACATTCTACGTTCTGTGGGGACTTCATTTTCCGACAATCACAGTACGTTCCTACTCGCGGCCAGTTTTCTTAACACACAACCCAACACTTGTCTTACTTCTCTCGCCCCATCTGCGCCCTAAACGTATTCGTTTGCCTGGCATTCCCCGTTCCTCCGTTTCGTCACCAATGTGGCGACATTCCCTCTGCCGACACCAACATGCCCCCAACGTATCCTTTCCACTTCAACTCGCACGCGTGTAGCGTCAAAGCAACTTACCATTTGTACATACATCTCGTATGTCTCCCCATCCACCCCACCCACAAACAGGGCATTCCCGTACCCACCACGGGAGCCCTGCAGTGGCCAGCGCTCTCCATGGCAGCAGCCGCCAAGGCGCGCCGTGCGTCCATAGGGCCCTCGTTATCGCCCTCGGGAAGCCAAGCCGACATGGCGACTGGCGGATCCATGACGTCACGCGTCGGCAGCGGCGGCGGAGGCAGCGGCGGCGGCGGCCATTCGCCTTCCGGTACGACAGTCATGCGGCAGCCGTACATGACTCAGGGGGGTTTGCCGTACCATGGAAGTGGGCACATGGTGGGCATCAACCCGCATCACCACCGGGGGACGAGCGGTTTGTCGGTTATGACGAGCGCGAGTTCGTTGGTGGCGACCCGTGGGGCGGCAGGCGACGGGAAGCCCAACGGAGGCCGGAGCTACCCGGAGCTAAATGCCATGCGGGTGAACTCTGCGTAAGTGAAATGAAACTGCGGTGTTGTAAATAGAAAAAAAGTAGGAAATGCCAAATGGTGTATGCGATTGTGGCAACTACCGGTAGCTGCGATAGCGTTACGGGGGCGGGGTGACTTGGGCGGATGATGATGCGCATGTGGGTGCTAAGGATCGGCGTGTTTGGGTGCTAAGGACGAGACGGAGGGGTACATTTATACGTGGGAAGGGAAAGGCGCAGGAACCACTTGGCCACTAACTGCTCTGGCCACATTCCAAACCCGACACAGGTCTACGGTTGGAGGTCGCTCGGGTGCCAACTCATCCGCCGACACAACGCCCCACTCGTCCAGTCGCGACGGTCCAGCTCCCCGGACCTCCTGGACGAGTCTGCCTGCCCACATGCAGCAACAGGCCCATCAGCAGCTACATTCTCAGCTGCTGCTACAACAGCAGCAGCAACCGCAGCAGCAGCGAGCGCTGCAGCAATACCAGCAACATCAACAACAGAGCTGCAACTCCTCCCTAGCCGCCGGCAGCGGCGTTTCTGCCGGTGGCACCGAACCTGCAGCAGTGGCAGGGACGGGGGCAGCAGGAGAAGCAGCGGGTTTGCCGGCGTCAGACCAAGCTCTGCTGTCGCATGCAACATCGCCAAAGGTTGGAGTTGCAACGGGAAAGTCACAATCCTACCATGTCATCCCAAGCACATGGCTGGATGGGCAGGGCCGACCCGTGGGTCGCAGCCAGTCCACAGGCTACGGAACCATGCCGGCGGCAGCAGCAGCAGCTGCCACCGGCATGGGCCCGGCTGCCGCCGGCCCTGGCACCGGCAGCACATCGCAGCGCAGAGCTTCCATGAGTTTTACGTTGGGCGGATCAGGAGGCGCGGTGCCCGCGGCTGCGCTGATGCCGCATGGACCTTCTCCGCTGTCGAACGCCAGTGGGGCTCGCTCGGCGACGACGAGCTCGGCCGCCGTTGTCGTCGCGGCGGCGGCGGCAGTTGGCAAGGACGCCGCGTTATTAATTAAGCGTCCAAGTCGCAACGGCGGCGCTGCGGCTGGCGGTATTGTCAAGTCTCGAAGCGGTAGCAGCACTCCGGTGCAAGGCAGCCCTGGCACGAGTGCCGGAAACGTTCCCCAGTATGGCTGCGTCGCGAACACCGGTGGCAGCGCCAGCGGACCCATGGGTCCGACCGCCGCCGTTGGCGTGAGCGGCATGGGCTTGGCATCCTCACACAGCGGATCCAATTCCATGTACGCTGCCGTACTCCGGGCTAACCTCTCGGGCCACGGCCTTTCGGTCGGCAGCAGCGGCGGCGGTGGCGGCGGCGGGCCCACTAGTGATAGTGGCGGTGACGGGTTTCGGAGGATGAGCTCGCGTAGTGGCAGCGGCAGCCCTGGCGGCAGCGCCACGCATGTACATGTGGCGGCTGCGGGAGACGTCGCCGCCGGCATGGGAGGTAAAGCAATGTGGGGGGCGGCGGCGCCGCCGCCGCCGCCGCCGTCGGGGCCGAGTGGCGTTTGCGGCGGCGGCAGCATCAACTTGGACAGCGGCGGCGGCGGCTGCGGAAGGAACAGCGGCAGTGAATCCATGGCGACACGGGAATCCGTGCGACTACTGGCGGAGCAGTTGAACGTGCCGGCGCGGACCTGCAGCGGGGAGTTGCGGCGGACGGCATCTGATGCGGTTTCGGAGCGTGGTGCGTTGCAGGAATTAGCCATTTTAGACAGCGACGACGGCGGCGAAGTCAGCGAGGGCGGCAACGCCGTCACAGACGGAGCGTCTCCTCATCATCAAGGGTTGTTACCCCGGCAGCATCCATCGTCGTCATCGGCGGCGCCGGCACGGCATCTATCACCTCCCAATGTAACCCTATCCGCGCAGCGTTCTGAATCCCCAAGAAGCGCGTTCTGCGATGTTGCCTTCGCTACAGAAGCTGCCGCAACCATTGCCGGCAGCACCCATGGAGCCGGCAGCAGACTTGGAGGAGCTCCATCGCCGTCAAAGCATGCGTCACATCCGCCGCCGCAGGAGCAACCTGATTTGCAGGACAGCCTGCCACTTCACCAGCAGCGGCGACCTAGTTCGGCATCGCTGCCACACAACTTCTACTTCGACTCCGGCGAGGGACCCGTCGTGATGAGTGGCATACCTGGACGCCCCCTTAGCGGCCCGCAAACCAGCTTTGTGGACGCAGCAGTATCATGCAGCGCAAAAAGCAATGCCGTCGTCGGTGGCGGTGGCAGTGGTGCGGGTGCGGGTGCGGGTGCTGGTGTAGATGGCCGTTACCCCAGCGGTAGCAGCAGCGGCTGCGGCAGCGGAGCAATAGCGGAGTTGCTGCGCTCTACGGGCTTGGCGCCTCGCGCCAGCAGTCGCCTCGCGCTTGAGACAATACCCAGTGAGGATCCTGAGACTTTATCGGGACTGCTGCTGTCGGTGCGGGAGGAAAGGGCGGCTGCCGCCGCCGCAGCAGCAGCTGCATCTGTTGCTGCAACAACCACCACTGGTACGCCTCCAGCAGGAACACCACATGATGTGCCTGGCACCGGCTCAGTTTTGCGGGCGGCGTCCCCTGCTCCTGGGTCCCCATTGTCGCCGGCTTGGGTACCGCATGGGAAACCGCCGCAACAGCAACTGTTGCAGCAACAACAGGAGGGGCAGCTGACGCAGCAAACACAGCAGCAGCAGCAGCAGCAGCAGCTACAGTCCACAAGGCAGCCTTCACTAAAGCACTTGCGGCCGACACAACAGCATTCACAGTCACAGCCACAGTCGCCATCAGGGCTGCCACCGCTGCCACCCCAATATCCTCCGCATGCTGCGGGGACGTCGCAACCCAGCTCACCGGCCGCCAACATCCATGCGCGGGCTTTCCTAACTCCCCAAGCTAGCCGCCTGCACGGGAAGCCGCAAGCATGGGAAAACTCAACAACTGAGTCGCCAACGAATGAAGTTGTCGGCGGCGGCGCCGACGGCGGTGACGCTGCTGCCGTCACCGCTGGCGCCGCTCTCGCACAACGCGCACTCAGCAACAACAGCCCCACTCCTCGGCGCAGTGTACGGCGCTCTGTAACCGCCAGCAGCCTTCGCCAGCATGCGACGACGGCGGCGGCGCAAGCCGCAGCTGCCGCCGCCGCGGCGGCGGCGCGAGCAGCCGGCCCGCCGGCGGACGCCGACGACGAGGAAAACGACCCATTTGCAGATTGGAACTACCCGCCGCCTGCGGCACGTCGGAGGGCGTCCAGCATTGGCCTTTCGGGCGCATCGTTAGCGGCGCTGCTGGCCCAAGCGGCGCCGCTGGCGCAAGCGGCGCAAGCGAATGCCGCTGCTCAGATTGCTTCTAGCCAAGCCAGCAGCTTCAGTGTTTCAAGGCACAGCAGCTTCAGCAACGGCCACAGAGCTATGTTAGCCGCCGCGTTAGGTCCTGGGTACGGGGCCCCTGGCGGTGGCGGCGGCGTGTTTCCCGGTGGCGCTAGCTCAATACACTCGGCCGGCAACGACAGCTCGGGGTCGCTGCATTCCGGCGGCGGCGGGATATCCCCGGCGAGGGAGGCAAGCCCCCGTACCGTGCGGCGATCTACCACCGCCGCTAGCCTGACGGCAAGCCTTGGCCTGCCAAGGGGCCAGCAGTCTCCGTTGCAAGCCTACGCCGGCGGCGACGCCGCCGGCGCCGGCGGAGGTAGCGGACATGGTCAGGGTATGCTGTCGAAGCTCCTGGCGCAGGCCTTGCCCATGGCGCAGGCAGCGCAGGCGCATGCAGCTGCCCAGCAGCAGCAGCACCTCCAGTCCGCGCAACAGCCAGCGTACGGCATGTTGACCTCCAGCGGCTTTAGTTTTACGGAAAAGGCCAGTTTGCCGTCAGGTGCTGCCTCCGCCAACTCCTCCGCTGCCGCCGGATACGGTACGGCACGTGGCGCCGGTTTCAATTCCGGAACGTACGGCAGCGGAAGCAATAGTGGCGTCGTTGGGTACGTTGGTAGCGCCGCCAGCGGCGGCGCGATGGCGGCGGCTGCCGCTACCGGCGGCGGCAGGGGCAGTAACGGAGGTGGCGCGGAGGCTTCTTGGGTTCGTCGTAGCACCACCGCACATGACCTGCGGGAACAGTCGGCGGCTCCTGCCGTGCAGCTCTCCGGACACTCCATGGTGCACCGTCTGGCACATGGTCAACAGCAGCAGCAACAACAGGTCGGCGGCGGGTACGGCACACTGCCCTCGGCTTCACCCCCAAAGGACCCTGGCAGTCCAAACACGTCCCTGCGGACGACGTCTCGGGGAGTCCCCAACCACCCCTCGGTGCCCAGCCGGCTCAGTAACTCGGGTGCAGGGTCTGCCAGCGGACGTTTTGGCGGCGGAGGCAGCGGATTGGGTGCGTCGTCGCAGCCGCAGCCACAGCAGCAGTAGCTTAATCATCAACAGCAGCAGCAGCTGCAGCAGTATCTGCAAAGGTGAAAGCAGGAGTGGCAAGTGTTTTTTGAAATGCACCCGGCTGCAAGCAACATGCACAGTAGCACTCTTCAACATCAGGAGCAGCCTAATCCCGTTCACAGTGTTTACGCGAATGCGTGGACGGATTTGGGATAAGATGGAACAGGATAGGTTGAGTATGTCTTTGTGACTGAGAGCGTGCTGAAACGGCTTTACCGAGCTTGGAATGCTCAAGTCAAGTTGGCAGGAAATGAACCCCATCAAAGTATGCGGTAGTGGACAAACGTAGACAAACCTGAACGGCGAGTAAATGTCGATGGACATGATGCGTGCATAGCGCGCTTGCGGAGCAATTCAGTTGGGGGTTTGCGCGAGCACATCAGCTTTCAGCATAGCGGTGGGTTGGGTTGCGGTGCTAAGTTATCAAGCATGATGGGCTGATAGCCGCTGCTTTTGTGGTGGTGCCACAACTGTTAAATGCGTGGGTTTGCTTAATGTATATGGCTCGTGCTGGTCTGGCCTTCCTAAGCAACGCTGTTGATTTTGGAAGCCCATATGGGTCGTTCGTGCGCTTGGGTTCCCCGTCCTGCAGGTGGTACCGGTACTGTTGACTTGCGGCAAGTGCCAGTCTTACGGCATTGCATATACGATATGCCGGTATACACCCGATTTCAGCGGGTTACGAACGTCATGGCAGCTTAACATGTCTGAGCGCACCCAGTGGAAATGTGGAAACAGAAAGAGCTGCGTTGGCAAGCGGGATTCGTGCTTGCGCATGCACCTGCTGCTCAGGTGTTTACAGACCCGCGCTTGCAAGTATTGCGATTATTGGAGTATTGCTTCACTTACAAGAGATTCGGGGTAGCTAGTTGCTTTTTGGTTACCGGTAACAACTACCTCTGGTAACAACAACCCCCGTTTTATATTGTCGGCAGGAGAGTGCGTCCGGGTACTGTCTGTACGGTTTGCAACCGCACCTCTGTGTTTCACAAAACGTCGCAGACAGACACAGCCGTCCCTGCGCTGTGTGTGGATGCGTTTTGGGGCTTAAGGTGCTGAACAGGTTGTGCAAGAGAAAGGGCCGATTCAGCTGCTTTGCATGGCCTTCGACTGGCTTCGAAGTTCGAAACTCCGCCCAGGCGCAACGGAAGGAGCTTTTGAGAAGGCGACGCTGCTGCTTGCGGTTGTGAAGATTTTGGGTCGTCGTCTTTTCCTGCAATTCAGGATGCAGGATATCATCACGTGAGCAGAGAAGCGTTTTATACGGTCAACTCGCGACACCGCAACCTATCCCATGTGACCGGTTGGGTTGGTTGGCTGTTGCAGTGATACTTTCGGTGGTTTCAACACTTGTGGAGCGAGTAGTAGTTGTGTAGGTCGTACTCGGTTACAATGGGTTGCTTGGTTTGACAGAGTGCAGGCGTGTCGTGTGTGGTTGCCACCCGGAGCGATGGTGAGGGGTGAGGGGTGAGAACGTAACGCAGGGCCTTGCGTGGTGGTGGGGGGTGCTTTGGAGTGCCCAGGTATTCGTGGAGTATGCTGCTTACGATGCTACTGATGCTCTGCTAATTTGCTCAGGTCTTGGCTGATCTTGGTGGCCCATATTGTGTGGAGAATTGCCACAGGCAGGGAAAGATGTACGGTAATACAATAAGCCTTGAGCTGGTATTCGTACATCGTGCAGACGAGGTAAAGGAGTGGTGTTCCCTTTTGCTCCTCACCTTCGTCCTCGAGCGTGGCTGTGTGTGTATTCGCTGGATGCATGGTGTTTCTGCTCGAGCCATTGTTGCACCCTTTCGCTTCCACAGCACCATACGAAAACGAAGATCTAAGCCGCACTGAAATGCCGTCTCTGCAGAGGAGGTCTTAGCCCCGCAACCTATCTGCACCTCTCGGTTGGTTGCCCTATGAACAGCTGCGTCTTTGTTTCTTCTTGCTTTCCTTGTCTCCGTTTGATGCATGCTAGGGGGATGTGCAACTACAGTAAGCAGTTGTCCAGAGCTGCATGGTGATGCTTGTCCGCCTGCGAGCTTACTCCGTGCAAGCAAAACGTCTTTGTTGCGTACAAATTAGTTTGTGTGGGTATATATCAATATATGACGGCCCACCTTTTGGTGGGCTTCTTCTCTCACACGGCCGTGCTGTGTTGCGGATTAGTATGGCTGGTATGGGATTCTCGGTGAGCTGGGAGACTTGGCGGTCTCGGGGCTGGCGTGTGAGACCCAGTGCACTCAGTCACCTTCAGTCTAGACTGAAATGTTTATAAGTATGTTCTATGGTGGGTTATACGGTGGGTTATATGTTTGAGCCAGTAGGGGTGCAGGGCGTGGGGTGTTTGGGAATGTGGGTAGTGCGGGGTTGCGGCGTACGGGTTAGTCAATTATACATACACACTTGCTCTTGTTAGCCGGTTATGGTGAATGATCTAGTTGGACGGCAGAAAGCATAGACGTTTGGGCTTTTGGCGCAGCCTGCGTATGAAAATTTAATACCATGAGGTAGGTTTTCAAATTCCCTATCCAATGGTGTTAAGATTGACGACAATGCGCAGATGGGGCCGACAGTGCATCAGTGCGACATTGATGTTGATGTTGCGGGCGTCAAGACATCCATTGCTACACATGCAAGCGCCATGTGCACCACCAGAGCGTCGTAGCCTTGTTTCTTTTGGTGTTCCTTTTTGGTGCATGAATATCGCCTGAGCGGGAGGGACTCCCCCTCTCCCAAGCATTTGCGGCACGCATCACCCTGAGGGGGGAGAGGACTCCCTGTCCCCCCTTTTACCCCCCTCCCCCTGCGTTTCTTCCTCCTGTTCCCCCGCGTGCACATTAAGTGCATATGTTGGGCTACCAGCGGGGCAGCAAGAAACCTCCAACTGTCTGGAGGGTGACAACGGGTCAAATCTTACATCTACCAGCGTATGCACACTGTATCAACTGCAGTGATGAAACAGTCTCTGTCCAGTTTCTGCTGTTCTAGGCACACTGCGCAGCTAAGATTGCTATGTAGCGTTTGAGCTGTTTGGATAACTGAGCGCCTATTAAGATGCAGCTGCTTCGTCTTAATTGCACATGCGAAGTTACACCAAATACTGTCATACTGCGAGGAATGGGACTTTTTCTACGTTTGTCCATTGTATCAAAGGCGGTAATGCGGCAGGCAGCAGTGCCTGAGCTGAAGTGACAGGCTAATGAACATCAATGGGGCAGATATACGATTACTGCTCTTCTAGACACACACGTGTTTTTAACCATGTATACACGAGCTGCTCGTATAGCTGGCCTTCTAATCAGTTGCAGCTGAACCGCAGTCCTTGCACATGCGCAGTAAATATGTATGTAACACTGCCGAAGTGCAAGCTCAGGTAGGCTGCCACGCTACTCTGCCGTAAGACCGACGGATCACATCCGCTGGCGAATTAAGTATGTGGCACGGTAGCTTGGAAACTAAATCAGAGGGCGTCGACGTGGAAAGCTGGCTGGCATTTGCAAGATGCATGCACACATTCAATGCAACGCCGACAATACCACGCGAAGCGGTGAATACGCCTGCAAACGTAAAAAAGAGTAAAGGTCAGTGCATTGCGAATAAGTCCATTAAAGAAGCACAGCAACACTAATCTACGAAAGGCGCGACTCGCTTGCAGCTTTGGACGACGCAAATGCGCTTCGCGCGTCCCAGGGCGGACGCGACGCGGCAGCTAGCAAGTGGTGGTGCGGTTGGTGTCCATGACCCATAGCACCGTGTTAGACGCCTCTGCTGCAAGGAAGGCCGCAACTTGCACGACAAGGATCACAGAACAGTCATTAGGATGATTAGACAACATACGCCTTCAACAGGATATACCTGGTATGAAGCCAGTGCATATCCACCATATCGGCCCAGCTGCCGCTCAAGCTTTTAAGCCCGTCGGCGAAGCGCTAAGCGACTCCATCCTCCATCGTCGCTGCGCGCGGGATTGCCCTATGGTGCATAGATACGCTACATAGAAGGAATAGAAGTGATAAGAAAATAAAGTTAACTAGCCTGTTGGATAGCCGCTGGAATGATCAGGTGTCGGGCGATCAAGCGTCGTACAACCTCATCCCAGCCGCCCACGGGCTTTGGCGCTGCCAGCGATGCAATATCTAGTCCGTGGCTTCTTCTTTATACGTTTGCAACATGTTGTGACCATGAGCTAGGCTGGCGATGGAAGTGCGACATAGATTGGCGATGTTGCTCATGTTCCCGATCAAAATCCACACCTTCCCCTGGAATGCGTGCAATATATGTCTGGACATCAGCTACATCGCCGTCAATGTCGCACACGCCTTGTAAGCGTACTCGCAGCACACGACAGCATGACGTGCTCAGCATGATGTGTTGGCCAGCTTAACCAGGCGGCTACACCACAACCGGCTCAAGGGCTAAGTTTCCGCTCAACTATACACACTTGGTGTGAAGGTGGTATGCGCCACGTGTCAGGGAAATACAGTCTGTGTTTGTCCCAAATATGCGCGAGCCTTTCAATTGTGACACCCTGCATCTGTTGTATATTTGTACGTATCATGACTTATGATTCATGACGTTTCTGGTGGCATGGTCCGCTGCAAAGACCAAATGCAGAAGAAGTATACTAAGCTAAGCGGCGTCTTTGCGGTCTTAGGTCATTTCTTACTCGGAAATGGTCAGATAAAAGGGCTACATGCCTGATCTTTGTCTGCGACGACCCATGGTTCACGTCCGTCACCTCATTTACAGCCACAAATGCTGACTGTGTGGAACGGCAAGTGGCATTTGATACGCATGCAGCAGCACCGTATGATATGACCGCAGTAGGCGTAACCGTAGTAGGCGTAACCATGGCTGCTGGTGGGAGCCCTGTCGGGCCCTATAGCCCCCCACTACCAGAAAAGCAGCAGCCCGCTAGCTGCCATGACAGCAGCAGCACGCATTCACATAAGGTAAAGAGTGGCAGGGGTACCCAGGACGCCTCTATGAGGGCCCATGATCCGCACTTGTTGCAGGGTGGAAATGTCCTAGCTTGAGCTGGCTTGAGGCGGTTCAACCTTCCGTCGTGAACCCGGATATTTATATCACCCAAGACAGCCGTAACCAGCCTTTCTGGGGACATGCATGTGGCTTCGGTACAGGCGCTTACCTTCCCGGCTAGCATGATGATTGCCGCAAGTAGGAAGCGAGGATTACACTGGAGGACCAACCAGTAAGTAGGCTCAATAGTACGGCAATTTGCTACACTCTTGCAACAAGAAGATCCTTGCCCCTCCGCTAGCACTGAGCTCGGGATCAAAACGATAGCCAAGACAGTTACGACTTTCCAACATAACCTCTCGCGAATAGTCGATTGCGAACAAACCACTGTAAGCAAATCCCAATAGCCATACGCGTACAAAATAGATGAGGCCGTGCACTCTACATTTCCGCAACACAACACGCGCCTTACCGCCCAGGGCAGCGGATAGGCGGGTTTTCTGTAGAACAGCTCCGACTTCTTCCGCGCCGGTTCAGGAAGCAACAGATTACACAACACCTGGCGAAGGCAAGACGCTTCGCCGTCTTATTCTTTTAAGGCACGCGGATAGCGACCAAACTCAGGCTGTACGAGACCATGATAGGCAGCTAAGCAGCGCTGGGCGTCAGCAAGCGGCGCAAGTGGCCCAGCTGATTAAGTCTAAGGGATGGACTCCAGATTTAGTTCTGGCGAGCAATTCGAAACGTACGAAACAGACGCTCGATGAAATGAGCGAGGTTCTGGAAGAGCTTGGCTCCGTTGATGCCCATTTCTATGGGTCGCTCTACACCGTCGCCGCGCTGGACGGGCAGACGCGAGAGCACATCATGGAATGCTTGCTGGAGGTTGTGGATGATGTCCGCAACACTGTGGTCATGTGCGTCGGTCACAACAAGGTATGCAGCCGCCGCTAGCTAATCCTGGCACTAGTAGAACCCAATCCCAGCCTGTCGGAGGTTCGCGGTCTCACCGCTTCCTATCCCTCCTCACCATCCCCTCCCAAGCCATCCTTTCCTGCCATACCCTCACCTGTAGCCCGGCTTCCTTCTCCCTCATTCCGACCGTCTCCATGTTCCCCATTTTCTCCTCTTTTCTGCCCCTTTAGGGTTGGGAGGAGGCGGCTTCCCAGTTTGCGGGCACCGCAGTGAAGCTGCGCACCGCCTCAGCGGCGCTGCTGCAGGTGTACAGCGGCTCCTGGAGGGAGGTGCTGCGGGACAGCGTTACGTGGCAGCTGGTGGAGGTGATGGGGCCGTCTTCCCCCTCCTCCTCCTCCTCCTCCTCCGCCACTCCCTCCTCCTCAGGGTGATATGGTGGCCTCGGGTTGGCATTGTGTTGGCATTGTGGGAGGCGATTGAGGCGGCGGGTGGTGGGGGTGAAGTGCAAGGATAGGACCGAGGCCTACACGGGATGGGGATGCGGTGGATGGGGGGCAAGCGCGAGGTGTGGGCTGCGGTTCGTCCTAGGGTTGCGTTGCCATGCGAGTGCCGTGCAGTGCAGTATAATTACAGCGCAACGGAGTATGACGGGCAGGGTGGACGACGGTCAGCATAGCATGGGCGGGATGCGGAAGTAGGGGACGGTGAAGCCCAGCTGCGCTTGTGGTGATGACGTTCGTCGTCCCCATGGGCGCTCCGGTCGCCACTCCTGCTTCCGGTGTCGCAGCCGCTTCAGCCGCGTACCGCACTGTTGTACCTCGGCGCTGGTAAGGGAGTGGTAGCAGAGCAGGCGGGGAAGAGAGAAAGGGACTTAAACCTTGTGGCAAAGCTCCGCATTCGGTGCGTGAGGGACGTAGTGACGGAGGCTGCTGATGGGGGGTACCGTACCTGGGGGATATGAAGGCTGGGTCTGGGAGACAGGAGGCGTTTTTGAAGGTACGCGGGGTGCAGGCAGGAGGGACGTACGGCAAAGGCCCGGCTGGCTCTTAGAGCGAGCATGTCCGGAGGGTCCCTGGAATCCCCTGCCTGGCTATCGCGTTGTTGACAGGCACCACGGAGGAAGCAAGGAGGAAGTATTTTTTTAAGAGTGGTTAGGCTTGTGACTACCGGTATCTTCTGTACGTGAGTAACTGAACGTTTTACGGTATGGTATGAAGGGTACTTAAGGCTCGCCTGGACCCGGGGTTGCCGTGCCAGGTGCCAGGATTATGAACGGGGGCATGTACGAGCTGCATCACATCTGTGTGTGTGGGTGTGTGTATGCGGTGTGGAAGGATAAGCACCGCGCCTTCTCGGCTCTTCTCCGGAAGTAGTAGTGCTGAGTTGCATCTGTTGAGTTCATACCCTGCGTTTTACCTGAGGCATGGTACTTAATCCTCAATTTCTGTTTTCGTTTTAAACGTGTGGATGGACATAAACAGAGCTGTGAAGGTCTGGTCCTCGCAGCAAAGGCGGCCTTATAGAATGGCAAATGTGGACTGATCCGCTGGGTCGTGCTCGACTAGCTCGCTATTCATGACTACCGTATCAGAATGCGATGCAAAGAAGTTTCCCCTCTTCAGCCTCAGCAGGCAATCAGCCACGACAACAGAAACCACGCGGCTAGGGTTTCTACAGCGAAGAGGAATCCCAACCAGCCCTGAATAGGCACTGACTGTACGTTACGCTGAAACCAATGTGTACGCTACACGAACCGCACCGCCGTACATTTCGTGACAAGAAGCATGCACATCATGTACACCTTGCTATGTGTCCAAATACAGCAGATAACTGCAACCCGCCTAACCGCAAGCAATAGTCGTCACAGCTACATCACGAGTGCCCGATGCTCTGCACCGCCCCCATGCCACCGATCAATGATGTCCCAGACAGACGAGCAGCACCGTGTAATCGTGTGCATGCTTGTGCAAGCCAGCCTTTTAAGCTAACCCCGGCACCAAGAGAATAAAGCCACTGACATGCCTTCCGGAAGCAGTACGGCAAGCCAGTAAACGCTGCTCACCATCCTCTCCATGCTTGGGCATACGCACAGCGCTCTTCGCCAGGAAGGACGGAAGCCTACCTTCCCGCTGGGTTTTGTCGTCCTGTCCCATCTCTGTAACAATCCACATCAAAAATTAACCTTCGCATCGCTATCCATCCATCCATTGGTATCGGCAGCAGCAGCAGCGGAGCCACTACTCGGCAGCAATTAGATAAGGCACACACAGGAAGGTGGACGAACCCGATTGGCGGGCGTGAGGGGTAACCCGGCCTGCTGTGCAACTCACAACATGTGCGCAAGTGCGCCCTTAGCCACCGACAGCAGCAGCATCGTCAGCAGCAGCAGCAGAAGTAACAGATACATGCCAAGAAAGCGCACACCACCACCCCTGCACCACCCCAAATAAAGTAAGTCTGTGTTCCCCAGTGTCGCCCCCAGCAGAGCACCCATGCATCCATCCAGCCTCTCACCGTAAGAGCTGTACCGTAGTGTAAGGTAGTGTAAGGTGTTGTATCCGGTTTTGACAACACATCGCTCGCCTCGCCTTATCACTCCGCACGCACGCCTGCTGTTGTCTAACTCATGAATCAATAGCAAGTGTAGACCCAAATCCATCCATCCACGAACGCCAAACACATACACATGTAACAACCACAACCGCGGCTCACGTACGTGCGTGCCGGTGGTATATCGCCTGGTAACAGCGGGGCCCATGCATGGCGGGGTGCGTGATGCCACAGCGGCGGGAAGCGCAATAACCCAATGCTGCATTCGTACGTCCAACCATGTTTACCCCATTCCCGTCACCCAATCACATCAAACCAACCTGCGCGCATACCGGAATACATAAATAGCCGCACAGCAAAGCGGACGGCACCAGCACCTCACGTCCTCCCAGCAGAAACAACCTGTCAGCCATTAATAGATAGTAATCGCAATCCAATAAATCCAGCCAGCTCGCTCTGTAACCCGCCTGCATTCTCAAGTTCTCGCCGCCGCAAACAAAGCCCGCCAAGCGTAAAGGTAGTTTTGTCAACCGCCAATCGACTAACTGTCGGCCAACGACATACTGCCAGCCACGTGCCACCACCGTTCATCAGTGTGTGTGGTTCCGGTCTTCCGGACAGCCCTTGTGCACCTACCGGCTACTACCGGGCAACAAGGTACCACAGACATACACGCATGTTCTTAATACACGTATGTTACTAGTCCTACTGGATTACTGGTCCTGCAGCTCACACCCTGGTTCATTCATGACCGTAACGTAGACACACATGCCCGGCATATGCACAAGCCATTCATTACCTGTACCCCAATCAAAGGACATCCAGAGAATCACAAGGTGATCACAAGACACAATTACTAACCATAAGTCCATAACACAAGCACATTTGTGCCATCATCAGGGGAGCTCCTCATTCTCAAACTAACAGCTAACTTTACCCCGACTTTGCTGCCGGAGGAGGCGAGGCGTTGGCAACCCACCTGCTAACTCCCCCCAACGACCGATCCGCAATCTCGTTATTCACTGGATCGTAGTACTGCTGACAGCTCTTCCAAGCAAACTTGGTGTACGAATCATACTTTGCATCGTATGCCGTACTCATGGCGGCCTCGATGTTGTCAATTCCGCCCTCGGGGTGCAGCTTGGCCCAGGGGTTACGGCAGCTGGCCCCTTTGCAGTAACCCATTACCTGCAGCAGCGCGTCTAGACGGCTGATCAGGCGCTTCAGGAAGGCCGCGTTAATGTTGGAGGCCAGGCCTGTCATGAGGTTGTTGATCTCGTCGGGGTCGGAGGTCAGGTCGAAGAGCTCCTTGTAGTTGGTGGTGGTGGGGTAGATGCACCACACGGTATACTTCCAGCAGGACAGGTTGGGAGGCGAGGTGGTGTTGCCGATACCGATGTTAACGTTGCTGCGGCTGGTGGTGGTGGTGGTGGTGGTGTTATTGGCAGCGGCGGCAGCAGCAAGGGGCAGCAGGGTGTTGTTGGTGCAGATGCGCACGGAGCGGTAGTCCTTCTTGTCTAGGTCCTTTGAGAGTGCATTGATCCACATCTCGATGGGGAGCCTGTGGGGAGGGAGGGCGATGCGTGGAGGAGCGAGGAAGGGAGGGGGGAAGGGAGGATATGTAAAAGGCAGCGGTAAAAAGGAAGTACGTCGGGTTGCTTTATTACCGGAGTGTATGAATGAATGTACACGAGCAGAGGACAGGCCCCTCCTCCTCCTTCCAGTACCGCAGATACCGGTAAACCGCGTGTTGGGTTGAAGAGCACTAGGACTGTTCGAATCGGCTCCAGCGGCATTCCCTAGCACACATCCCAAACCTTCCCCCCACCTCATCCCCCTTCACTCACATCTGTCGCAGCGTGCCGTTCGTGGTCGGGTAGTTGGTGCCCGTGCGACGCGGCACAACCACATCAGATCCACTCGAACTGGATCCGGAATTCAAAGCTGAATTTGAGTTTGGCGGCAGGATGCGGTCCAGCGGCAACGGCACGCCGTCCAGTCTGTCGGGCGGCGAGCCGCCCCCCAGCTGCACAAAGGTGGCTGTCAGGTCGACCATGGTGGCCATGTAGGGACTGACGGTGCCGGCGGGGACACCCGGGCCGCGCATGTAGAAGGGCACCCGCACGTCCTCCTCGTACGGCAGCGTCTTGCCCTGCGAGAAGGGAAGAGAGAGAAAGACGCATGGGCGGAAATAGGGTGCGCGCGTGTAATTGTGTATTAGACACACACGCCATCTATCCTCGGTGACAGCTATGGTCACAGCTTTGTTACGCGGCTCTGTAAGTTGCTCGCATGACAAACACATCCGCTCGCCCACCCATCCCCACCTTGGCCATTCCATGGTTGCCCAGGTGGTATCCGTTGTCGGAGACGTAGATGACATACGTGTTGTCCAACACACCCGCCTGCTCCAGCTTGGTGACTGGGAGGAGGAGGAGGGAGGAGGGAGGGGGAAGGCATTGAATGCCGGTAGTACGTGAAACAAGTTGGGAAGGGGAGAGGGAGAGCGAGGAGCTTGGAGGCAAGGAAGGGAGGGAGGAGGGGTATGAAGCAGGATTATTAGCAAAGGGACGAGGAAGGAAGGTCGGAAGGTCCCCTATCACCGCCCCACTCGCACTCCCTCACCCCCTCCCCTGAACAAGCACTCACCCACAGCCTCAATCATGTCATCCACGCTCAGCATGGTTTCCAGCCGCCGCTGGTAGTGCTTGTCGATTGCCTTGATGCCGCCCCCCAGGTCGTCACCCAGCCCCAGCACCGAGGGCAGCTGCAGGTTCCAGTTGGGGGACTGCGGGGGGGCAGGAGGGGGCGTGAAGGGGGGGCAGGGCAGGAGGGGCGTGAAGGGGGGCAGGCAGTGGAGCGGGGGGGGGGGATAGGTAAGACGTGAAGCGAAGTGGGGGCCGGGGGGGACGTGTGGGGCCTGACAATGCAGCCCATGGTGCAGCCATAGCAACCATGATGGCTGCTGCTTCCACATCACCCCATCCGCCCTCCTGCCGCCTGTGCGGCCCCGCCCTCCCTCCTGCCCCCTATGGTTTCGGTATATCTCTAAAGCCTCGTCGTACAGCTCGCTGCCCCCTCCTGCCCCGCTCCTCCTGCCCCCCACCCCCTACCTCCCCCCACCCCCCTCCCTCCCACTCACCCGAGGCACCTGCGCTCCGCTGAACCTGCCCGCGTACTTGGGTGCGGGCACGGGCGGCACACACGCGCCCCCCTCCTCCGAGCCCTTGGGGCAGGCGGTGTGGCAGGCGGCGGGGTTGAGCTGCAAGTAGAAGGGGGCGCCCTTGGACACCGCGTCACTGGGGGCGGGGGAGGGAGGAGGGGAGGAGAGAGGGAGGGAGGGAGGAGAGAGGGAGGGAGGGAGGAGAGAGGAGGGGAGGGGGGTAAAATTAGACCAAACCGTATGAAACCACAAATGGGCAAATGAATGAATGGATGAGGCGGCAGGGGGGGGGAAATTATAGATAAGTGCGCTGTGCCGTACCACTGGGAAGTCGTTGTCATGCGGGCCTTTGCTTGCCCTGACGCTGATGCCCTTCCCTCTACCCCTCTCCCAGCCCCCCTGTCACCTGATGATTCCCTCTCGCCCTCCCCCAACCCTCACCTCACCTCCTAGCCCATCCCTGCCTCACACACGGTTTCTTTCTTTCATTCCCTCCCACTGCCCCCTTCCGCCCACTGCCCCCTAGCCCCCCCCCTCCCACTCACTCGATGTAGCCCATCGCCCGCTCCGCAATGGTGTCAGTCTGGTAGGCGTCTCGGAAGCTGTCCAGCCGGGCACACTGGCACGCGGGAGGTGGATAGGTGGGGGAGGAAGAGGGCGAGACGGGCGGGGCGGGAAAGCGACATAAGAGCAGGTGAAATTAAGATAGGTGTGCATTACCTGTTTTAAAGCGCTGATAGGTCTCTACGACATTTTCTACTACGGTGATTTTGTTATTACTGTTATTGTCGCTGTTGGTTAGTTCGTGAGTTCAGGTAAGTTTGTTAGTTAACCACATGCCATGATCAAATGTCGTACCTGAGGCATGAAGTCGTAGTTGACATAGTCGTACACGGACTTGTCGGTCAACGGGTCAAACATGTCCCAGCCCTTGGGACAGCTGGCGGTGTCACCGGCTTCCTGGGGAGGGGGAGCGGGGAGGGAGAGGGGGTAGGGGTGGGGGGAGTGGGGAGTGGGGGAATGGGAGGAGGGAATAAGAAGCTATGAAGCTCCCGAAACACCCGAAACAGCATGCAGTAGGAGAGAGGCCGGAAAGAAGCAGATGGAGGAAACTAGGCAAACCTATCTCTCAAAGCCTCCCTGCCCGGTGCCCGTACACACGACCCACGGCGCCCCACGACTGCCGCAAGTTACGCCTCCCTGCCCTGCACGTCATAAACCCCTCGCCTTCCCCTTCCACACCTTTCACACGTCTACACACAGGGTATTGCTCCATCCCCTTCCTTCCCCCTCCCCCCTTCCCCCTCCCCCCTCCCTTCTCACCACGTCAAACAGGTTGATGAACTTTCCGGTGAAGTAGGTGTTGTAGCCGAGCGGCTTGAGCCACAAGGGCAGCCAATCGCGGTCCAGGGCCAGGGAAGAGAACTTGCCCCATCCACCTGTAACGGTTCCAACGGTTGGGAGGGTAACGGTAACGGTAAGGACCATACTGGAGAGAGCCCATTTAATGTAAACCTTGATAATGCATGCAGAGGAAAGGGTGAAACAACTGGATTGGCGTATACGGTTATGGGGATGTCCGCACCTTGGGGTGCCTGGTTGCTGGTGACATTGTGATTGTGCGTGAAACGACCCGTCAACAAGCTGACACGTGAAGGGCAGCAAAGGGACGTTGTCACGATAAAGTTATTCAAGTGAAGCCCTTTATCGCCGATATACTGGTGTAACTTTGGCATATACGCGCGATGTGTCGCATTGAGCAGGTAATCTTGGTCATCGACGAGGATGACAACAAAGTTCGGCTGTTTTTTTGAAGGAGCCGGCGGGCTCGATGGTTGGCTTGGTGAAGAAGGAGAAGGAGGTGATGAAGGTGCTGCCGAAGAGGGTGACGGGGACGCCGGAGGCGATGAGGGAGGTGCTGGGGATGGAGACGATGGAGACGGAAGACTAGGAGAGGAAGGCGGCGGTGGTTGTGGCACCAGTGGAGACGGGGGCGGGGAAGACACTAAAGGTGGTGGGGGTGGAATCTTGACTGCGGGCTGGACTGGGGGCGTGCGAGGCGCCTTGAGCCGACGGGGTGGTGGTCGCGGTGGTTGCGAGGGCGGGGAAGGGGGCGATGGAGGCTTTTTGGCAGCATCAATACCAGCGCTGAAGAGAAGGAGAATGGCAAGCAGCCCACATGCGGACACGCTAGGGCAGCGCATTTGTTTGAGGTGTGCAATCGAAGAACCAAGTAGGAATGCGAGCTATACCCAAAAGATGCTATAGACTACAGTAACAAGCTCATCTAGGTATGGGATTGCGTAAAATATAGCAAGTTCTTTGGCGCGATGCAACTGTATACCGTAACTTCCCTGTAAGGGATAACGTCTTTGGTAAAATGTTTCACAACCCTATTCTATAAACTATCACACGGTTACCGTTGGCTACTTCAGAGCAGATAAGCAAGCAGTTATCCAGCGCGAGCTCTGTACGGCTTTTGCCATACGCGATACGCCCGCCTTTTAGTTCGTTCGGACTCGCGCCTTACATTATGTATTACCCTGGCAGTTCTATACAGCCGGGTCAAGACACGGCAACAAGGGGAGCAAACAGGACAGCCTGTGCATTCGTAGAGTCTTGATGCTGACTTTGTAGGCTTTTGCGCCTGATGGTCGTCCATAGTTCTGGACTTCTCAGTCTACGGTAGCAATTATAGCAAAGCATATGCTCGTATTCCTTTGCCGCTCCGTGCGGTGGTCGTTGGTAGCTATGGACTCGAGTGAGCATGCTTGTGCAATCCCATTTCGCCCTAGACGCAGCCAGCAGACGCGTCTGCTACTTACATGCAACCTAGTATCTACTTGACAGCAAGCGTCCCTGAGAGGTTTGGCAAGTCGCTCACGCCCCAGGGGTCAGTAGTACGTTAGCAGTAGTATCGCCTTCGCCTACGGCGTGTTCTAACCAAGGAGACACGTCTATCCCCGTATTTGGGACAGGAAATGCCCTGCCACTAGCTTGCATGTGTCTCATTGTGATGAGCATACTCGGCTGCCGCTAGTACCAGCAGCTTGGATCACACAGGATTTACAGCGCCGGCAGACAGAAGGCAATCTATCTAGGGAAGCAGTAGCCTCTTATACCGAAAGGCAGAGCATCCAGGCTTGCATGCCAGATGGCGCCTACAGATGCTGTGGGTGGGGTACTGCTGTTGTTTGAAGTCACGGACGCGACGCGAGCCCCAATCGCGACTCGTCAGCAGCTGACAGAAAACGGGACTCGGCTGGGCCGCTCAGGAAGGGTGCCGCTCAGGAAATAACGTAGGGTGCGCTTGATCTGCTTCACGTAGAGGCTAATTGCTATTGTTGGCCGTTTGCCGCCGGTCTTATTACGGCAATTGCCGCTGATGGTGGTGCCGCAGCAGTGGCGGGCCCAATGTGCTGTACGAATACGCTTCCGCGATGACGCTACCGTTTCTCAAAATGATTCCCTGCTCCCCATTTCCACTATCGACCATAGTTGCTTGAGCCCCGACAATCATCGATCCAACTCGGCTCCTGAAACAGTTTACAGCTGCTTACAGCAGCAGATCTAGCACCCGGTGACGGCAACAGCAGCCTCGCTCGGCGCTTTTGGTTCTGCTGGGAGCCCCGCATTTCGCTCCAAGCATCCCCAACGGCCGCTTTTTCCTCTCCTTTTGCTTAAACCAACCCACATTCTTCAAGCATTTTGCCCTTTCCGGCAAACAAACTAGGATAGCCCATTTCCCAGAGCTTCCCTAAACGCATCTCAACTTTCTTCACAAGTACGCCCATCGAACATGGCATCCGCCACCCCCGGCGGTGATACCGTTGTGGGCAGCGATGTCGCAATGACCGACCGAGACCAGCCCTCCACAGCCGCGCTCCAGCGCACCGCCTCCGGCCTGAAGCGGCTTCACACCGGCGAGGTGAAGCAGGGCGACGCAGCTGCCGGCGGTGGTGCTGATGTGGATACGGGCAAGGCGGCGGATCAGATTCCCGCTGTGCTGGAGGCGGGAGCGAAGGCGGCGGCCGGCGGTGGCGGAGACGCAGCAAGTGGCGGCGGCGAGCAGCCAAAGGTGAGTGAGTGGTGTCTGGTTATCTGGGTGTTGCATCATTTTCACCCATTGCATCATTTTCACCCATTGCATCATTTTCACCCATTGCATCATTTTCACCCAATGCACATTGAATACTAGGCAAGCTTCAATTTCGTAGCAATAGTGTATATGTTCGGCTTTTGCATTGTAACGCGTACCGGAGTTGCATTCGCGCTAGCGACATGCGTCTGTGTGTCGTTGACAACGTCGAACGGTCGCGATAGAGCTTGTGACCCGTGGGTCGCTGCCCCAGTGGAGGCTCGAGCGCACCTGCCGGACACGCAATGCAGCATGCCGGGGGGTGGCGACGGGGAGTGGCAACAAATCGGAGGATTCGTGTACCCGTGTATATTCGCAAATGCCCCAACCATGCGCTCCATGTCGCTCCATCTGCATCTCATCCCTCGTAATAGTCGCAGTCACCCCAGGTACAGTGACCCATGGGTCACAACTTCACTCCTCTTCCTGCGTGCCTGCCTGTATACGCTGTGATGACTGCTGCCAGGGCAGCAAGTGGTCTTGTTACAGCCCTTCCCTTCGTTTGCATAAGCACATACTCTCACATCGTTGCACACACACTTTGGCTGTTCTCCTCACCCCTTCCCTACGACCCTTGCAGCCGACCCAGGTCACCAACGCCGAGGGTGACGCGCCAACCGCCATGGACGTGTCCATCACCGAGCCCAAGACGGAAACCCTGGCGGCGCAGGACCCAACCGCCGCAACCGCCGGCGGCGGCGGCGGCGACAAGGCGACGGAGGCAGCCGACGCCTCCGCCGCCGCGCCGTACCCGGGCACGACGACGACGACGACTCGGTCGTTCGCCGACACTCAACCGGCGGCGGCGGAGGCGGCCGCCGACAAGCCCGAGGGCGGCGCCGCGGCGGCGGTGGGGGCGGCGGCGCCTCCGTCGGAGGTTAGGAGTGGCGGTCAGGAGACGATTGAGAATGTGATGGCCGGCCAGGGTGGGTAGTGTGGCGGGCTGCTGGCCATGCGTTGCCTTGATACACACGTACGCATGAATGCAGGCTCGGAACCGCTGTGTCCCCACCTTGTCTCCTTTGTTGCCGTACTTGCCTTTTCCATACCTTCCCTTACCCTCCTCCTCGGAGTTGCCACCTCACCCGCCTCCCTCCCACTTCATCCTCCCGCCCGCTTACGCATGTTTCTCCTCCTTGTTCCCCACCCCCAGAGGGCGGTCAGGACGAGCGCCACCCCGCGGAACTCAGTGCGGGTGGCGGCGGGGCGCGGCGGCACGAGACGGGCTTCCAGCAGGCGCTGGGGAAGGTGGTGGCGGGGGAGGGAGGTGAGGGGCAGGGAGGGGGAAGAGGTAGGGGGCTGGGGGTTGTGCGGGGGAGGAGGGGGGTAGGAAAGCAACAGCTGGCATGGTACGAACACGCTAACAAGCAGGGCGCGAGGGGAGGGGTAGGTCGGGGGGGTGGGAGTGTCGTGAAGCGCAGGTTGAAGGTATCTCATCCTCTCCCCTCTCCAAACCCCCCACCCCCCCGGGGCCCCCCGCAGGTGACGCCGTCAGTGCCGCCCGGGGTCCCGGCACCGCCCAGCCCGCCGCCCCCACCTCGGAGGGCTCCCCGCCCGACACCAGCGACCCACGGGTCTTCCCGCCGGTCAGCGACGAGGCCAAGGAGGCGGGCGAGGCCACTGCCAAGGCTGCGGGTGCGCCCAAGGAGGGGGAGAGCTTTGCGGAGAAGGCTAAGCAAGAGTAATGATGTGGAAGGGAGGAGGCGGGGAGGAGGCGGGGAAGGGAGGAGGAGGAGGAGAAGTAAGGGGACGGAGGAGGAGAGACGGGGGTGGGTGAGGATGGAGCATGGGCTACCCTGTTTAGGCCTTAGGTCTTAGCTTCTAGACATGTGTTTATATGGCAAGGGCCATGGTTGGATTGGCTTGGTGGTTTCCGTGTGTTGTGTGGCCGCTTTGTGGAGCTGCCGAGTGAGAGAGGAGGGCTGCTGCAAGCAAGCAGAGGGGGTGTCACGTGGGTGTGCGAGTCGTCATTGCGTGCAGTTGACGATGGGTGTAGCAATGCGTTGCTTGCTTGCGTTAGTTGTGATTGCTTGCTTGCTTGATTGGGGGGCGGGGAAAGGCCATTACTAGTGCCGAAGGCACTACCCGGGAGATCGATGGCGCTTTGCGGGGTAGGCAGGCAGGCAGGCAGGCATGCAGCTGATGAGAGGACAATACTGGATGCAAGGAAGGCGCTGCAGAGAACGATGCAGATGCACGTGACGCGGCTTCCCGGATGGATGGAAGTCCGGAGGAGGAAGAGCGAACGCAGGAGGACGCAAGTGGTTGTCCGTCGCCACCGTCGTTGCTTGTCGCGGTTGTATGTGTCAGTACCAGTAGTTGTGTCGTCAGCAGCAGTACGTGTAGGATGGGGTAGTGTCGTACAAGTGCACCTTTCCTTTAGCCGTACAACGTTGGGTTTCAGCTAGTGCTGCTAGAAATGCGTGTCTAGATAGGGGGGTGGATAGGATCAGCAGTATGTATCGCAGCAGGGTTGGGAACTCGGGTTGCAAGGTTGACAGCCATTAACAACCATTCCTGTCACAACCACCGCCATTCGTCATTCCCGAGTCACAACGCATGTGAAGGTAGGTAAGGTTTCTGCCCGTCATCTGTGTACGGCAGTTCAGCGCAAGGTATTAGTACGGCATCATACAATCCTGATGAGCCGCACCTCAGAAGCGAATATATGGTGCGCAAGGACAGGAAGAAACAGCAAACACACACACACACACACACATACACACGAACGCACGGAACTTCATCTTCCAGCAAACACAGTACCTTCTTCCTCGCGGCTAGTCCTCAACACGCACATACACACACACACACACACACACACACACACACACACACACACACACACACACACACACACACACACGTTTCGCCTCGCGGCCAGTTTTCTTAACACACACACACGTACTCAGTTATTTTAACACACGTACTCTATCCCTGTCGCCCCCAGGCCACAGCAGTCAATCCACGCACACACACGCATGCAAGCCCCCTCATCATTCACCTTTCACAGTGACTGCGAGCTGCATTGCACTGCTGCTGGGTATACTTGTCGCACCCCGACACATGTTCGACCTCAACCCATGGTAACAACACCAACAACTACTTCACCCAACCCACCACGCTTCACCCAACCCCAACTATCCATGCAGCCCGCCACAGTTTTAAGCACAGCGGATATTTGAAGTCCTTCAATTTGAAGTCCCTATCAAGGTAGGTGCTCCCATGCAGGCAGGTAGGTAGACCCCATACGGTGGTCACGCGCAATCAACCAAGCAGGGTCCCCTTGGCCGAGAAGGGTACAT